CAAGGGCACTTGAAAGCAGGAGGCTTATCTGCGTGGGGAAGCCGGTGATACTGAGTGGTCTTCTAGACCTTTGTGCAAGATTGGCAGGTCTTCCAGCCCGGTGGCACCCGTCGGCCTGCGGGTTCCGACGTGCGAGGGCCCTTGCCCATGCAGCATTGCCGCAGCCAGGCCTGCATGTGCAGCGGCGTGCAGCGACGGTTGGTCCCTGCAACTCGCGCAGGCTGAAGGCAACGACTAGAAGTGACTTGCTCTCAAGCTCTTGGACCAAGCGCCTCTAAACCAGTGGGCGACTTCTCCGTAACAGTGGTGCACAACTGCGGTCTGGAAGCCAAGCTCGCCAGGTACACGGTATTGAATATGATGCAGGCAGGCCATGATGAAAGCGCGCTGGCGCCACCTTGGGCCTTTCGCGTCGGAGCCATGTCTCGTTTGGCGTTGGAGGTGGCGAGCGTGGGGTTTGACCGAGCGTGGGTGTTTGTCTGGGGTTCAGTCCAGATTGGGAGAAGGGACCGAGAGCTACGTGCCACCATGGTTTCTCGAAGGAAGCCTTCTGCTGCTCGTGTGAATCGGCGCAGTGTGATGACGAACGTTTCAGGGCCTTGGGCTGTTTCGGGAGCGAAGGCCGTGGGGCAGAAGAAAGCCAATATCTGTTCCGGTGTGTTGGTCCGGACAAGCATGGTGTGTGCCAGAACGGCAACTGACCTGGTGGTGTTGTGGATTGGCCACACGGCGACTTTCAGATCCTCGCTAAGGTCTGCTGGCAACCTTGATGGAATGCTGTGAGCAGGCAGGCTACGCCGTCACCGACTGAACTGTGACTGAGCGGCGTCTCTGGCCGAAATGAACCATCCTCGCGCTGGCGACGCCGCCCTTGCCAAAGATACCACCGTGGAGTTGTGCAAGAGGGGAACGGTGCGGGGTGGAAAATGGGATGTGCATTGGCGGTGCCAAGTTTGGAGGACGCGAGCACCTGGGTGATGCAGACTAATGCAGGTCCACAGCCAGGCACTTGTGCAGGAACGGCCGACCGTAATGCGCAAGCGAGGTTGTATTTAATGCGCGCACCGGAAGCGGGCGTTGCACTGCACATGTTTCTCTCAGACTCGGGGGCCGCGTCGCTCGCTCAGACTCGACTTTTGCAGGCTCCCCCAGACAGCTGCAGCAGCGAGAGGGCAGAGTCTCCATCACCATCACCTGCAGCATGCAGTGTGCAGTGTGCAGGTGCTTGGCTGCATCTTACTGATCACGGCTCTGGGTTTCAGCTCACCGCCAACCAGGAAACAAGGCTACTGTAAGCCGCTCACTGGTAGAATGAGCTGTCGAACTATCAACACAATGGTGTGTACTAGTGACCACAGCGGGTGTTCGTCGCGAAAACTTTTTTTTTTCCCTTTGCTTGAGTTTTTTTTCAGTCACTTCTTACTGTTCTTCTTTTTTCCCGCATCGTTGAGGTGTCTTGGTCCTTTCTTTTCCGGTCCCACAATGAAACGGTGTGCTGGGAGATCGGCTGGTGCCGTAACCAATCAGATTCAGGGACGGGAATTTGGAGCTACATGGCTCCCGGCGCACTACAGTATATCACAGAGGACATGATAGCAGTTCGTTCAGAAGCCCGGGATGGATCATTTGTGATGGGTCGCCGGATATGTTGGCCTTGGCTGTTCGGCTGTTCTCAGCTCGCTTATGGGTGCGAAGTCCTCTTATTGGGAAAACATGTGCGAGGTCTCCATTGCAGCGGAAAATTTCAACGCACCTCAGGTGACATTCCTTTGCCACCCGGGAGCCTGGGCGATGTCAAAGAACCTCGGGATGAGGTCACAAACTGACTTTGAGTGGCGGCCTCTGGATGGATTAGAACAGAGGGCCGCTTCTCCTTCGCGTACGCATTGGTTCCTGGCGCTGACGTGCGGTGGAGCTGCAGTGTGTGTGTGTGTGTGTGGGTGGGTGTGGCTGCCCACCTATGCAACCACTTTGCACCTGTCTCGTGTTTCAGAAACATGTGCCTGACTCTCTGGCTGATGTGATGGACGGCGGTTTTGCCGCTCCACGCGAGGCGGGCGGTGCCGCCGGCTAGAGGCGAACCGCCTTCGTGCGCGCATACGCATAAGCGTGTCAAGACCTACACAGTTGTGACGAGTCTCAACCGATCGTCTGCCTGCCAGTGGCTCCTGCTGTTGAGGAAGCACCTCGGCTAGGCTAGACTTGATGTGTGCGCAGCTTTTCACAATTGACCGAGGAGATTTCCTTTGCCGGCCGTGCGCTCTGCCCCCAACCCCGGCATCGCCTGGACTAGGCTGTGCCTGACAGAGGCCCGGAAGCTTGACTTGGGTTCCGCGGCCCGGGTTGACATGGATTCGAAGCGGTCAACCCAGAGCCAGAGAGTATTCCAAGTTGGGTAGGTCGGTTGAGTACCATGTCCAGGAAGACCAGGCACGCAGGATACGAGATAAGGCGTTGCTCGTCGGCCAAGCCGTCGGGTTGCCTGCTGCCAGGAGCCCATCTATGGTACTGGAGAATGGCCGTTGCGATGGTTTGGCTGGCGACGTAAAGCTCGACTTGCATTGTACCAGCGAAAAACCTCGAGATCTTCGATGCGAAACGCCACGCTGCGTCGACATTGGCCAGCAGCCAGGATCGGCCCTCCACTTGCGCTGCACGCACGGCCTGGTGAGCAACGCCGCGCGCATAACGCGTGTGCTCGACCCGGCGCTTCACACGCCCGAGAATGTCATGCTCGCCAATGCTCGACACGGCTGACGCTTTGCGGGATGACGCCGCTGTCAAAGAGGGCGGATGGATAGGGCAGACAGGATGTGACGGCCAGGTGCGTGCCGTCGATTCGCCCGTGTCACTGTGCAGGCGTTGCGCGGGCCGGGCGAATCGGACGGCGTAGAGGGCAAGAGGGATGCTCGACTGGCTCGACTGGCTCGCCGCCTCGCACAGATGGGGGGGCCAGCTGAGCACAACTGCGAGTCCACCCTTGCACACGACTTTGTTCCTCTTGGGCGCTCCCGCACAACCTATCAGAGGTGCAGTTTTATGCATGGACGGTGCATCGCTCCAACTGGGCGCACAGGGGCCCCCACTGGGTGCAGGCCCACTGCCCTCTTATGCACCCGCTGGCTGGCTGGAGCCGCTGCGCACAGGGCCTCTGTTTGCCTGAGCCCAGCACGGTAATCCCACTCTGGCGTGGCAGCGATCACACCCACAGCGCCTTTACGAGTCGAGAAACGCGCAGTGATTAGTCCAGCTCACGACGAAGGACGGGCGCCCTCTTTGCCCGCCCGCTGGCCCGCCCCCGTCAACCTGTCAAGCGATGGCACTTGCCAGTGATAGGCACAAAACACACATCACGAGTCGACTTTTGCATGAGCATCTGGCCCAGTTGATGTGCTCTGCTGAAACCGCTAGCCTGCCTCGCCTCAAGTGGGCGACAACATTCGCCTCCCGGCCGACTGACTGACTGACTGGTGTACCACAGGACGGCACCAGCCCCAGAGGCCCGCAAAGCCCACCCGGCGCAGCCCAGCATTGCTCCGTCGGCTTCTTACTGGACCTTGCTCTCTGCTCGAGTCCTGCCCTGTCCTGCTCCCGCCTCGCCTCGCCCAGCCAGACCAGCAAATCCGCCTTCTCGCCGTACCCAGTTGCAGCTGACAAGCCTGCTGTTGGCGCGAGTGCCTTAGCGGATGCCCTTCTGCTTTGGCTGTCATGTCCCGCAGGGTCGAGAGGGTCCATGAGGGTCGTCCTGGCGAGCTAGAGTCCATAGGGAGTTCCCCGGCTGGCCGCTGCGTTGACCAAGAGGGCCTGCCAAGCCTGTGAGGGCGCCCGTGTCGCCCTCTAGCTCAAAGACCCGTATGCATAGTGTCGTATGTCCGTGCAGGCCACCATGTCGTCCTCGCAGAGGAACCGGTGGTGGCTCTCCCAGACGCGGCCAGGGTCCGTGGGCGGCCCAGAAGGGTGCATGGCCTGTGCTGTCGGGGAAAAGTACCCCTGGGTACGGCGGTACTTCCACGAGCTCATTGTCACACCCCTCCCCCCTGCCTGTTCTCTTCTTCTCTGACCCCATCCAGAATTAGAAGATACTGGCCGCTGCTCAAGTGCGAATCTCCGCGCATGGTGGCTTCGCCCCCTGTCGAGTCCACACCCAGGAGCCCTGCCGGGCCCCCGGATAGGCCAACTAGGGTGCCAATCGTCGGCGCCGCCTCATATTGTCCTCGACACCTGCTGGGAAGCCACCCCAGTCCTCGTCTCCCACCACGGGCACGGATGAGGGCCTGCATGGGCCGCGGGTGGTGCCTGCTGGGTCGCCGCCCATCCCCCATCCCACGAACGGACCCACATGATATTGACCGGGGGTCCTCATCAGACGTTGTTGATCTGTCTCTGGGCCTGTCCGTCCCGCTGCTCGACTTATATCTCGAGGTCCCCTTCAAAGACGCTCGTCCTCCTCCCCGGCCCGTGATCGACACTTGACTTGGTCCGGACGTGGTACCCTTCTCATTCATAACCATCCCCGGTTCCTGCTCTTCTCTGGTGGCTCATGCTCTCGGAACCCTTCGATATCCACATCGAACTTCCTGCCCTTCATTAAGTATTATATAGGTCGTGTCCTACCATCCTGTTCGACCCCCATCCCGTCCTTTGAAACCACTATCACCAACGACAACCTCGACCAACACCAACAGCTTTGCCTATCTACCTGACTTGAAGACTCGGGAGTCGAAAGTCTTGTAATAGGTCCGCTTCATGTATCGCGTTGCCGCCTGAGCTACAGACCAGCAGCAACTCGGACAGTCGATCAACATCACTAAGACTGCCGTCCACTCCTTGCACAAACGTTTCGCACCTGCCAACTATTAGGCGGTGGAAACCTACCATATATATACTTTAATAATTAAACTCGTCAACAGGTAAGTCTTTGGAGCTGGACACAGTCAGAGGGGACCTTGGGGAAATGCGAATGCTGACCGATATTTCACATCAAGCAGCCAACAGAAGCCATGGACGCTCACATGATGGCCTCGCAGATGGGTGCCGTGCCTTACTTCTACTACACCCAGGACGCCCGGCAAGACAACAGGCAGCCCGTCCACTACAGCCACCCTCACGCTGCCTACCACCAACAGCCACAGATGTTCCCCATCGTGCCGACTCTGCCTTCGACTCCCATCTACTCGAGACCTAGCTCGTCGAGCTCGCAGCATGCTATGATGCACAATAAGGCTTTTGCTCCCGTCCCGAGCATGATGACCCCCATGGGCTCTCCTCACAGTGCCCACCGCCAGAACGTCTGCCTTGGACAGCCTACCAAGCTCATGCTCGAGACAGACCTCGGCGAGCACGAGGGTGTCTACTACCCCGGCACGCCGGCTCTCTCGACCTCTGGAAGCTCCTTGAGCAGTCCTGGAAACAGCGCCAATGACATGCTGGCCACGCCATTGAACCCCATGTTTTCTGGCCTCGACGGCTCAGAGCCTGCGAAGACCGAGGTGGAGCTTGTGCCTGAGACTGCCGTCAGCTTTGACTGGTCTAGCGGCTCGCCCCCTTTGACACCTGGTAAGTCCAATATTGCACAGGAAGCCAACGAGGCGATGCGAGCATGCCGTGGCCCTCAGCTGCAACAAACGGCGAGGACCCCTTGACCGTCTCCACACCACTCGTTGCTAACACAACACTTCTCCCACCGCAGTCTACTTCCAGTCCCAGATGTCCGACAGAGCCGCGTCTCTCGAGGCTAGCATCTCTGGTGACTTTGTGTCCACCACCACATCCGCTTGCCCGTCGTTGTCACCATCACCCCCTCCATACGCGCCCTCTGTGGCTTCCGAGCAGGACTTTGACTTCTGCGACCCCCGCAACCTGACGGTCGGCGGCATCGCGTCGAACCCGGCTTTGGCTCCGGAGTTCTCCGGTGCTTCCACTCTGGACGAGGATCTCTCCATCGCCAAGAACACCGCCGCTGCACACTTTGACTTCGCCTCCGAGATCCAGCACGGTCTCACCACATTCGACGACATCTCCGACTTTGAGTCGGAGGACGATTTCGTCAACGGCCTTGTCAACCTCGGTGAGCAGTCGACCTCGGAGGTCAAGAGATCGCGCTCAGGCACCTGCTCTACCACTCTTTCCTTGGGGGCTGAGAACTTCCTCGTCGGCGGCGACTTTGACTTTGAGGACACCACCTCCTGCGCCACCGCCATCACCTCTCCGGCTGGCTCCACGGAATCGGATTCTCACATCTCCAAGAAGCTGAAGAAGGCCGAAAGCGCCAGCACCAAGCCCTCCATGAACGTCGCTGCCGACTCCAGCGCCAGCAGCGCGCAGGTGGCTGGCCAGCCCGATTCCGCCAGCGCGGATGGCACGACTGATGGCACTACCCCGTCGGCCTCATCTGCCAGTGCGGCTGGTCTTCCTGCGCCTCCTACCCGTCGGGGTCGTAAGCAGTCCCTGACGGAGGATCCCACCAAGACCTTTGTGTGCGAGCTTTGCAACCGTCGCTTCCGTCGTCAGGAGCATCTGAAGCGCCACTACCGCTCTCTCCACACCCACGACAAGCCCTTTGAGTGCACGGACTGTGGCAAGAAGTTCTCGCGCAGCGACAACCTTGCGCAGCACGCCCGCACTCACGGGAGTGGTGCTATCGTCATGGACCTGATTGAGGGAGAGGAGGGTCTCGAGCAACAGGACTATCAGAATCTTGGCAAGGTGCTCTTCCAGGTTGCATCCGAAGTTCCCGGCAGCTCCACAGAGTCATCTTCTGAGGACTCCGCGAGTGAGATTTCGAAGAAGAAGCGCAAGCGGTCCGAGTGATTCTTCGAATCGTCAGACGCCTTCTCTTATCACACAACACATGGTCCTTGACCCTGTACGCCCGCTCACGACTTCTCACGACTTCTTCACACACACAACCAGACTCGTGTCTTGCCAGTCTGCTAGGGTTTCTTAGCGGGGCATGCTTTCACAGCATGCTTCGAATTGGTTCTTAATGGGGCGCCGCCAGCGCATTTGCAGGGGTTGGGCCAGGGGCACCGAGGGGCCCATGGCTCTTTAGTGTATTATCATCATCCTCATCATCATCTTGCGAGCATCTGCTTTCAGCTTGATTTCACCGTTCAGCAGTCACATGGCGATTGATACACACAGACAAATTCACCCACTCAAGACGGTGGTGGAGAGGAGCAGCAGGTTCATTTTGGCCCGGCGTGGCACACGGTTGAATTCATTCGTTATTTGACATTCAAGGCACATGCGTGGGGTTGGGTTTACAATTATGGGTAGGGGAAACTGGCACGGAAAATAAAAAACAAACCCTGTCCTGATCAGAGGTTCACCGGGAAGCGCATTTGGTTTTCTGTCTGTTATACCTGGGACGTGGCATATTTGATCTTTTCTCAACACTCGTTGTACTAGTCTTTTGCGGATGGACACATCATAGCTCGGCGCAGCACAGTCTCGCCATATTCTGAGCAAATTGAATCCTCGTCTCTCTGGCAGCGGACCTCAAGGTCTGTCTAAGCCTGGCGACTTCACAAGCACATTGTCCTCTACCTTGCCATTCGTGCCAATTGTCCGCTTGTGAGCCCATTCTCTTGTGCGTCGACGAGGCGTCGAGCACTCGCTTGCCTGGACTGTCCATGGCTTTACTGCCGGGGCTAGCAATGGTGTGTGACCCCAAATGCGCAGCAGATTCAGCGACTAATATCATGTTGCCCACACACACACACACGCACACACGCACGGCAAGCAAGGCACACTATACCCAGCCGAGGATTACTCCGATCATTTGTCCAGTCAGAAGACGATCTAGAGTCGATCCGGACTTGGTGTGATCGCAGTCCCACCTTTTCTCTAAATTGGTGATCGATCAATCAAACTTTCTGTACTACTGCAGTATAATGAGCGCAACGCAACCCAGATTAGAGTTTTGAGCTAGTTGTCGAGGGTTGATCCCGTGTTTCACCATCAGCATCCGTCTGGCTAAACCATCGTGTTGGTTCCAGTGAGTGTGCGCCCACACACACACACACACATAGGTGTATACACACGCTAGAATCTCCCAGCGTGTGGAACCTTTGGATAAGCTCATGGTCGTCTCCCCCTCCCAAACTTGCAGCTGCCCTGCGTACTAGCGCAGAGATGAGAGATCTACCGGCCAGCACGGCGAATCTGCCTGCCTGAACCCTGGGGGGGGGGGGGGGCGCCACGCACTCTTTGCATCAAGGGCTGCAATGACACCTAACGCATCCCGAACTTGGCCGTTACTATTCCAGGGCCTTCTACACACACACATAACAGGCATTGACTCTTCCACCTCCGGGAGTGACCGACTTTCTTCCAAAGTTCCCCCCACGCGCGCGCGCGCGATGTAGTACAGGAAAACCCCATCGATGTGGGTAGCGACTGTGGCGTTATCCACCTGTATCATCCTATCACACCGACACACACACGCACATATATCTATGCCTAGGTATATACATACACACACACGATGATAGACACAAAGGGCCACCGGACAGGATGACTACCTCATCAGTCTTGGTTTTGGGACCTTGCTGGATCCTTCCGAAGCATGATTAGTGTCCTGGGATATTGGGGGGTCTGGGGTACTTTTGGAGTCGACGTGTGTCAGCCACGTGGAATCAGCACCTTGGCGGCGGGAGAATGTTCCCATTGAGCACTAAGCTGGCTGGCTGGCTGGACTGGCTTCGCCTCAAGGGCCTCCTTCCCCCGTCCTGTATGCGACGAGCAGCAATTGGCTGAGCGGATGGGCCTGCCTGCCTGCCTGCCTGCCTGCCTGCCTGCCTGCCTGCCTGCCTGCCTGCCTTTCATGCCTGCCTCTAGACCAGACCGCCCATCGACTCTAGCGTCCCGGTTGTAGCACACACTACGTCAAGCGAAGTTACAAAGTCCGCATGGCATTGATTATCGATGGCGGTGGACACCAGTCGCGGGGCTGGGTTTGGTGGGCACCACTTTCTCAAGCCCGTTTCCTCCCCCCAAAGGGGAAGCATAGCTCCGAAGCCACACCTGCGACGAATACTGCGCTAGTTGGGAACGGTTTGCCTTTGCCCACCAACCCGGGCGTGGCACTCAGCTAACACGACACGAAGACGAGGCGGCTGGGGGGACGTGGGACGTGGAGAAAATGCACCCACGGATGGAGGCGGTGGCTGGCTGCTTTAGCTTGAGCCCGGCGCGTGGAGCCGAGACATGATGATGATGATAATGGACCTCGATGGCGGCGCCGTCGACCTCTCGCATGCGTGGGACGACCGACGGACCTGTAACCTGTAACCTGTGGCGGTAGCAGTAGCAGTGGCAGGACGAGCTCTTGGCGTGGGGGAGGGAGTGATAGTGCTTGCTGTGGGATGCGTGGCTTGGAGAGGGGGCCTCACGATGTCTCATCCAACTATACACTAAATATGGCGAAGCGGGTTTCCAACGACAGCCACATAATATATACGCTTACACATACTATCATGGTACTATGGTACACGTGTGCGCAGCTGCATGCAGATATGCCGGCTCTTCCCCCCCTCTCCATGCTGCTACACCCACGCACGTGGTTGTGGCTTGCTCGCTTGTCTGTCTCATCTAGCTGCCGTCTGGCTGGGCTTGGAGCCAGGATGTGGGGTTTCCTTCTTGATAACACTGCGATACGACCAAGTGTGTGGGCTTCTGCTTGCTGCTGCTGCTGCTTGCATGGTCTTTGTGTATCTTTGCATCATGCATACCGTGGGGGGACTGCATGCGGTGTGCGTGTGTCGGTGTGTAAAGTAAGTATCTTTGCCGCCGTTGAATTTCCGTTGCTTCAGACCATCACCAACCCAGGCAGAATCATACACTGCGCCCCCCTCGTCAGATTTGAGCAGCACGCTGGGCATCAGTGTAGACCATGGAGGAGGCTCTGCCAAAGAAGTCCCATTCCAGACCGAATGCCCAAAAGAGCCAGCCCGTCAGGCTTTTGGGACAGGGTGGCACACCAGCCAAGGGGGACCCCGGGATGCAGACAGGGCCCTTCTGTAACAAGGAGATACCTCTCCGTCCGTACCTTGCTTCCATGGGCACCAATCATTACGGGACGACAACACCGAAGGGTCTGGGGGGTTTCCCATGGGTGAAGGAACCTTCTTCGGCGTTTCGTTTTTGTGTGCCTGTCTGTTGGCGATCAGGGTCTCCCGGCTGGCTGGTCGACTGACTCGCACGTACGATATCGCGTTGTTGCGCTGCTGGGGCGCTTGGGAGATGGAATTTAGGTGCTTCTAGATCGAGCATGGACCATTCGGCTGGGGATCAGCATATGGCCAACTGTCATTGATGTGTGGCTTGCCAATCTCGCTTGGACTAGAGGCGGTTGATGTTCAGCGCGCCCAAATGGCCTCTCATGCATCAAGTACCTCAAGGACCCGGCATCAAACCTGGAGCTGAAGCCCACTCTTCTTCTTCACGCTTGCAGCGCAGCTCAGCACAACACACGCCCCTCCGGGGGAGACGAAGTAATTGACGGCCTGAGGTAGTGCGCGTTGCTGGTCGGCAGTCAATTTCTTCAGATGCCGCTACGGGGAGGATCCGCCCCCCCCCAAATTGACTGGTGCATTTCTGGCCGTCTCTTTGAGATAGCGCACTCTTCGGCTGTACCTCCGCTACTTGGTGTATGTAGTACGGGCTTGTCGTTGCGTGTTCTAATCATGAGGCTTCTCCACCTGCGCGACAGCGGCGACAGAGAGGGAATCCGCCTTTATCTTATCCTTCATGGTGGTGGTGCTGCTGCTCTGTCTCCCCATCTGATAACGAAAAGACACGACGGTGGGACTTTGCGACCCGCAGCGCGTGCAGGTTCTGAGCACAAGTTGCGATAAGGCATATGTAGATGGGGTCTGTCGAGACAGAGTTGGAGCCGTAAAGGTCCAGCCAGGTCAAGGTCCAGGTGAGTAAATTCTGCACTGACAGGCCACCACCACCACCACCTGGGGACTTGGCAGTGGCTTGCTCGCGCTGCTTCTGCCGTGCTGCTGCTGCTGAAGAAAACGGCCTGCAGATCCGAGCACGTGCTCGGTCCTAGTACTGCCGTGCGTGCTGCAGAGAACAGGACCCTGGGAGGCACCGGCTGAGACAGGCAGGGTCCAGTGCAGCACGAGCGCGGCCGGCAGTTGGGTGCGTGGTTGCTGCACGGCGCAAACTCTAAAAAGGCAATGGAACAAAGTACATGGCCACTCACTGACTGCCAGTCTTTTTTTTTCTTTTTTTCTTTTCGAATCCCTCAAGTCGCAAGTCGCACAGAGCCAGGCCAGGCCAGAGGAGCGGTCTACAACGGAGATGCCTGCTTGACTCGAGGCTGGGCAGGATGCTGGCCGCCGGGTCCCCGGGGAGAGGCGACCCCTCGCTTCCGGCGCAGTGGTGCTGGTATCCTCTTTGCATGGAGGGGCGTGTGTAACACGAGCGGTTGCGATGCGACAGAAAGATTCCAGAGGGCTTCCTTTTGCCCAGCCAGGGCAGGCCAGGCGGACCAGACCCTGGCGCTGGGCAAAGGTGCCGTGCCGGGGCAGGCGCGGCCCCGCCTTTCCCTCTTGGGGCCCTGCCGTCTTTTCCTCTCCACGCCACGTTAGTTAGCGCACTCAGGCCCGGCCACCTCAACCGCCACTGATATGTCCATCTCCTCGACGCGAGATTGCAAGCACGGACGGCCTGGCCGCTACCACGCCGGCTCCACGATCTCCATCTGCCATCACCGCGAATGCCATCCTCGCCTCTTCCGGTCCCGACCCTGGACACCCGCCTGCGCCAGCCAGTGGCCTAACCCTCTCCGCACACGCCAAAGTGCCTAGCTTGGCCGATCATCCTTAGGCTCCTTTGGTCGTCTTCGGATGCCCTCTCTCCCGGGACGGACCACACCAGGCAAGACAGCTGATAGTTGCACCTCTATCCCTCCGCCCTCAGAAGCCACATTCTGGACGAGGCTCGTCACCACCTCCGACCCAACCTCGCCCACACCACGCCACCCCCGGCCCCTTCAAACAGCACCGTCTTGGCCAGCCACCAGGCACGACGTTGCGCCGCACCACGGCCTGTAGGCATGGCCACGGGCGCCGCTCAAGGGCCGTCGCTCGACGTCGTGGCCCTGGTCTCCGGAGGCAAGGACAGCTTCTACTCCATTCTCCACTGCCTCGCCCAAGGCCACCAGGTGGTGGCCCTCGCCAACCTCCATCCGCCCTCGTCCTCATCCACACGGGTCCCTCCCGTTGCTGGCATTGCTCCCGCGGCTCAGCACAGGGCATCCGGGGGCTCGGACTCCCTCTCCACCGCGGCTCTTGCCACCCACAATGCCAATAATGGCAGCAGCAGCCATGATGATCCGCCAGAATCCGACCTGAACAGTTTTATGTACCAGACGGTGGGGCATCAAACAATCCCATTATACGCCCAGGCCACCGGGCTGCCCTTGTTCCGTCAGCCCATCCAGGGCACTGCTATCCACCACGGCATCAGTTACTCCCCCGACGGCCACCACCGGCGTACTGACCATGATGCCGCCGGCGTCAACGGACCTGCGGACGCAGGTGCGGACGCTGACGACGACGAGACCGAGTCTCTTGTCCCTCTGCTGCGTGCGGTGCTGAGAGCTCACCCGAATGTCAACGCCGTCAGCACCGGAGCCATCCTTTCAACGTACCAGCGCACGAGGGTCGAGTCAGTAGCCATCCGCCTGGGCCTCGTTCCGCTGGGCTATCTCTGGCAATACCCGGATCTGCCCCGGTCTTTGCCGCCGCCGCCATCGTCATCTTCATCGTTGGCAGTGGGCGTCGGGAGCGCCGTGGTCGATGATGATGCCCAGCTCCTCCGTGACATGGCCCACACGGGTCTCGAGGCACGTATCATCAAGGTGGCCAGCGCGGGCCTGGACGAAGGCACACTATGGGAGAACGTCGCTTCGGAAACAGGCATCAGCCGGATCCAGCGCGGTCTGCGGAAGTTTGGTGGTGGCGGGAAGGGTGCTGTGCTCGGTGAGGGCGGCGAGTTCGAGACTCTCGTCGTGGATGGCCCTCCTGAGCTGTTCAAGGGCCGGATTGTCGTTCACGAGGACGACCGGCAGGTGGTACGTGAAGGCGGTGGCAGCGAGTGGCTGCTCATTCGTAGAGCTGCAGTCGAGATGAAGACGGACTCGTCCGCAGCCAATGTGCTGCCGGCGGCTCAGAGGAGCGTGCCCATACCGGCACTGCTCGATAGCAAGTTCGAGGCAGTCCTCGAGGTCTCGGGGCAGCAAGTCGTGCCCGAGAGCACTGCTCATGATGACCGTGACACTCTGTCTATGAGGCTGCCTCTGGCAATCAGTACTCCTTGTCAAGGCGGCAATGCTCGTGCATGTTTTATTGGCGAACCGGATGCCGGCAGTGTACAGCAACAGACTGAGCGCGTCGTTCGTGACATCAGATCCTACCTCGCCGAGCGCTCTCTCGAGCCGGTGGACATTCTCAATTCCATCATTGTGCTCCGGCACATGAACGACTTCCCGGCCATCAACAAGCTCTATGGCTCCCTCTTCACGGAGGCCAACCCGCCTGCCCGGGTGACAATTTCCTGTGGCGACCAGCTACCCTCCGGATGCCAGATCGTCGTATACCTCGTCATGCAACGCTCGACAAGGGACGAGCACAGAAAGGGCCTCCACGTGCAGTCGCGCTCGTACTGGGCACCCGCCAACATCGGGCCATACAGCCAGGCGATTGCCTACCCCTTGCTGCCGCCATCGAGCTCTACGACCGATGGCAACTACCACTCGCTGCCAGCTGCGGTGTCTATAGCCGGGCAGATCCCCCTGGTGCCCGCGACCATGGAGTTTCCCACACCAAGGAGCAGTAACAGCAGCAGCAGCGGCAGTCAGGGACCGGACGTCCAGCAGATCACCCTCGCGCTGCAGCATCTCTGGCGAGTCGGCGCTGCGATGGACGTGGCATGGTGGACCAGCGCGGCGGCTTACTTCCCGTCTACCACCACCACTTCCACGGCAGAGAACAATCTCTCCAGCTCACGGCCATCACCACCACCACCAGGAGGCGGCGCCGCGATGGTCAAGAACAGCATCGCCGCGGCCGCCGCGTGGCGGGAAGCACACGTCTGGTCTGCCCCGCGCAATAATGCCAGTGGTAATGACGATGACGAGGGGCCGGATCTCTGGGACAGGCGGTACAACGCGCAGTACCAGTCCTTCGCCTCGTCCGGGGCAGCGGGAGGTGGCGGTGATGGAGATTCTTCTTCCGGACCCCCGCAGCTGCCAAAGTGGAATGTCGTAGACGCTTTCGCTGCTGCTGCTGATGACGATGAGGATGACGATGACGAAGATGCTGATTATGGAGACGAGGAGGCACGGGAACGTAGACGGGCGGCCCAGAGAGCCCGCAAGATGGCGTACGTCCCGTTCTTCTTCGCCGCCGAGGTCGAGGAGCTGCCCCGGTCCGCGGGCGTCGAATGGCACGCGCACATTGGGCTCTCCAAGATCCCCGAGGGCTCGGTGCGGGTGTGTAGTAGTACCACCACCATCGCCACCACCGCTGCTGCTGCTGCCATCACGTCCGCTGAACCCGCTCCTGGCAATGAAGAAGGCAGAGGCAAGTCGGGCGAGAGGGACCTGCAGGATGAGGAGGAGGAGGAGGAGGAGGAAGGCGAGTTCGTTATTGAGCTACACCACGTCGCCGTCACCACGGGGGGGCATGGTGGCAGCAGCAGCCCTGGACTGGGACCGGGACCGGGACCGGGACAAAGCACATACCTGCACACGACCGCCGTGCTCCGACGCGGCGCCGGCGCCGGCGACAGCGGTACATATACAGGAAATACCGCTACCTTCGCCCTTGCCGACGCCGTGCAGCACCTCCAGCGGGCCCTCGCCTGGTCCATACCCACCCTTCTCGGCGGCTCAGGGGAATCGAAGAGCGAGGCGGTGGTGGCGGTGGCCAAGGGCGACGGCGACGGCGACGGCAACGGTGTTGCTGCTACTGCTGCTGCTGCTGCTGCTGCGGCGCCGTACTTGGTCTACACCGACGCCGCGGGCATCGCGGCCCCGATCCCGGTTCCCGTGGTCGTGCCGGTCTCTAAAGTGTACGGGTCGCACGGATCAGCATCGTCTTCGGCTCCGGCCTCGGATCCAGCTGCAGCTGCAGCTTCCGCTTCCGCGGCTGTGATACCGTGTCACTCCCTCCACGACGGCCAGGGGAGGAGACTCGCTGCCGTGGCGCTCTTTGAGACCATCTTGACCTCCTGAACTTGGGCGTGCTCTCGTGCAGAGGGAGGCAGTCTTGCAGGTTGTGACGATTGTATAAGACCCCAACCGGAGGGAGAGCAGCAGACAGCCCTCGTGTCATCGTTCGTGGATTGGTGTTGCCTTCATAGATAGATGCCAAGCTAGGTATTCGTCACCAAGTATGACGAGCTATCTGAAGATATACATGCATCAAAGCTAGCTACATGACGAGCAATATGGGCAGCCACTCCCGGAAGGCGCGTAATCTTGCAAGAATGGTATATCACCAAGGAATCAACTCGGAAACGGGCAGGAGAGCGTGCTCTGGGGCTCGCTCTTAGTCAATTTGCTGCAGCGTCTTTCAGCCGCGCAATGTAGTAGTGTGTGTCTGGCTCGAACTTGCCTATTTCTTTGTCCCCAGACTCGTGTCAAGCAACCCCATATGCATCAAAGGGTGCGACATGGTTGTCCCATTTATGCATGATCCCAAAACAATCCATCCAAAACGCCAAACAATGCCTCATCTTTCCCAAACTTCAAAAAGGTTGTGGCCGATTCCACTGCAAATAGACAGACAGGCAGGTGTTCCAATCTGGAACTCTCATCACTCTTTGATCCCCCTTTCCCGGCCCTCTTCAAGGCGTAATCCCAATGTCTGATCCTCCACGTGTCTCGACTTCCGCTCTGGCTTCGACATTGGCAATCGCACTTTGCAAAGCACTTGTCAGGTCCGTGTGGAACAGAGGCCGGTTCAAGCCATGTACCACCACTCGCCGTTTCGCCGCGGCGTGATTGTTGGAAACGCCTGAGCTGCTGCTGGCTGCACCCATCGAGCCGCTGGGCTGCACTTGGGAGAAGCCTGTTGCCGCGATGCCCTCATCTTCTTCTACACTCGAGGCTTTACCAGCGGCCACGTGATTATTGTTGGTCTTTGTTTGTATGCCATCAGGACCCAAATCGTTTTGAGTACCATGGGCGGACTGCTCAGTGGACTGCCCAACGGCATCCTTCTCGCCGTGCTCGTATTCCCGAGCAGCAGCTGCTGCAGCGGACGAATCACCACCAATCTCTGCAATGCTGAAGATCGACCTCCACTCCACGTGCTTGCCGTCAGCTCGCTCAGTGGGATAGCCAAATCCAGCCGACACTAGGGCGCGTTTTGTCCACCGGGAGTTGATGCAGGCCATATGCCAGTCGACATAATCAGGCTGAGTGTAACGATCCATCTGGTTCCGGACGTCGATAAGGTGCTGTACGGACGTAACATCCACGTTGCTGACCGAGCTGAAGTCCAAGATGATCGCCTTGAGGGTGGGAAGACTGGTATCCTCTGCATGGCCCTTCTTTGGACCCGGATCATTCCAAGGTCTGTCACCCGGGCGGGTATACGTATTGGTGGCGGTACGCCGAGTGTTGGCAAAGATGTAGTTGCTCAAGAATGTGAGCGTAGAAGTGGCACTTGGGTAGTTGAAGCTCTCCTGGAACCGATAGATGAAGACACCTGGATATGGGCTGGAGATCTCGAGTTCGGGGTTTGACCCGTCCGCATTGCCAATGGGCAAGAACAGATTGCGCGTCGCCATGGAGCCGGGGTCCGCCGAGTCGGACTGTGGCTTCATGGTCCCGTACGAACCCACCACATTATTGTCGTTGCCAATGACGTGGTCGCCAAGTACAGAGTGGACCTTGACCTTGCCCAAGAAATCGCCCTTGGACCGGAGGACTCGGTACATGTACACACAGAACGAGAGGACCATTGTGACGTAGATGCCGTTCTCGATGCTGCTGAATACAATGACGATGACGCCCACGAAGAAAATGAAGACCTCCAGAGGCGAAACACGCCAGAACTTGTAAAGCGTCTGGGGAGGCGTGATCAAGTCACCCACGGCGTGGATGATGACTCCCGCAAGTGCAGCTTGTGGGATCCAGTAGAACATGGCACCGAGACAGTAGATGGCGATCAGGACCACTGCAGCAGTGATGACACCAGCAAAGGGTGTGCGCACTCCAGCCTTGGATTTGATGGCAGTGCGGCTAAAGGATCCAGTGGCAGGATAACCTCCCAAGAAAGGGCCAAGAATGTTGGTGACACCGATCGCGACCATCTCCTGCGACGGGTTGATTGTGTAGTTGTTGACGCGGCCGAAAGACTTCGATATGGCAATGTGTTCGATGAGCAGGACAATGACCGCCGCGGGCAAGTCGTTGACGAACAGCGATATAATGTCTTTGTTGATTTTGGGCACGGCCGCGTGTTGGAAGCCGGTCGGAACCGGGCCAAGAAGCTTGAAGGCCGAAGTGCTGCGCTCTCGATTCACCAGCCAGCTTATCAGCGTGTACAGCAAAATGATGAACGCTGTGCGTAGTGTAGACAGGAAAAAGAACAGCTTTGCCCTCTGTGGGAACTTCTTGGCGTAATACGTGCAGGCGAAACGGATGCAGTAAAGCAGGAACAACGCTGTCAAGCCTACAGAGGCATCCAACGTCGTGGTCGGAAGGCGCTTGAGGGTGTTGATAATCACCAGGTACGTAGCCTCCCGGGTGTTTACTCCAGTGATGCCAAGCATCGTGGAGACCTGACCAGAAGCAATGCTGATGGCCGAGCCAGTCATGAACGAAGCGAGCGACACCAGCGGCATGAGCTCGACGATCCAACCACAGCGAATAAGTCCGATAAAGAGGACTATGCAGCCGCAGATCACGGACAGGGCGCAGGCAACAATCCAAGGCTGGTCGCGGTAGGCTTCAGGGTCGGCCTCGATGGCACGGGTGACGATGCTGCCGACAAGAGTGGACATGACGGCGACGGGCTAGATGACGTTAGAACAAGGCTGATACTACGACGGAAGACGGGCGGAACAAGACTCACGCCAATGGTAATGTCCTTTGAAGTCGCAAAGAACCAGTAGCACAGAACACCCATGAATGACGAGTATAAACCAAACTCGACTGGCAAGGCGGCAAGGCGGGCGTAGGCCATTCCCTGTGGGATGACGACGGCACCAACGGTGATGCCTAGTGACAAGTCAGTGCGTGGTTCTGGGATTGGGATAACAGGCAAGATTTTCCTCACCAGCTACGAGATCGCCCAACAACCACTGCAGGTTGTAGAAGCCGATCCATGAGAGAAAGGGGAATAACGACTTGAGATATTCGGCGACATCTCTGGCAGTTGGAATGAGCTCATCAAGCCACTCGGCGGAGCTGGGCTGTTGTTCGACGAAGCCATCGGCAGTATGGTTGGAGAAGACGGACTCGCCGCGAGTAACAGGATTGTCGTACTCGGGCTCCTCCAGCTGAATGCCAAGGGCCTTGGCCAAAGCATGGCCGATCTCTCTCCTCCGCGACATCCTACAGAGACGAAACACCGGACCTGGGCAGAGAAGCTTGTTGTTTGTCGCAAGCGGCTGTAGGGCGGAGGCCAGAACAATTACCGTGTCTTGGCAGGGGTCAGCTGAGCAGTGACGTGCTTGACGGTGGCGATGGCGTGATGGCTGTCAACGGTGGCCTTGCCACGAGGTGTGATTTTCAGGGTCCTGTATTTAAATAGAGCCAGAAGCACATGCTCTGACTTGGGATATTTGGCGTCGCAAAGATAATGTATAGGCAAGAATATCAGAGATGTGATCTAGGGCGAAGGGCGCACCCTGAAGAGCGGAATCAGGCTGTAGTTGATGCTGGCTGCGGTAAGCCTATGTCCGAGCGATAGGCTGCGGAGCGTCACGCGGAGGTTGGTAAGGTGTCTCGAGTGGCCAGGACAGATGCAGCTCCCCAAGGTCTAAGTACCCCGGTGACAGTGGTCACGCTGATGCTTCTCGTCGAGACTGTGTGGTTGGTGTTACAGTAAGCGATAAGCTGTTTGCCGCAGGAACACTACTGTGAGTGAGAACCGCGTGGTGATGCAAGATGCCCCAAAATGTGATGGGCGAGCGCGAGTGGCTCGTCGTCGAGTGCAGGAGCAAGAAAAGCAGATACGGGCCGAGGACAAGAAAAGATATAATATCAGACAAGTAGTAGGTAGATGACGACTGTGCCCTCGAGCACTGCAGAGGAGGCAGGAGCCGTGGACTTTGGCCGGGCAGCCTGGAGTGGGTGGCACCGGCTCCCCGTCAGGGCAGGCCCAGGCACAAACTGGGGCGCATGCCTTGGCGCGCCTCCGCCAGACCCGCGTCCGCACCCGCTCCAGGGGATGCTGAAGATCATTATCAATCAAGCAAGGCACTGCATGCTCACCGTGACTTTTGGCCTTTGCCAACCTGCTGCAGGGCGCTTGGTTTTCCGGCTGTTCCGTCGCTTCCCTGGCCATGTCGCAGCTGGCTCTGCAGCCCTCCAGAATACTCTCTGTACACGCTTGGTGTTCTTGACAGCCCCCTGCCAGGGACGGGACCAGAAGCGCGTTGGCTTTGTCACCGCCAGGTCCATGCCAAGCTCAAGAGCCATGACATTACTATGACGGCTGTCCGCTGTGCAAGCTTCAATTCTAACTAATCTAATTAATGGCAACGGCGTCGACGAAGAGCCTGTCGCTGGCAAACTCGACTGCCCGCTTTTGGAAACTCACGGGCCCCGGCCAGCCAATCAGCTCGCATCCCGCCGGCGGGTGTGGCCCGTGCACGATGGTGTGATCGGGTCCAGCTCTGATGCCATCTCGGCAGTGACGCGCATCTCCATCCAGGCACAGCGGAATCAGTCCGTATGTACAGCATCAGCATCGATTACGAATGGCTGCCCCCTCGTTCCAATCCCTATGCTTATATTATATGCCTCTGATATAGACTATTACCAGCAGGCAGGATGCAGGCCTCGCTAGAAGTGCCGCCCTGTGTCACCGCGGCACTCGACTCGCTCTACTCCACCCACCCACAACCAGCAAGCTCCATGACCAAGCCCGCAATTGTGAGATTGACATCCACCACAATCGAGATGTCTCGCCCGCGTGTTCGTGCCTGTCTGGGAACAGCCGCCAAGGATTTTGAAAAAAAATTGAAAAAATTGTGTGACTGGGAACCAGCAAGAGTCACGGGGCAAATACACGAGAAGATGAGGGCTGATGTCGACCTGAGGAGAGTCGAGAAATGGACTTGAAGGTCCCTTGATACGCCAGCCTGTGCCTCTGTGCAGCAGAGTAGAAATGAGCATCGGGAGCAGGCCTGGAGGATGCATTGTAAGTGCGTTCTTCCAGGAAGGCATCAGGTCTGACGTCAGGGTGCCCTGCTGTGCTGGCTTCTTATCGGGCTGCTCTTGTGCTTATCGCCCCGAGAACCAGACGCGACCCTCACCTCACGCAGATCCGACGCGTCTTGGTAGGGGCTCTATTCTGGGAGATGTGGATCTGGCCCAGCCCTTTTCTCAGGGACAGCTCCGTTGCCCGCGGACCGCTGGGCCGGAGACGTCGAATGTCGCAACATGCTTAGTATCGCCGTCATATGCGGCGGATTGCCATGCTTGAGATATTGTACAGCCACACCGACTGCAAGTCAATTGGCACCCTGCCAGTCAGAAGGCGGTGTCGAGTGCCCTGGCGGTTCATGCAGGTGTCGAGGTACCTGGGCTAATTCAGTAGTTAAGTGCGTACCTTATGGTAGTTGCTAGCAAGTGCCAGCCCCGCGTATTTGCCTTGAGCCGCAACGTCGCAGTGCGTCTCGACCAACCACCACCACGACGAAACCAAACCACCACGTCAACTTAGGGGCCAGCATTCGCATCCACGGACGGGCCTGCCCATTGCTCCTTCCCCATCTCCGCCACCCCTGCGTGCCTGATTGGACCTTCTGAGCCATGCCAGCACCGGCATCGAGTCCCTCCAGGGACGGCCTGGGCCCGTATCTCGCCCACCCTCACAACAGCCACGTCTTTGCATCGTCAACCACAGAGCTCAACCCGCCGCCCTCGCCGCGCACCCAGCGCACCATCCGCAAGCTGCAGTCGGCGCACAACCTCGGCGCCGCCGCCCGCTTTGGCAATGCCCCCTCCCTCATCGCCCAGCAGCGCCTCCACAACCTCCAGGACCGTCCACCCTCGCCTTCCCGTCAGCCATCAAACAGATCCCCTCAGAGGCACCGCGCCAACTCGGACGCCCGGCCCCCGCAGCTGAGCGCCTCCATCTACGGCACTCCTGGCCCGTCATCAAGACGGCCAGGCCTCAAGCCCACGTCGACCGCCGCCAATGAGATGTCCCTTGAGCGTCTGATCCGAGATGGGCCGCCCGCCGGCGACGTGGACGGCGCACTCGAGAGTGCTCGGCTTAAGGTCCTCGACCAGGGCATCAAGAGTGACAGCGACGGCATGGTGAGTCTCCTAGATTATGCAAAGTCTCGCATGAAACCAATGTGATAGCTGACCCACAAGCCACTAGTCATCAACCCGGATATATGTCTGGCTGATCCTGCTGGATGCCCCCATCGTCAAGACCGACGACTACATACAGCTGATCCACCGGGGGCCCTCGCCTGCTTATTCCAAGATCCGCAATGACACATTTCGCACTTTGACTACGAACCCGCTGTTTCATCGTCGCGTCAGTGAGGCCTCGTTGATTCGCCTGCTGAACGCGATTGCGTGGATGTTGCACGATGCCAAGGACAAGAGCCGGCCCAGCAGCAGCAGGCAGTCTGTTGGCCCGTCGTCGGCTTTCCAGACTTCATTGGACGATATTTCTCAAATCGCCGTGACCTCATCTCCCTCAGCGAGCCGAGGCCGCTCAAGGGCCCTGACTGCGACAACGGACGGGTCTGAAACGAATGCGTCCGAGCCTGGGACGTATGTTCAGGGCATGAACGTCTTGGCTGCTCCGTTCTTGTACGCCGCACGGAGCGAGGTTGAGGCATTCGTGGCGTTCCACCGCCTGCTCACTAAAGAATGCCCAGGCTACATCAGAGGCGCCATGGACGGTGTGCACCGCGGACTGGCCCTCGTCGACAAGGTGCTGGCTATCGTGGATCCCAAGTTGAGCCTGTACCTCACCTCGAAGGGCCTCTCAGCAGAGATATATGCCTTCCCGTCTGTTCTCACCCTCTGTGCCTGCACGCCTCCACTGCCCGAAGTGCTACGCCTGTGGGATTTCCTATTTGCCTATGGGCCGCATCTCAACGTGCTCTGTATTGTGGCACAGCTCATCATAATGCGAAATGACCTGCTTGGTTCACCAAGGTGAGTTCGATGTCAGCCATGCTTCCGTGAGCCGCCGACCGGCTGCAGGGAAGATGAAGATGTTAACGATTATTGTCAATCAGTCCCAATAAACTCCTGCGGCCATTCCCAGCCCTGCAGGCTGACCCGATCAAGCGCACTGCTTTAGCGATCATCAAGATGATCCCCGACGACGTCTATGCCGAGATCACAACGCATGCCCTGTGAAGGGCAACACCCACGTACACAAGTACGAAACTGCCGATCAAGCAGGACGCTTACGACGTAATGAATATTAAAAGCTGCATGAGGGAATGAACATGAATTGGATTTGTACCAAAACGCAATTGCACCCGAATTGAAGCAGGAGTTGGGTCGGAGAAAGGTTACACCTAGTGTATTTGCAAATTTAACAAGGGTCTCCATGCTTTATGAAGCCGCAACTGTGGGTTGGCTTGAGGCTCTGTTTGCTTATTGCTGGATGAGAGTGCTCGACTGTACTGCGCATCATCTGGTGTGCACCTCCATTTGCATTTCCACCGCTAATGTGCTTTTGAAACAAAGTTGGAGTGTTCAATATGCGCGAACTTGACATGAGCTGAGCCAGAAAACGTACGCGAGCAAAGGCAGGCTGTCTGGTCACGAGAAGTACAAATATGACTTTGACCAGGGTTTTTTGGGCCTTTTTTTTTTCAAATAAGGGCAAGCAAGGCGTCTATATTCCTTGCTTGCCGCGCGGCAGGGGTTCACTGCAGTGAAGTGAAGAGCGCTCTACGGAGACAAGGGATGGAGGAGTTGTGGACTGCCAATAGTACCAAACCTGGTTCTCCCTGCCTAAAATCTCGGCTAGAGTGACCTTGGAGCGCAACTGTCAGAGTGCAGAGACTGCAAGGCCTCAACCTGGACTCCTCTGTGCTCGGGTAGATTTAGCAACGTTCGGGGCAGGCGCATTGGGAGTGCCCCGATGCGGAGCAAAAAGGCGGTGCCCTTTGGTGGTGAGGTGTAATTAGTTGGTACAACCAAACGGACCAACAACGCAGGCTCGGTCAAACGAAAGCTCGCCCCCGATCAACAAGCTCATTGTCGTGAACAATCTTGCTACCGGCTTATGCAATGCCCCGCTATCTTCTCAAAAATCCCAGTGCCATACGTATTCTCTACGAAGCTGGCATCCCGCATCAAGCGCGCAGTCATACTTGAGCCGGGTCCTTCTCAGCTCTGTTGTCGTCATTGACAGCTCTCTCTAATTGAAGTCCAGAGGATAAATCAAGGGGCTGGGATCTATCTCCCTCATCGGTGCGCAGTGCGTGCGCAGAACACACCAACACAAGGCCACGATATTTGCCTCGCCTCCAGCCACTCTGAGACATTGCCGCCCTACCCACGTAGCCTCAAGCGGAAAGGGAGCAGGAGTGCCCATGCCAACCCACTGCTAACCCCTTTTGATGATCCCTATTTTAGAGTGCCGTTCGTCTCATCCTCTGACGCAAGGCTATTCATCTGGGGCGTATGCCTCGTGTGTTTCTGCCGGACACCACCGCGGCTGCCCTTTGTGTGTATATGCGCTTGCACCTGCCGGCTACCGGCCTGTCTTACTGCTGACTGACAGGTGGTCCTTCAACTCTATCCAGGGCTACATGTACTAGCCACAACGACTGACCTCGAGGCCAGCAAGGGCAGAGAAATAGACCAATGTCGCAGGAATGCAGATGACTCCAGGGGCTTGGATCGCCGACTGCCTAGCAGCCCTGAACTGGATGCAGTGTCCTGCCTGTGGAGATGCAGACGCTGCGGCAGGCGCTTGCCACAGCCTCGTGATCTCGAGCGGCCCGATATCCTGCGATTGAACCCGATCAAGGGGCTTGTCGACGGCTGTGACAGGTCGAAACATTGGCAGCAAGGAGAATGTGGATAGCCAAAGGGAAAAGAGGAAGGAGTTGTCGAAAGCCCTGCATGGCCAACGCTGTCGACCGAGATTCGACTCACGCATACTAGGGGGCATCGCGGAAAAAAAGTCATTCTCAACCATTGACTGCGTGTGTTGATCTATATATCAGTCACAGACCTCGCCCTTTTTCGGCTCAATTCCTGCTCTTTCCTCACATCGTCTCGCCATCGTTCAAAGACTGTCGTTCATTTACACAACGTCGTTCTGCCAGCCGCCCCAATAACAAACACTCTTTCGCTCACTTACATCTTTACCGATAGCATCACCTTTTCACAGAACAACACTATTCTCTAACAACGTTTCTCTAACTTCATATTCCGGCACGACGAAACCGGAATCTCTATATTCCTTCACTTTTCGCGGGTGCCATTGCTCCTCCAAGATCACACTATGCAGATCGTCTCAACTCTAGTTTGGGCCGCTCTCGGCCAGTCCGTCCTTGCCAACACCAGACAATATGCGCCTCTAAATGCGCCCAGGAGAGCCGAGAATGCCAAGCGGTTGCCCCAGCAGTCAGAGGTTCTCTCATGTTCAGAGACTTATGGCCCTGGCTCGATGGCCTGCGGCAAGCCTGACCTGAGACTCTGCTTCAACCCTACGGCTGGCGAGGTACGTTTGCGCTGCTCATTGGCCGTCACCGGCCAATGGTTCGCATCTATTTTATAGATTACTGACTCTTGTGTTTTTGCAGTCTTGCTGTGGCGTCGATGGCGGATTTTGCGAGGCTGGCTTCCACTGTGCTCCTGTCCCGAGCTTCTGCTGCAAGGATGTAAGTGAAAACATTCACCTCTTTTACGGTTTCATTAATGCTAAACATCATCACCATCAAGGGCGAGGACTTGGAGACGTGTGCTAGAAACGCCGGCTTCGCGCTTCCCACTGAATACAGCGCGTGGCCCATCTCGGAGAGCGTCACCTCTTCTGCCTCGGTCTCCGCCGTCACCCTTATTGCCGACCATTCGACGCTGTCCAGCAATGGCACTGTGCACTCCTTCTCTCCCATCACTGCTGCGGCGACCACCGCCACCATAGACTGCGACGACGAGGACCTCACCACCTCCTTTAGAGAGCAGGTCCTGCCCGCGCTGACCAGCAGCACCACTTACGTGGCCCCTGCTACCACATCTCACGTGGCCGCCGCCGCCACTGACGACGAGTACACCTTCTCCTTCGAGCCCGCGCCCACAATCGCTCAGGTCCAACCCACGACAAACTACACCCTGCCCATCATCACCCCCGTCCCGCAGCCGTCCACCACCGTCAAGCCTATCGTGGCGATCGCCGGCGCCCCCTCTGGCGCCAGGCCGCCCTCGGCCGGCGGCGCAGGGTGGTCATACGTGCTGGCTGTCGGGGCCGTGATGGTCGTCATGGCATTTTGAGAGAAGGCGCTGGGCGGTGAAGTACATGAGGGATGATAAGAAGTGGGAAAGGGGGAGCAGTGATAGAATTCGGTACATTGGGAAAACTTTCTCACAATTTTTCGCCACGGAGTTTTTCGTCTCGTTCCTTAATACTCTTTCCTTTGTTTCATCGGGGTCTGAAGAAGAAAAAAGGGATTGTCACTGTAGTCGCGGCGCGCACGCCGGATATACGGCATCCATTTATGATACCGGGAACGGAGGGGGGGGGGGGGGCACGAATGATATTTTGCTTTTAACATTCTGGAGACAAAAGTCATGTAGAATCGTTAGCCATTTGTTGCGTGGGGATTCTATATATAATGAGGCTAACTTAGTGCAGAAAATACACTCATAACAAGACGAGCCTTTTTGCTTTTTCCTTAAAGGAGAAGACAGGAACTCCCGTCAAACCACCAGACAAAAGCCGAGAGAGAAACATGTGCCCATACAGGTCATGCTATGGCGAGCAGCTGAGGCGTCGCACCCTGCCTCCCCCCTCCCCCCTTAGCCCCCCGGCGGCGCGAGTAGAATTGCACAGTGATGCCACTTCCCTATGCTCTGCCGCCAACGTACGGCATTTGCTCGGTGTGGGGAGAAAGCGTGCGGGCCGAGGTGATACGACAAAGCAACAAATCAAGACAAATGTGATGCCATATATGCCCACCTTAGGTACCTACCTACCTACCCACCTAGGTAGGCAGGTAGGCCGGCCTACACTGTCTTGTCTATTCCGACCGTTTCCGCACAGGAGGAACAGTAAAAAAAAGAAAACCCTTCAGGCAATGTAGACGCCGCGTGGGAGAGTAGAACCCAGATACATGACCGCCTACACGTCTCTCAAGCGGCCAGGCGAATAATCTAGAAAGTTGAATTCGAAAATATGTATGCTTGTATGAACCATGTACTCGTGTAACGCTCCCGCTTCGCATCGCTATGTTCGGTCTGTCATCTACTAATAGTGGTTCAGAGAAGAAGAAAAGAAAACCACCAGCATGTATATACAAGAAATATTATAGACCTGTTTCGGGTCTGTCGCTCCTCTAATGTCCAAGAAAACCAAGAATCGGACACCACCTCATGCCCCTATGCAAATCATCCTCATTCCGCATCACCTCGTGACCACGTCTCGGCGTATAAGGAAAAGAATCAGTACGCCGGGCAGCCCTCTTGCGCGCGCTGGAAGGCACCAGAGAAGTGCTGCTGCATGGCGAGGAAGTGGTACACAATGCCGCCCAGCACCGCGACGTGCCACAGGTTGTGGGCATTGCCAAAGTAGTCGAACGCGCCTGGGTACCACCGCTCGGGGACCTTGCTTGCGTAGATGACGGCGCCGACGACATACACGGTCAGAGACTTCATGAGGTTCGAGTCAGAGTAGAAGTCGAGCGCCCACTGAAACCCGCGAGTGTAAATAACCTGGAAGATGGGGAGAAAGCCCGTGGCGCCGAGACCGATAAAGAAGGCGACGCGGACCCAGGCCATGTTCTGCTCGTTGAAGCGTGGGTTCCAAGGGAGGATGACGCCAATGATGCCGAGCACCATGGTCGCCGTGATGTACGACCAGCGGCTGACGGGTTCGCAGTAGAAGACGGTGTACTCGGTCGTCATGATGGACGCGGCGATGAGGAGGGAGATGCCGGTGTAGTCGACGCACGCAAAGCACTCCATCAGCCCCTGATCCGCGTGACAGTTCATTGTGTGCCAGACAGTGCTGCAGATCAGGCACTTGCAAGCGGCGAAGAGGAAGACACCCGCGATGAACATGTCGGTCTTTGTGTAGAGCGCAAAGTTGGCAGAGGATGGATAGAAGTAAAAGGCAATGGCGAGAACGACGACCAGGCCCAGGGCGTGCGTCCAGATATTGACCGTCTCATTGGACACGCCAAACATGGACCGCACGCAGTCCAGCGATGTTTCGCGGAACCGGTAGCCGCTGTGGATGTGCGGGTTGACGCGCCAAGGAGTAGGGAGCTCGTTGTATGTCAGGTGGCCCTTCTCGCGGGCTCGGGCGATGGCCTTTTGCACCGTGTCTTCGAGCGATTCCTTGGCATGCCGCGCTTGCTCAAATCCTTCATTCACCACACCGCGAGCACGCTCAAGACCCTTGTCCATGACCCTTCGACCTTCGTCCATGAAGCTCTCCGCGGCGTCGGCGGCATTAGCAATGCTCTGGTCCCGCATTTTGACTGCCCGGTTCTCGAAGTCGTCCAGCATGTTGTCGAGCAGTTCGATGCCCACGCGGGCTTTCTCGTTCATGGACTCGGCTGCCGCCAGGGCATCGTGGTATCGTGCGTCGAGGGTCTCGACCATGACCTGAAGTCTTCGGCGTCCGGCACCAATCATCTCGCCAGAGACGAGGGAGCACCTTTCCCGCACAGCCTGCAGTGTCGCAAATGTCCTGGCTATGCTGGCATCAAAGCTATAATCGCTGAGGTTTTCAAAATGCTCGAGGCGACGCTCGAGCTCTGTGAGAAATTGGTCCATCTAAGCGGTCGCAGCAAAGTCAGTAAGTCTGGGTCTGCGGTAACAGCGCCACCGTCTGTGGGGTGGGCTCACCTTGAGCAAGAGAGCCTCCTCTCCGTCCATGAAATGGTTGACAATGGACTTCCTCCGGCCAGAGGTTAGTTGTGAGCCCGGCCTGCGTTGCCGAGGCTGAGCATCCTGGGTGTCGTTTCCGGAGGCGGAGGCTGCCACCGGAGAGAGCAGTTTGCTGCCATCCTGTTCTTGCTGCTGTTCTGAGCAGCCTTTCCGTGTGTAAGACGAGGCATAAGACATGTTTGCGGAGGTGAGGTCCATGGTTGAAGGAGGCACCCCGCGGCGGGCGGCGCAGGGTCAAATATGAGGGTTGGCGGTCTTGGAAGTGACAGGGCGTGTGGGATTTGCAGTCGACAAGAGAGGGCAGCCGGTTGGGTGGCTACTTGAAAGGAGGTGAGGAAAGACCTGGGGGAGGCAGGGGCCGGGGGGCTGTCGAGCCGAGCGTGGAGATCGTGGTAATTATTCGCTTGCAGTGCTGGCCGGGGTCCTGATGCGTCTAGTGTATGATGGTCTGCGCTGGGAAGCGTCGCGGGGGAGAGCCCGAGGGATACTGGAATTGGATTGCCTGGCGCTGTCAAAACAGAGTCTAAGGAGCGAAAGGGAGGGGGCAGGGAGGCAGATGTAAGTTGTTTGGAGAGAGAGAGAGAGCATTAATGCGGGCGTGGAAAACAAAATGAAGATGTGAGCAGAGCAGAGGAGGCCAGGCCAGGCGCAGCGGCACGGGCTGGGCGAGGATGTGGCGATTGGTTGTTGAGGCGTGGCTCCGCCGATGGTCGGGGCCCCTGATTGGGCGGGCTGTCGAGGATGGGGCATGTACACTTCTGTACGGGGACGGAGCAGGGGCGAAAACACCTTGCCGGCCGCCCGATTTGGGGCTGGGCTGGGCAGGGTCCAGCGCAGAGGTATGCAAATGGCATCAATCGACGGCAATCATGTTCCCTGCCGTGGTCTCCGGCCAAGGCCTCCGCCGTGTGTGCTGCACCGGGCCGGACTGATACGACACAGGAGCCGCCCTGTCTGTGTCTCTGCCTTTGTCTCTCGTCTTGTCTTGTCCAGGTCTCAATGCGCTGCCCGTGGCCACCACGCCCTCCCTCATCCCTGGCGACAAGTTGGCTGGCCGTCTGCGGTGGGTGGCATGCGCTAGAATGTTGTCGGCTGTCCTATCAAGCCGCCCACGCCCCGCTGTGCTGGGACGTGTCCAGGGCCGCCAGGCATGAGCATCTCATGGAGTCATCATGATCGCTATGTTTCTGTCGCCCGTGGTGGTCTAGCTCGTGCTTTGCGAGCTGTGTTTACCCATGTTTAGCACGTCGAGATGACCATCACTTAATAGCCGTCCCAACAATAGTGGGCTCGTCCTCTTTCGGACGCTGCCGTGGGGATCCTTGCCGAGGCCGGCCATCCACGCCCGAACAGCCAGAGTACAACACGCTCTTGCAAGTGCAGGTTACCTACAATGGCGACGTTACAGAGACGTCGTGCGTGCGTATTTTAGGAACCACGCCGTGTATCAAACTGCCAATGAGAGGTACTGTTCCTTAAGGTTGTGCTGCATACAGTACAAGGCGGTGCAGAATTGTCAGACGCCGTCACCGTCCCCACCCCGGCGGCCCATTTGGTCGACGCCGGCCGGCCCAGAGCGGCGTTTTCACATGCTTGGATGCGTCCCGCCGGGCACCGATAAGGCCGTTCTTTATCACTCTGCATTCCGGAGCTCATCAGCATTGCCACCCGCCATGTGATCGCTGCAGCGTCCCGAGATCTGCTTCGAACCATGTCGTCTGGCGGCAGGACTTGACTGTGGTCTCAGCCTCTTGGTCGTCTCACATGCACAGGCTTGCCCTTCTGGCAGGTAGAGTGCTCTCTAGAAGCTGACGACCAATTGGTTAAGAACAAATCTGCTTCCACTTGAAGGGCAAGCAGTGGAACAGGCAGGCAGCGAGCTTGCCATTGGTATACGCTACGGTAGCATAGCCCTCGAACTGTGCTTGTCAGCGCTCACAAGCATTGAAGCCACTGCGCATGCGAGCCCACTCTTGCCAGCCAATCTGGCATGACGCCGTGTGTCTATTATTGGTCGACGCCCATGCCACAAAGTCACCGCAAGCAATAATTGTTGTCGTGACCTCGGACTCGTCCTCCAGTCCGAGTCGCCTAACTGATATGTGATCCTAATTGGCAGAAGCGCACCTCGATGCTTGATGGCGTTGGTGGAGCTCGAGCCCCACTCCCGTCTGTAACCCTTGCCAACCACGCCGTGGCAGGCACGGACAAGGACTGCAACTGCAAGCTGCATCTCTGCAAATGCCAATGCGCGTCTGCAACCACCACATTGCGACTCGAGCAATCTCACAAGCCACACTGCCATTCGGGTTTTGACAACGTCCGGTCTCGAAACGCCTCAACCCCTAGCATCGCGAAACCACCACTTACCTTTCCGCAAAACCCACTGCGCCAACCGGAACTCAATCAGCCATGGCGATCGACGATATTGTCACTGACCCCAACCTCTCAGCCGTCCTTGCTGCCTCGCGCGAGACGCGCCTTCAAGCTCTCGCCCTTGTCGACCACCTCGCTGCCGTCGGTTCCCTCGATTCCGCATCCAAGGACGTCCAGTCCGAGGCTTCAAAGCGTCAGAAGCTCCTCATCACAAACCTCGCCCAGCTCCGCGGCCTCCATCGCGCCGCCCAGTTCGGCGCCCGTCAGACCAAGACACAAACGTCCGAGGCTCGCCATGAGGTCGACACGTTGCACCTCCAACTCCAAAATCTCTACTACGAGCAGCGCCACCTCCAGGGCGAGATTGCCGCCTGCGAGTCTTACGAGTATGTCACCCCAATGCGCGCGCGGTTGTCGTGTCACAAACACTCCGATCTGCTCCCGTGTTTGCTAATCTCGAATTGTGTATCACACACAGCCACACCTACCAGCAGCTCCCCCTGATACCCGTCGAGGAGTTCCTCGCGCTGCAGCCTGAGCATGCGGACGATGACGAAAACACCCTCATGGTGGCCCGCATCGAGCACGAACGTGCGGACCGCGAAGCTCTCGAGCAGCAGCGCATGGAACTGCTCAAGCGCAAGCAGAAGCTCATTGCCGACAACAAGAAGCGGAAGGACGACCTGGCGAATCTAGACAAGGAGCTCGAGAAGTTCATCGATGTGAGTTTTTCCTGGAGGGCGCGCTCGCGACTTGGCTTACCCATCGGTCGTCTTGGTATGACGTGGATTTGTTGAGATTGCTCATGCTGACAATGATGGGAACACTGCAGGCCGCAAAACCGATTCAAAGCCTCTTTGACAAGAACGTCGCACCGAGCGTGTGAGAGTTAGCGTCAGAGTGGAAAGACTCCGTCAAGGGAAAACGGCTTCTCACGAGTTCCAAGATAAGGAACTGACGCGCCACATGGCGACGAGCAGAACGCTCGTATCGTTCCGGATGCCACTGTGGAACTCGCTATTGTGCCGCTGGGATTCGACACGCGTCTTGGAGACCGGGTTGCGTTACTGAAGCAATAATCCAACCTGGCATATCGCCAATCTGCCGTCCAGCAATAATGACAACTTGCACACCTCCTCCCTCCCTTCCGAAAAGAAAGGCTTGCTAGGCAGATCTCGGCCATAGTGCCGATATCATTTCGCCACAGAAGCGCAGAGCTGTCCTCACCACGCACAATGCAAGGCATGAGTCGTTGTTGGGCTAGCCGTAGGCTTGGCTTTGGACGGCTGGGATCACCACATTATAGTGGGCTGTCTGATCGTTTCCGGTTCTAGCGCGCAGCCGCGATGCAGACGTGGAAGAGACATATCATCGAGCACGACGGTAGGGGGACTGGGCTCCTGGCTATGAACTGTCCAAGCTCGAGCTGTCAGCGGTGGAGTGTGCAGTTTTTGGCAATATCCATGGAGCAACATGTAGTCCGGTCAAGACAAGAGCTTGGACATGGGGCATGACGTAGGATTTGGCTCAGTCAATGGCAGACTGATATGTGGGTTTCCCCGATGGCTCTGGATGTGTAGCCGACGAGCACAACTAAAGACACATTAAACATGATCCTGTAGAGGATTCTGGGGAGGGTGCTAGGAATGGTCGCCCGCGTCTCCTTGGCAGCAGGACTGAGTCTTGAGTTTTGGGACACGGTTGGAATATAGTACGAATCCATACCAATCATTCTGGAAAGCCTGTGAACTTGCGACCTCCATCCAACGAAACAGGATACAGCTGGCCAGGTGCAACCCAACGCTGCTGCATCGTGTGTTTTTGACGAGGGTAGTCACGGGTTAATTACCACGTATACAGCATTGCTAGACACGGCAGTGCTCGTCTTGATTGTAGTGTCTGCACGCGTTGCAAAGCGTGTGAGCATGTTCACGGTCACCGCCCCCAAGTTCCGGGTTCATATATATATATATATATATAACACAAGGCAGTCCAAGTCGTGAATCTTTTAGTCCAGGCTTGTGCTGCTGCTGTCAACACGTGCATTCTCCATTTGTTTGTGCTCGAGAGAAATGGCGCCTTGGCTGTATCTCTGTTCTTTTCATCCTTGTCTTTGTTGGGTTGGATTTCACCTGGGATAGTGAAGGTGAAATGAAAATAGACAGGGGAAAGGCGAGGATTTGAGGATGCTCATGGTAACATACTATCCCTGTAGTATGAAGACTTCGTTGTCTATATTGTATTTCCATTTCGATATTTTGCGGTTGTCTCTTAAGTGCATTATTTTCTACTTGTGTCACGTTTCTCAACAAGATACGAGGGAGAGATAGATAGATAGATAGATAGACAGACAGAGAGAGAGTTCAATGGCGGGTGATAAGGCAGTGAAGCCCGTGAGTGTATACATACCAAGTCATTTGGGGCGCCTATTGCTCTTGTCACGGGGATTGAGCTTCCCCACGACAACGGCTGTTCGAAGGCAGAAGCTTCCAAAACCCTTCCCTGCCGTGTTCTACAGGATTACTCAGAGGGAGGATATTGCAGTACAGAATGACACAACTCGGATTAAAAAAATCCCTGAGCGCTGGCTGGCTCCTCTTGCTTGCTGCTATCGGGATTACACAGACTTTTTTTTATTTCCCTTCAACGAAGAAGACGCAGCAAGGATTCCCAGTAGCGCCATGCAGGTGGATGTACACAACAAGCCGCAGAAGCTGGTTGCTCTACTATGGTATATCACTCACTCGCTTTTGTCCACTTCTCGCAGGATACGTACCGTGCCGGCTTGGTCAGAAAGGGCTGCATGCCAGCTCGTTTCCGGATCGGGCGGCGCGTGCTTTTCTTGTGCGAGGGGGGGAAAAGCAGGGTTGCCCAAGCAGTATAATAAGGCTGCTTGCAGGAAAACCGCGCAAGTACAAGCGAGAAGAGAGTAGCGGCCCATATGCCGAGTACAGCACGTGCGTGCCAAAGTCAAAATCTGGCAACTTCAAAGTGGCTGAGACCATGTACACACCGCTTCGGTTCGTGGTTGTGATCCGCCCTTGTCGCAGTCGAGGCCGACTTACTGCGATAAGGGAGCTGCTTTGCAACCCGCAGATGGTCGCCTGACTTACACAAGTGGGCTACCGATGCGGAGAGTGGCAGCCAACAGCTCCAAACTCTTTGTACGCTCTGCTCGAATCATCTTGCCGACTTATCATTGCAGCTGAGACCCGAAAGATAAAAAGAAGAGCCATGTGACCCCAGACATGACATGATAACGCCCACGCCTCACGCCATTGGTTGTGTGGCTGCTGCACAGCTACCCCAAACTCCGGATCTTCCGGGGCCGTCGCTGCCGCCATTTCAATGGGCTTGTTCGGGCCCATCGCGCATATTGGATCAACTGCCGGAGGAACAAGCAATGCTGACTCGCCGGGCATGGCAAGGCCAGTTCCGGGAGCACCGAGGTTTTCTGGCTTCCGTGATTTGTGGTCGCTGACTCCGTCCAGCCCTGCTCTGATACAATGAAGGATCCAAACGTCCCCGGCTTGACCTGTCGGGCGCCTTAGGAACCCGCTCGGCCAAGAGTCTCGCTCCCGTAAGCAAGGCAGCAGGTGACTTTGCAGTTTTGCCCTCCTCTTCTGGACCGCTTGTGCCAATTGCACTGTCTGCTGTGTCCCGCACGCAATGCGCATTCAAGAGGACCGACCCTCTTTGTCTGGCAGCGCAGGGTCTGCCCCCTTCCCGCATGTCCGCAGAGACGGTAGCGGAAGGACCCCTGGCCCCCGATGGATGACAGAGGCGGAAGGACCCTTAAGTGGATCGGTAAGCACGAATATAGCATTCTGAGGACGTGATCGGCTCGTCATGCCAATTACAGGCCTCGGCACCACCATAGGGATCTCTACCCAGCGCAGCACGAAGATAGAAATCTGATGCCTCGCTCGCCAGGCAGGTGGTGGAGACATGTAGGTTCGTCTGATTCATGGGTGACTGTGTTGGGTCACTCTTGTGGTACCCCGAGAGGTGATGGAGATTTTCGCGTTTCAGTTGCTAAACTTCCTTGTTTCCCCACAAGCGTGGACGATGAGGTGCCTCGAGTCGATGGATGGTTGCCGGTGCCGGTGGGGGAATGAAACCAACGACTGCAACCCAACACCATTTCGACATTGGAATCGAGTGTTGACGACATCAGACTCGACTCGGGGGGCGCGATGGCCCTGTTGCAGAAAAAAAAAACACCACACCGAAAAACAGATGCTGGGATCCACTTCGGCCCGACTCGAGCGACTCCTCAAAGACATTGTGGGTTGGCAAATCCGATACTGGAGGCAATGCAATGTCCATGATTGACATGAGTCCGTCGCTCTTGACGAAATGCCGATACGTCCGTGGTGCCTCGTTCCGCGAAATGAACGTGGCGGGTCCTTGTGCATGAACAGAGATGTGGGAACGGCAACTGTGGAACACCACAAAGCAACGAGCCGCTTTGCCAAAGCACGGTCACTGGCTCGACCACCCGAGGACAAATCACAGCCCTCGCTTCGATGCTTCGAGGCCCAGGCTGACGTTCTCCAGAGCGCCTCACTTGTCCAACAAGACGAGCAACTAGCCCACAATGATAACGTGCTCAGCTGGACACTCCGTGGAACAATCTGTGCTGAAACCTTCCCGCATGGGTCGCATGCCGCTTGCTTGCAAGGGCCAACAGGTCCGGAAGGCTCGGACACGCGAACCAGCGCGACGGCATTGCGGGCAGAATGAACAGCCCGCTCAAGCTACTGCGTAATGCTGGCCCAGCCAGCCCAGGGTGGCAGAGGCTACGGGGTCAAGGGAACCCGAGCCCGAGTCGCCGGCCGCCTCCGCCTCCGTTGCATATCCCGAGTGGCCGACTGGGACAGAGCGGCCAATCATATGGCCGTCTGCTGCCCGAGGAAATTAGCAGTGCCCAGCGCATCCTGCGGGGCCAACGTTGTGGCTCTGTCTTGCTTCCTGCGTGCAGAACCCGGCGTCCTGGTCAGTCCCATGTTTCAACACGCCAAGTGAATATGACACTTTCAGAATACTCGACGACACCCTTCCAGAGAGGCCTCCCGTGTCAGGCTCTCTTCTTGTGGTGGGAACCGTCTCATCGCAGTCGGCAATGTCTTGATGCTGTGTGGGCCCCTGGTGAGATGCCATGTATTTCTGTGAATATGCAGCTCAGAGGCTTGGGTCATCCTTGCACACGGCCTCTTGTAGCTGATGGAAGCGGCAATGCTACTGTATCGATCCCCACAGTGCGCTGCTTGTCCATAGGCAAGTCCGCGGCGGTAATGGAGAGCCCGTCAGAACCGCATACCCTCGAGACTTGGGTTGGGCTGCCGTGATGGCCGAAGAGCATCCACGATAATACCCATGCTGGAGCATCGGCCTGCTCACATCAGCAGCAACCCTTGCATTGCTCTTCGGCAAACCATCAAGACTCTATGCTGCAGTCTCCAAATTCTGCAATCGAGGACGAGTGTGGCGGAGGCTCACCTCCAATGCTGTAACAAAAGTTCCACCATGCTAAGCTGCGGCCTGTTGAATGGAGATTGACCGCCTATTCAGACTTGAAAAGCCCTCGTGACACTGGCAACTACAGTGAAGAAGGCAAGCGGTATGATGCCATGGCCGTTGGGACTGAGCGTAGAGGAGCTATTTGCATCAAGCGTCCGCAGATGCTCGACTACAGGAAGCGCTAGACGGGATGTGGCTGCGCGCTTGCTGGGTTGCAACGGACAAGGTGCCTTGGCATGCGAGGCCCCTGGTGGACTAACAAGCAGGTCTCCTTCTTGTGCGGCTCCTGCATGCGTGCTGATGTCAGTCTGGAGGGGATGCATCTCGTAGCCTGCTACGCTAGCAACAGAGCTTGCATGGCCCAAGCCACCAGCTTCTTGCCGCATAAGTGTCGACAGCCGCTAACGTGTGTCCCACGGCCCAACCACCGCCGGTCTGTGCACAATGCTGTTCATCATGGTCAGAATTACATTGCTTCGGCTGTTATACTGCAACAAAGCGAATGAGCAGGAGCTCTCTCAGACAATCCGTCGCCTGCGCTGCTGATCTGGAGGCGCCTTCTAATAGTACTTGCTGTCAACCTGACCAAGGCCCCTTGCGCCAGTGGCACTTCTGGTGGAGATGATATGCGGCCAGTACATCATCAAGCCAAGATCGAAGAGACAGGGACTATTCGAATCTCGATGCTGCTCCTCTATCCCCGTTTCTTGATCGTGAGGCTCAAGTTCCTTAGTCTTGGGGGTTGTAGTTGGACAGGTCTATTAGCAAGAACTCCTTCATGAATGACGTCTGCTTTCGTTGAATATCGTTGAAGAGTTCCAGCAGGCAGTCCCGAGTCTCTGAACATGGAAGGAAGGCCAAGTCTGGCGGACCAGTGGGCGTCTCGAAGACATGTGCGAGAATGTGTGAGCGTGTTTGGATGATGCAGTCAGCATGAGGGGGCTGCTCTGGTTGTCGTTGTGGCGGAGTGCTTGGACTGTTCCAAGGCTGCACCGAGTCACTCTGCACACATCAGCCCTCCACAGCCCACCCGAGCGAGATCTGGGGAGGCTTGCGGAGAAGGCTGATTATGGCGTGAACCAGGCTAATTGGAGGTGGCTCGGATTGCGGCTCACGGCACACATTTGGCTCGAGGTTGACTCGGAACAATCAGCACAGGTGACGGGCTGCAGTCCGAGGTCGTACGAATGCGAACACCGCTGTGTGTGTGTGTGTGTGTGTGTCGCACGGATAGGATGGATGGCGAGGCAGGAATAAGTGCATGCAAGTCCGATGCAACCCCTAGGCCGTTGGGAAAAACGTGGTGGTGCACCGTTCCATCGTCGGTTGTGGCTTCCACAAACCGCGCATCCAGGGTCCCCGAGGCACCAAATCTCATGACCAGCACTCGAGCTTCTTATCACAAGTCGTGGGATTGTCAAGGAGCGACGCTGGAATCGTCTGAAGCATCCACTTGGGAGGGGAGAGTCAGCAGTAGCTGCAAAGCTAACTCCGCAGTACTTGTACAAGCCCTGACCCAAGCGATCCTCCTGCATTGGCAGCTACTAATTATGGCTGTGAGCCAGCGTCAACTGCTTCCGACGAAAACACCCCATTCGAGCTATGACGTGTACCATGTCCTCGTCCCCAGGGCCCCGCGAAAGCAGGCCGTGCTCTCTATGCGCGAGAGATTTGACAATGAGCACCGGCGGAACCCTCAGAAGCCCGAAACTTGGGAATGGAAATAGGGAATAGGCCATGGTGTTATTTCATCGGGCGCGAGTCACTGGGATTCCAAGAAATGAAGCGAGCGACGCACGAGGGTTGGGCCATCGGCAGCAGATTCCCATGTACGGTGCCAATACCAATAATAATAATAGAGGATCGGGCTGCCGATCGCATCCACTGCTGCCCCAGAACAGTCAGGCACTGACAGTAAGCAGGGCGGGCAGGCTCAGGAACCGTAGTTAAGGTTCAGAGTATGACGCGGAGTAGAGCCTTGCCCTCGACGACAGGTTCCGAGCAGAGCTCGGTGATGATGCACAGGACCAGGAAACCCGCCCAAGTGTGGGCTGGGCGGGCAAGGCAAGACAAGCTGGAGGCTTGCAGCAACAACCGGTTGACTTGATCCATTGTCAAGCTGCGGCTGGGCGAATCGAGCAGGGGACGTTTGCTGGCACGCGGTTTGGGGCACGCCAAAGTGCTGCCTGGCCAGGCATGCACTAATTAGCCCACACCCGGACGACGGTTTCTTGAACCCTGTCGCGGACTGAGTTGATCACCCGAAGATGGCTCCCGCCTCGCCGGCTGTGCATCGCAGGCTGCGCTGGGCCACAAGAGGAACAGATTTCTACGGGGCAAGAAAGTGCAAGAGTGCCAGTCGAACCTGGGTGCACTGCCGTTTTCTCTCCCCTCCACTCGCGACAACAGCGACAAGGCCCCCCTAGGGGCCGCCTGGGCAACCCCCCCTTGACGGCCATGGCGCTAGCAGCGTTCGTGGAGCCTCGCTCATTTCCCGCGGCTCACCTCTTAATTTGGGCGGGCCCTCCTTAGCAATATCGCGCGCCCTCGTCGTCGCCCGGCCGTCCGCCCATCCCGCCCGCGCTGCTTCTCTGCTCTCCACTCCGGTTCCATCCATCCATGCCAGCCCCCAGCTCACTCCGTCTGTTTCTCAGCCCGCCTGCCCTCCCTTCATCTCTTCCCATCTTATCCCACTAATCATTCCCCTCTGCCCTCTCCGTTGCAGTGAGCTGCTCAAAGGCTGTCGTCGTCGCCGTCGTCGTTTGCCCTGCGTCTTGCTGCCGTGGTAGTCCCGTGGCCGTCGTGTGTCTGGTTCAGGATCCCATTCTCGTCAAAGAGACGGCTGCCTCCCGCCCAATCAAGGCCTGCACACCCAGCCGTCATCATCATTTTCCGACCAGAGGCCCTGTCGCTCTCACCCACTCCCCCTAGCCCCAGTCCAATTTCCTCCTGAGCTCCCTTTCCTTCCGCCAAACCATCGGGTCTCAGTTGCAGTTTGTCCCTCTTCTAAGACATTTGGGGTTCTCTCTCCTCCTCGACACGACAGAAACCGCGTCTACGTGTCGACACCGCCAACAGTCCTCCTGTGCGCACTGTTGCTGGTCTGCCTCTGCTCGTCACTCTCAGCAGCCGTCATCCACAGTCTGCCGGAACCACTGTCTCGACCACGCTCAACTGCGCGATAGCTGCATCTTTGCCACGATGTCGCTCTTTGCCTGGGCCTCGCGGCGTGCTGGTGGCATCGCCATGCTTGCCACCATCTTTCTCAGCTACTGGGTTGTGTCTCGAGAGGCGCGGTCTGCCGGGTTTACGCTGCCCTCAATCTACTTGTTCAGCTCGCAGTCGCCCAGAGCTTCCACGCCGTCGACCATGCCGACCAACACGGACGGTGCCGGCATCTGGACTGTAGTCTTCGCCTACTACGCCCTCTTTATCCATATCATGGTCTTCGCCTTCCCTCTTCGCTCGTGCTATGCCGTTATCGAGCTCACCAAGAGCGTCGGAAGGGTCGCACGCAGCAAATCGCTCAAGGACTTCAAGCTCTCTCATGGCCGCCGTGGCTCCTCGACTTCACTCTCCAGCTCCGAGACCCTGACTTCGTCTCGCGACATTGCCTCGCCCTCCGCTTCGAGCAGCGACGCCGGCGACTACGAGAACGAGTTCCTGACAGACGCTGACGCTGAGCGTGTTGTGCACGCCATCATCATCCCCAACTACAAGGAGGAGGTTGACACGCTCCGTGAGACTCTTGACGTCCTTGCATCGCACCCCCAAGCCCGCGACTGCTACGATGTAAGTCCTTGGGAGCTGGATCGAGCCGTGTTTTCAACCTTGCAATCGCTAACTCTCGCTATAGGTCTATCTTGGTATGGAACAGCGCGAGCACAATGTCGAGCTCAAGGCGATGAACCTCATTCAAGAGTTCGTCAAGAAGTTCCGGTCTATCGAATACACGCTGCATCCTTCCGACATCCCCGGCGAGTCACCTGGCAAGGGAAGCAACATCGCTTGGGCTGGCCGTAAGCTCAGCGAGCGCTACTCCATGACTGCCCGCAAGGACGTCATTGTCACCGGAATCGACGCCGACAGCCACCTGTCGTCAAACTACTTTGCCCTGCTGACCAATATGCACATTTCCAACCCCGAGACCGCACTGACCACGCTCTACTCCGCTCCCATCATCTTCGACCGCAATGCGCACGCTGTTCCCGCCATTGTCCGTGTTGGTGATATCCTCTGGGCCGCTGCTGGTATGTCTGGCCTGTACGGCGCTTCGACCATTGCTCCGCCCACCTCGGTCTACTCGCTTCCTCTTGAGCTCATTGATCGTGTTGGTGGCTGGGACTGTGATTCTGAGGCAATTGGCGAGGATCTGCACATGTACCTCAAGTGCTTCTTTGCGCTCAACGGCAACTTGACCGTCAAGACTGTTCTCAGCCCCGTCAGCCAGAGCAACGTCAAGGGTGACGGTGGCGAGGGTCTCCGTGGAATCTACAACGACATCATGGCCCGATACAAGCAGGCTCTGCGACACATGTGGGGCGCACTCGATACTGGCTTCTTCCTCCGCAAGGCTGTTGAGCTTTGGCAAGAACGCAAGCACACTGCCCGGGCTTTCCGACCTCTCCACGTTGCTCTGAACAACCCCACAGACTCTGTCATTACTCAGACACAGCTTGACAGCATCAACCCTGAGCAGACCCACGAGAGCGGCATTTATTCGGATGTTACCACGGATACCCTTAAGGACCCCAACTATGAGCGCCTGATCTACTTGGCCCACCGCATGTTCGAAGCTCACTTCCTCCCCCTCCAGATGACCATCCTCGTTGTTGCCACGACACTGTACGTCATCGTCACGGAGGGCGGCGCCGACTCCCACCACCTTGCCTGGATCTTCTCCTGGTGCAACTTGCTGCGGGGCGCCGGTTTCATCGAGGTTGCCTGCTACCTTGTCCTCTACGAGCGCTTCCACCGCGTCTGTGCGACTGCGAGAGAGAGGGAGATGCAAGAGGCTGGTCTTGCTAAGGGCATGTGCTTTTCGCACCGCAGCCTCAAGAAGAACTTGGTCGACTATGTCATGGTTCCGCTTGTCGCCCCCCTCTACGGTGCCATTCCCTGCGCTCAGGCCCAGCTGCAACATTTCTGGACCCTCGACCTGGTCTATACGGTCAGCAAGAAGGTCACTCGGCAAAGAGCCAAGTCCCTGTCGGCAGAAGCAATGGCGTAACCATGTTGACCACTTTTTAATACTCACATAATACATTCGGGGTCCTCAAACCAAGCGGCTTCTTGGAGGGCTACCGACTTCTCGTTTCTTCAATTCTCACCAGCCTCGGGCTTTGTCGGCTTTGCCGACAGTCATTTTTAACGACCTTGTTTCTACGCAGTGCGCCATCTCGAGACGCGCTGTGTATATAGAGCACATGACCCTAGTACGCATGGCATGGCATGGCATCTGGTTATCTTTTGGCATTCTAGATTCCTTTGGGGATGAGCAACATTTTGGGCTCACGGAGTTCTCGGAGCAAAGGTGCAGGGGCAAAAACAAATTGGGTTTTTGACAACCTGCCGGCATTCGTTTATACGGCAATGAGAAAGAGGTGGCAGTTGGTATATGCATCTCAAACAGCAACAGCAGACAGCAGCAAGATGGAGCGCGCAGGTCCAGTCGAAGACAGAGGACCACATTGGGATGACGAGACTCTGTAAAGTAGATTCGGCATCGAGGGCCTGAGTGTCTCTGGACGATGCAGAGGGAAGGGGTTATCCTAGTGCTGATCAGCAAGTAGGATTAGCCCGGTAATATCTAATACTGTGTACATAATCCGTAGAGCCGTACCTCCTCGAGCTCTCCAACAATTCAAAGCGGATAAACGGCAAGCGCAATTCTATCCCGATGGTGAAGGTAGTCGCCTGTAGACCTAATGATGTATGGTATGGGTATGAATGGGCACTTGTGCGGAGGAGAAGACCTGGCCAGTTCGTGGTACCTCGTGTAGACGCCTGATACCTGCCATGTAGACTGATGGTGCTCACTGTTGCGCTCAGCATGCGCGCTGCTGCTAAACTTGAAGCCCTTGGTTTCTTCGTGATGATTATGGCAAGACGACAGCTGATTGGAGCGCACACTCAGTGTTGCACGGCATCCTGCACGCTTGAGCGAAGGCGGTCAAAGTCAAATGTTGTTTCGGGGGCGGTCTGCGCGAATCTGGCTGACCAGGCGCCTTGCGCCCCGGAGCGGAATCCACTCCTGAGCGGCGACGGCGCCTTATCGCAGTGGGGCGCTGTGTCTGATAGTGGGAAGAAATTTTGGGGGAGCAACCAAGGGCGCTCTCTGTTTTTTTTCTGCCGGCAAGCCAGGCTGAGGCAAGGTTGACCCGAGGACCAGGCAGAAAAAAAAGTCGAGAGCGAACAGCAGAGAACCATCTCGCCGCAAGCATTCCCCTCGACACCGCCCTACGTGCTCTTCCTTCACGAGTCGCGTCTGCTTCCCATCTCAGCCTGCCACCCCCCCGTATCATCAATCATATTCCATCGTGCGCTCTCTATCTTCTCTCTTTTGCCAATCAATCACTCTCTCATCAACGCGAGTGATTGCATCTACCCATCACTTACAAGCGCCTTCCACGTCTCGCAACTCCATTCACAATGTCGACCTTTCCTATCGCCCTGTACGGGCTTGAGGTTCCCCCGGGAGGCATCATGATCCCTGCCATGCAGGAGGATAGCTTTCCCGATGCTTCTGTGAGTTTATCCAGCCTGCACTGCCTTGCGCATCGCAGCTTCCAGTCGAGCGTCTCGGCACAATCGCAGCCCAACATGGGACCCGACTGACCCGTCCGTTCCCCCCAAACAGTACCGCATCACCATGGCCGCGCTCGACCCCACCGAGGCGCCCGAGGCCGACGAGGATGGCAACATTCCCAATGTCCCCCGTGCCACCCTCAAGCTTATCCGCCAGAGATACTCGGACCTCGACGAGGAGCTTGATGACGAGTACCTGCAGGCTATGATGGGCGGCGACGATGACTCTGACTCTGATGAGGATGACGAGGACGACGAGCCCAACGGAGGCCCCAGCGACCCTGCCAAGTCCAAGAAGGCCAAGCAGGCTGCTGCTCTCCGCAAGCTGATCGAGGCTGCTCAGGCCGAGGAGGAGTCCGACGAGGAGATGGCCGACGGCGAGAAGCCCAACGGCACTGGCAAGGTCAGCAAGAAGGGCAAGGAGCCCGCTACCTCGAGCGATGAGGATGAGGAGGACGATGAGGAGGACGGACTCGACATGGAAGAGCTTGTCCTTTGCACTCTCGACACTGAGCGCGTAAGTATATCATTGGACCCTGCCTATTTAAATACGTCGTGAAGGCCCATGCTAACAGGGTGTCGTTATCCGCCAACAGAACTACCAGCAGCCTCTTGACATTACAATTGGCCCCAACGAGAAGGTCTTCTTCGTCGTCAAGGGCACACACACCATCCACCTCACCGGTAACTACATCATCGACACTGGCGATGAGGAGGACTCTGAGGATGAGGACGAGGATGACTACGACATCGAGGGTCTTGAGGGTTACGACTCCGAAGAGGAGTCTGACGTCGATGAGCTCGACGACCTTGCTGACCCTCGCGTGACCGAGGTCGAGTCCGAAGACGAGGCTCCTGCGCTCGTCGCCTCCAAGAAGGGCAAGAACAAGCGCGCCGCTGAGGAGTCCGCCGAGGCACTTGATGATCTCATTGCCAAGGCCGGTGCCGAGGAGGACAAGGCCAGCAAGAAGCAGCAGAAGAAGCTTAAGAACAACAAGGGCGAGGCTGTTGCTGCCAAGGAGGAGAAGGCCGACGCCACCAAGGGCGACAAGAAGGTTCAATTTGCCAAGAACCTCGAGCAGGGTCCTACCGGCCCCGCCGCCGCCAATCTCGGTGTCAAGGTTGTCAACGGTGTCACCATCGATGACCGCAAGGCCGGCAGCGGCCGTGTCGTCAAGAAGGGCAACACTGTCGAGGTTCGCTACATCGGCAAGCTCAAGGACGGCAAGGTCTTTGACTGTAAGTGATGACTCCAAAACTCTTGATGTGCAACTTGGCATAGCTAACTCCTCGTCAACAGCCAACAAGAAGGGCAAGCCTTTCAGCTTCAAGGCCGGCACTGGCCAGGTCATCAAGGGCTGGGATATTGGTGTTACCGGCATGGCTGTCGGTGGCGAGCGTCGCCTGACCATCCCCGCCCACCTCGCCTACGGCAGCCAGAAGCTGCCTGGCATTCCCGCCAACAGCGAGCTGATCTTCGACGTCAAGCTCCTCGCTATCAAATAAGTGGCCTGCGTCTGATATACCACAGTAACCAAAACGGTCTCCGCGATGGTCTCCGTAGTGCAGATGTCCTTTGCCAACCCGGGAAATCTACACCATCCTCAACACATGTCGGCATGTATCATAAGGTCCAACCAAGTTTACCCACTTTGCTGGACTTTGTATCGATGGGCTGCCCCTCCATGGGTGCGTTCTGCGCAGAGATCTCAGATCTTGGGCGCACGTCTGCGAGGACCCCGGACTGCCGGACGGGAAAGCAGACCCAGTCATAAGGGATGACGAGGTCTGCGTGCATTGCATGGGCGTACCAAAAACTTCTTTGTTTCGTTTTGGCTTTTGTCTCGTAGGAATTTGGCGTCTTGTTGATAGGATGTCTTTTGTAATGTGTTGTGCGAGAGAAGAGTCTGCACATAGAATCTACGCCAGAATTGATTGATACCACCAAGCTTCTCAGTGCTGGCCCATGTCAGAACAAAAGTTTGTGCCTGTGAGCTTCTATGTATTGTTGCCTTTTCACGATGGCTTCTCGCCGTCTCAAACCGTGTTCCCCAGCACAATCCCCCAACATTGCGTTTCGAAACACTGCTCTCGAGTGTCTGTGATTTGTTCGCATCTATAACTACCATGGTTTTAGTATGCTACGACCTCTGTTTGCAAAAGAGAACGGTAAGCTGCTCTGGTCACGATATCTCGACGGTGTGTACTGAACAGACGGTTGTCAGAGCTAGCTCAGAGCAAAATAAGTGCAGCCAGGCGTGCCTGCCCCGTTTTACCCGAACGACGCTTCCGTACCTCGAGTTTCGAGACTTTCGGGAGTGCTTCTTCGCTGGTGCTATCGGGCAAGGACGCGACTCCAGGCAGGCGAGATCCTTCCCCGACTGTCCATCAGAGAGATACACTTGCATGCGTGTCCCCAATCTCCCTGATGAGCAACCGGTCTTGACTTTGGCCCCCAGAGCAGCTTCACTTACTTCAACACAACATAATAGCTTCGACTCGAGGAGCCGAAGGTCATCTGCGGCTACGCCTAGAGTATCGTTCCGCTCTCGCAAGAGTCGCCATTGGTTGCCGAAGCATAGATCAGCCCACAATGAAGCGAGGCTTGTCAGGCGCGGGCAGTCTGCCATCGCTGCCCCACGAGGACCGATGCATGGCTGCAACTCCATCGTCACTCTCGCTCCCCATCACTTCACCCACTCAGCGACCCATCAAGATCCGACGCAAGGGCTCTCGTCTCGTGTCCGCTCTTCGTTCTCTCACAAACAGTGGTAAGACACCAGGAAGATCCCGCCACGAGCCTAGCAAGTATCTGATCAAGCCAGCAGCATTGGCACATAGCCCACGCGACCCTGAGTCATGGCCATCTCCAACCTCTCCGCCTCGAGACACCCTCTACGATGTTCGCCAGGTCACGCAGAAACTGTCGCTTCCGGGCCTGTCAAGGGCACTGACGGGTTCCAAGACAGTCATCCACAGATACCGACGCAAACCAAAAATGTCATTTCGAGTGTTTGAGAACGAAGGCGCCTAGCAAACGTCTCTCGGGGAACGAGAAGGGACGCCAGCGCCCCTCCTGGCACGAGGTCGCCTGCCAAGAAGCAGCGCTGAGTCTACCATTTTTGTGGCCTCCACGTCCCAGGATAGTGCGCTCATTCATGACATGAGCAGCACCAACACGGCGCCAACATCTGTTGACTCGAAGCTGTCCAGCAACGATCGGACATCCAGCGACCGGAGGTCAGCATCAGTGGTCCACGTCGAGTCGGCCTCCTCCAATCTCCTGCATGTCCCCCTAGGTTCGATCCAGGAGACTGCTTTTGATACAACCGTGCCGACGGTGGTGACCGTCGAGCGCGCTGCAGCGTGCAAAGTGTACCTGGAGTCATACTTCAGTGAGCTCCTTTCAAAGGTGTCACCACGAGCTGTTCGCCTAGACTGTCTTGAGGCAGAGCTTTATTATACCAAGGGCCTCACCAACGATGACAAGGAGATCCGTCGAAAATTGTTCTTGAGGTCTGAGTCGGACCATCTGCGGAAGATGCGCGTGCTCAAATCTGAGACGATAAGTGCTCTGCAGGGAGGACATCACAAACTTGTTGATCAGTACAAGGTCCTCAAGATCCTTGGAAAAGGTAGTTTCGGCGTTGTTCAATTGGTCCAGCCTCAGCCGGATATCTCTCAAGCTATGCGAGCCGTCCCTTCTCCTCCTAAAGTATACGCCATGAAGGTGATCCGGAAGTCTCGGATGCTCAAAAGCACGCAAGAGGGGCACCTGCGAGCGGAACGCGACTTTCTGGTGGCGTCCGAGGGTTCAGAATGGTTTGTGCTCCAACGTGTTTCAATGAGAACCCGCAGCTGACTTCGAAGCAGGATCGTACCGTTGGTTGCTAGCTTCGAGGATCTCAAGAGTCTCTATTTGGTCATGGAATACATGCCCGGTGGCGACTTTCTTGGGCTGCTAATCAGGGAGAACATTCTCAGCGAGCCAACCACGAAATTTTACATTGCGGAAATGATTTTAGGGATCGAAGAGGCCCACGCTCTCGGCTGCATCCACAGAGACATCAAGCCTGAGAATTTTCTGATTACTGCCAGCGGACACTTGAGGATCTCTGACTTCGGTCTCGCATTCGACGGTCATTGGTCCCACGAAACAAGCTACTATCACTCCCAACGATATAGTCTTCTGCACAAGCTTGGCATTGTAGTCGATGGGGACGTGCAAGATCGAAAGGAGAGTTGTGATGGCTTTCACAAAGGGGCTCACAGCTTCACAGCTGCCGTGCAAAAGCATGAATGGCGGACTGCTCTTGCGGGGGGGAACGACTCAATCAGATGGAATGAGCCTCTACTCCATTGGCGAAACCGCTGTGGCAATCGGTCAGCAGCAAAGTCATGCGTGGGCACTAGCCAATACATGGCTCCTGAAGTGATCCGGGATGGAAAGTATGATGCCAGATGTGACTGGTGGAGCTTGGGCATCATTCTCTTTGAATGCTTGTATGGCCATACACCATTCCTGTCTGAGGACGGCGGTCGGCAGGCCACAAAGCACAACATCGTCCACCACAAGGAAACTTTTGTGCTACCTCAACAGCCTCTCATTTCTCGACGCGGCCATCACTTGATCACGAGTCTCATATGCGAACAAGAAGATCGACTTTCATCTCCTAGATACCGCTTGATTCCTAGCGACAATGCCCCCGGCTTCACGATGCGGGACAGACAAAAACACAAGAGAGCTGAGCGTCCCATAGTCTATCCCTACGATGCGGAGGACATCAAAGAGCATCCGTGGTTCCGAGATGTTCCTTGGGATCGACTGAACCAGATTAACCCACCATGGATCCCATGCATCTCCAGTCAGTCTGATACACGATACTTCGAGGAGGAAGAGCCCGTGTCGGACTGGTCAGAGTCCGTCCTCAGCGTGAGCTCTGCCTCTGAAGACCAGAATGAGATATCGCCCAAGGCTTGTGAAGCAGCAGGCGATGCTCAGAAAACCTGCTTTGGAAGGCCCTTGGCGTTTCACGGAAGCCAGCGCAAGCTTGCTCTCCTGAATGCCGATCTAAGCCTGCTTCCACGCCACCTGAGGAGCGGTTTGGTTGAGTTTGTCAATTCCCCATACGACTCACAAAAGCTCAAGCGCATGGACCGCGAGATCAAGGCTCTTGTGCATAATCGCGGCATTCAAGAGAGGGTCAAGAACTTTGTGCCGAAGTTTGGGCGGCGAGAGCGCAAACGTGCTCGGGACCGGCTGTTGCGCGACAGGAGAACAAAAGATGTTGTCCTGCAGATCAGAAGACAGACGGCCTTCGTTGGTTATTCATATCTGCGCAAGTGATGGGCGCATGGGAGTCCCAATTCGTCAAAAACTTTGACCGGATTCACGAGGCGACTTCTCTGCAGAAGCAGCAAAGAAGTATGATTGTTCCAAATATGTATTTGAGCTTTGTATTCTTCTGCCGCAGCAGTTGTTAGACAGTATCAATCTACTCATTCTCGTCCATCATGGGTAACATGTCCAGCTCTACCCGGACGAGCCTTTCGAATTCCTGCCGCTCGATGCCTGACGCCCTGGCAAGCATGTAGAGGCTCTTCATTGTGCGTGAGACGTGCTGCTTGACCCCAAACTCGCTCTGCTCGAGCCTCTGCGCCACTGCCTCGAGCTTCTCGACCGACGTTGTCGAGCCAGCGCTCGAGTTGGAACGTGACGGTGTCGGGTGTGCCATCTCGGTCTCTGGGGACTTCTGCTCAAGGGGCTCCTGCCGGTTGTGTTGTGCGTAGGCCAATGGGCCGGCTTCGCGCTGCCCGTGAGCAAGATCCACCATCTCCTCGTCCGGGTCATGATTATCCATGGCCGGCTGAACGTCGTCGTACTGTGCGTAATAGTCATCGTCATTATGATCTCCTCCTTGCCCGGCAAAGCCCGGGTAGTCCCTGATGCTGTTGCCGCTGTTGTTGGTGTTGGCCCCCGCCGGAGTGCGTGGTGGTTGCGGGGTCGCCTGTGTGGATGTCGCGGCGTCGTATTGCGCCCAGTAGTCATCGTCGTCATCGTCGTCGTCATTGTCATCGTCTTTGGCTTCATTATCATGGTTGTTGCTGGATTGTGGTTGTTGTAGCTTGGCCGTACTCGAGGCGGATTTGGACTGTTTGAAAGCCGCCTCCGCTTCTTGGAGTGACTTGTGGCCCTCACTCCCGCCGAACACGCTGGCAAATAGACTCCCCTCGCCGCCGCCGCCACCACCACCACCACCGATGCCGCTACTACTGGCCGCCGCCGCAGCAGGCACGACGGTGACCTCGCCGACCTTCCATCCCTCGGTGCACAACACGAGCCGGAAGCCCAGCCCCAGCGGCTCCACGGCGACCAGGCACTGCAGGGTCTCCTCGTCGAGCCGGCGGTACCGCGCCTTTGCGTCGTAGTCCCAGTCCACCTCGACCTCGCCGGACACGGGGTGCAGCTCGAGCGCGGCGGACTGAGCCGTGGCCTGGAGTTGTGCTGCGGCGGCTGGGTTGTAGCAGAGCAGTCTGATCCAGGGCGTCTCGTCTCGTTGTTGCTGGTGGTGCTGGTGTTGGTGCTGTGGTTGTGAGGACGAGACGGCGGGGGCCTCAGCAACTGCCGACGCGGCAAGGAGCTGTACGCGCTGCCGCAGGATCGGGGAGAGCAGCTCGAGAACCGAGTCTGCGGGCTTCGTGGACAGCGCGGCCGCCGGGAGGGCGGGCAGCAGGGGGCCCAATACCGCTGGGAGGTCTGGCGGGCTTGTGGTGTTGTTTACTGTTGTCGTTGTTGTAATTGCTGCTGCTGTTGCCCCAGAAGTACCTGAAGTAGAGGAGGCCGGGCCTTGTGTTGTCGACGCCATGTCCAGGGTTTGGTTTGTGTGGTTGGTACCTGGTGACTGTTTTTTCAAGGTTTTGTTGTCTGCTTTGCTTGGTGGGTTGGCTCGTAAGTTGAGCGAGCCCTTAGACGGGCTTTTCAAGACTTCAACTCTTGAAGCCTGGAAACAGTCGATACTAGGAGAGGCGTTCTCCCCAAAAAGCAGAAAAAAAGGATCAAGAGGTGTCTTGTGTCCCAGCGATATATGCTTGTGAGTGAGCCCACTAGCCGACCACTGTGAGAACGGCGTGCTCTTGTGTATATCTCTGAAGACTGACGCAAAGGAAGAGTTTGCAAATGCCTCTGGGGACGATTCTTTCAGAAGAGACGATGGAGCGTAGCTTATAGCGTCCGTGACACAGGCGCAAGACCCCGAAGAAGCAGGTAGACTCGGTCCGTGGTATCACATGCAGGACGGGGGCAGTGTTGCGGACGAGGAATGGAATGTACGTAGTTATAGCAGCAGCTGATGCATGTGACGTCGAGGGTGCGGGCTGGGGTGTCTCGGTCTCGGTCCCGGTTCCTGGCTGAAACAGCCTTGACTTTGGCTCGAGGCGCGGGCGTGCAGATTGTGAGCCCAATGGCAAGCCTCAGTTGTCACGGGCTGACGCTGCTGTTCCCGAGTCAGGCACGTCGGCTTGTCGTATGGGTAGCGTACGTTAGTAGGTAGATCAAGAAGGCATGCCTAGGTGGTGGTGCCCTGGCGTGTCTGTTTGAAAGTGGATGATGAGGGTAGCGGGTGGGGCAGCATCCACGACTCTCACGGTGTTGGGGACTGCTTTGGGCAGGTCGTGAACGTCTGTCTGTGCGAGGAAACCCGTCAAGAGAGACGAGAGGCAAGTGGACAAAGAAAGAGAGAGGGAGAGAGGCTGGGTTGTCATATACCCAGGCCTGTCTGCATGGCTGTGCCTGTCGTGTCGTGTCATGTCGCGGGCTTGTGGCCTGCCCTGCCATGTGATTCCTGCCTGTCCTCTTGCCCGGCGGCCACCCAGCGCTCATCTACTGCACGAGTCTGCATGCGCGACAACGTTGCCCTATCACAGCCCTTGGTCTGGCCTGCCCGCGCTCCTGGGAACCGGAGGCTAAATTGGCTCGGGTTGCACATGGCAATCTTGTGCAGGCGGGTGTGCCGTTGCACGGCTTCGGCTGGGCGGAACGTGGTCTCGACCGCGACTACAAAAACGGCCGAAAGGAAATCGACTGTGGAACTGGGGTCGCGGGGACTTAGGAACGACCAGCTGCAGGCCTGTGGCAATCAGCGATTAACGGACCTGCCCAGCGTTGCAATCGTCTTGTTCGAGGTGACCATGCTGCAACCCGCCGCAGGGGCCATTTTCAACACCTCGAAACAAGGGCATGTGAAGCCATTGCCTGCTGCAGCAACAGGCGTCGTCCCTCGGCGCCCCTGCCCAAACCCCCGGCTCGGGTCGGGTCGGACCGTGCTGAGGTTGAGGTTGAGGTTGAGGTCTCACAGCACAGCCGAACCAATACACTACGTAGAGCAGTGCAGTTGTTGAAGCAACATGGGATCTTCAGGACATCGGACGCTCCATGCATCTGCCATATCATAACCGGACCGTTATGTCCCTACAGCCGCGCCGGCAGGCAATTGTCCGTGTACAGTGCAGAGCAGTTGCGGACCCGCCCCAAGCCGCCAATAGCCTGCCCTGCTCCAAGGGGGCGCCTGCCCTACAATGCTGGACCCCTGTCGCGGCCTGTCAACGCCCATCAAACACCCAAAACGTCATCCCGCAGTAGCCCACGACAGCCTCAACATTTTGGCCCTTTTGGTTTTTCTCTGCCCGCCACGCAAAGCTACAAAGCCTCGGGCCACGCTCTTGACCAGCACCACAACTCGAGACACGCACATCCAATACCCAGCTGCCTCTAACAAACCAATTCCGTTCCCAGTCCGCGCACAGCGTCGACACATGCATGTCGCAAAAAGCCCAGCGCCTGCAGGATGAGGTGCGCTGCGCCCTTTTCTACAGCCCCGGGCCCGCTTGACTGCCCCTGTATCCGACAAAAGACTAACACATCTTCCATCTCGCAGGGCACCCGCACCCAGGTCGTAGCAGCCGGCGCCACGGCCGGTCTCATCTCCCGCTTCGTCATTGCGCCCCTCGACGTCGTCAAGATCCGCCTCCAGCTCCAGACACACTCGCTCTCCGACCCCCTAGCCGCCGCGGCAACCAACAACGCCGCAAAGGGCACTTCCGCGCCGATTTACTACAAGGGCACGCTGCGCACACTCCGACACATCGTCGAGAACGAAGGCATACGCGCGCTATGGAAAGGAAACGTCCCCGCGGAGCTCATGTACGTGAGCTATGCGGCCGTGCAGTTCACCATGTACCGACAGACCACGCTTGTGCTGCAGCGCATGAATGGTGATAACGCTGGCGGCAACAACAACCACAACACCACCTCCATCAGACTCCCAAAGGCCGCGCAGAGCTTCATCGCCGGCGCGACAGCAGGCGCCACCGCCACCGCGGCCACGTATCCGCTTGACCTGCTCCGGACACGCTTCGCCGCGCAGGTGTCGTCGCGCGCGGTGTACCCTTCGCTGCGCCACGCCGTGCTGACCATCTACCGCGACGAGGGCGGCTTCCGGGGCTTCTTCCGTGGCCTGGCTCCCGGGCTGGCGGGCATCGTGCCGTACATGGGGCTGTTCTTCGCCATGTACGAGTCGGCGCGGCCCGTCTTTGGCCAGCTGTCGTCCCACTCCTCAGTGTCCTCCTGGCTCCCTCCGGGCGTCGGGGACGCCACCGCCGGCGTGGTCGCCAGCGTGGTCGCCAAGACGGGCGTGTTCCCCCTCGACACGGTGCGCAAGCGGATACAGGTCCAGGGCCCGACCCGCGCGCTGTACGTCCACAGGGACATCCCCGAATACGAGCGCGGCATGTGGCGCACGATCCGGGCCATCGTGGCCGTCGAGGGCTTCAGGGGCCTGTACAGAGGGCTCGTGGTCAGTCTGTGCAAGGCCGCGCCCGCGAGCGCCGTGACCATGTGGACCTATGAGCGGGCGCTGAACCTGTTCATTCGATATAGCGGCGGCCAAGGGACCCAGGTCAGGGCTTTGCCATCATGAGTTTTGACTTAGCCGGTGGTGCACCAGGGGGGCTGGGGTAATCCGTTTGTGTTCTGAGCGACCGTGGTTTCGTTGTTGTTGTTGTAAGACGACGAAAAAGACGGCATGCGGCCAGTGACCATTCTGGGCCAAAACTTACGAGGTGGGAGTTTTCATTCGGGCTCCTTTGTCACTTTCAAGGTTGGGCTTTCGTGCCGCAATTGATGTAGTATCCCTTTGTTTCTTGGGGCAAGGCACACGGCGGCGTTTTCATACATCATAGAGTGCACAGCCATGAGGCTATAGACATGATTGACACAGTCTACTTGGGTTTGCTGTGCTAGTTTCATCGTTCTTCATCTCGCCGGCGTACACCCTGAACGCGTATTATTGTTTCTGATGTTCTGGTTTTGTCCGCCGACAGCTCGCGGCAACACGTAATACCTTTCTCAGCCATGAGAAAAGTCAATTGACTTATTGGCATTTCGGATAACGTGTTCTTATGCTCTGTGAAACTCTAGCATACAGGGACCGGGCTGGACAAAGGAAAATTCAAGTCGTTCTATTGGGTGTCATCAAAATCCCTCCTTTTCCAGATGTGCCTCTACCCGCCGTGGCTCTCGAAATGGTGGACGCTATTTCGACACAATGACTCGATCTATGGGGATTTCTTCTAACCTCGCCTTTGTGATTCTGTCTGTGAGCGTGGCGTAACATCCACCAGCTTCTGGCCTGGTAGATGGCGAGCTTTGGCGACGAGTATGCATTATATCGCAGAAAGCAGTCCGTCCGCAGGCTTCTCCAAACGGCAGTTCATCTTGTTTCCCCCCCAAACATGAAAGTCCCGTATCAAGAATGTGTGCTTTTCCGACTCCTGTACAGGTAGATTTACATGGATACATAATCATTAGCGCACGCGGTCGCCGCTCTATTTGCCCTTCTTGACCCAGTCCTCGACGGTGTCACGAGCAGTTGAAACCGTATCGTCGACGTACGTCTTGCCCAGGTCTGCGTGGACCTTGGCAAACCGCCATCCGCGCTGGATGCTCTCGCGGGTGCGCAGGTGCGCGTCGGCAACGACGGGGAATTTCGACTCGTATTTCCACGTGAGGTCGGAGACATTGGTCATGGTGACAGGAATCAAGGCCCAGCCAGCGCCGATGCCGAGGGCCAGCGGGACGGTTGCGCGGAGGAGGATGTTGCGATTGCGCGTGACGATGCTACCCGCCATGCCGGCGACGAGCACGTACACGAGGCCAGGCATGAGCTTCTCCCCGCTCTCCCGCGAGGGGGCCAGGGAGGCGACAGTCTCCGTGAAGGACTTTTCAAGGTGGAAGGCCTTGTCGATCGTGGAGTTGACGGCATCCTCAGACTTTGTGGCATAGTGGTACAGGAACATGCGCGCCTTGCCGATCTGGACGGCGAGGCGGTCGGTTGGCGTGGGCCCACGCCGGGATGATGTTACTGTGGTGGAGGTCTCTGAGGTGGCGGAAGGGCTGATGAGGGATGATTCAGGCCCAGACGCCTGCGGTATCGTGTGCGAGGCTGGCGAGGGAACTGGCGTGTCTGCCTTTGGCAGCTCTGGCTCGTAGTCATCGTAAATGGGCTTCCGGGAGAACTGCGGGTCAAATTCGCTGCGTCAGTCATGGCTGCTTCATTCGTGACCTCTGGGAGTCTGTTCAGAGGGACAGGAGCGAGAATGGTACGTACATCGTCCCTTGAGGGCGCCTCGGCTAGGGCGACGGCCGGAAAGGCCGCACCACTCGCAAAGGCCGCAGCGATGAAGGGCGCGGCTGCGCGCTGGAAGGAGTGTAGTCAGAAATTGAGCTGTGGATGGGCCGAGGGGGGAGGAATTGCGCTCACTCTGCGAAGAAGGACTCTGGCAGCCATGGTGCCCTCAATTGCCTGGCGATTTCGTGGGCTCGTGGGCGGAGGGAAGTGCTGGTGGATGGTGGTGTGGTCGCAGGCCAGGAGCTTCAGGCAAGTTCCAGGTTGGCACTGGGTGCAGGCCACCACCCACCCGTAGCGATGATGTCTTTCGGCTGCGGCTCTTGCCCGCCGGGATTTTTCGCAGCTAGCAGGTGCAGGTGGGCCAGGTCAACACCAGTGCTCAAGTGTACTTCCCCAACGAGTAGCGATATTGATGCATCCGCCGTAAAAACATCCAGCCGCGGTCAATATCAGGAAACTTTGCATGTGATAAGTATTCAAATGCATGTATCTTCCGTGAGATCTGGAATGCTTAGTTGCTGGCAACCTTGTCGAGCGCAAAGTGCTTCCGCTCAGCAAGCACGACCTCGTGGTCACGTACACCGTCGGAGCAGCCTCCAACCACAACCTTAATGGACGAGCCCATCTCGGATGCAGGGACAATTTCATGCCCTTACCAAGATAACCTCCATAGTCAACCTTGGCTCCTTGTGTTTCTTGAGCATCGCGACCGTCTTGAGAGCCTCGACACACAACTCCAAGGGCGTTCTTCACTCCGTTCGGTGAGGACCCCAGTGCTTCCGCATTGCCACACACGACTACTGCTCCGCCATCCGTCGACAAAGAGTGGTCCCAGACTTTCTTTCTCGCACTGCACAGCTTCTTCCTCGCACAGCTCCAGACAATGCCCAGGCCAACATGATCAAGACCGTCCGCTCTGGCCTCTGGACCTGTTCGCGGTGCCTCCGTCAATCAGCCCTGCGGCAAGCCCGACCCTCTGCTCGCCCGCCCTCCCGATGGCTCTCTGCGGTAGCAAACCCCGCGACGGTCTCCGATGCCGCTTCCGCGCCGGTCAACCATGCACCCCCTGGCGCGCGACATGACGATGTCCTCCTACGCCAGATCTTCGACTCTCCGCCGACCTTCAAGCATTTCGCTCGGCCATGGGCTCAATTGACAGGCTCGCCCAATGTCGGCCTCTTCCGAAACAAGTACCTCACCTCGCCGCAAGGCTTTCTCTCGTTCGCCGAGCTTACCATACATAAAGCACAGAGGCTGGTTGAGAAAGTGTTAGCGGCGTCGACCCTCGACGAATACAAAGCGATCGTGGGCGACCTGGACCGACTGAGCGATCTCTTGTGCCGTGTCCTCGATGTGTCTGACTTCGTTCGAGTCACACACCCTGATCAGAAGATTCAGGCGGCTGCCTCACAAGCATGGGCTTATGTCTACCAATATATGAACCAGCTCAACACAGAAACTGGCCTGAGCGACCAGCTCGGGAAGGCTTTGGACAACGCTGAGGTCATGGCCAGCTGGAACGAGGAGCAGCAGACCGTGGCGAGGCTGTTACAGCAAGACTTCCTCAAGTCCGCTGTGCACCTTCCCAAGCAGTCCCGCGATCGCTTTGTCGATTTGTCGCAAAAGATCAGCGAGCTCGGCTCCTCGTTCGTGGAAGACATGCAGCCAGAGCAGCCTTACATCGACTTCCCAAGCAGCAAGTTGCGGGGCATGGATCCGCAACTAGCTCAGAGATTCACGAGACGGGGTACCTCACGACTGCCCACGCTCTCTGCGGAGGCGTCCATGGCATTGCGGAGCGTCTATGATGACGACACTAGGAAGAGCATCTTGCATGCCACACGGACTGCCTCTAGTAGGTCGATCAAGGTCCTCGAGGGAATGCTGCGGCTGCGTGCCGAACTTGCAGATCTGTCCGGGTTTGAAAGTTACGGGCGCATGGCGCTGCACGATAAGATGATGGCCAAATCACCCGAAGCTGTACACGAGTTCCTCCTAGCCCTGTCCAAGCACAATGCGCCTCTGGTCCAAGCTGAGGTTGCAGATCTTTTGAAAGAGAAGAGCAAGAGACTGGGCTCGTCCGCGGCGGACGAGCTCCTCCCGTGGGATAAGGATTACTACATGCAGAGCATCCGCGCCGGTATGCGATCACGCGCACGGCGCGACGACTTCTTGTCGTCCTACTTTTCTCTCGGCACTGTCATGCAGGGGCTTTCGAGGCTTTTCACCCGACTCTACGGTATTCGCTTTGAGCCGAGAGACACACTCCCTGGAGAAACCTGGCACTCCGACGTTCGGCGGCTCGATGTCATTTCCGACACGGACGGCCATGTCGCTGTGTTGTACTGCGACCTGTTCTACCGCCCGGACAAGTCACCGAACCCAGCACATTTCACAGTGCGCTGCTCGAGGGAAATCTCAGCCGAGGAGATTGAGGAAGCGAGCACCTTGGGTGCACTTGACGTTGAAGGTGTGCCAAAGTTTGAGTCGGCCATCGAGGCGGCGAATGATGGTATGCATGTGTCGAAGAAGAGCGCAAATGGCGCCGTCAAGCAGCTCCCAACAATTGCCCTTATCTGCGATTTCCACCAGGAGCACAAGTCCAAGAGTGAACCGGCACTGCTCGACTACTATCAAGTGGAGACACTCTTTCACGAGATGGGACATGCCATTCACTCAGTCCTTGCACGGACTTCCATGCAGAACGTCTCCGGAACACGATGCGCCACGGACTTTGCAGAGCTGCCGTCCACACTGATGGAGCATTTCTCTGCCGACCCGTCGGTTCTTGCACTGTTCGCACGCCACTATGCGACAGACGAGCCTCTGCCGTACGAGATGGTGGCCGAGAAGTTGGCTGTCTCACAGAGATTTGAGGCTTCAGACCGGGAGAACCAGATTATCCTGGCTATGCTGGATCAGGCATACCACTCAACCGCACCGGCCGGCCTGCACTTCGACTCTACCAAAGTATACCATGACTTGCAGCGGCAGTACGGGCAGCTACCTCCAGATCCTGCTCTGACGCGCTGGCAGGGCTTTTTTGGACATCTTTTTGGATACGGCAGCACGTATTACAGCTACCTGTTTGACCAGGTTTTGTCGGAGCGGGTGTGGCGAGTGGTGTTTGCAGGCGGACAGCAGGGCGGAGCGCTGAGCCGCGAGAATGGAGAGCGACTGAAGGAGAACCTGCTGAAGTGGGGAGGAAGCCGAGACCCGTGGAGATGCCTGTCAGACGCCCTGCAAGACGAGCGGCTGGCGAATGGTGACGAGAAGGCCATGAAGGTAGTCGGCAGCTGGGGTATAAAAGACGGAGTCCACGACTGAGCCGGCAAGCCGAGCCGCGGGTGGGCTGGTTGTATGTATATTCAAGTATTCACGGGCGTGCTGTATTACGTCTCGATGATCCAGATACCCCTTGGCTCAATGACCATGAACTCGAGCCACGTTCATCCGATCCTTGGCGAGGCGCAGCAGCCGTGAGTTCCGATGGAGTATGGTTTGCGACGGGCAGCAGTGAGGGAGGAGCTCGTGGGTGGGAATCGTGGCAAGCCCAACACCGCTAGAGCAGGTGGCCCTGTGCAAGACCCGAGACATAGTTTTGTGGCAGCCGCGCTAGCGCCCGCCGCGTGGCCGTTTCTTCACCACCGCAATGCGCGGACCGAGCGGCAGGTGCCGTCCAAGGTGTAGGGCTAATTAATCTGGGCGCTGGACGCGGCAGATGCGTGGACAAGACGTCGGAGCTGGCAGCCAACGAGTGCGTGCATGCACAAGCTCAGGGCTGAGGCGTAGGCCAGATTACTCTGGGCAATACAGTAACTTCCCAAGGGTTGGCTGGGGGCAGCTGGAGCGGTGGTGGCGCCGACGGCGGCGGCTCAACAGCCGTGAAACCCATTGCATTCCGGGCCAGGGATTGCACAAAGTCAAGTCTGGGCAGGGTGCCGTGTTTCCGGGCAGCAGCAGCGAGGAGGGGTCTCCACGCGCGTTGGGGGGGCCCACGATGATTTATCTCTTTGCTAGGGGGCGTGGTTTGCTGTCCTGTGATCTCAGCTTTGATTTACATATCCTGTAAAGCATTTTGCGACTCGAGATATCCCAGGCCTGGCGAAAAGACAACCACCGAACTGACGAGAGGGCCGGAATACTGCTAGAGACCTGCCGCAGCCAGCCAGACGATAACAAGGCAGCAAAGCAACCAATCGGCCGCCGGAGCGCACACCTACCCCTGCGCTGATCGATCTCAGCCACTAAGTGCAGTACATGCAACAATGCCGTCGATAGCTGCTTTGTCGCCAACAACGACATCGACATCGACATCGACATCGGCCAACTCGACGTCACCCGCGCGCAGCACCAGCCGCCATGGCCTCTTCTTCGCCCTCCTCGGCGCCTTTGCCCTCTTGACACAGCCAGTCCTCGCGGTCACCGCACAACCACGATCGCAACCACACAATGAGGCGCCGGCGTCGCCACTGCTGCTGCACAGGCAGACCCCCGAGCTCGTAGACCAGCAGTCCGACCTCGCCATCTTCAACTACAGCTCCAACTACAACTATGCCGGCTGCTACAACGACACCAACATGCTCAACGGAAGCACCGGTGCCCACGCGCTAGACATAGTCATTTTGGGCACCGGGTTCCTCACGGCGCCCATGTGTCTCGAGTGGTGTGCGCACAACGGCACTGCGCTCCTGGGCAGACCGTACAAGTTCGCCGGGCTCGAGTACAGCCGGTACGTCAAATATTTTCCTGCGTAGATCTTAATGTCCAGGCCTCCACAAGCCAAGGCTTCTAGGGAGGAGTAGTCATGATGGCAGGACTTCTGTCCATGCGCACGCACCATTGACCCATAGGCACGAGGGCTTACACACACATGTATATACAGGGAATGCTACTGCGGCGATAACCTAAACTCGCTCGTCCGGAAGCTCGACGACAGCGCGTGCAACACCTACTGCGACGGCGACAACACGACCGCCTGTGGCGGCGCGAACAAGCTCTCCCTGTACAACATTACTGCCTCTGCGCTGCACAGCGGCGCGGGGCCGAGGATATACTTCCCCGGAGGAGGGCAGGCGGGAGCTGTGTTGGTGGTCGCGGGCGGGCTTGCCGCGCTGTTTGGCGTCTTGTGAGAGCGCTTTTCAGCTCCGGGACTGGCTGACGCGGTGATACTCTGCACGGTCAGCGACGTCAATCTGATGAACGAATGCTCCCTGTTTTTGGGTCCTGCTTAAGGCATGCCGTTTTGAGAAGCACACTATAGATACCTACGCGTTGTTGAAACTTGGTTTAGCAGGCTTGGATACTGTTTCTTTTTTTCTGAGCTGCGGGGCTGCTTCTCAGTCTATGTCTATATAATGCCATCTAATGGAAATGCATTTTCCAGCACCAGGCTTTGGGTTTTCCGACAGCAATGTATATATACCCAAGGTCCATCCGGCGTGATACGTCGTGCACTGAGATTGAACGAGTACCATATGACTGTCAAGCAAACACGACCATGACCAATCCAGCCAGGCCCAGGAGCCTTCCCTTCACAGACAGCTCGCATCCTTGGTTTCCCCCGCTCACGCACAAGCACAACCACGTACTTATTGACGACCCGCAGCCCTGGCAGCATTCGCCTCGTCCGCGCGCTGGCAACACTCCTCGATGACCTTCCAGAACAGCGGGATGTCCAGGCCCCGGGGTATCCGCACGCCCGGCTTGCCCGGCTCGAGCAGCTTCGCGACGGTCCGCCCCGTCTGGACCTTGCTGTCCTTGGCCTGGGCCTCGGCGAGCGTGCCCTCGGTGACGACGGCGAGGTCGAAGCGCTCCCGGCGCTGCGGGCCCTCCGGGGAGGCCGGGTCAAAGTCGTAAAAGGGGATCTCGGAGGCGGTGCCGATCAGCGCGATCGCGACGGCCAAGGGGTCGTGTAGGGGCGGGCCCTCGATGATGCCGAAAACGTCGCTGCGTGTTTTTGAAAAGGACACACAAGATTAGTTGGTGATTTACGCCCTTGGGACAAGCAGTTAAAGTTGAATTGTGAGAACTTACCGGTATGTTCCGGCAAAGAAGTTGAGCAGCTCGACGAGCATCGTGCGCAGGTCCGTCTTGCCCTTGATGCCGGTCGTCTTGTAGGCCTCGGCAATGTCCTCGGTCGCCTTCTTCTCCCCAGCGGCATCCGCTCCGTACAGGAGATCCGCCTGCACCTCCTGAGTGGCGAGCACGAGATGCGTCAGGTCGAGCGGGATGAGCGTCGTCTTGGCGGCCAGGACGGGGTTCCCGAAGACGACCTGCGCGGCCTCCGGGTCGATCAGGATGTTGAACTCGGCCCAGGGGGTCCAGTTGCCGATGCGCTCGACGCCGTCGACCACGCCCAGCGGCGCGGCCGTGAACTTGTTGCCAATGGCCCCGCCCATGATGCTCACGCCCGCCACATGCTCGGCCAGGTCCGGGTGGGCGAGGATCAGCGCGCCCACGTTGGTCACGGCGCCCGTGGCAATCAGCCACGCCTTACCGGCCGGCTGGGCGCGCAGGGCCGCCGCCATGGCGTCCACGGCCGAGGTGGAGGTGTCGGCCGTGGCAGCCGGCTTGGGGAGGAGGGTTGTGCCATCCAGTCCGCTCTCGCCGTGGATGTCTGTGGGCGCGTGGATCGGGGGTCTATACAGCGCCTTGGCCGCGCCCGGGTAGACTGTGATCTCCTTCTCCTTGCCGATGGCCGTGAGCACTGACAGCGCATTGTTTGTGGTCTTGTCCAGGCTGGCGTTGCCGTGGACTGTACTGATTCCCAGCAGCTCTATCTGCGGATGATATGCGGCAAGAAGAATGGCAAATGTGTCCTGGCAGCATCATTAGCTTGTGTTTTTTGTTTTTACAAATCTACTGTGCAACTGTGCGAATGCCTGCCACAACAACAAACTTTGTCATTGCCACAGGCAGACCCCCCAAGGTTCCCAGCAGCAGTCATCTGCCTGATTGCTGCTGGACCTCTTATCTCGCCCGCATATCTAGGCTACTTACATCGTGGCCAGGATCACAATCCAGCCAGAGTGGTACTCTTTCTGTCGACATGATGCGGGAGTAACCTCTGGTGAGCACGGGTGACGTTGTATTGTCTGGGGAGAGGTCTTGAGCTGTAATTGGTGCCCTGCTTTTGTGTATGAATGCAGGAAGCTCAAATGGGGGGAGTGAGGTAACGAGGCCGATACGGAGCGGCGTGTGCTCCGGCCAGACATGGGAGCGTCAAGTGGGGGAAAGGGGGGCTCCGTCCGGAAGGAAACCGGAGCCCACCCGATAACGCTCTACGTCCGCCTAAGAACGGCGGTGGTCCACCGGCGCGGCTTGCGGCGGATGCCAGCCCGAATGCAACAGGCGGACCATTCTTCGACATCATGTTCACAATAGAGCTGGTCCCGGCGGCTACTGCACCCGGATTCACCTGGAGGCATCGACAACATCCACTCGAGTGGCTGGAATGGTCTGGGGTATCATTTGGTCGCTTGTGTAGTAGTGCTCAGCCCTGAGCACCTACTGCTCCGCTCTTCGCTTCTCTACGAGTCGCATTACGTCCGCAGCATTGTTCGCATCGCCTTTCCGCTTCCTGGGACCTCGCTTGCGTTTGGAGCCCCCTCCTTTGCCGCCGCCGTGCCCCTCATCGTCCTCGCCGTCATCCCCATTGCCTCCGGACCATTTAGACAGCTTGACCTTGGTCGTGTCGTCAAAGTCCGCCTCATCCTCAAATCGGCTCGTGCCAAAGCCCATGTCCATGTCTTCGGCATCACGGTCGTTATTCTGCAGCATCTTACGGTGCCGCTCTTCTCTGGCGCGAGCCTCTTCATCATTCTCGCCATCTCCCGCTGCCCTCATTGGATTCATCGCTGCTGCTTTCTTCAGTGCTGCTTGAATCGCCGGATCCGACATAGATGGTGCTTTGAGCTTCTCTTCAGAGACCAGTGCCGTCTTCGAGTCCTTGAAGTAGTTCCGAGAGGCTGTAGTAGATACAGGTACCGGTGGCGGCCCCATTGCATCGCCCTTGGTCGGCTCGTCCCCTGTCTTTTCAGGATTCTCACTTTCGTCGTCGTCTGAATCGCTACCCAAATCTGCGAGAGGGTCATAGTCGTCACCTACTCCGGCGAAAATGTCGTCGTCTTCTTCTTCCTCCTCCTTTGCTTGAGCTTCGGCCAACTTTTGTTTATAGTACTCCGGGACTTCCATCCCCAGGGGCTTTGCGTCCTTGTCGGGCATCAATATATCCTTGGGCCTCCCTGCTGTGTTCTCTTCGGCAGCCTCTGTGACTTGCAACTTTCGTACTTTTCGCTTCTCATTGCCGTCTTCGTCGACTATAATCAGCACCTCCCGCCCCTGGCTGTCGCGCTCGATTCTCGACCCCGGAGTCTTGGCGCCAAACTTTCTGAATTTTGTGCCAAGTATGCTTTCTTTCGCCTTGGCTTCTCTAGCCGCTTTCATCTCAGCCAACAGCTGATCGCGTGTTCGTTTGCCTCCAGGGCGAGCCGCAGCCACTTGTCCCTTTTTCGAGGCTTTTTCTCGAGCGACTGCTGATATTGCCGACTGCTCTAATTCCTCAAAGGCGTCATCGACGTTCTCGCTAGGCGGCTGCTCTGCGGTGTCTTCTTTCTTCGGTGCCTCCCACACATCTTCGCCCCGACGAACTCTCTCCAGCAGCTCAAAGTCCAACCCTTTCACTAGATGGGTGCTCGAGAGATCTCCACCTGCGATCTGCGCCCTCAGTTTCTCAAAAGTTTGTTGATCAATTTCCTCCTTCCTCAAGGATTCTTCCAAGGCTCTGAGTCTTTGCTCTCGATCGTCGTCTTCGGAATTTGTGGTGGCGTGACGCGCTTGCGCTCGATCCGTATAGCCAGATGCCAGTTTGACTCCTCTTGGATCGTAGGATCTCGACTTTTTGTCACCTGGCTTGCCATGTTCACCACGCTGTCGTTCAGCGAGCTGTCGCGCAAAATCACTCTTTCCGATCCCCGCAACGGAACGACTATATATGAGGCTCTTGTCAGTGAGTCTTCTAAAGGCAACGGAACAAGTTCTGGCGGGCGACCTACGGAGTCATGGGTATGCTGGAACGCTGCCGGGAACCCAGAGCCGTGACAGTAGTTGGTGAGGCAGAGGCACCTGCCGAAGCCTTACCGCCATCTTTTGGGGTACTGGAGGAGACCAGGCGCCGGAATTGTTCGTTGTTCATCGCTGGCCGTCTCCTTGCTTGGGCGGATCGTGGATGAACGCAGTAGCGTTGAATGGGTTCTGAAAACGCCAGGACCAACACCCATCCACGGAGCTTCAGGACTGCGACAAGGGTATCTTGATGGGGTATAAGCCAATCAGAAGCTGTCGCGCGATAACGATAAGCTCTTGGATGGCTAGAAGTCACGGGATGACGTGTGGTGGATGTACCCGAGGTTCGCGTTAAGTGTCCGCATGCCCCACTGTCGGGAACGCGACATCACCAGCGGCACACACCTCTCACCACAAACCCCAATCTTCGACCATTCAACTGAGCTGGGAACAATGTCAGCTCTGGCGTGATATGGTACCCTGGACCCTTTGATCAACTCTGGATCTGCCTAGCTACCGTCTGCGCTTCACCATGCGCCTTCCCAGCTACATCCCCAACGGGCGTGGACGAATCTTCATTGGAACAGGGAACGCTCTTGATTGAGTTCAACTCACAACGTCGTAATGAATAGTCGCCTTGATAAAAACTCTACCGCTGTCAGGAAGCGCATAGAAGAGCACCACTTTGACGATGAGCATGGCGAGGAATATGAAGCCAGCGCCTTTGGCGGTTTTCCAGAATACTTCCGCCGCAAGAAGATCAAGCTGCAGAATCTCGACTCCGAGCTGAGGGCGGCATCCGCGGACAAGCCAAAAATCTTCAAGGGCGTGGTGGCGCATGTCACAGGCTATACTCAACCACCACTCCACGTGCTCCATCATGATCTCGTGTCACATGGAGCAGGTTTCATCCAGTATCTGGACGGGAAGACCATGGCGACACACATCATCGCCTCCAGCCTCCCCCCCAAGAAGTCAGTCGAGTTCAACAAGTACCGCATAGTCAAACCCGCCTGGGTCACCGACTCGATAAAGGCGGGAAAGCTGCTTCCATGGAACGACTACCGAGTTCTTGATGAGGGCGCGCGACAGAAAACCCTGAAGTTCGATGATGGGAGCCTGTCGACACAATCTCGTTCACAGCAGACTCCCGCGAGATACAGGGAACAGACCGACAATAGTTTCTACACAAGCCAGCTGCGCACTTTTGCGGAGGCCATCGATGGGAAATCTAGCGATAATGACAAGATCACGGCACATTCCCCACGCACTTCAGCCATCGCCAGTTCAGATGACTGGGGCGGTCCACCTCAAGCACCTGCAAAGAAAGTAACGCCTGTGCAACCGCTGGGCGAGAGCGAACGCGCGGAAGACTCGGTTGCCGCAACGGATAACCACGACCGGACCCCTGACTTCCGAACCGAAGCAGACTCCAAGCGTGATGCCAGCAGTGCACCCGTCGCACCAGCGGACCAGATGACATCTGAGGAACACAATGCAATGCTTCTTCAGGATCCGCACATGAGGAAGTCTTCTACGGCAAACCCGGCCTTCCTGCAGCAGTACTATTCCGAGAGTCGACTTCACCACTTGTCCTCGTGGAAAGCCGACCTCAAGTCTCGTATGCAGAAATTGGCTGCCGAAAAGGGACTTGGGGCGAAAGTCGGGAAGCGGAAACCTGGCTCCCGACGGTACGTCCTGCACGTTGATTTTGACAGCTTTTTCTGCGCTGTCTCACTGAAGCGTGCCCCGGAGTTTGCGGACAAGCCGGCCGTTGTAGCGCACGGGAACGGCAGTGGCTCCGAAATAGCAAGCTGCAACTATCCGGCCAGAAAATTCGGAGTAAAGAACGGCATGTGGATGAAAAGGGCAAAGGAATTGTGCCCGGATCTCAAAGTACTTCCATACGATTTTCCAGCTTATGAAGAGGCAAGCGCGCTATTCTATGAATGTATACTGGAGACAGGAGGGGTCGTCCAGAGTGTTAGCATCGATGAGGCTCTCGTCGATGTAACATCGGTGATCCTGGCCGCTTGCGGTTCTGACGGCACGGGCGTGGACGAGGGGAGCATCTGGCGCGAGCAGGATAAAGCTGACGAGATCGCCGCATCTCTAAGAACGAGAATCAAAGCAAAGACGGCGTGCGAGGTTTCCGTTGGCGTAGGCAGTAATATCCTGCTTGCTAAAGTGGCGCTACGAAAGGCGAAACCCGCGGGACAGTATCAGATCAAGCCGGACGAGGTCCTGACCATTCTTGGAGGGCTTAAAGTCGATGACCTACCTGGTGTTGCCTACAGCATTGCAGGCAAGTTGGAAGAGATCGGCATCAAATTCGTCGACGACATTCGTCAAACCTCGAAAGAGCGTCTTATCGGCACTCTGGGCCCAAAAACTGGCGAGAAGCTCTGGGAATATGCACGGGGCATAGACAGGGTCGAAGTTGGCGATCAGGTGGTCCGGAAGTCCGTCTCGGCGGAAGTCAACTGGGGCATCCGCTTCATCAACCAGGAGGAAGCCGAGGAGTTTGTCTACAATCTGTGCAAGGAGCTCGAAAAACGGCTTGTCAATGAGCAGGTGAAAGGCAAACAGCTCACTATGAAGATCATGCGACGATCACTGGATGCACCTCTCGATCCGCCCAAGCATCTTGGACATGGCAAGTGCGACACATTCAATAAAAGCACATTATTCGGCGTTGCTACTCATGATTATCGGATTCTTGGGAAAGAGGCCGTGTCCATCCTGAGATCCTACAAGTTTAGTCCTGGCGATCTTCGAGGCCTGGGAGTCCAGTTGACCAAGCTCGAGCCTATCAAAGCCATGATGCATGGAGCCGACAGCAGCCAGAAAAAGCTCAATTTCGGCACTTTCCGCACGCCGGCCGTGCCGAAGCGAGCTGATGAGGAACAAATACAGGACATTAACAACGACCGTGTTCCAAGCCTGTCTCCGAGCCGAGCTGCAGCACAAGATCCCATACAAGATGGACCAATCACGCCCAAAAAGCCGAAAGGGCATCCTGCATTACAGTTTGTCAAAGCAAGGGGAGAAGATCTCAAAGCCAACACGCCACTGAATCTTGGAGGCACGCAATTCATCATCCCTACTAATCCAGATCCAGCTGTGCTAGCGGAGCTTCCGCAAGACATACGAAGTCGGCTACTTGCTCAACATGACCGTGCCTCCAGGTCTCGAGAGGCTACACCCGCCGCCGAGTCTGGAGCGAGTACGTCCCTCACAACATTCCGGGTGCCAGATGGTCTCGACCCGGAAGTTTTCCACGCGCTTCCAGACGACATGAAAGCGGAAGTGCTAGCCTCATATGCTCGAGAAAACCAGCCTAACTCCCGGCCCCAGTCTCCCAGAAAGGATCGACTGATTACTACCACCAAGAAGACGACGCCAACCAAACGTCGTGTTCCTGGGCTCTTCGCACGCACAAAGGAAAGGCAGGCTGATGCGTCAGCAAGGGTCGTGCAGACAAGCTTGTTCGCAAATAGGCCAAGCAACGGAGAATCTCTGTTTGGGATAGACGACGTAGAAGAGTTGGACCCAGAGATCCTGGCTGCTTTACCTGCAGATGTGCGCAAAGAGGTCATTGCCGAGCACCGGCGCAAGAAAGCCCAGCGCTCTGGATTAGATCTCAAAATCAACCAGAGAAAGCTGCAAGACATAGACGGCATGGATGATGCTCTGCAAGGGGGCCAGATGAGACTGCACTTTCCAGCTCGGCCTACCAAGGTGGCTTTTACTAGCGGAGGCCTCAAAACTCTCGTTGAGATTCGCGACATGCTGACCGTCTGGTTCAACGAGACACAGGCCGATGGACCACACCAACGGGATGTCGAAATGTTGGAAAAGTACCTCGTCAAGGTCGTTCTGGAGGAAAAGGACATGGGAAAAGCGGTCAAGCTCGTTAAGTGGCTCGATTTCTTGGCGGATGACAGCGAAGATGTCGCTGCCAAGGGCAGGGGGGTTTGGATGCAAGTTGTACAGAAACTCAGGACAGACCTGGACACTGCCATGAAGTGTAGGGGCCTGGGTTCCCTGAACTGGTCATGATTCTGGCATTCTACGTTGTATCTGTTGTTGCTATTCTGGCGAACAGACAAGATATTCTAATAGCGCATTCCAGATGTCTAGTAATGACAATGTCATTAGCAGCTTGGAGAAATGTCCATACGTACATGATTCCGCCCTGGCCTACATCACGGCCAGCTCAATCGCGGAGTATGTCGACCACATGCTCTCTGCATGCCACAAAGGGCGCGAGGTGAGGCGTTGTTGCTTGATCCCGCGCCGGAGCGTTCTTGGACACGTAAAACACCGACTTACAGCCAAAATCAGAGCTCCCTGGTGCCATATACAGAATCTCCAAGCACAACCTGGCTTGTGCTCAAGAGCTTGCCCACGTCGACGTGCCGCATACTGGTCTTCCGCTCCAATAGGGCGATATTTGGTTTGGGCAGGTGCTGCCGAACACAGATCATTGGTGGGCAGACGTGGCAACGAAGTGCTGCGGAGCTCAAAGAATACTTGCTTTGGTCGAGACCTCAAAAAGGTTTTCGATGATCAGCCGTCCTTGGGCTTCTCTGCAAGATCACCGTCCGTGCTTGTTGTTGGCTCTCCTTCGGCATCAAAGCCCAAAGCAGCCAGTTCTCTCACGAGCTCGTTAATCTTGATGACCTTGGCAATCTGCTCGGGCAACAGGGCCTCGCCGCCTTCCTTCTTGTCCTTGAGGTCTCTCGCCTGCTTGAGCTTTTTGCGCAGATTCCGAGCCTTCTTCTCCCTCTCGACTTCGGGGTCGACCTCTTCTGCCTGGACGGCCTTTGAATCTGCGGCAGGAGCAGCCTCGGGTTGGTCCGACTCTTTGGCCTTCTTGCGTGCCTCGCGGCGCTTGGCATTCTTATTGCTGGCCGCGGAGGCGGCAGGAGTCTCTGCAGGCTGTGCCTTCTTGAGCCCTTCGGCGCCAATGACACCACCCGTCTTGCCACGGTTGCGAAAGCCCTCGGCGGTCCGGTTCTTGTAAAGCTCGACATCCTCTGGGGGCCTGTAGCCCGGGCGGATCTTGATCGCCTTGCGAGTGCTTCCGTCTGCGCGTACGGACTCGGGAATGTGTCGATCGCCGCTCGTCTCGTCGGTGACGATGCCGGATTTTGTGGGTTCGGAGGGCATGCTGGGCAAGAGTAGTCTGCAGAGCAATGCACTGTCTGGTGAAAGCGGCGAAATGAATGTGGATGGGAGTCGAGGTGGCTCTGTAGCGGTGCAGAGCACACAGCTCCAGGTCTAGCCCAGCATGCAAAGCTCGGAATGCTGCCACTTTAGAAATCGTGGGTTGAGCCGAGACGAACGCTCAAAGTGGAGGCTCGGAGGGGTGTAAAAGGCTTAGCTAAGTCAGTTGCGCCTGCAAAGCGGCTCTGGAGGGCTGCCGCTCTAGAAAATATGGGTCAAAGTGACGCTTGAGCCAATTGAAACACCGTCAATTCCAAGGCCTGCCGTGGCCATCGCCAGTTCTTCCCGATCCATCGAGTCGACGTCGAACCCGTCAAAAGCTACGCTTCCGCACCATCCCGACCGCATCACCGCGCCCCATCAATCGAGGCTTACTGTAGGACCACACTCGGTGCCCGCTGTCAAGAAGATTATTCGCAATGGTGAGTGCCTCCCATCGGCGTAGAGCGATGTGGATTGATCGGTACTAATCGCGCAATTCTGCAGGCCCCCATCTACAAGCAAGTTTACCCCAAACCCGGAACCGACGTATCGCAGCGACGACATGAAAGCGGCATGATCATACGAGCAGTCTCCCGGGCACACGTAACTAACATCGTGGGCGAAACAGCACCTTCTTCCGCCGTAACTGGCAAATGCTCGGCCTCGTCTTCGGCTCGGCCTTCGTCTTCGAGATGTGCGTATTTGCGACCAACTAAGCGGGATCCCAATCGACCGGATACTCGCACCGCTCACGAGCTCAGCATACTGATGGTCGGAAACAGTGCTTATGACAACGGCATGAACAAGGTCTGGGACAACTTGAACCGCGGCGTAAGTTCATCCCCAGAAAGCACCAGTCATGCTCTCGAGCATGGATCTTGATTGTCAAGACGTATCAGCTAATGCGATCACAGCGTCAATGGAAGGACATCAGACACAAGTACGTCGAGGCCGCTGAGGAGGAGGAATAGATACGACGAGGACGATTACAAGGACGAAGAGTCAACTTTTGCTCGATGCTGGGCGACAATGAGCAGCCAGCGGTCGGCGAAGCTGTACACTTGTACATTATAGAGATGGAGAAAAGCCAATATTAAGAGATCAACCCGTACCCTGGTCCAGAGCACAACAAGCCACGACTGTGACCGGGACACGACCACAGCCATCGTGTACATACACTGCGATGAGTACCACAGACCTTTCTTGGTGTTTCCGAGGGTGCAATAAAAACATCCACGAGATCAGCATGTCCAGGTTCTAGGATGTGCGAATGTGGTCACTTTCTCGCGGCTCAACAGTGCGATGCATGGCGCAGGACTTCATGAGCTCGCCATTGTGATGGTATCTAGATAGTCTCTTTCGTAAATTGGAACAGAACAGGCTGATTTCGGTCGTCTACTGAGTGGTTCAGTCGCCTCCAGTCACATAGGTAAGGTACCTGTATATAACGAACTGGCACGGAAGAGGAGACATGAAAGGCCGGGTTGTCATACAAGAGCCGTTCAAGCTGCGGAACAAACAAGCGACTTCCCCTTGTATCACCGGCCTCGCTGGCTCATATAGTAGAAAACTTCCCTTGCCCCGAAGGATTTACAGCACTGCTCAAATAGGTCAAGGAATCCAATGGGAGTGGGCAGCTTCAGTGATGCGATCAGTCATTTAAGCCCATTTGCAGCTTAGTCACGTTGAATTGTGATGTGATGCGTGCAGCACGTATGCGGACCCGTCATAGTCCCTTGCCCACCCCGCGCTCCACCACCCGATGGTCCAGGACATACAAAGACACACGCTCAACACTATATTTTTTGAGCAGTTGTGAAAGACCCAGAAACTCATTCTCCAAGGAGGAGGTCTGCTTGTCTTCTGCTTCTTCTCGAATCACAAACTTGCCTTCGCGAGCAATTCAACAGGCAATACTTCCAGCTGCTTCTCCCGAGCCCCACCTTCATAAGTCGACGAGCGTCGTGAGCTGTTGCCTGCACCCGAAGTCGCTCGACAAACGAGAAAGACCTCGACCTCTTGATAGCTACAGAATGATCGCCGAAAGTCTGTAACAATGGAGGCCACGATGACGACACAGGAGCTCCAGCTCTGTCAGCATTTGATAGAGCTGCCTCGACAGCACAGCTACCGCTACACCGATGGCGCATGTCGCGACCTCCTCTACAACTTGTTCTGGTCGATGGCAGGTGGGAAGCCAGAATATATGCGACTATTCTTTCCTGACGGGAAGCTCTCACCAAAGGGGATTCTCAAGCTGCGCGACGCCCAGGGTGCCGTGGATGGAGCGGAATACACAGAGGCTGCTCGTGGCAAGGCGTGCGGCCACATCTTTAGGGCAGGCGAGGTCACTTACGGCTGCCGAACCTGCAGCACTGACGAGACCTGCTGCCTGTGCAGCAAGTGTTTCGAGGCGACAGATCATACGGGCCACATGGTACGGATATCCATCTCGCCTGGGAATAGCGGATGCTGTGACTGCGGAGATCCGGAAGCATGGAAGACACCGATGTTTTGCACCATACACAGCCTCCGCGAGGACCAGCGCTCCAAAGGCAAAGAGAAGGAGACGCCTGCACTGCCGCAGGATCTCGTCGACAACATTCGCATGACGATATCCCGTGTCCTCGACTTCATCTGCGACGTCATATCCTGCGCTCCCGAACAGTTGCGACAACCCAAATCCAGAGAATCGATCGAACGAGATGAACGGCAATCGCGGCTCTCATCATCCTACTGTGGTGGCGACACGGAATCACCTGGGGAGTTTGCGCTATTGCTTTGGAACGATGAGAAACACACAGTCACAGAGGTGCAAGAACAGGTCGCCCGCGCCTGCAGCACGACATCAGAAGATGGATATAACGCTGCTGTAGAGACCGACACCATCGGCAGAAGCATTCTCAAATACGACAGTAACATCGACAACTTGCTGTATTGCGCGACCGTTCTTGAGCAAATTAAGATCACTGTCACCATACGGTCCTCTCGCGACACATTCCGTGAGCAGATGTGCGGAACGATGATCGAGTGGCTCCATGACATAGCGGGCTGTGTTGTCGGTAGCGACGAAAACATCTTGCGGACAGTCATCTGCGAAGAGCTTCTGAAGCCCTGGCGAAAGGGAAGCCCTGCGTCTCACGCTATTGCTGGCAAGGACGGCATCGAGGACGAGGAAAAGCTGGATCGTTATCACATCGATAGTCAAGCTGCAGCAATCTTCATCCGACGAGCAAGGATCATCGCGGAGGACGGAAACGGAGGGATCGACATTGACTTCGACGTTGACACCGACGACGACGACGAGCTCAACGACACGCCACCTAGTGGGGATGAAATAGATGAGGACGTCAACGATTTCGATGATGACGATGATGGTGATGAGGACGTCCTCATGCTTGATTCCAGAGGCGAAAGCTCGAATGATGTCAACATGGGCGGATGGAGCGGGGGACCGATTGGGGAGGCGCTCGAAGAAGAGGAGGCGACCATGGCCGGATATCCTCCACCGCCTCCGCCACCTGCGGCAGCGGCAGCTGTTGTTCCCCGCGTGGTTACGACACGAGACAGAGAGTTGACACCCTCGGACTCGGACACAGCCGAGCCTCTGATTGCTCCTTCGGTATATGCCAAAATCAATCTCGAGGTCCCAAAGACTCCCGGGCACTCAAAGGCCGACAAGTCCAGTCCGCCACGGCCTGGTCGCTATTGGGTTGAAACACCAGCCGCTTACGTGGAGCGAAATAACATCCACCCATATGAGGATGTGTTCCAGCGTGTACGGCTTGACTGGCTGATCCTGTTCGATTTACGAATGTGGAAAAAGGTCAGGAACGACCTCCGGTCCTTGTATATCTCTACAGTTGTGACGATACCAGAGTTCAAGCGAGTCCTAGGACTGCGGTTCTCTGCCTTGTACACGCTCCTGGCGCAATTGTATCTGATCGGCGATCGAGAGCCCGACCATTCCATCATCAATATCTCTCTGCAGATGTTGACAACCCCGTCCATCACGGCAGAAGTTGTTGAGCGTGGCAATTTCCTGACGACGCTCATGGCCATTTTGTATACGTTTTTGACAACACGCCAGGTCGGCCATCCCTGGGAGGTCTCATCTACAGGCACTCTTGGTTTCGACACGGGCTCTGTCACAAACAGGCGCATGTATCACTTCTACATGGACATGAAGTACCTGTTCGGTTCCCCCCAGGTTCAAGAACGGCTGCGGGTGGAAGACAGATATCTAATGCAGTTTCTTGACCTTGTCAAGCTGCACCAGGGTATATGTCCAAATGTCCGGGCTGTTGGCGAGCACGTTGAGTACGAAACAGACAACTGGATTGGCGCCTCATTGATGACGCGGGAGATCAACAGGCTCTGCAGGCTGATTCCCGACTCATTTCGAGGGTTGCAAGAACCCGAGTGGCCCTATGTGTCCAGAGCAATCCGCACCACCGCGAAGCAGGTCATCATCAACTCCATTGGCGCTGAAAGAGGGCGCTTCACCCAGTCGGAGATCAAGGATGAAGTCCGCTTCAAGAGTTTGAGTGACTTCGAGTTTGCTGGTGTCAGTCGTTTCGAGGTGCCCAAGTTCGTAGTCGAGGAACAGCCCATCAGTTTCCACCACGCTCTTCATTACACGCTCTCCTGGTTGATAGAGTGCGGCAAGCACATGCCGGCGTATCAGCTGAGCTCGCTCTTGAGCTTCACAGCGCAGGACCTCAAAATGAAACCACGTTCGATGGGCCGCAAGAATCTGCCCAAGCGCGACTATGCCCCTGAAGACTATCTCATGGCTGCATTTGACTACCCTCTGAGAGTTTGCGTATGGCTTTCTCAGATCAAGGCGGGCATGTGGGTGCGCAATGGAATCAGTCTTCGCCACCAAGCAGGCACTTACAGAAATATTCTCCACCGCGATGTTACACACGCACGAGACATATTCCTTCTCCAGACAGCGCTGGTTGTCTGCGACCCGAGCCGCGTCCTTGCATCTATCGTTGACCGGTTTGGAATGGACAAATGGGTCAAGGGATTGTACGAGCAGACCTCGGCTGGGCAGGATGAGACGCAGCATTTGGATGTGGTGGAAGACATGATCCATCTTCTCATCGTCCTTCTCAGTGACCGCATATCTCTGATTCCCGTTGCCGACGAGCATGAGAACCACCTCATGGCCATGCGGCGCGATTTGGCTCATGTACTCTGTTTCAAGCCACTCTCGTTCAACGAAATCTGCAACAAGCTGCCCGAGAAGCTTACTGAGCAGGACGACTTCTACCAGGTTCTCGATGAGGTAGCAACATTCAAACCACCCGAAGGTGTTTCCGACGTCGGCACTTTCGAACTCAAGACACATTACGTGGAGGACATCGATCCATACATTGCTCACTACAGCAAGAACCAGCGCGAGGAGGCTGAGAACGCCTACCGTTCACACATGGCGAAGAAGACTGGCAAGGCTATCGACGAGATAGTATTCGAGCCACATTTGCGACCTATCCCGTCAGGCGCCTTTGTCGGCCTGCCCTTGTTCACAGGCACTGGCATGTTCGCTCAAATTATCTACTACAGTCTGCTGTATCCCCTCGTCTCAGCCAAGACCACGGCATCAGTCCCGTTTACAAGAGTCGAGACATTCTTGCACGTGGTCCTGCATCTCATTCTCTTGGCTATCGATGAAGAAAAGCCCGGTTCACCCACGTGGAGTCGAGAGACTTCTTTCATTTACCAGGCCCTGACCACTCAAGGTCGTAGCAATTTCATGGCTGAAGCACCAGCTGCCAAGACCATAGTCTCGCTCCTGGAGATGATGACCTCAAAGGAGGAATTTAAGGCTTGCCACCTCAAGATTGAGCTGATACTCAAGCGGATGCGCCAGAAGCTGCCTCAGCATTTCGACGTGGCGTGTGTCCGTCTCGGGATTCCTGTCGACCGAATCGACACCGCTTCGCCGGCCAGCGCGCAGAACGCGGAGGAGGAGCGTGAGCGCAAGAAGCAAGCCGCCATGGCGCGGCAGGCCCGGGTCATGGCTCAATTCCAGCAGCAACAAAAGAGCTTCCTTGAGAGCCAAGGTGACGTTGACTGGGGTGACGAGGAGTTGGATGCTGCCGAGGATGAGGAGCCTAGCGAGGAGCGCAAGAATTTCTGGAAATATCCAAAAGGCACGTGCATTCTCTGTCAGGAGGACGCGGACGATGGACGCCTATATGGCACTTTTGCCCTATTCACACAGAGCAAGATCATGCGGCAGACCGACTTCCAGGACCCTGATTTCGTCAGAGATGCTGCCAACACACCCATCAACCTTGACCGTTCTGCCGAAGACATCCGCCCCTTTGGTCTGGCACACGAGAACCGGGACATGGTAGAAAAGATCAACGCTGCTGGTGAGCCATTCTTGGCTGAAAGACAAGGCGTGGGGAAGGGTTTTCCAGCACAGCTGTGTCGCTCTGGCCCAGTAGCTGTCGGCTGCGGACACATCATGCACTATAGCTGTTTCGACATGTATGGCGATGCTACAGTCCGCCGGCATGGTCACCAGATTGCGCGACATCATCCCGAGTCTCTCGATCGTCTCGAGTTCGTTTGTCCCCTTTGCAAGGCGCTTGGTAATGCCTTCCTTCCTATTCCGTGGGAAGGGAAGGAAGAGTGCTACCCTGGATGTTTGCAGACGGAAACGGAGTTTTCTTCGTTCATCGACGAGAATATCGCGTCAGAGCATTTCAACGACTCTGATGCGCAAACTCTCAACGAGGAAGCCCAGGCGGCATTTGCAAACTATGTGCGGCTTCGCATGCCCGAAAGGTTACAAGAAGGCACAAATCAGCTCGTCATGGATTCCTGGCGACCCGAACCTCGATCTCCTTCGTCGAGCGTCGCGTACAGTGCTTTTAGTGATGCCTTTTCCGTTGCGACACCGGAGTCGAGTGTGCGTTCCAGGTCGCCATCTGGGTCTCACGCTGGAGACAAGGATCTCATGGCAGTGTATCGAAGACTGCGCGAGACCCTCCACCAGAACAAGCTTACGCCGAAAATCAATACCGAGACGAAAGAGGACGATCTGTATGGCAGCAGTACTCTTGCGCAAGCTGTGGGCGTCTCTATTACAGCTGCCGAGATACAGCAACGAGGTGTCGAGGCCCAGTATGGCATGACCTTGCTTGATAAACTGCCTGAACACCTTCTCGTGCAGTTGCGGATTCTATCAGAGACGGTGGCTTCCTACTTGTCTATAGGCGGCCTCAGATTCTCCGGAGATAATCACATCAGTCAAGAGTTCCGCCGCGACAGCGATCTTCAGCATCGCCAGTTGTTCTCTGCCATTTACGGCATCAACAAGGATGGACCTCCGAGCGCGCTCACCAATCAGCCTTCCTTGCTCAGTCAGGACCCGTTCATCTTCCTTTGCGAGTCAGCTTTCGGCGTTGCTATCGCGAAGGACATAGAAATCATGCATCTTGTCCGACTCTGCTACCTGGCAGAGATCGTGAGGGTTGTATTTCACATGTCCCGCAATATCGCATTCGGAAAATGGGTGGAAGACATGGGGAAGCGGAACACGGACGACGCGGCTTTGGGCAATTTTGCCAATTTCTGCCACGCGATTACAATGGCAGGCATGAATGCCAGCCATGAAGCCTCTGAAGAGGCTGACGACCTTCCCAACATCGGCTTTGACCAGCCGATGCTGGAAGGGTTGGCAAACATCCAGTCTTTTGTCAAGAAGTATGCATTGGTGTTCTTGCGCAAGGTCGTTATTCTCCTCCACGTCCACTACGGAGTAGACTTCAACAGCCACACATCGACCTGCCCTGATGCGGATGAGTTGACTCGACTGACGGCTGCGCTGCGCCTGCCATCCTTTGACGAGATGTGCGCAGCTTTGACTCCCTTTGGTAGAGAATGCGGATGGTCCGCAAACACGACTGATCTGGTCCGAGGCTGGATTCGTCATCAAGTCATCTGGACCAGCACCAACCCAGAAGGCGTTGGCAGCAATGACAATGTTCAGCTGTCCAAATCTGCCTGCGTCAGCCATCCAGGTATCTTCGAGCTGGTTGGCCTTCCAAAGACGTACGACACCCTCATCGAGGAGTGCGCACGACGAAGATGTGCCAAGACCGGCAAAGATCTGGCCGACCCCGTAGTATGCCTCATGTGCGGCGAGAGCTTCTGTGGTCAGACTATGTGCTGCATGATGGAATACCGCGAAGAACCACACAAGCCGGTCATGCGGATCGGTGGTGCCCAGCAGCACATGCTGTTTAAGTGAGTACATCCTGTCTACATATTACATTCACGAAAGCACGCTTTCACGGGATTTTGCGAGCCTCGACTAATCCGGATCCCTTTTCCTTTGACACAGGTGCCAAGGCAACATCGGCCTCTTCATCAACATCCGCAAGTGCGCCATATTCTACCTGCACCGGACATCGGGCAGCTTCAGCCACGCACCATACATTGACAAGTGGGGCGAAGTCGACATTGGCCTGCGGCACGGCAGGCAGCTGTTCCTGAACCAGCGCCGATACGACACGATGCTGCGCAATCTGTGGCTTGCGCATGGCATCCCGAGCTTCATTAGCCGCAAGCTTGAGGCGGACATCAACAACGGAGGGTGGGAGACTATCTGATTGATCGCATCAGATGAGGAGACACGGAGATCGAAGCAGTGGGGGAAGAAGAGCGCAATATGCAGGGTAGATTAAGAGGAAAGACGGGCAAGGCATTTTCTCCATAAGCACAAGAGCATCGTTTCTTTCGCGGATTGGTCATTGGAGCAGTTGCAGCACATGTATTGGTTACGCGCCGCATGGTATCAGAAGTACGAATGATGACTTTCACAGACACAACATGTATTACACCGCAGCGTGAGATCTGCACTCAAGTTGGTGCTTTGGCCACTCTTGACGGTACCAGCAAGAGCATTCGGCAGAATGAGCGGCACATTTCATGATGACTCCATGCACTTTTCCTGTCTGATGATACCATCAGCACGTGCCAAGATTTCTTGTAGGGCCTAGCTACTGAGGTGCATATGGCGCATCAGCTTTGCTCCAATTTGACACCCGCCTCGTCGAGCACGACGTCCTGCATCTCGGTATCCCCATTCTCGCCGGGTATCGGCGTTTCATCCCCGATAGTGTTTTCGCCAGTCCCGTTTTGTTTCACGCCATTGACGTGCTTTTCTCCATGCAGTTGGCCCTCCTCCTCTTCGCCCTCCTCGGCGCCGTTCAGCAGAGTCTCAGGCCGCCGGTGTTGGTACACGCGAATCTTGCAGTCCTGGCCCGCGCTGACGAGCGTGTCCCCGTTGACGTCGACCCAGAAGCAGACGCCATCGTGGCCGCGGTCGATGCGCTGTATGACCTGCTTGCTCTTGACGTCCCACAACACGATGCTTCCGTCCTCGCTGCTGGAAGCGATGAACGCCTCGCCGTCAATGGTACCGAAGCACCCGCCTATGCTGAACCCCTTGTTGACATGGCCCTGATAAGTCTTCTTGACGGTGCCAGAGACATAGTTCCACAAGCGGATGCAGCTGTCCATGCTGTGGGCTAGCACGAAGCGGCCGTTTGGTGAGAAGCATACAGATGTGACTGGTGGGTTGTCCTCGTGGACGAGTGTCCGCAAGCACTGCCCGGTTGCCGTGTCCCATATACGACTGCGGCAAAGTGTCTTTGTTAGTTATGCTAGAGCCGAGAAATACCAGGCGGTGTTTGTCACTCACGTCAGGCCGTCTGTGCTGCAGCTCACGACCAAAGTGCCGTCGCAGCAGAAATCAATCCCGCTGACTGGATCGCTATGCGCCGGCAAACTTCGCATCAAGCGCCCAGCCCGCACGTCCCACAGGAAAACAGCCTCGTCGTAGCTTCCACTAGCTATGATGTTGCCCTTTGGCGAGAAGGCCAGGCAGTAGACATAATTGTGATGCCCAAGCAGAGGCTTCGCGCGCTTCGGCCGCCCCGTGACCCTATCCCACAACCGAATTGCCTTGTCGTCGGACCCTGTTGCCAGGGTCTCGCTATCTGGAGCCCACGCCACGGCAGAGACTCCAGCCATGTGTCCAATTAGAGTATCCATATGCTGACCGGTGACTGCATCCCAGATGCGAATCGTGCCGTCGGCGGAGGCGGAGGCGATCCAGCGCCCGTTGGGAGAGATGCGGACTTGTGAGATGGGCTTCTGATGTCCGGACAATACAAGACGCGGTCTGAAATCTGGTCTCGCAGCACGCGCCAATGGCGATGGAGAGGGCTGTTTACTGCGGGCATCGTGGAAAGAACTCGAGGATCGAGAGCCACTTCTTGACCGCGATTGTGTCGGTGATTGCGAACGAGCATGGGAGCGCGAGCGGGATCGAGAGCCGGAGGTTGACCTTGAGCGGGATCGTGAGCGCGACCTACTGGCCGAGTCGACTCTGTGTCGTCTTCGCGCCGGCGAGTTGGACCTGGTTCTGGAATGCAGGCTGTCTTCTGACATGGCGCGATCTCTGGACTTGCGCCGCGATGTTGACCGTGACCGCTGCCTGGACCGCGGCCGGGATTGTGGTTCAGGATCAGAGTCGGCAGATTGTGACTGAGATGGTTTGGTCGTGAAGCGGTCGGCTCTGGACCTCTGGGTGTCTAAGCCATCGTCCGAGTCGATGGCCTTGTCGCGGATCGGCACGTTGAGCTTGTTACGACCTGCCTGCACGTCGCGCCCACTGTGAGAATGGCTGTCATCATCGTCCTCGTCCTCGTCGCTGCTGACTCTTCTTCGCTTCGAGGGCGGGTCACGCAAGGGTCTGTCGGCGGGCATGACGACGTCTCGGGTGGGGGGTTGTCAAGGTCGGGTGCTACGATGACTGCATGGTCTGAGCAGGTAACAGACGGCGGTGGTGGCGGTGATTGATTGCCTGGCAAGAGGTGCCTGGGATGGAAGGTCACCGGGACGGTGAGGGCCTGCGTTGAGCCGATCCGGCTGGCTGGGGAGCAATGGGCGTTGTTTGCTGTTGTGCGGTACGGTAGTGGCGCATGTGATGGTGGTGGTGATGGAGTCAATGCCTAATCTGCTATCGGCAGCGGCCAAAAAAGTTGACGGTTTACGTAGGTACGCGCCCCGCGCGTCTCGCCAGGACGTCAGCGCGCGGTGTGCACGTGGGCTGGGGACCCTGGGCGTGCAATTTGCAGCTGCAGCCGAGACCCTGGCTCATCTCCCAGAAGATGTGTTTGTGCCAGGTCTGCTGCAGAGACGCCTCGACCGAGGGCAGACATAATTAGCTGCTGAAGATCAATATGAGACTGATCTCTGTAGCGCTGACTGGGTACATCTCGTGTCCGTCTCGTGGTTTTATTTTTCATGCTTGAGCCTGCTTGTGGCAATGAATACCTCGAGGTACTGTGACGGCTGTGATGGGTGTCTCAGGTGGGTTGGGTGCATGTGCAGATCGAGCACAGACGACGAGCTAAGCATCTGGTGCCTGGACGACCTTCCGCTGATGGGCAGGAACAAAGGCGGCGGCCCCACGCCCGTGGGAGCGCTGTCGAGAGGATCCCTGCACCTCAAAGTAAACACTCGACTCGCTTGACATGGGACGAGGCTCCACGACACGACTTCGGCATGGGGGCCGCTCACTAGTCGCGATCCACGTCGGCTGCTCATTTCCATTCACGTACTGCTATGTACAGACATTCTGCGGCCCGGGGCTCATGCTCGCCCTGGCCGGACCCTGCCTGCTCCTGCCTGCTTGGCTGGCCTCGTCCTCCTTCATCACTCGCCTCAGATCCGCCGCCGTAGCAATGTCTTGATCAACACCCCCAATCCCCCTCCAGGACTGTCCGGCTGTCTGTTCACTCTCTTCGTCGTTGAGCATCGCCAGAGCTGGTCTCGTCTCAACTGACAAGTCCAGGTTGATCACGACTCAACACCTGCCAGCATGGACCACCTTCCTCGCGAGGTCAACATCCTCACCTTCAATTGCTGGGGCCTGCTCTACCTCAGCGAGAAGCGCAGTGAGCGCCTCTCGGCCATTGCTCGACAACTTGTAGCCACAGAACCGACTCCGCACATCGTCGCCCTCCAGGAGGTCTGGGTCGAGGATGACTATAACCACATCCGCCGCGAAACCCGCTCCATCCTCCCGTATGGCAAGCGCTACCATGCTGGTCCCTTCGGAGCCGGCCTCGTCATCCTCTCCAAGTGGCCCATCGAGGAAAGTTCAATGCGCCGTTATCCCCTGAACGGGCGACCAACAGCCTTCTTCCGTGGCGATTGGTTCGTGGGCAAAGGCGTAGCCTGCGCGCGGATTCGCTACGGCCCGGGGGCAAAGGATATCATTGAGGTGTTCAACACCCATGTAAGTATGGCCTCGTTTCCGGGCCAGCCTTTGAGGCTAATAAGTCACTACAGGTTCATACAAAGTACGAGCACGCACCGCAGAAGGACACGTATCTCACCCACCGCATCTCTCAGGCTTGGGAACTGGCCAAGCTTGTGCGCGGAGCCGTAGAGCGTGGTCACCTCGCCATTGCCCTTGGCGACTTCAACGATGTCCCTTCGTCACTGGCGTACAAGATATTCAGCTCTGCAGCACCAGTCCACGACCTCTGGCGTGTATTGCACCCAGAATCATCCGTTGGGGACGTCGAGGATGAGTACGAAAAGGCAAGGAGGCGCTCGATCCCTACGGCACAATTTAACATTGCCGAGAACGGTGCCACTTTCGGGAGCGCCATGAATACCTGGACATGGCCCAGGTCACAGCAAAAGCAGCTCGGTCCTGGCAAGGATCCCCTAAATGTCCCACCAAACACGCGCGATGGCCAGGCACATCGTATAGACTACATCTTCGCCTCAACAGGAGGACAGACTGAGAGTGGTGAACAAGGCTGGATCGTGAAGAACGCCCGTGTGGGCATGCTCACCAGAACGCCTGATCTCCAGTGCTCTCTAAGCGATCATTTCTCCGTCGAGGCGACGCTTGCCCTTCACAGGCCCAAGCCGCCCAGTGTTCGATCGCCATCGCCAGCTACGAATGTCAGGGACGCGTTCGATCGCGGAGTCTACCTGCAGTCCCCCGCACCTTCGATCAACAGGAATTCGACAGACCTGTCAGAGTATGATTTCCAGCTTAGCGAAAGCCCGAGTGCATGGAAAGGCGGACTCGCTGCTTCTGTCTGCGATGAGATCCTTGAAATCATCCAAGACTATGCTGCCCGAGAAGAGCAACAGAAGTTATGGCGGGGGCTGCATTTTTGGGGCTGGGTTTTGGTTGCGATTGTTTGCTACGTTGGGGTATGGTTTACTCCAAGCTATGCAAGCTTCGTCCTGATGGTGCTGAGCACACTGGGTTTGGCCGCAGGGACCGCGGACGGATTGATGTCTGTTTTGTTCTTTGGCACGGAGCTGCGAGCGATCAAGGAACTCGAGTGGGAGATAACCAATGCGAAGGCTTTCGCAGGCGGCCAGGTGGAAACCTGGCACGACAGCAGGGAAGACTTGCACAATGACGAGATGCAATGATCTGTAATCATGAATGCCTTTGTTGAGTTAGTTTCGAGTTAGCGAGATACCCATTTTGTTCCTCTCTCCTTCTGTTTTGTGAGCTTGTCACCCTTCTGTGAAGTGCCTGGTTGCTTCCACAAACTGCAAGGCTTCAACACCACGCTTATTCTCCCACTTCGGCAACAACTTTCCCAGCCCGACCCGATCCCTCACTCGCCGTCACTACCACTGCTATCCTATGCAGTGTGCCATTCCTACTGGATCTTCCCACACACTACCAACATCTGTCCCCGAAGTTCGCCTCATCCTGGCAGCTCGCTGGCGGGTGCCAGCGACAGCACACGATCAGGAGACTTTGTCTGACAGTGCAACTCGCTCTTCACACTACGACATCCGCCGCTGACAAGACTCTGTAGCCGGTACAGAAGCAGGAAAACTGGCCAACTTCGCATACTTTGCCGGTTGCAGCGACCGACTCTTTCAACGCAGTTGCCAGATCTCTCTCACCGGGTCTTCACAGTCACTCACGCAACTGCGCCAATATTCACACAAGCACCTTTCCTGCTCAAGTCACGATCACTATGCCAGACGAGATCAAGTACTCGAGGAACGGCAGATCCTATCGCCTGTGGCACACAAAGCACGGCTTCACGTATGCCGCGAACTGGGTCGTCTTTCCAACCAAGTACAGATGGCACACCGACGCCTTGTACAAATGGATATGTCCCATTCGGGACTGTAGGAACATCTTCGCCAGCATCAAGGAGCTCGAGCAGCATACTATGGTACGTCTGTATCCTTCGGCCTGATCTTGTTCTGCTGGACCCCCTCGTCGCTAGCCAAGTGGTGGCATGTGAAAGTTATGCTTACCATGTCCCGTGTGCTGCTTCTAGAAACTCCACGGCGGGCTCCAACTCAACGACAACCTCGACGGCACCACGTCTGTCTTGGGCACTTGGGAGTCTGACTATCTAAAAGTCATCTCGCAGAACCGCCCGGCGCCAGGCACACCGGCACCTACCCAGCCATGTCTCCCTCCTCGCCCATCACCAGCGGGACAGCAGGAACTCACCCCGCCATCATCACCGTCTCAAGGAGGCAGTGCGACGGCTGCGATCCTCGGTTCGCCCCAATCCAGCGATGCCACTAATCCGCCAACCACCAGTGCCCACCTACATGACGACAGGGACGTCGCTGTGCCTATTGTCGAGACACCGATCACTGCGCGCCTTGAAGCAGCCAAGAGAGGCCACCAGATTCGGCGGGGGGCGATGAATACGCTGGAAGAGACTGCTGATGGTGGTTGCGACAGCCGGGCGGGGTCCCGTCCCAACGGCAATGACGACGAAGTCCTCGTTTTCGACGACGACGACGACGACGACGACGACGACGAGTGCCGTTCCCCAGGGGGTGAAGATGCTGTCTTCACGCCGCATCCCGTGACACCAGCACACTTGAACAACAGTGACTGGCCGCACTCTTCAGGAACAGCTGCCTCTGCCCAAACGGTGCTCACGCCTGCGGAATCGGCATATCCCTCTGGGCGGCCACGCCGGCGGTCTTCAGAACGTCTCTTCTTGCGACGACTCAGTGCTTCTGGGTCCCTAGCTGGCCTTGATCCTGACTCGCCTAGTGCCCGTCGGTCCGTGCGGATCCGCGAGAGAACCGAGTCATGTTTGTCAACGCCACTGAGTAAACGAAGAGCAGGCGACAATAGCAGTGCTGGTACTGGTGCTGGAAGCGCCCACGATGGCAAAGGTGCTAGACCTGAGGATGGAATGTTATCAACCAGCCGGAAGCGTCGGCCGAGCCAGACCAGTGATATCTCTGGCAATGGCCGCGAGAACAACGACCTCACCGCAGAAGATTTGTACCCGAAAAATAGCGCGGCAAAGCGCCGCGGCTTGAAGCGGCTCCAGATCCACGTCCCTCGTCACAGAGCTGACGCCATCGACAGCAGCAGCGGCGGCGGCGGCTTATACCCAGGGAAAAGGTTTGCTGACCAGGCACCATACCCGAGCCCGCCGAACTCGCAACAGGAATCAGTGGTGTCCTCATTGCCTCCAGGGATGTCATGCTGCACAGAGACTGCGAAGTACGATTCGTCTTCACCTGCCGCAGGAACCAACCTTTACTATCCTGGCAGAAGCAGCCCAGGCACCCAGCAGATGGAAGACTGGGAGATCAGCCCGGGCAAGATCAGCGCTACTATGATTCCTTCCTCATCCCTGAGCCACGGGATCGCGGAGAAGACAGTACCTTCAGTGCCGAAACCTGGCGTCGGCGGGTATCTCAGATCACCGGATCTGGCCTACTCTGCCTCCTACCTTGCGCAGCCGAGCCCCGTCCCTTTGAGTCCTGGTGTGGGGTCCCATGTTATCACCGTCAACTCCGGTGACCAACATCGTTTCCCGGCCTGCAGTGTTGGCACTACCGGTAACGATGGCGGCAGTCGTGAGCAAGGGAAGAAGGAGAGGGTGTGCATCGTGACCTCGGGAAAGGCTATCGTGAGGATGAACATGGCAGGAATGTCGTTGCAGAGGAAGGACAACGGTGCGGCCACGTACGGTGGCCGGGATAGCCCGGCACCGCAGCAGGAGTTTGTCGTCGGCCAGAACAGCTTATTCAGGGTCCTGCCCGGAGCCGAGTGCCTGGTCTCGAACCGGTGGCGTGAGCAGCTCGTCTTGCACGTTGTGGAGATTGCGTGTTAGGCGAGAGAGATAAGAGGGACTCCGGGCGGCGTCCCGGAGTTGGGGACAGGCTAGGTCTTGTTGGTTAGTGACGTGGCGTCAGACGGCCCTCAGATATAGAGGTTCTCTGCTTTGACTTGGGATGGGCCTGGGAACAAGAAAAAAGGGCATGAGGGATTTGGATTCTGTCAGGCTTGGAAAGCTCCGCTTTGTTGGGGATCTAGAAGCAGCTCAGGGCGGCAAAGCCATCGGTCGCATCATTTCATGTGGATAATTAGTCATGAGTACAGGACTCTGAAGATAGGAAGTGGCAGATGGAAAAACAGAAGGGCCGTCTTGTGAACAATGAATGCTGAGAATTGACAGGTATCAAGTGAGAACAAGGTCTACAATCTGGGGACCTGGATGGTGTCCGACAAGCTTGCCTGTTAAATACAGAGTCTCGCGGCCGTTGAGACTTCAATTGACGAGGTTTCCCGATCTGGATCCCATTGCTGCGTGATTGGCCCAGGAGATGCCAAAGGTGCATGCAGGAAGCGTAACATGGCGGCGTGGAGGGGATTGTCAGTGTCATCCCCCCCCCGCCTTGCTTGGATCTGCATGCAACTCTAAGTCGTCATTGGGCTACCACCAGACTGGACTGTGAAGCGAAGCCAGGCTGGCTGATTGACCACTCTGTCCATCCTCTCTCCTCATTCTTCCGCCGGCGACAAGCTGGCCCACGAGAATCCGGACAACCCCACCACCATACACGACACTACTCGTGCACCACGCCACGTCCGGTGTGGCGTCGAGGGAAATGAGTAAATGACAACCAAGCATCTGAATAATGCACCACGCCGGCTTATCATCGTTTTCCCCACCGCCCCCGAGCCGGGCTACCCAGCCTCGCCAGCCACCAAAAGATGGGGTAAAAGGCTGAAGGGACCCCTGGGACCAACCAAACAGGGGACCATCGCCGGTGAAGCCCGGCGAGCAGGCATTGCTCAATGAGCCGGGCCGGGATAAGTGCCGTTGCAATGCCCCTGGGCACGGGCAATCATGACCTATCTGGGCAGCCGGCCATGACGCTGCGTGCCTGGGGTCTCCCTAGACCGCACATGCCCAAGAAGCCGGGCCCGTGGGCGTGCGTGTCATGGGCTCGTGACGAGCAAGCTTCCGCACCAACGCAGATAGGCCTTTTCGGCGGAATCGGCCGTCCCTGTTCCCCGCATAATTCGGCTGCTCTCTCCCTCTGCTTTCATGCGGCTCGGCGGCCCAGCATGGTGGTATCGTTGACATGAGATGGGACCAGGGGGGGTGGTAGCATGACGAGAAGAAGAAGAAGAATAATAATAATAAAGGGAGACGGCACTCCACGGGCCTCCACGACGACGTCTCTTGACCTCACCCAAGTCGAGGCTTCTTCCCAGCTCAACTTGTCTCTGCGGTCTTCCTCAAGTCCCTCTGTCCGCCCGTAGCGCAATCCTGTCTTGTGTGAGGACGTCTCAGCGCTTCTCTTCACGCCAGCCATGAAGTCCTCTCTGACCTTCGCCACCGCTGCCGCGGTCGTGGCATACTGCTCCGGCAGCGTCGCGCTCGCCAAGTGCCATCCGGGCGGCGGCCATCACTACTCGCCCAACGCGCAGCAGCTGCTCGACGAGTCGATGGAGTGGATGGACCGCTACTACGACAGCGAGTTTGGCTACCTGTACGACTTTGGCGGCGCGTCGGCCCTGCGCCACGAGACGCGCAGCTCCGTCTGGTACTCGCTCGGCCTGCTCGCTCGCAACGGCAAGGGCGACGCCGAGGAGGCCGAGAAGATCCTGTCGCTTGTGGTGGACGCGCAGTACAAGAATGTGTCGGCGCAATGGTAGGTTTTTATCCTCTCCCCAAATGACGTGGATGTATATGCTGCATGGCACGAGGTTGCTGACTTGGGAGAAACAGGTATGGCGACTACCAGGTGTACCCTGAGGAGCCGGAATTGGCGACAGACACTTACCCTGCCGTCATCTACAACTCGTAAGTTGGCATTCTCTGTGCTTGAGCTGTGAGCGTGCCGGGGAAGACTAAGTTTTGTTTTTTTCCGCGCCTTAGCTGGGATCCCAATTGGCGTGGCTTTATTGGCACGGTCATGGTCATCATCCTCGAGGAGTTCAGCGGCCTCCTCAAGAACGAGACTCAGGACCTGCTCGTGGCCTCGCTGTACAACACGACTATAGGCGACACCTACCGTGTTGGTGGCGTGGACGACGACAACCTCTACCCTGCGTACAGCAACCCGGTACGTTGACCTGCCTGACCAATCCTCAGATTGTCGAGCTTTCCAAGCTTTCCAAAACTAATTCAGCAAATCATCTGTAGTCCATCATGCGCGCCTTTGTCTCTGGCTGGGTCGGCCGCCGCGTCAACGACCAGAACATGACCGATGCCGGCGAGATGTATGCCCAGGAGATCATTGACCTCTTCAGCATGAGCAACACTCTGTCCGAGTTCAACTCGGGCACTTACACTGGTGTTTCGACCTTTGGCCTCACGCTCTGGGCCAAGTACCTGCCCAAGACCTCCATCATGGGCCAGAAGGGCCCCGAGATGCTCCTCGAGACCTGGAAGGCGGTCGCCAAGCTGTGGCACCCGGAAATGAAGAACATGGCCGGCCCCTGGGATCGCTCGTACGGCTACGACATGAACCGGTATCTGAGCATCATGGCTCTGTGGTTCTGGACGTGAGTCGTCTCTTCCTGCCTCTGCTTGTGGTTCTTGAACGAGTTGGCCATTCTGACCTGGTTTTTCCTCTACAGCATCATCGGCAAGGAGAACTCCTCTCTGATCAAGCGGGTAAGTCCCAAAGCTCTCACATTCTCTGCCAACTCCCCCCCCTCCTCTCAAGTGCGCCAGCCGTGAACTAACCAACCGCCCGCGGCAGCCCGAGCTCATGTCCCACTCTGCCGACTTTGCCTTCGCCCCCATGGTCGTCGTCCTCACCGACTTCCTCGAGAGCTTCCTGCCAAAGGACCTCAAGAAGTCGCTGACCACCTTTGACGTCGAGGAGCGCACCTTTGACGCCCAGGCCTTCTACCCCCCTTACGACACCATGCCGCGCAACATCAGCACCTGGCTGAGCCACAACCTCACCATCGGCGCCGAGTCTTTCAACCAGACCGACCTCGGCGGCCCCGCGCGCTCCCAGGAGGCCTTCAACCCTGTCGTCGCGCAGTGGAAGGTCGGCAGCGAGATTGCCTTCCTCTCTGTGAGTTACACCCTCGAAATTGTCTTGTTCTCTACTCGTCGTTCATGATTTGCTAAACGTGGACCTCAATTCCAGCTCTACCCCACCGAGAAGGCCCTCCAGGCCAAGGTCTCTCCCGGCAAGGTGTCCATCAGCTACCCGCGCGGCACGAGCTCGTCCATCTTCAGCCTGATGGTGTCGACCTTTAGCACCCAGCGCACCGTCAAGACCCTCGAGGACATCCAGGGCCTCGACCTGACCGTCACGGGCAACGTGGACCTCGACTACACCCTCACCTTTGCCGGGCAGTACGGCGGCAGCAGCAAGCGGCTCCGCGACTTTGAGCTGTGGAACTTCACCTACGTCATGCCCGCGGACTTTGTGGGCACGCCCGAGCTGAACCTCGAGTTTGCGCTGTGGTAGTAGGAGTTTTTGAAGAAACTTGAATGAGGGGCCCGAGAGATTTAGGTCTGTTCGGATTCATGGCGATGCCACCTATAGTTAATCAGAGGAGAGATGGTGCGCTTCTGGGCCACGACTTGCATGGCAACCAGAATGCTCCTTCTCCGTTAATTCATCCGCAAGGATTGAGACTTCACGAAACCTGCACTGGATCTCTGTGAAGAATTGCATCTAATCTCGAGTGTCTAGTGTCTGATAAAATCTGTCTCTATTTGGTAGGTGCATATATCGGTCCTCATGCAGTGCTTAACATTTATCGATGGCAATCTCGAATATCGATCTGCCACCGATTCATGTGGCATTTGTAGAGCTCTGCTCTTCTTGACACGCCTCCAACGACGATGACAGTTCGGAGCCCTTCAGAAGACGAAGGAACAGGTGGTTGTCCTCCGGCAATCTTCCGTGGTCGAATATTTGGAGATAGAAAATAGTCCCTTGGCAACCTTGCCTAGTGTAGTCTACCTTTCGCCACTTCTCATGGCGGACCCATGACTGGACATGCCCTTGCACAATGCTAGACCATAGTCGGGGAAAGCCTGAATGATGCCTCAGGAAATCGGCCACAAGTCTGCTGTGAGTTTCTAAACGGCTCTTGAGACTCTCCATTGTTCTCAGTATTAGCAGTTCTAGTGACGGGGGCAGTACATCAGCTAGGTTTGAGGCCCAACCCTGATGGAGACCAAGCAAATGCTGCATTCCGATGCGCAAGAATCGTAGAGCTGTCATCTGCTTCAGAGAGCCGATGCGGCCACGAATCCCGGTAACTTCAGTTTCATATTGTCCATCGTCATACTCATGAATGATCAAGTCTGGGATTATGAAGAAATCGAGGAATGCCAGATTTTGACCATGTTGCCGCAATGTAGTGCCAAGCGCATCCATGTCAGGTTGCACTGCAGAATTACCCAACTGGCGAAATTCGGATGAGATATACCGTAGCGCCCGCAAGGCTGGCATCGACACAAGAAGTTTGCGAATGTAGCTTTCGTGGAAACGATTGTCCCTGATGACGACTCGCTGGATCGTACATGTGTGACGGCCTGGGACTTTAAGGAGATCGAGCCGCGGCATGTAGACATTGAACCGATTAAGACGAGGAAGATGAATGGTAGAGAAATAGAGGGGTTTATCCTCTTCGCCATTCGAAAGATCCAAGAAATGAAGATTCGCCAGGGGTAATCTGGTGTTGCCTCCCATCCGGGCCAGTTCACCACGGTTGGCCACACAAATTTCTTCGCACTGCTTGAACATCTCGATCATCGAATCTCCATCTTTTGCGCAGCTAGTGGCATAGGTCAGGATCTCCAGATTGCGCATGTGAAGTACAAGGAAAGTGGCGATATGACTGATTGATGTCCACGGCTGATCAGCTTTGGCACAGAGCCACTCGACAAATTTTGAATCGTAGGCATTGCTGACCCAGCTAAGCAGCTGATCTTGGTCGATGGTCGCACCAGGAAAGTTGTCCTGAGCCGGCCCTGACGGTCCTGGTGAGCGTGCTTGCGGGATGGTAAGTTGTCGAACGAGAAGTGCCAACGTGGGATTTCGGGCGATCGAATTTGTAACGGTCAGTTGCCACGGCTTCGTGTGCGGAGACAACTCAATGGTGTGCCATAGATGAGGACGGGTTATGGCATCGAACCTCTTCGAGACGAGGCACAGGCTGATGAGGTCGGACGTTTTCCCGCCGGCAGCAGCCACGATCATGTCGAGGAGCTCGTTGGGCAGGTCTTGAATGACAGCCATCACGTACAGGGTCTTTCAATCGTTTTGGCGTGGATGTTGTGTGACTCGCCAGGCACTGCGTGGTGGGTTCCGCGTACTTCGACTGACTGGGGAGATTGGGTCGATAGACGATGTTTCGTGAATAAAGATGATATGATCGGTGTTATTCAGTGGTGGTGAGAGCAGCTGAAGCCTCGAGTCGGAAAGTACCTTAAACGTTACGTACCTTCTGGTACTTTGGGGCAGTTGCGAGGTCGCAAGTTTTGGGGGTTTCATTGTTGCCCTTGAGCAGCATATCCAAAGCATGGCTTACAACGACGCAGCACCTTCCTTCCTTTGTGTAACCTCAACTTCACTAACGTCTCACGTTCCTCTCAGATACGCGTACTCATCATGTCTGCGGGCCCCGTGGAAAGTAACTACACGCCGTCGTAAGAAGTGAAAGGCAAGACTGTTCGATTGACTCCATTCGTGAACTCTGTTATTTTTCGGATCCCACACATATGGCCAACAGGACGAAGTAATTTGTGTCCTTGCAGATACTAGTGCTGTAGGCTTGTATTATTCTCATGGCTGACGCATTCTTCTTTGGTGAGGATCAACTCTTCAGACGGTGAGGAGAGGACATCGTGGTTCGGACGGGAAAGGAGACCACCAGATCAAACCAACCAAAGACTCTTATTAAGTTAAATTGATAAGCCGTCCCTCCCGTCAAGTAATCAATAAGAATATGGCGTCATGCTGATTCTCACTCTGATCGCTGTGTTGATTCTGGTCAAACACTCAAGACTCCGGTTGCACACGGAACTGCACAGATGGGCTTGTGAGAAGGAGCAAATGCGGGGAAATTTGGGGTCGATGGAGATGCAGGACCACCCGCTGGTCAATCGAGTATTGGAAACTCAGTCTTGGGCTAAATTCTTTCAGGGGAACTGCCAGTGTGTGGCAATCCGTAGGCAGGCACAATCGTGGTGACTGAACAAGCAATCCGGATCTTAGATGATCACATGAGCTGAGATGTTGGCAAGAGTCAAAGCCTATACCAATAAGCTCTAATACCCTGTAACGTTGAGGTGAAAGAGGACGGTCGGAACCATTCTCGACCACTGTTGAATTCTGCGTCACAAGTTTGTGCAGCATAAATAGGCATTTGTGCAGAGTTGAGCACTAGCGGGCGCTGTGGGGCTGCTTGTCAGCTGCCGCCCCTGGAACAGGCGGTCCGATGCCGCTCGCGCATTGCTTGGTTGGCGGGCTGTGGTTTGACTCACGGCGGCAGCGGTCCCTGGAAATGTGCAGTGCCCCTCCACAGAGCGATGCCCCTCTTTATTTTGGTGCAAGTGTTCGCAGCCCGATGGTCACAGAGGAACGATCATCTTTTCTGATCGCGTCGTTTTGCTTCCAATTTCCTTGTCGCGCATTACATCCTTCTAGCGTCAATCCGTGCTGAGTATTGGTACCATTCGAACAAGGCCTCCACATCGACTGCACTATTCACTCTACGACCCGACGAAACATACAGGACAATATGACCCCCGAAGAGTCGATCGCCCTCATCAAGGCCAACCTGGCCGAGGTGCTCAACCCAGAGATCATTGACGATGTGATTCTCAACCAGAAGAGACCCCTCAAGGTCTACTGGGGAACTGCGACGACCGGCAAGCCGCACTGCGGCTACTTTGTGCCCATCATGAAGATTGCCGAGCTGCTCGCCGCGGGCTGCAGCGTCAAGATTCTGCTCGCCGATCTCCACGCCTACCTCGACAACATGAAGGCTCCCCTCGAGCTGATCGAGCAGCGCGTCCTGTACTACGAGCGCATCATCAAGAGTCTCCTCAAGGCTGTCAACGTCGACCTCTCGAAGCTCGAGTTCGTCAAGGGCAGCTCCTACCAGAAGAGCGAGGCATACACAATGGACCGTTTCAAGCTCGAGGGCAGCACACGGATATCCGTCGCGCAGAAGGCTGGTGCCGAGGTCGTCAAGCAGACCGCCGACCCCTTCCTGGGAGGCCTCTGCTACCCTCTCATGCAGGCTTTGGACGAGGAGTACCTCGATGTCGATGCCCAGTTCGGTGGCGTGGACCAGCGCAAGATCTTCACCTTTGCGCTTGAGAACCTGCCCAAGATCGGCTACAAGGTTCGCGCGCATCTGATGAACTCCATGGTACCCGGCCTGGGCGAGGCGCAGAAGATGAGCTCCAGTGAGCCCGACTCCAAGATCGACCTGCTCGACTCCCCCGAGATTGTCGCCAAGAAGCTCAAGAAGGCTGTTTGTGTGCCCAAGAAGACGGAGGGCAACGGTGTCATTGCTTTCGTCGAGCACGTCCTCATCAGGGCGCTGGCACTCAAGAACGGAGGCAAGGCCACCTTTACCGTCGAGAGACGGGATGAGGAGCCCATTGTCTACGACGACATTGCTAAGTTGAAGAGCGACTACGAAGCCGACATTGTAAGTACCAATCCCTTGATTCACTGTACCGGCAGGCCTGCCCAGAGGAGACTGGCCCCAGACTAACCCTTTGTACAGATCACTCCACAGAGCCTGAAGCCAGCCGTTACAAAGGTGCTTAACGAGCTGCTAGAGCCTATCCGCGCGGAGTACGAGGCGTCTGACGACTGGAAGAGGATATCCGAGCTCGCCTACCCTCCGGAAGTCAAGGAAGCCAAGGTCAAGAAGCAGAAGGACAAGGGCGACCCCGCTAAGCGAGAGGCCGCGCTAGCTGCCAAAGCAGCGGCGCTGACCGTTAAGGAGGCTGAGGAGGCCAAGTAAAATATGCCGAAATGGAAATACCCTTTTGAGTGACGCCTTGATCCTGATTCTTGCTGCATTTCCAGTTCGCTGGGAACTGTGTATGGGTGGAGCTGTTTGCGCATCGTTCCGAACGACATTGACTGGCTTGCAACGTCCAAAAAGATCCGATCTAAAAGCGGGCTTGGTGTCCCAATTTCCTATTGATGATCATGCATCGCACGAGATCGATTTATGATATGGTGCGAGTAGTACGCAGTTGGCAGAGGTCTGCGAAATGAAGGCAATCCTTCAAAAGTAGTGGGGTTCCCTCCGACAAAGATGTATCTCGAGTGCTGGGCCATTAGCCAATCACAATGGAGCAGCCCACGCGACTGGTGGAGCTTCAATTGGAAAGCGTCTCCAGAAAACTTCGAGGCTCGACAACGAGCTTCTGAGGCCAAAGACACGACGGCGCCCAGCACGTTGCCGCACTCGAGACCACGCCGGCGACCACGAGCGAGCCACGGCAATACGACCGCTTCGCCCCATCGTGCACATTTCGGACAGCATTCATATCTACAGTCGTCACGCCGGCGACCAACAGCCACATTCACCACATCACAGTCAATATGTTCCGACCTAGATTAAGGATACCGCGCGCAGGCGGTCTTGCCCAGCGTATTGTCGCTCCCGCCGCCGCGCCCGCTCGCTCAATACACCAGATCCCGCACAATGTGACGCACAAGTTTAGCCCCGAGGAGGGCGTGCCTGGCCTGCTCACCGCCGACGGATTCGACATTGCGTGGACGCAGCACATGACGCTGATGATGGAGAAGCTCAACGCCCTCACTGCCGGTGAGTAGTCCTGCGCAATCCCACGATTGCAGACAAAGCCACGACAGTATACTGACGGGGATGTGTTTCCTCACGATAGGCACCGACTACGAGCAGATGGACGTCCAGCAGATTGTCAAGCAGACCGCCCGGCAAGCCCACGAGGCCTCGATCTTCAACCACGCCTCCATGGCTTTCAACAACCACCTCTTCTTTGAGGGCATGCGCAGAGTCGACTTCCCCGAGGACGCCGTCGAGCCACCTGCGAGCAACATGTCCGAGAAGCTCCAGGCCGAGATCAAGAAGAACTTCAGCAGTGTCGAGACCCTTCGCCGCGAGTTCATCGCCACCGCCCTCGCCATGTTTGGGCCCGGCTTCATCTGGCTCGTCAAGAACTCGCGGTCGACCGAGTGGCGCATCCTGACGACATATCTGGCCGGCAGCCCTCTGACTGCCGCCCACTGGCGTCGCCAGCCGGTCGACCTCAACAGCCACGGCAGCGACCTGAGCGACGAGATTGTCGGCAGCTGGCTGGGCCGCACGCAGGCCGCGACCGGCGCCACGAGCGCTGGCCGCTTCGTCAAGGACCACACCGGCCCTGGCGGCATCGAGGTCACGCCCGTCCTGTGCCTCAACACGTGGCAGCACGTCTGGCTGCGCGACTACGGACTCGGTGCTGGAGGTCTCGGCGGCAAGAGACAGTTCGTCGAGAACTGGTGGCACGTCATTGACTGGCAGCGGGTGGAGGAGCTTGCTGACCTGAGCGGCCGAAACAACTTCAAGTAGACGGTGTCTGTAGGGTTGGAAAACAAGAGGGGCGACTTGGTTGGGTTGGAGGGCTATAGCCCGGAACTGTGCCTGCGTGGAGCAAAATTCTGGGTGGCCAGGAATGCGGCGGTAGACTCTCTCGGAGCACTGGGCCTTGGTCGAGAATCTGGATAGACCCTAACTCCTCCGCGTGGTTGTGGCGAAGGGGGGATCTGCGTTGTGTGGGAAGAGAGGGTAAACCTGTATAACAGCATGCTCGCACGAGATCACGATGGAACCGTCTCTCTGAATGAGGCGTGGCCTTGATGTCGCTAAGCAGGGCATCGTATCCCGGGCACGGAGCTTGGGGTGAGCATGACGATAAGCTATCGCTGAGCCTACAGCACGTTGTATAGAAAGACAAAAATGTAAAATTAGCTCATTGTACAAAGGATATCGCTGTGTGTTTCCAGCCCGTTTCTGAAGCTGTGAACAGATGATTGGTACCTGGAACAGGACACAATTGTGGCCAGCCGTTGTCCGGGACACATCGATGAACAACTTCTTGGTAGATCGCGGTCGACATTTCGAGATGCCAAGAATTTGTGCGCCAGGCCTCGACTGGCTTGGACCAAAAGTTGAGGTGGCGAAATCCCGCACAACATCAGAAACTTGAACGACACGAGAGGCACGAAATCGAGAGTTTCTCAATGAGAAGAAGAGGAAAAAGGAAAAGGACGCCGCGTTTGAAAGCATATCACTGAAATTAGCGCCTTCGCTCTGATCCGCCCGTGAAATGATGTGTGTCGAGGTTACACCGTTCTACAGGTTAACTCAGGGCTCAAGGCATGCTGCCTCTCATGCTTGCCATGTAACCGTGCCTGGCCTTTGGCGACTTTTCCCACGTGCTGGATATTTGGCGCCTTGATAACTTGGCATTGCGGCGCAGAACCATGGCTCACTGCATCAATACTTGCCGCTCGCCAGTTGCTCAAGTGCACGAGTCTTTCTGGTCCTCTATGAGGACACCGGAGCGATTATTCGGGTTATCTTGCACCAGTCCTCCCAATCCACCCCTGTGTTTTCCACTATTGTTCTGGCATAAAGATCATTAGTGACAATGGATACCCGACGGAAAAGTCATACGAGATTTGGATGTCTCAGTTTGAATCAGTAAAAAATAAAAGTGATCAGGTAACTCATTCCACAAAAAGATTTTTTTATTTAAAAAAGGTTAACTATCGAATAAATAAATAATCCGAAACAAATAATCTGTGAGAGGGAGGAGGAAGAAAGACTTTTCACATCGTGCTTCAATATATTATGAAAATTACAAATACAAGAATCCGTGGAACTTGTCGCCCTCGTGACAATCTTGGAGCACCAAGTAAGGACTCTATGTACACACCGATACATTGGTGCCATGCTATACTATTGCACTCTCACTACGAGGCACCTGGCACAAGACGGCATCGAGAGTAGGTTGATCCACCCACATGCACAGGGAACACAAGCTTTCGAATAATTCCTGCATGCATCCTCACACAGTTCACCAGCACAATCAAGCTCACTGATTCGTCTTGCCACGTATTGTGAAGAACACGGATATATCTTTGCTAATGCTAATCATCCCCGACACCTATGAACTCATGTGCACTTAAAGGATATAAAAAATATGACGTGCGCTCAGGACCTTGTTGTCAAAGCCAAAACCAATGGAAAAAATGAGCGGAGGACGTTGGTGGTCGTGATACATGATGATGGGCCGTTCCTCCGAAACCGACATAGGCGGAAACAGGGAAGCCAAAAAAACAACAACAACAACAAGCAGACAAAGAAGCAAACGGTAACAAAAAGGCGGGAGGGCGATCTTGGAAGGGGGACCTTGCGGACCTTTCGCGCGCTGGATATATATCTCTAGAACCCACAGAAGAATAAGAGGGCAGTGAAAAGCGATGACGAGGACGCGGGCAGGAGAAAATGGCGCCGAAGAAGCGCAAGTGGGGGGAAGGGGGTTTTCCGGGGACTCGGGACGCCTTGAGAAGATGCTTGATGAATAAAAAAAAAGAAAAGGGTAACCTGGTGTGGTGGTGTGGTGGTGGTGGTCCTGGGATGGTGAAACCACATTCTTCGCGACAAGGCTCAGATCATGTTGCCGTTCACGCTGACCTCGAAGCCCTCGCCCTTCTGCTTGAGGGCCTTTGCGAGCATGAGCTCGCGCATCCAGTCGATGCGCTCGTCCCTGCCGCGGACGGCAAAGTGGTGCGTCTTGCCGGTGCCGTTGACGCCCTCGGCGGCGCCCGTGGTCGCGGCGATGCCCGTGACGGGGCCCGAGATGCTCGCGCTCTCGCGCTTCCGCAGGCGGCCAATGTGCTTGCCGTCTGCGGGGATGAGCTGGAAGCTGAAGGCGCCGACGGGGTCCTCGGCGGAGCGGCGCTTGTCGCCGCCCCGGGAGATGCTCATGGCCTTGAAGGCGGCGTTGAGCTTGCTGGTGGCAGAGAGCGACGAGCAGGCAATGGCGTAGTCGTCAATGTCAATGTACTCGAGTGTCCGCTCCCGGGACTCGCGGTCGCGGTGGAGAGCCAGGCGGGTGCCCTTGAGCGTGGCGTACTGCTCGTGCCACTCGTGCCGCAGCATCTTTGTCTTGCGCTTGCGGACGGGGCCCTGGTATGAGATGCCCTCGGCGTCCTTGATGACCCCGCCGGTCAGGATCTCGTTGGCCTTGCTGGCCACGTTGGAGGGAAGAGTGCTCTGGAAGCTGGGGGCTGGCTCGCCGATAGGGGACCAGGGGTAGACAGTCCTCGGTGGTGCCTGCGCTGGCTGTGCTGTCCTGGAAGGACGAGGAGGAGATCTGGGAGATGGTCGCATGCTCGAACTGGCGACGTGCTCCTCCAGGGGCTCCATGACCTGGAACGACGGACGACGAGAAGCTCTGGACATGGAGCGGGGGATGCCGGCGGACGGGCCGGCACGATAGCTCATGTCAGGCGGAACTGACTGCGAAGCATCGCGAGCTACTGGGCCGAGAGGCACCGAGGTCACCGGAACGTCCATGTCGGAGAAAGGAGTGCCAAAGCGGTACGGCGCAATGGGTGTCTGCAGAGCCGGATCCCGGGCCTCGACCTTCTCCATCTGGTACGGGGTAAAAGTCCTGGGCGGCTCCGAGATGGGCTGAGAGGAGGTCTGCGACTGCTGGGATCCCAGTGAGGACTGTGAAGACCTCTGGGAGTGGCCCGGGATGGACAGCTTCGGGAGGGAGCGAAGGCCGGTGTGTGGTTGGGGAGTAGGCTGCAACTCAAAGGGTGGCGTGGGAGGAACTTCGCTCGAGTCACATCCGTCGTGCTGGTGTTGGAAGTCGAGGAACTGCACCACATTATCCTGGGGGTCTCTGGTCTGCAGGTTGCGGAGGGCCGCTTCCTGGAGGTACTGCAAAGGAGGAAGGCCGCCCAGACCCATCACGTCGGACGATGCGACTACCGATGGGACAGCATCAGAGAATGGCCGCAGAGCCTCCATCGACGACGGGCGGTTGAGAGCAGGGGCGGTCTGAGGATTTCCCGGGTTGCCAGCCATCATGATGACGCCTCCCTTGTCCATGTCGACGAACGGGTGGTCCTTCTTGAAAGCCTCAATCAGGCGCTGGTTCCGTCGCCACTTGGAGCAGTTCTCCCCCTTGGAGCAGGTGTGCAGCTTCGGCATCATCTGTTCGATGCCGACAATGGAGACGGACTCGAGTGGCGATATGATGTCCTCCTGCGAGGGCCGCTTCTTCTTCATGCTCTTTTGCCTGTTGACGCTGGCGCTGCGTTCAATCTCGGCGAACTCGGCCGCCCTCTGCTGCTGCTTCCGTTCCCGCTTCACTTCCTTGTCCTCCTCATCTTCTATCGGTGTTTCCGGTCGAGGCGATGGTGGCTTGCTGTCCCGCAGCTTGTGTATCTCCTCCCATATCTTGGTCCGCACACCAAAAGACTGAATCTGCAGCTCTCTAAGGTCCTCAAACTTCAGTGTGATGAGGATAGCACCGTTGATATCATTTTCCACAAACTTCTCCGCGACAGAGAGCTCGACGCCTGCGTCCAGCATCCACTGCGCGACTTGCTCGGGCGACCACAAGACCAAGTCGTCAATTTCTAAACTTTCGAGGGTAAATTGGTAGATGCTTTCCCGGGCAGAGTAAGTTTCCGGCATCAGAGAGTACATTCCCTGGTTCGGGGCCTTGGGCGTGATCGGCGACAATGTCAAGGTCTCCTGAAAGTCAAAGTTCTGTGACGACGATGTTGATGATCGGAATAGATGAGGTCCTCTGGGTCCCTGGATCGTCGTGGCTGGATCCAGATCAAACGGGTAAGCCTCGCGAGCTCTGCTTGACCTTGGCGTATGGGCCTCTTCGTAGGACGAAAGAGTTGTGAAACTCGGCTGCCCAGACTGTTTTTGATCAACCACAATTAGTTCAGAGGTCGCCCGTCGACGTTTTCTTTTTGGAAGTTTGAATTTACCGAGTTCAGGCTCACTCGTGGCGAGTTGGCCATCTCGTCCTCGTTGTCGCTGATGATGTCGTCATCCCAATCCGTGTCCATGATTTCCGTCGCAACCGACTCTGGCCGAAGATCCATGGTCTTGAGGCCAAAGAACGGGTCGTGGAGCCGACTCTTCTGCCGCATCTCCATCTGCGATTGCTCGCTTGGTCTGAACTGAGTATACTAAAAGAGTTGCCAAGCTTCATGAGAATCTTGTCCAGTATAACCGGAGATACTTTTGATGAATGTGCAATATGCTTAAGCTTACCATGTTGACTTTTCCACTACGCAATCAAGGTTTGGCGCAGTGGGTGCGTAGCCGCAACGCCGTTGCCGGCATATAAGTCTCGTGTGCTTCCGGGAGACTATCTCGCCAAAGGGTGCCGGTAGTTTCGATCTAGATGCAATCGCTTGTATGCCGCCAGAGAAAGATTTAACATGCCAAACGGGGGAAAAGCCAGTTTCACACAGACGTGGTGGGCGGCAGGCTGGCGCTTAATGTAAGTTGTCGTGGTTGAGCTTTTGGTTGAGGTACAAGTACGGGCGAGCTGGGCGGTTGTGAACCAGAAGGGCACCTCTTCTCACGATGTGACGGGTTGGGCTGCAGGCAGAGCACATTCCAGTCACGGCGCATCAGTGCTGTACCCCAAAGACAAGCTCCCTAAGAATAGACACTTGCAAGCACTCCAGCATCGAGGGGCCAGAGGCAGAGCAGCTAAACGCGCAGGTCTGGTTGGCCGAGACGGTGAGGAGTGCAGACAGCCACCTGCATGGGCCAGCACGCTGATTGGCGGCCCAGGTATCGAGGCCCTCGGAATAGCTGGCTAAGCGCCCGCGATGAGGACCAGGATTCACCATGTGCCCCGTTCTTCACCACTCGCCCACGCATGCCTGCCTGTGCGGCACGGCCGAGCCATTGTGCCCTTGGCCACGAGGCCCATGGTGCCACGCTAACGAGGATATGCCGGCCCAGTGCTTTGTGAAAGTTCCTTCATGCTCAAGCATGGGGGGGTGCTCCGTCACTTGGTCGAGCCGTTGAATCGCCTAGCGCAGCCCGCTTGTCACTACTCTAAAACTAAGCAGCCACATAGATAGCCAGAGCTCAAGCAGCGGATGTCATTGGTGGGATCCAGATCAGCAAGTCCCTGAGAGCTGCTTTGCTGAGTCGAGGCCGCAGAGCGCGGGCAAGGGAATAATGCGCGAGGCTGGGGGTAGATCCTGGCTGGCTGGCTGGCTGTCTCGGTGTACATGCTGCCACGACTCTGCGGTAACGCAAGAGGCGGTTGTGTGTCTGTGTGTGTGTGGTGCTGGGACTGTGCCTGGAAAGACATGCTGCCATGTTGTGGCACGGTGACAATTGCGGCAGCGAGGCACAAGAGGCACAAGGGCCACTGGGATTAGGACTTCCTGATTTGGCTGTGACTATGTGACTCTGTGGGGGCGGGCGGCCGTGATCACAGTCGCAAGAGTATCTCGTTCAGGGATTTTGCGGATCGTCCGTCGGGCGGGCAGGCCCCGTTCTTCAAGGGCGCCCGCGGGCCAAGCCTGGCAGGCGGACGGCGACGGCTATCATGGGGTCTAGGACCCTGGCTTTTGCGCTACGCTAGGCCGTCGACAGTCACACTCGTCAACTGGGGATGGATCCAGGGGACCCCTGGGGTTGTTTGTGCGGGCCGGCTGGAAGATGTGCATTGACTGGCAGGTGGAGTTGTTTCCTGGCCGCACAGGGCCCCGGATGGCATGCAGCCCCCAGTGGCGTTGCCTCTTCTGTTGGTGACAAGCGGAAGCTGCCATGAGTGAGGGCAGGGCCCTTGCATCCCCGATGGCGACATATCAGTTGGGCGTCTGCCAGGAACACCGAGCAACAACCACGGTGGTGAAGGGCAAGGACTGCGGGAGGAGGGGGCCGGGCCAACAGATGCGGGCAAGTCCAATGTCTTCCCGCTGACCGTTGCGGAGCAGCGGGTGAAATCTGGCTCTTGGGGAAAAAAAGGCGTTGTCCAACGTCGGTCTCGGACCAGTGCAGATCGGCCGCTGGAGCTAAGTCTTGGCCTGCTGCCCATCATCATGGCACTAATTAGCTTGCCGGAGCGCGGCGGGATCAGAGCCGCCAGCATGAATCGTGGCCTCGACTGCGACGGGTATTTTGCTGGCAAGGGCTTTGCAAGGAAGGTGGAGGCGGAAACCGCACCGCCAGAAGCACGCTACTTGATGATCGCTCAAGACCCGGAAGGGACAGGCTGGCTTTGGGTCCGTCGAGCCTTGGACTCCAAGTTGGCGCCAGTCCGGCTCGCTGCAGATGGGGGCCAGCATCTTTGCAGTCCCACTTGCCAGATACTGCATGGGCGGCAACGAACTCGTCCGACGTGCTCCAAAGCTCCTCTCGTCGTCATACGACAAACAACATTGCTGCCCAAACGATAATGTCGCAAGCCGGGGCTCGCCTGTCTCATTGGGGGCCATCACCTGCTAGCGAGGTCCAGTCTGGGATCTGCCCCGACTCTGCTCGCGCTTTTCAACGCCACGAGCTCTGTACAGACTTGTGAGGCACGCAACCAGGCCTTCACCGACTGAAGAGCTGGGCCCATCATGCGAGTTGCCATCGGCTCGCAGCATCATCATTATCATCATAATAGCTGCACAGGGGCCCAGTCACTCGGATGAGACAGGCAGCTTCTTTCCTGACCGCTCTTGGGTCTCACGAGACGACGCATGGCTCACTTCCAGCCCTAGCGTTGCGCCTTGCAGCGACCTTTGCGCCAACTGAGCCTTGCGGAGTTCTCACAGTCTTGATCCCACAGTGGCTCCATCCACTCTTTGGCCCCCGCCTGAATGCGGCGATTCTCGGAGGCAAAGGCGTGTAGACCGACTCTTTGCATCAAAAAAAGCTGGAAATCTGAAGATCAGAGGACGCACGCTGTGCAGAGGCTGCGGTAGTCCTCGTGACGGCTGTGGCCATGATAGCGGGAGGGGGGGTCGACGCCTACACGGCGAGGCAATATCAGTAGTTTTGAGCACAGCATTTCAATAGCGGAGGCTACGCCAAGCATCATAACTTAGCCCTCGGCTTATGCCGCTTCTACACCTTGGCTGGCTCAGAGCATCAATTTCGGCTCGGCTTTGTGGAGGAACGGTTCGGTGCCGAGGAGAACGACCAGGATTCTACTCGACCACTTTATCCAGGACATGTATCTGGAAGTTAGCATCGATCCAGCACGTCGCGCCATTGTCACATTGTCAATGACAGTGGTCACGCCTCCCCTCGTGGAAGCTGGTTTGCCCAGCGTGCCTTGGTGCTCTGCCTGTGCTGGCCATGAGGAATGGCAGATGAGACTATGCGTCTCTGTGGTAAAATGGCCAGAGATCTCGCTACTCAGCAATCAAAGGGCCTCGCCTCAATGCGTTCAGTAGCAAAGGTCTTTCCCCGCACCACATTGATGCTACTTTCATGCAGGGCTATCAAGCAACAGGCACAATAAGTCTGGCATACCCAAAGGGGAAAGAATGTGACCGACCTCTCTCCGTGGCTCCACACGCCACCTTTTTCGATCTGTCAGCCTCCCGGTTAACCCTGCGCCTTCCTTTATCTGATTGAGAAGCTGCAATTGCGCGGATTCGTCTGAGCGGCATTCAAATCAACCCCGAACTTAGGTGCACCTACCTGGGCCCTAGCAACAACGGCCCCATCACACCACAATAAAATGAGAGCACTTACTCATGAGAACTGTCGCAATGCTCTACTTTGCGTTCTGTGACCCCTGGCCCTCTCAAAGGTCTCCAACACAAGTCCCAATGCGGATCCGACGAATGCGAGCTGCAAAGGTCACTTGCCGTTGATGGGGAGACGAGGAGAGATAACCGATAACGCTTTCTCGGCCGTTGTCCATGTCGGCAAGGGCTTCACAGCACCGACAATGTATAGATCGCAAGTTGTTGTTCACCCACATTCACGGAACATGTCCTGGCAGTTCACGATCTCGCATGGCTCCACCTCTGAGCAGGAATTGATGATTGGTAGCTGTGGGAGATTAGCCAATACTCGCATCACACACACAAAATGGCATCCCCTCGGGAGCACGCAGCATTGTTGGCAAACGTAAGCGAGGCCTGGGTGGCCTGGTGGGCAGCGGTTTGGCACGAATATCATGGTCAAGGGGGCCGCCCCCCAGGGAAGGGTTTCTCCGGTGAAATGCCCTTGTGGGTGTGTGAGTGGCTGGCTAAGTGGGAAGCATTTTCCTCAGAATGGCACGATAATGGGGCAGCAGAATCTGAGCAGTGAGTCAGCAACAAAATGCCCGCGGCCGAGCGCGATTCGGCCAGTCGTTCATAAGCTGGAAAGGTGCCGGATATTGGCCGGGGCAAAGGCTGGCTGACCAGGGCTTGGTTGAGGGGTTTCCGCAGGCTGGTAGGCTTTACTATCTGCCAACCGTGGAACTGTGGCTCAATTGTCCAAGGGAACTAACTCCGCACAAAGACACAAAGGGACAAAGGCACAAAGGCTTGGCGCTGATCAGCTGGGTCTTTGACAGACGGGGAGAGGAGAAGATGGGCTAATTTGGGATGCTGGGTGACCCAGATTGGGCTGGCTGAGTGAAGGACCATAATTTACGATCAATAGCCCAAGTTGACCTGTCAACTGCTGGCCTTGAGGAGCCGGGGGGGGGGCCCGCAGTGGGCGAACGGCATGTAGAGATCTGCCCGGAGCATGGAGGGCGATATGCCGCTGCCTGGCGTGCAGGAGGGAAGCTTGGGGACCCTGGAGGGACCTAGCCGTGCAGTAGCGCAGCCTAGGGGTGGATGCTAGCTCAGTTGCAAAAGGTCCGCGGCCGAATACAAGATGGATGGAGGGAGTGATTCCTGAGGCTCACTCGAGCAGAGCTAACTGACTGCTTAATTAGCGTGGTGTCCATAAGAACGTACATGGTCGTGCAGGAGGAGAGAGAGCAGCGCAGTGTCGGCTGTCAGGGTGGGGACGGCGGGCGGGCGGGTCTGCGTGGCAGGCATGGCGGGGCCCACCGGGCGAGCTAGCATGGTAAGCTCCCGCGCCTTGCTCCCGCTTCTTGCAGGACATTGGCCGCGGGGGCCCCTGGCTAGCGGCTGCCCTTGTGCTCTGCCGCCCGCGAGCCCACCATTCACCTGCCAGGCCCCACCTCCAGCTTCCCTGCTCGGTCTCTCGAGACGGACCAATCAGCGCCCGGAGCTGCCATCTCGTCACGGCGCTAGTTCCCTAGCGCCTCTGCACCCGCATCGAATCAGATGGCCAAACGGCCTCGGTTGCATTCTGCACTTGGACTCCCATGCTCTCTGCCCAGCCAGCCCATGCTGCTTGTGTGTGCCCTTTGACAACCACCTTCCCTCTGGCCACCACTGACGAACTTTTCGTGCGCCCGCGCGCGTTCCGTACCTCCGCCGCAACATCGGGTGGCCGGGCTGTCAAATGTCCTGCGAGTCATGGGACCCGCAAGCATGGCGGCCGGCACCTGCCTGCTGCTGCTGCTGGGGGGAACTCCCGGACCACCGCACCCTCCTCCCTCCTCCTCATCTGCCCGAGGGGGCCAATCTGATTGTCAAGTCCCTAGGTGCTGCATGACATTGGTCCATGGGCAAATTCGACTTACTCACGAATTGCCCGGCGCGCGCCCCATCATGCTAGTATACCTAGTCCACTCCTGTTGCCCACTCTGCTTGCTTGCTTGCCTGCCATGGTGCCGACATGCCACCAGAACACACAAGGGTGGATCTTCATCGTTGCTTTTTTCAATCTTCGGAGGGATCGGTGCGAGCCGAAGCGTTGCGGGCTCCGGCTTTTGCCAACTGCTGGGAACATCCCAGCTCCTTGTAAAAAAAAGATGCGCGAGACATGGGACCTTGATGCCATGCATGGCTGGGATGGATTGACATTGTCGTTCCGAGCGAGGAAACAAGATGGGACAGAGTGAGTTGTAGGTATGTACATGGCGAATGTGCGGTGAGCAGGGCCGACTCCAGCTCTGCGTGTCTGACCTGCGAGATCCCGCTTGCGTTGACAACAAGTAAGCAGAGACAGCTTGCCAGGCTTTTTGTCCGTATCAGTGCGCAGAGTCAGGCCAGGAGCAGACTTGGTGCCTGTGTGTTGATGCCGGGGGGGGGGGGAAGAAGATGGGGGGGTTGGAACGCTCAGCAATCGTCGCCAAGGTCTTTTTTCCTTCGAGGTTGCTGCTGCTGACATGCAAGAATTCGGCCGCCTGCATGGCGGCCAAGAAGAGTGAGCGCCTGGCGTAGCACTGGCCGGGCTGACCACTCGACTAGGGCTGCTGTCCAGGAAAGGCGAGTCGTGTGTAAGTTGAGCCGGCGTGGCTTGCGTGGCTTACGCCTGCATGTGATGCGAGTAAGTGGTGGTTGCCCATGCTGTGTGGTAGTAGTAGTAGCCTGCTTAAGGTTGTCTTCAGACGACACAACTACTAATGACTGGCCTGCAAAAGGCTGTTGCCGTGGGCAAGAGGTCGACCGAGGCCATGCGTGAGTAAAGTGTGTCTTGTGTTGCAAGCCGAGATCAGCGATGAGAGAGGCGCGCAGAAACCACCCGCCTGCGTCTCGAGATCCTTCGTTGCACTTGCGGCAATACGAAGCCACGCGCATGTTCAACCATGGCTCTATTCTTCCTTCTGCGCAACCCCAAAGGACACACAAGGTGTCACTTCCACAGGCAGTGCTGGACCAGAATGTTGCCCTGGATCCCGGTCTTTGGCTGCTCGTTGGTTCGCGTGCACACCGGTTGCTTTGGAATGCCAGGCGCATACGATAGCGACGACACTGCCGTCTGCAATCAGACAATGCAAACCCAAAAGGGGAGACGGGAGCCACGGGAACAATGCAGTTGGCTGCTGGCCCCCATCGAGCTGATCCTGCCCCCGTATGGGCAAAGGCGCGGCCATGGGAGAGTGCCTGGCGATAGACTTTGGCACCCCTGCCGCTGCCGGCCTGCAGGCCGCTGGAATGGATTATCGATGTTTGCTAATCTGCATCCTCGCCGGTCAACTCGATGCTGCTTGCTCGTGCTCCTGCCGGCACTCACTGCTCTCTGCCAATATTCATTCATTCAGCCCTCGGTTTCGCTGCCGGACGCCGCCCCCGCGATCGAGATGCACTACCGTCTCTCCCGTGCTCGACTCGTGCATCAGGCCGCTGCCCGGGTCGTCTCGACACGACGATCCAGAGCGGTTGCTCGACGAGAGTTGCCGGGCACCTTGACCTGGCCTCGAGCACCAGGGATGCCGGGGCCCCCTTGGTCCGACGCAACCCTCCATCATGGCCGCCCAACTTTGAGAGCTTCCCGTTCAGTCGCTGGGCTCCCCTGCCAGCTCGAGCTGATCCCTGCCCGGGGCCATGCACGCTCATGCACGTCCGCCTGTCGTCTTCCCGCCGTTGTCGCCGAGTGGGACGTGGCTCGCCAGCAACAGGCCAGGAAGGCTGCGAGCCGCGCAGGATGCTGGCTGGTGGTTGGACAGGTGCGCCAGATGCTCCACCGGCTCGACCAAGGCTCGCAGGGCACTTGGCCACTCAAGAGGCCGCATGCCACTGTCGTGATGCGGCCACCACGCCCAACCCCCATCTGCCTCCCCGCCAAAAGCTGGTCACGCCTCGCGTCGGCCTGCGTTCGTGGGCTAAGTCCCGCTTTCGGCATGCAGCATGCGTCGTTCTCAAATTAGTCCACTCGCCAACGTGCGTTAATTAGCCCAGATGACAGACTATTGATGCTAATTTTGGACACAGCCTTCCCCTCACGCTGCCTGCCCGCCACGATGGCCGCCTGTCAATTAGCCCACGAAAGTTGATATAACTGAGCCCTCACACCTCCTTGGTCTACACAACTGGTCTCCCAGAATCCCGCAGAACGAAGAGAAGTGGTGTACAGCAGAATCCAAGTGTCGTTTCAGTTCCCCCATCCGCAGCAGCAGCAGCAGCAGCAGCAGCAGCAAAGCCGCCGGTTCCCCTCTCTATTATTCAATATTCATCAACAACAACAATCATTATTTGCATCCGCGGACTCGTTGGCCTATCGATCATCCCTTCGGCATCTGGACCCGAAGAATCACGACCGAACGGCCTCGATTCACAACACCAAACAGCAAGCTGGTCTTGCTTCCACCAGTCGTTGAGTCGACAACCACATTAATTTACACTAATTTCCACGCACGGGATCGGCCAGCAACTGAGAAGGCTTGCCTAGTTGTGGGAGCATATTGACTATCTCCCGGCCACCCACCACCCCTCGAGGACAGACCCCAGCCTGGACCTGGACCCCTGGCTCGCAACCGTTCCTCCATCCTCTCCCACTCACACACCCGTCCAGCCTACTCGGCTCCTAGAGCAGAGACTAGCCTGACGGCCCGCCCCACACGAGGTCTTGGTTGTGCGACTCGCCGCACGCAGGTACCTACCTTGTTCACCCGCACGCCATATACATACCTTACATGCCCTTCATGTCGCCGCTACCCCCCCTTCAGTCTCGTCGAGAAGACCTCATGCCGTCCGTCACTCCAATCACCATGGCGGTCGCTCAACCGACAAAGGCGAAGCCCGCCTCAAAACAGCCGCCCAACAATGCCAGCGCAAAGACAAAGTCCCAGATGCACCGCCGCTCAAGAACAGGTGAGTTCCACTTATACGCCGTTGCTGACTTACACGGCCCTCCCATCGCACAAAGCTAACGAACGACTTTGTCTGCGCACTCTAGGCTGCTACACTTGCAGATTACGGCGCAAGAAGTGCGATGAGGGCACACCTTGCTGCAAGGCCTGCCGGCACCTTGGCCTCAAGTGCGAATACAAGCGGCCAATGTGGTGGGGAAACAACGACGCCCGCAGCCAGCACAAGGAGGACATCAAGATGATCATCAAGCGCAAGAAGCTCTCCGAGAAGGCTTCTCACACAATCAACACTTCGATAAACTCGCCGCCTGGCCTCTCTCACTCGCTCCCGACGTCGGCAACCTTCTCCGACCCCCTGGACAGGACGCGATCCGCCTCCATCGATTCGCACTTTGCCTTCAACTTCAACAGTCCGCCCAATTCTCAAGACTATGGCTATCCCGAGATGATGTGCCCGCTTTCGCCATACGAGATCGATGTCCGCACGGAAAGGCAGATGTTCATCGACGATGTTCCTACCCTCCGAGAGTCGACCATCTCCACCTTCAGCACCTTCCACACACCGCCAGCTTCGGGCACTGTCCTCAACTTCCCCTACGATGGCGAATGGACAGAAGAAGTATACCAGGAGCGCAGAGAGTCTCTCTCCGAAGAGGCCCTGAACGTGAACTTCTTCGACTTCGCTCACGGCCCAGCAATGTCCTCGAGGCAAGTAGACATCGAGTTGGATGAGAACGACCAGCGACTCCTCAACCACTTCATCCAATTTGTTCTCCCAACCATCTTCCCCATTCTCGAGACAAACCAGCACGGCTCAGTCACATCGGACCTCATTCTACCAGCTCTCCAGAGCAACAAGGGCTACCTCCACTGCTGCCTGATGATGGCTGCGCAGCACCTCAAGGCGGCCTCCAGTGGCCAGACGGACGAGATTGACGCCGACATCATGCGCCACAGGCATGTTACCATCCAGGCCCTCTGCGAAGCCCTGACGCGGGACGAGAACCACCAGCAGATCCTCGAGGCAACTCTGGGCCTCATCTTCTTCCAGTCTTGCGTTGGTCGCTACGACGACTCCCTTCCTGACATCCCCTGGCACCAGCACTTCCAGGCCGCGCAGTCTCTCGTGCAGAGGCTCCAGCTTCCTCAGCTTGTCGCCGACCCCAACCTGCCCCAGACTCCCTTCAACATGACCCTCACTGCTTGGATTGATATCCTGGGTGCTACCATGCAGGGCCGCGCTCCTGTGTTCGCACACCACTATCGGGAGAAGCACCTCTCGCCCAGCAACTCATCCCTTGGTCTGCGCGAGCTCATGGGCTGCGAGGATCGTGTCATGTATCTAATCTCCGAGATTGCATGCCTCGAGGCCCTCAAGATTGATGGCATGGACGAAATCAGCCTCTGCCAGCATGTGCACGCCCTGGGCGACCAGATTGGCCTCACCGAGGTCGGCGACTGCAGCCCCAAGATGCCCTTCAACGCCAACGGCACCCTGAGCCCCAAGCAGCTCAGCAAGAACATCACCAGCGCGTTCCGCGTCGCGGCCCGCATCTACCTCTGCAGCCTGGTCCCCGGCTTCTCGCCGAGCCAAGCCAGCTGCATCGGCCTCGTGGAGAAGCTCACAAACATTCTCCAGCACATCCCCTCCGGCCCTGCCGGGTTCGACCGCAGCCTGTCCTGGGTCTATCTCATCGGCGGCTCCGTCAGCCTGGCCAACTCGAGCTTCCGCCATTTCTTCGAGGACCGCATCGCCCAGCTTGGCGACGCCTCGGTGGTTGGCAGCTTCGGCGGCGTGTCCTCGCTCCTCCGCGAGGTCTGGCTCCAGCTCGACAACTGCCCTCCTAGCCCCGGCGCCACGGGCGCCACGGAGATTCCTTACATCTGCTGGCGGGAGGTCATGGCGATGAAAGGATGGGACTTTTTGCTCATCTAAGAGACTCTTTTTTGCGGGAGTCTCGGTTCACCCTTTGTCCCAGCTGTGCTGTGGACAAGGTACCTTTTTCTTTTTTCTTTTTTGCTCGAACACTTCACTTCTACCTTTACCTATTTACATATACCCATTAGAGAGAGGACCGCCGCAAGGCGACATGGCTGGAACGACACTTGGAAACAACACACAACCTTCTGCAAACACTTGGATTCTCACACAAACGGGCGGGAGGGGCGGAGCCGCAGAGAGGCGCTTGGCTGGTGGTGGTGGGAAAGCGCCTGTTTTTTTTTTTCAGTTTTCTTCTTTTCCTTTTCCTTTTTTTTCTTTCTTCCCTTGGGTGTATACATCATTCATCAGAAATGCATACAGCGGGACTGGCGTTCGCGAGGCACGGGCAGGCAGGCTGCCCATCTGATAACGGGAGAAACGGGAACGGCTTTTGAGATGACGACGCGATGTTTTTGGGGGGCGATGGAAAGGATAGGATACTAGTCATACTACCACTACCACCAAAAAGAGCTCGGAAAGAGTTCAATCCAATGCAAAGCATCATGACCACTTTACTACCATAATCGTCTCTTTTCTCTTCTTGTGACTCTGGAACAGCTGGCTCTCTGTGACATACTGGGGCGAGCCATAATCACAAACAACACCGGACCGCCACTATCCTTGCGTCTGCGCTTGGTGCTAGTCCTTCTCTCGTTGTCTCCGCTCGGGAGCCGATCAAGGTCTGTCGATCACTTGCCGTCGGAACTTGTAATTCGCAAACCGTTCGGCGCAAAACTTCATCGCCCGTCACGAGACCGCTCGGCCGCCGGACATCATCGCAACCCTGCTCTATACCGCCCCAGATTTCTACCAGGATCCTTTCCCAAAGCCCACGGAGGAAAAGACGCGAGACGGCAAGGACAAGGTTCGCATTGAAAGGCGATCCGTCAGGTTTTTTTTTGGGCCTTTTTCGCCCAATCGGCCTCTCGGTGTGGGGGAGGGGCCGCTCAAGTGAGACACATTTAGGTCTTTACCTCACACCGGGAGGCTGGCTGGTCAACCTCTCTGGTCTGGAAGATGCGGCTGGGCTGACAGCCAGGGCGGGGGTGTGTGGAATCGTATTTTGAACGGTGAGGATCGGTACGCAGGGGTCTCATGTCAAAGTGCCTTGGTTGGAAGGCCACGATTCTAGTTTCCCCTCCAAGACATTTTGTGATTCCGAGACACCTTTTTTGTTGGCACACGTGGATAGAAGGTATTGTCAGAAGCTAATTGAGTGGACCTATTGTGTGGCTGGATTCACGGCGGAGAAATCCGTCCCGTGCTGCGGGTTCATATTGGAATGATGCTGAGCTTGTCGTATTGCGTCGCTCGGCTGGTAAGAAGCACGGAAGTTCACCAACCTGGAGCATGGCTGCGCCGCAATCTTCATGGCAATGCATTGCAACCGGGAGCTCGGCAAGCAGGAGGACCACCACAATTGTGGAAATCGAGCCGGCCGGAGTGTGAGTTTGTGAATCAGGCAAAGTCACCAACCAGCACAGACGTGAAACCAGCAAGCGGGATCCACAACGATCGATGAGTCAACGTCCATGAATACGCTTGCAAAGGGCTGAACAGCGGTGAAATGGCGGCCTCCGGGGCAATGACGAGCGCTTTTCGCCGTTTCCGCTCGATAGTACTGAGCGGGCAGTATGGCTGTGCCTAGGTGCAGAGGGCATGGTCTTGCTTAGCGGAGCCCGAGGGGGGTACAGTTGAGGAGAAGCTGTGCCTCTGCAGGGTCCGTGGTCGACTGAGACTTGGCTGGACGTCGCCTCCGCCATTCACGAGCCACATCCGCCTTGTGGGATAATTAGCACCGATGTGTGAACTGGATCAGGTGGAAATGTTAATTCGTCAAGAGCAGCGGTATGGGGTTCTTCTGACCGAGTCCAGACCGCTGGCTGTCGCAGAGCAGGGGCTCCAGCTTCAAGGCAGGAGGGCGAATTGAGGTCAGCTGGTCCGGCCAGGGCCGTATCCTCCGCGGCAGACCCAGCTGAAGCAGCATCACGTGGCCGGCACGAAAAGAAACAGCACCAGCCACAAAAGGGCACGCAATGCGGCGTGTCGTCATTGAGAGCATTGACCGCTTCGTGGTCCATGTCTGTCGTCAGTTGACTTGCATTGTTGTGTCCATACAGGGGAGCAGAGGACGAGGGAGAAACGAGGTAGGTAGCCACTTTGCAGGCGGAAGCTAGGATGGAAGGAGCAAGGGCAAGCAAGGCACACACGAGACCCACCTGCCCTGTCCAGGATGAGAGAATTGGCGACCGCCAATCAAGGCGCAGAGGTGTGGTCTAGCGCGCCCGATTCGACCACACCGGTAGGGCCCTGCCATCCAATCCTTTGCCGCCCACTTTGCTCATCTCTAACCGCCCGTCGTCGGGCTTCTGAACGCCGCCATCCACTGCGCAACAGACCTGGTGCTCTCGTTGCAGCATCGCCGCCTGCCTCTGACCCATCGGCTGCCGCAAATATGCCCTGGAGGCCGACACGCGCAGCGCTGCCCAATGCCGTCCAGCCCACTGTCCCGGGCTGCCTCACGAGCTGGGGCTATCTATGGAATGGGGCTGCCGTTTGCCGCAGCGCCCACCAACCAGTCAGTCCAATGCCTGCCCGGTCGTCCTGAAGCCGAGCCTCACTCCAGCCCGGCGTAGCGAATGTTTCTGGCCAGCCAGACGCTGTCTCCAGGTCGCCCAAACCTGTCTGCAGTGCTCGTGACCAGTCAGATCTTGGGCAGGGTGGTCATGAAACAATGAAACATCGCTAGCTGGTTGGGAAAAGAGCCACGCGCATCACAGCGTCACCCAGCCATGCCTCAAGCTACGGTTATCCCTGATGCTGTCAGAGTGCGTTCAAGTCAGGCTCGAACATCTCGGCTTCCTTGCCCAGGTCTTTGTTCTCTCAATATTTCCTGCACCTGGTCTTCTTGGCGTCTTGTGGAATGTCACAGGTCTTTTCCGTTTGTCCCAAGGCTACGCGCCGGCATCAGCTAGCTCTTTCATCATTACCTCCCTTTGTGACACGCATGCGCCCAGGCCTGACTGTTAATCACTACGAATCCCGCGCGCCTCAAAGAGATCCTGTGTGGCGTCAGAACAAGTCAACCAAGTCGCCCACCAGATATCACCTCAGCACGCTTGTTTCCTCTGCTGTTCCGTTTCTCAACTCGAAAGAACGACGTCTCTACATTCTCAACCCCCGGCAGTCAACGCCCACTTCGCCTTCGACTTCTTCGGCACGCATTATTCGCTAGCCCGACGAGTCTTGTAGTCGTCTGCTACAATCGTCCGGGTTTATCGACGCAACCGCGATGGCGAGATCCAAGCGACGGCCGCTTTTGATGGCAGTGATGCTAGCGGCTCTTATGGCGTTGAGGGTCTCAGCAACTCCCGATGCACGCCATTTATTCGCAAGGGACGATGTCTGTGGTGGCATCGAAAGTTTAGCACAATGTACACAGAGTGGCCTGCCCGATAACTTCTGCTGTGGCAAGACAGACACATGTCTGGTCCTTGCCGGCAAGACGACCGTCCTTTGCTGCCCGGCAGGGAGCACATGCGCTACTATCAACCCAATCGTCTGCGACCTGCAGCTACAGGACGCAAGCCAAAATCCTGGCGCGGCAGTCAAAACTACAGTATTGGATGGAAAATTAGCGACCTGTGGTGGAGGATGTTGTCCCTTCGGCTACAGCTGCGACAACGGGGCGTGTAAGCGAGATGCGGACCAGAGCCAACCGCCAGTTGGATCGACCCCAGTATCGAGCAGTACCAAGACAGGCGGTTCGACAGCGACTGCCACGACAAAACCGGCTGCGCCCTCAAACACATTGCAGTCGTCTGGAGGCCCTGTGACGAGCCCGACGGGGTCATCCACTGCCACGCCAGAACCATCCACAAGCGATGCTGATCAAACAGAGCAAGGCAGCACTCCGGTCGGCGCCATCATTGGCAGCGTGATCGCTGCGATTCTGGTGTTGGCCGCCCTGATCTGGCTCTTTGTCTTCCTGCGACGGCGCAAGAACAAGAAGGATGAGCTCACACATCATGACACGTCCTCCTCATTCGGAAATATCGTTGTCAGTGCGCCACAACCCATCGACGGATATCCGACCATGAGGCAAGACTTTCTGGCCAAGACGAGCGCGAAGAACAGCATGGCGTCTTCGACACTCGGATCGCCTTTCGTTGGGTTCACAGACTCCGGTGGTCCAAGCCCCAAGTTCTCGCAGCCATACTCAAGACGAGCAAGTGATGAGCTGTCCCAAAGCGATGCTCGCTCTTACCATCATTCGGCCGAGATCAGAGCATTGCGTAATCTAACACGCAATCCTTTCGAAACTCCACCACGAACGCCCGAGAACAAAGACCGTAAAGCTAGTGGTGGCAGCGCCAACATCGACATATATGTAGAGGGGCCGTCACCTCCGGGGAGCAGCCGCTCCAAGACAACGACGTCGACCAAAGTAGCAAGCGACACTGCCAGGACCACTGCACCTGGGGCTGGATTCCTTGGGGCTGGCCTGGGAGTTCCGCGACAACGGGATACGACATGGAGTAATATTCTGCATGGTGCGACTGGGCTCTCAGAAACTCCCACGAAGAAGAAAGGCTGAGCTCGCACCAGCAATGCAAATTTGGGATCCTCTTTGCTGCCTTGTGTTCCTTCATCTTCACGGCAGCCGACGCTCTTCTGCCACTAATTGATTTGCCCAAGACCAACAGCCATGTCTATGGCGCATACATCATTAAAATTGTCTGTTTACTTGGCCATTTTGTTGTCCATTTTAGCTTTGCTCGTTTTGTTTCAAGCCGGCGCATTTTTGATACCCTTTACACTTAACAGAAGCATAATTATCGATAGCTACAAGATTACTCCAATCGATCTACTGAAGAGTCTTGTGACATTGTGCTGGATGTCTCGTGAAATTTCCGGCGCCCGGTCCCTGACCCTTGCAACGCACCCTCATATGAATCCTAGATACCTACGCATCTTAAAACGTGCATGGAAGGCATGGGACTTGCCGCTGAAGAAACAAGGCTCCAAAGATGGCGAGGAGGGTCGGAAGCTCATGGCTTGATTGCGCGTGAAGGCTGCTTTTGGCGGCGGCCAAGTGGAGATCATGCCGCGCGCTAAACTGGCCCACAATCCGCAAGGGGTTTGGGCATCCCACAGTTCCAAGGTTGTGTTGTGTGCCCTGTTGTACCTTGGGATCATGCACGTATAATTTAAGGATAAGAAGGATTCGATGTCTGAGCCCTCAGGAACCAATCCGGTCTTTTTCAGGTTCTGCAAGGATTCCTCTTGAGATCGAGAGGGATATCTTTCTTGGCCACGAACCGCGGGGGTTGCAGGCAGGTCCTAGCAATGGAACACGTTTTAGCGGGAGATTCCAAAGCTTCAAATGTCTCTCCTTCAGAGAAGTGGCGAGAGGGGTCTGAGACCTTCAGACCCTCTCAACCTTTGTGGAATGAACGCCGCATAAAGTCTGTTGTCCCAGCTGGAGCAAGGGACCCAGGGAAGGGTGGGAAGCAGTGTCCCTGGAATGGAGGAATGGAAGGGAGGAGTTATTGGGAAGCAGCGAGGAAGACATGCACAGATTTGGATTCCTTCCACTCTGTCCCGTACATTAATCCTGGACCTTGGCACGCCTCTAACTGCAGAGCAAATTCACTGAATGTGCTGATGCGCCCAGAGGCTCACATTTCATCAAAGCTCCTTTGACCGGGATCGTACGCGGAAACAATAGCAACAACCGCACGGAATCCGCGTAGAGCTCGTCCTTGCACGGGTGTCCACGGTGGATGACATTCTGGGACATCGACATCTCGTTCTCGCAAGCTTGACCAGGGATTTCGAACGTGCTGTGACACGTCGCGAAGCGATATCACCTAGCCTCCGCGACCGTGATCATAGTGCCGGCCAAACTTCAAGCAGTCTCCCACCGGCGGACACGCATCTCTTTACAACTATGCTCGCACACCGGCGTGGGTGTTTTCTGCCCTACGCCATCGGAGCGTTCATCATATTCCTTTGGCTATCCCGCGACTGGCGACGCAATGCCTGGGAGGAGATCAGCAACGGCTACAGCACCGCCCATCACGAGCCTGCACGACCACAATTTGAACCTGGCGTCATAGACGATGCGGAATACTTTTGGCGCCGCCTGCCCATGTTGAACCCAGTCGAACAAATGCGTCATTTGCCGACGGGACGACCAAAGAGCCTACCCCGGATCCAGGCTGAGGTCTGGCCGAGGGAATCCGCAAAGGAGCGGGACACGAGACTCGAGCGCCAGGCGGCTGTCAAGAAGATGTTCCTCCGATGTTGGGATAGCTATAAGCGCTTCGCATGGAGCCACGATGAGCTTACGCCACTGACCGGTTCGCACCACAACCCTTTTGGCGGATGGGGAGCGACGCTCGTCGACAGCCTTGACACGCTTCTGATCATGGGGTTGAACGACGAGTTTGCCGTGGCCGCTCGGGCTGCCGCCAAGATTGACTTTTCAAAGACCACGCTAGGCCGAGTCAACGTTTTCGAAACGACAATTCGATACCTTGGCGGGTTCCTTGCCGCGTACGATCTCAGCGGTGACCAGAACATGCTACGCAAGGCCCGTGAGGTAGGGGACATGCTATACGTCGCCTTTGACACGCCAAACCGTATGCCCATTGCTCGGTGGGACCCAGAGGCCGCCGTGAAGCTGAGCCCGCAACAGGCACCGGAGCGAACGCTCGTTGCCGAGATTGGCTCGCTGTGTATGGAGTTCACACGGCTCTCGCTGATCACAGGCGATCCCAAGTGGTTCGATGCCACGGAACGAATCCGCGAGGCTCTGGAGGATCAGCAGGAGAGCACATTGATGCCAGGTGAGTAAGCACGTGTGGTGGACGAGCGTTGCCAATCGCAATGGGAAATCCAGGGGGGAAAGCATCGGCTAACATGTTCGATAGGCATATGGCCTATAAGCGTAGACGCGAAGCACCTCGACTTCACCCAGGACTACACGTTCAGCCTCGGAGCGATGGCCGACTCGGTTTTTGAATATCTACCCAAGATGACGGCACTTCTCGGCGGGCTGGTTCCATGCTACGAGACGATGTACAAGAGCGCCATGAATGTCGCCCTCAAGCACATGCTGTTTCGACCAATGACGCCAGATAATGCCGACATCCGCATGTCTGGGATTTTACACATGGATGAGGAGAATGGCGAAATTGTCCATACACTTGAGACCTCGGGTCAGCATCTTGTCTGCTTCGCCGGGGGGATGTTCACCGTTGGCGGCAAGCTCTTCAAGGACGCGGAGCATCTCATTGCTGGCCAGAAACTAACGGAAGGATGCATCTGGGCCTACAATGCAACGAAATCTGGTATCATGCCAGAGACATTCACCATGGCCGCGTGTCGCGATGCAGATGATTGTACATGGAGCGAGCAGGAATGGCAGAGAGGCGTGCTGAAAGAGGCTGGACAGAACCAAGCAGACCTTTTCAAGGCTGAAGACATCATCACCGAGGAAGCCTTGCCGCCAGGGTTTACCCGCGTCGGTGACTCGCGGTATATCCTGCGGCCTGAGGCGATAGAGAGCGTCTTCATCCTCTACCGTGCCACGGCGCGCAAGGACCTGCTCGACACGGCGTGGCAGATGTTTGAGGCCATCGAGGAGCACACGAGTACTGCCATGGGCAATGCCGCGATCGCCGACGTGATGCTCAGGGACGGCACGACGGCGAAGCTCGACTCGATGGAGAGTTTCTGGTTGGGCGAGACACTGAAGTATTTCTACCTCATCTTCAGTGAGCCCTCACTGATCTCGCTGGATGAGTACGTGTTCAACACAGAGGCGCACCCGTTCCGGAGACTGTTGCGGTGAGCTGCACAGCTGCGCAGCTGCATTCGAAGGGGAGATTGGTATCTGTGCGTATGTATTTTGTCGTTTACAGTCTTGACAGGATTTCTGTCTTTAAAACGTATTATTATGGATCCAACCACCATTCGATCTTGTGAAAGGATGGTCTGGCCAAGGTCGTGAACGGGGATCGTCTGGCACCCGTGGCAGTGCCAGCGTGTCCAGCTGTCCCCAAGGGGGCAAGTCCAACCACAAGTGCGCCGCAAACAGCTCAAGCCAGAAATCCACAAGTGGACTTTGGGGTGGAGTTCACGGCGCTCGTGGTGGGATAAGCAAGTGTTCTAGACGCTCGAGGGAGCCGATTCCACCTCTCAATTCTTGCTGATTACGGAGATCCCCGTAAGGAGACAAAGCTCGGTGCGGCGTAATTGCCATTGCCTAACAGCAAGCTCCCCTCGCTCTCCAGATCCCCCGCTCAACCACAATCACCACCACTACCCACCCCCGTCTCCCCAATTTCCCTCCGTCCCGCCGCAAAATCATCCGCGCCCAGACAGCTGTCCTCCCACAGACACGGCCAAAACCAGCTCTTCGTCCGGAGCGCTAATCTGCAGCTTGAGTGCATCAACCCGGCCAACCTGCATTGACTTGCGCCGTTCACTGCGCCGCCGCTCGCATTATCGCATTCCCCTCCGCGCGCTCGCTCTCGGGCCTCGACCACCTCCACGATGCCGGACAAGTTTGTTGATTGGTCCAAGACGACCACGTCCAGGGACTACCGCGGGTCCAGCTCCTTTGCGACCTTTATGATCGTTGGGCGTAAGTTGTCCTGCTCCCTGTCCCTTGGTGTTGCGTCGCGCGGCCTGTAATTCCTCCAGCCCGATGGCAGCGGGCGGTGGCCTTATCGACTGAGCGAGCCATGCTCTCACAAGCCGCCCTTCGTGGCTCGTGTGACCTGTCCAGGATGACGAATGTGCTGACATTGCGATTTACTCACTCCAGCCATCTTCTTCTTCCTCGGCATGATCTTCACGCAGCTGCCCTACGACTACCCTCTGCTGTGGACGTCGGCGCCCGTGGACCCGTCCTACATTGCCGAGCTCGAGACGCACCTCAAGTTCCTGCACCAGTCGCCGCCGCTCATCTCGCGCATGCTCAGCATCATGATTGGTGTGGGCTTCCTCGGCCTTTTCATCAAGCTTTTCAAGGCGTCCGAGGCCAACATGCTCTTCGATGGCGCCTCGCTTGTCATGTACCTCATCGGCGTCGGCATCTACGTGGCCAACATTGTCAAGGGCCTGCGCATGGTCAGCGCCGACTACTGGAACTCGGAGGACTACCTGCGCGCCAAGGCCGAGGAGGTCGCAGGCCAGCAGCAGAGCTTGGTGCTCGGCAAAGAGGACAGCCTGAAGGTCCTGGCCGCTAGCAACACCATCCTTGCCCTCGTCCTCATAGGTGTCCTCGTGCTCCAGGCTGGCCAGTGGTATGCCGAGCGCAAGGACCTCCAGGAGATTGAAAAGGCCGCCGCCGAGGCTGCCCAGGCCGAGCAGGTCCCTGGAAGCCCTAGGCTGAGCAAGAAGAAGCAGTAGATTGCTGTTGCTTCGGCAGCGTCGCCCATCCTCAGGTCTTGATACATAGTGTGGCCGCACAAGGGAAATTTTGGGTGATTCTATGGGTGGGCTGGCTGATTTAGTTTTGGGGGCTGGGGGAGATGTTGGCGTTTCCAAGGTTCTCTTCACGTAGCCACCTTGTATAACTTGTGAATACTATTTTCGACTCCGCAGCTCATGCCGGCTTGCGCCCAACTGGACATGGCCAGCCAAGCGTAACACGAGCATATGTCTCAGCAGACTGCGGTCGACACGTCTGTACAGAATATCGTAATTGATAACCAAGCTCAAGTCCAATGCGACGATGTGTCCGGCGGAATCGAGCGCAGCGCCAAAGTCATTACGTAAGTTTTGCGCCTATTGGGGAGATCCTGTCTGGGGAAGCTGGAGGTCCCTTATGACGAAGTGCTGCTTCTGTTCCGCCCCTGCATGCAGGCACGTGGGGGAAATTATCACATGACAGCTTGCAATTGCAGACCCCAAAATGCGAGGACCAGACTTGACTGACACCTGCCCTCTTGGTTGCCGTTCAACGTTCGCCCGCTTGAGCTCAGCAAGAATTGCACGGGTCACGGCCTTGATCGCGGGCTTGCTTGATTAATCAATCGCTGAGCACGACCAAAGCGTGGGCAGCAGCCAAGCCAGGCCCCAGACGGCAACGGTGCAGCTCCGCCATTCATATGCCAGCAGCAACGATCACCTCATTTCCGCGTCCTCTTGCATCATCCTCAACCACCCTGCGACCTCGAAACAACCCGACTACCCGCCACTCCGAGTCCGGAACGCCCCCCCAGCTGGCAATCTGCAGCGCATCATAGCCGCCCGGGCGCCTGGTACTGTACCGTTGCGATTGAGCTGCGTGATTCGCCCGCTACATCAATCGATCGAGAAGCTCGAGGACGGCACTTCCCCTTGCAGGCGGTGACCGAGCCGCCATTTCGAGCCAGGGAATCTCCATCGAGCCTGTGCACCGGCCGCCGCGCTCTCGAGCCTAGACCTGCCCCGCATTGCGGCATTGCGGCCAGACGGGGTTCTTGCTTTGACACAGTAACCGACGAGCGAGAGCACGAAGGGGGCGCCTGAGGAGCACGCCGCCTGGCGAATCAGCTCGGCAGGATCGCGGTCTGGGCGATGCACAACGAAACATAATTATCCGCAGGCTGCTTATCATACTTTCTGAACCATAACCTCGGAAAGATATACTGCTTACTAAGGACTGAGAGAGAGATTGTGTGAAGGAGATCAATGGCCTCGTCCCAACCTGGATCCAGAAGAGCTTCGTCGTCCCGGCCTGGGACTGGACAGCCGCCTCTCCGGTCCAGTTCGACGCTGTCCTTTACCGAAGGTATTTTGAATAGGCAGTCTACCCAGGAGCGCATAGATCATATTCTGGAGGTGAGATCAATGGCACCACCCCTGCATCCCGTGCTTTCCCTTCCGAAGCACACAATCCTCGGCCTGTGGGCTGTGACGACAACCCGATCTTTTGAAGGGTGCCATCCGGCTGCGCTGTTTGTAGCTTCTTGTACCTCTTCATAACACCCCACCATCGCGTGAATTGATCTCTCCCACCCGTTGACTTACAATTCCTTCTACTGTCGCCAGACTGGTCGAAATCGTGCCGACAATATGGTCGCCAGTCCTCACGGCTCGAGCCCAGCGATGCGGGCGCTCTCGCAACCGGCAATTACTGAGGATGAACCGAACGAGACTACGGGTATCATCACGGCTGGGCGCCAGCATGATTACCATTCGACACACTCCAGCGTGCGGCGGAGGAACACACCGGCCACTCCGACACAGCCGAATGGCGACGCCGAGCCCGAAGAGGTCAAAGACGAGAAGGGATGGCTAGCCGACTACCTCTCGGGGCTGTGGACGATAGAGCTGGAAAACACTGGCAGTACTGCACGAGATCACCTGGCGCTTGGTATGCGTCCCTCCCCGCTGGTTGCGTATGGCGGCACCGTTGCGTTATCCCGAAAAATTAATATCCCAGTACCACAGAACGTACTTTCCTTGCCTGGCTTCGCACGTCGCTGGGCTTTGCCTCGATTGGCATTGCCATCACTCAACTTTTCCGGCTCAACACATCGCTCGCAGACGGGGAAGACGACCCGCATTTCGCGACTCTACGACACATAGGAAAACCACTCGGCGCGACGTTTATCGGCATCAGCATCCTCGTCTTGCTGCTGGGCTATCTGAGATATTACCAGAGCCAACAGTGGGTGATGAAGGGCAAATTCCCGGCCTCACGGGGCGCCATCATCCTGGTGTCGCTGATTGCGTTCGCATTGATGGCTGCGAGCCTTACAGTAGTAATCGTCGTTCAGCCCACTGTGAGATCTCAATAGTTTTTTTGGGTGAGGTCCGCCCCAGATGGACGTTCGAGGGGAGATTTGGTCGTGGTTTTGTAGCATCGGTGTATCGGGCGCACTGGGTTTTTGATTTACAGCATCTGCAGGCGTTCTAGATCCCATCGCCATATTGTTCGAATTCCGGACCAGATCGTATAGTTCACTTCTGCACCCCGAGATAGTCAACATACCTGTGATGGCTGCGTATCCCTGTCTCAGGGCCAATGGGTTTCCGCGCGTAGTATCGAAGACCATTTGTGCTGGAACTGCTGCCCGTCCCCACTTCGGACTTCAACAGCAGCAGCTCTCCACCACCTTACATCACCGTTGACCACATTTCCGCCCGCCACCCACTTGAGGTTCAACCTTCCATTGCCACTATAGAAAAACGTTAGACAAAACACCAAAGTACAATCGGAATTGAATCAGACTCGAGCGCAAGCCGGTCAATTCTCACCGAGGGTCTTTGCAGTCGGTTCAAGTGGGAAAGGTCTGATCGTCGACGAAGTGGGGTGAGTGAGGTGTTGTTGCTTGACCCTGCACAGAACACACACTACGCATACAGAGAGACGAACACGGACACAATGAGAATAAGCTGAGCACCATTACCATCAGGTTCATCAAATTCGGACAATTTTTCTCCAGGAACTTTGTCGGGCGGAAGAGCCATCGCCCTCCAACCTCGAAACGACTACCAATCTTTTCGAATCGCCTGCCTGCCTGTCTGCCTGCCTGCCTGGCAAAAGGTGACTAAAACACGGCACCATGGCCAAGTCTTCCACACCAATAGACATCCCGGCCTTTGCCAGCACACAGCTCGCACTCCTGGATGTCGAGCTGGCCAGCGAGGTGAGCGAGACGAGCAGCCTGGTGTCCAGCACCAGCCCGGCCTCGCTGCAGCGCGCGGGGCTGGCCATCACGAACCTGAGCGTGTCCTCGCAGCGGACGGGCCTGGGAGGGCGGACGGTCCTCGAGCTCGTCGCGGACAGCGCCACGCAGGCAGCGGACAAGTCGGCGGCGGGGGAGCTGCCGCAGCACGGGGTCCGGACGGGCGATATTGTGCTCGTGGCCGAGCAGCCAGCAGGCAGCGCGAAGAAGCGCGAGATTGCGGACCTGGAGAAGAAGGGCGCGCGGGGCGTCGTGGTCAAGGTGAAGAAGGACAGCGTCGCGGTGGCGATCAGCGAGGATGCCAAGGACGACAGCACGGCGGCGCTGGCGGGCGCCGGCCGGGTGTGGCTGGTCAAGCTGGCCGACGAGGTTACGCACAAGCGCATGAGCCAGACGATGGACCGGCTGCACAAGATGAGCGAGTCCGAGTACTCGGTGTTTGTGCGCACCCTGTTCGGCCTGTCGAGCCCGTCCCCCGTGGCTGCGGATCTCAGGACGGACCCGGAGTACGGGACGATAGACTGGGTCGATCCGAGCCTGAACGATTCTCAGAAGGAGGCGATCCGATTCGCCCTGGCGTCGAGAGAGGTCGCGCTTATCCATGGGCCGCCAGGGACGGGAAAGACGCATACCCTAATCGAACTGATCCTGCAGCTCGTCAGGCGCGAGCAGCGGATCCTCGTCTGTGGCCCGTCCAACGTCTCGGTGGACAACATCTGCGAGCGCCTCGCACCTCACAAGGTCCCGATCCTCCGGCTGGGCCATCCCGCTCGCCTGCTCCCATCCGTGGTGAGCCATTCGCTCGACGTATTGACGCAGACGTCCGAGGCCGGGATGATCGTCAAGGACATCCGGACGGAAATGGACGCGAAGCAGGCTTCCATCAAGAAGACCAAGAGCGGCAAGGAGCGCAAGGCCATCTACAACGACCTGCGCGAGCTCCGCAAGGAGTTCCGCGAGCGGGAGCGGCGCTGCGTCAGCACGCTCGTCAAGGGCAGCAAGGTCGTCCTCGCGACCCTGCACGGGGCTGGCGGGCACCAGCTGCGCGACGAGGAGTTTGACATTGTCATCATCGACGAGGCGAGCCAGGCTCTCGAGGCGCAATGCTGGGTGCCTCTGCTGACCGCGAAGAAGGCCGTCTGCGCCGGCGACCACCTCCAGCTCCCACCCACCATCAAGTCCCTCAACTCAAAGATCAAGGCCAAGCCACGCAAGGAAGGGCATGTAGTCCTCAGTCGGATGACCCTCGAGACGACGCTCTTTGACCGCCTGCTCGAGCTGCACGGCCCCAGCATCAAGAGAATGCTCACCACGCAATACCGCATGCACGAGAAGATTATGCGGTTCCCGTCGGACCAGCTCTACGACGGGGAGCTGGTGGCTGCTGACTCGGTCAGGGACCGCCTGCTCAAACAATTACCGTATCCTGTCGAGGACAGCGAGGACACGAGCGAGCCCGTAATCTTCATCGACACCCAGGGCGGAGACTACCCCGAGAAGACGGACGAGGAAGAGCCTGGCAACACGGGCAAGGTCAGCATTAGGACGTTGCTGGGAGAAAGCAAGAGCAACGAATCCGAGGCCAGCCTTGTACGACAACACGTGCGCAGGCTTGTCGACGCTGGTGTCAAGGCCGAGGACATCGCCGTCGTCACGCCGTACAATGGGCAGGTGAGTTTTTCAACACAAGGGCGCCTCGGCATCCTTTCCTATAGAAACCCCGAATCAAAGCGTCCAAGTTCCCAGGACGGTTGCCAGAGTGCCCAGCAAAGTTCTTCAGGGATACAGCTGATAAAATATTTATGGGTAGCTTGCGCTTCTTCGGCCACTCAAGGAACAGTTCCCCGGCATCGAGCTCGGCTCCGTAGATGGCTTCCAAGGCCGGGAGAAGGAGGTCGTGATTGTCAGCCTCGTCCGCAGCAATTCGGAAGGAGAAGTCGGCTTTCTTGGAGAGAAGCGACGCCTGAACGGTAGATACCCCACTGTCCATTGCATTGTGAGCTCCGACGTCCAAAAAAGTTGATTTGCTAACGTCCTCCGTGTGCTTTGTGCCTTTGTACAGTTGCAATGACCCGCCCAAAACGCTCACTTGTTGTCATTGGTGACTCCGAGACCGTGAAGAAGTGAGTTTCTCTTTATTCCTCTGTCGTTCGTTTCCACGTCCACATGCCAGTCTTGCTAGCCTTACGATAATTATCGCGCTTGCGCTCCGTCACGACTCCGGTCCACGGACATCACCTAGCGGGAACGGACACTGTGATGAGTATCTTTTCTGGACACATAAAGAGTATGCCCTTCATGCGGCTGACCGAGTCAATACCCTTCGACTTCACAGAGGTAGCAAGTTTCTGAAGGACTGGATGGCTTGGCTCGAAGACAATGCCGATCTGCGGTACCCAGATCTGGCAGACTTGAATGCATGAAGGAAACTAGCATATTGCATTAGATTGTGCCGCGTGGTTTCGCACTGCATATGCATGAGGTTTCCACAGCAGGTGCTCAGCCTTCACGGCGAGATCCGGCCGCCTCCTCACCGCGTTCCAGAACCATGCGGATCCCAAACCACCACCAAGAGCCTTCTCGTCATGCGATATGATGCATCACTATAGCCTGAAACCGTGGAGAAGCCCTGGAGGTATCATGCCTGCAGACTGTTGCCTGAGTCACGTCACAATCCCTGGGAGGCTCTTGCTTGCAGGGGCCGACGGTCCGCTGTGGAACCTTGCCGTTGAGTCAGTGGTCCAGATTTGGAAATGTCCTGTCTCATACCTTTGCCTGTTACAGACATGGCGACATGCGTTTCACACCATTTGGGACGAAAGCAATGCTGAAGCACATGGCTTAACGACCCAGGTGAACCGCTTGAAGCACGGGGAACCGGGACCCTGGGCAACAGGGTTTGTAAGAACGTGGCTGTGTCATGGTTTTGCATGTCGCAAGCTGGGGACGGACAGCCATTGAATTTTTCCGTTGGCCTGGCATGCGTATCCAGGCAAAGCTTGAGCGATTTGGACCGTCGAAAGCACAATCTTTACAAGCTGTCGATGTCCAGCCCATTTCAAATGGGACCCTGCCGCATAGTCATCGGGGCTGTTGCCGAGGCATATTTGCAAAGATAATCTGCTATCCCACAAGCTTTACGTCGCACTGGATCTGTGCATGTTGATTCAAACTGCCAGGCACTACCGGGCTCTCCAAAGACACTGATGCTGGCTTCAAGAGACTGTTGCTCCAGGGCCGATGAGGCATGCTGCCCACCAGCTTTGTGCTGAAACGACTCGGGCCTGCGAGTATTGACATAGTGTCGGAGCAGGAGTAGGGCACACTTTGGAGATAAACACATGGCGAGAGCCATGCGCTCCATTTCTGTGTTGTACAGCCAGGCAGATTATCCGACGGTCAGCAGAGGCATTCTCCAGATACGGCGTTCATTCGTTGTCGCGTGAAAGTGATCGGCTTGTGCCGTACGGTGTCATGTGTGGGGCTCGACGTTACCTGAAACGGAGGACATCCGCTCCTGTGCCAGATCATGCAGTTTTGTGGCAAGCACTCCTGTGTTGCAAACAATATATTCCCTTTGCACACTCTAGCACATGCTTAGAGCTTGGACTTGAGGTCGTTTTTCTGTCTGAATTGGCGATTCATTTCGTTGTCGCAATGCAAGACAGATCGGCCAGTCCGAGCCAGGGAGTGTCGGGCAAAGCCAGGCAATAGTTAATGCACGAGGGAATTGACTCAGGGCTGGAACTCGCTGATGGCACAAGTTTCGAGATTGCCATAGAAGAGCTTTATCATTGGGCTTTTGTGACGTATCGACCATCTTGACAACCTCGGGAGCTGACGAATCGCATTTCTTTGCGGAGGCTCTGCAACACGGGACATGATCCAAAGTGGCTAGTTGGCTTAGAGGCGGCATCCTCGGACCCGGTCCGATCTTAGCTGCGCTAACACTCGGGATCAGTACTTTAGACGAATTCTGCGAGGCAAGTTCTGGAACTCTTTGCGTCGCACGTCTTATTGTCGGCGAGGTGAAGAAGACAACAGCCACCGAGTTAATTAGACTTCTGTCAACGTCGCGCGATGTGGCTCGTCATGGCAGAGGCCCTCCGTGACGACAGGGGGTCTGAGCGAACCGGCAGGGCCTCGTCCCAAGTTTCGCGTGTGTTTCTCGGAGGGGCGACCGGAGCCAACCCTGTCACACAACGTGCCTGACTAGGGCGAGGTCATCGGCAGGAGCACGCCAGACCCAGGGGCAGGCCTGCCGTCGATCGTGGCTGTCAGCCGCGCCGTAATAGCCTGCGTGCTATTGAAGGATATGTCTCGCAGGGGAAATATCGAGGCCGAACGAGCGCATGATTAACGTTGGGTGGGCTCTGCTGGTTGCTGGAATTCTGGGTAAAGCGTGACCGTATGGGGCGAATCAGAGGCTCCATGGACGGCTCTGCAGGGTGTGAGGAGAGCGTAGCGCTGGGTTAGTGTCCTCAAATCGTACCATGGGGGACCTTTGGGGGTGGCAATGCTCTGCAATGAATCGTCACAGGCCGTTCAATGTCTCTGGGGATCTTGGCCAAACGATGGCAGGTCGCGCTGCCGAGGACCCCTGGGTCTGTCCGGGACGTGCAGATCATGTAATGCTGGGAAGCTGCGGATTGTGCCACTTTGTCGAGACAACGAACCCATGGATGTCGACGGATGCTGAGCGCTTGTCCGGAGGGGTTGCTTTTCGCGTGCTCTCCACCCACCGTAGGGAGGTGGAGGTCGCAGCCGCGCCCTTGGCTGCCCAGCCCTCGAGTCTACAGTAGCGTGCGTGGTCTGGTGGCCGCGCAGGTGTGGCTGCAGGTGCTGCAGGGGCAGGCGCGATGCAGTAATTGGCAGGTATGGTGTTCGATAGCTGGCAAAGGGGCCCCTTTGGACAAACCCACCTGGCTGTGTTGGCTCTCGGCTCTCCATCGACTCCATCATACCCCGGCCCGGCCTGCATGCGCTGCTCTGCTCAATCATCTCTGCTCGTCGTCTTTGGCTGCTCCGAGGCTGCGGGTTGCAAGGGCCCCCCCCCTCCGTGCTCCGTGGCGGTCCCACGCCGCCCACGTTTCTATCGAGTATGACCCGCACGCAACCTCTCAGGACGACTCAGGCGACGGGCAGCTCTACTCAGCGAACGTGAGCATCTAGCCTGCGACGTCAGGCCGTCGCAGGGGCAAGAGCTGCACGTTCCAATCGGAATAAGCTTGATGCTATGCGATCATGTCAGGGACAACCCGTCAGCACGTAAGAGAATGAGCACAGTCTCCGCTCGCGTCGGCCATCGTCATCCACCAGCCCGGGGGGAGGGGCCCGCCGCCCACTAGCAGACGCACCTTGACCTGGCTGGGTTGCATTGTTTCAGATCACACCGCACCCCGGCCGCCAACTCGACAACCTTCCCTGCCAGTCTTCTCGTTGCGTGCTCTAAACCCGTCCAAGGTTGTCATTCATCAGACGGTCGGCTCGGCCAGGGCATTGTGTCCGGTTCCCGCTCACCTGACAGACCCTGCACCCCGGAGCCGCCCTGGAGCTGCGCTCATGGTTGCAGCCCTCGCAGCCCGCATACTTGAATACTACCGGATCCCCTCCCTCCGTACATCCCAGTGCTTTGTCCTCCTGGTTGCTTTCCCTTTCTCGCTCATCGCTTTCTGCCTGCTGCCGAGCTACCCAACCGGGAAAGCGCGTCGCCAGCGTCCCCAAGGCCCTCCCCGTGGCTCATCACGCTGCAGAGCACTCGCTTGCTTTACCCTCGACTTGGCCTCCTTCACCAGTTCCCCCCGGCGCCACGACTGCTCTCAGAGAACAGCTCCTGTCTCCTGTGCTGCTGCGTAAGCTACTGCGATCTGAGCCACCAGATTACGGCGGTCAAGCTTGGATCCGATCTCCTGACGACAATGGAACACGGCCTGCTTGACTTGTTCTGACAGCCTTGGCCTGTTTTTTGTTTTTATTCCAGTCTCTCCTTTTGCCAGGTCGCATCCCGAGGCCTTGGGCCCTTTTTTGCTTCTTTTTGATTTCACTTCACCTTGCTGGTCGTTGAGCCATGCCCCTTTTCAAGCCCGGAGCGGCCGCAGGCAGGCCCAAATCCGCCCAGCTCGGCAGCATTCGTGGCCGTATAAGCGGGCCCATTATGGTTGACGACGAGTTCCCGATCAGGACTCCCGGATCTGGCATCGCACATCTGGGAAGCCCTGTGGACTTGCATTCGTCTCCGTCGGCTAGTCCTGACGAGGACAATCAAGTTAGGAATGACCCTTTGAGTGACCAGCCGAACGGGGATGTGTTGCAGCAGTCTCACTTTGACCGCGACACGACCCCCAGCACAGAACCAAGGCAGGCAAGTCAAGCGACCGCAGCACGTTTCTCGACTGCTAGCCATGCGACCGGCAACGACACGCCACAGAGGAAAAAATCAACCTTCAGGTCAGCTTTGAGCAAGTTGTTTGGCAGGAAGAAGAGGGACACCCACAGCCGTAACTCGGGCGCCGAAACTCCATACCAAGCCATTGCTACTCCGGACCAGCACCGAAGTGTAAGTGAGATGAAGATCAAGCGGACTGTCACCACGCGTGCCAATAGAAAATCGGGAACTGACCACAATACCAACAGCAACCCCCTGCCAGGCGTGACTCTCCAATGGAGCAGAGTGAGCCCAAACGATCATTTTCACTCCCAGTCACCGAATATGAGAGAGCATTGCGGTCTCACTCAGTTGGTCCAACTGATATGCTTGCCATTGAGAGCGCACGTAACTCCATGCTCCTGGAGCCAGCCATGCTCAAGAAGAGGGCGGCGTCGTCGAGTCTCATTGTCAGTCCGGTCCGGAGAGACTTTGATGGGGAGCTCATCGGCCTGACGCCACGGCCGGCCAGTATCAATGGTGAGATCCATGTCTCCAATGAGGAGTTGCAGGATCCCAACGAGATCGGGCGTGCTTTGTCGGTCTACGAGTCATCCTCGCAGCGGCCCAGGTCCAAGAGCCTGACCGGTATGCCTGCTTTGGCAGAAGCTGAGGCCACAAGCCGTAACCGAAACGACGAGATTCGTTATTGGAGAGAGAGCTATCAACCCAGGAGCTTGTCGCCTACAAACGAGGATGCACACGAGTCCGCGAGTCACAAGGATTCTGTCAATGATGCCACTGCCGAGACTCCTCGCACGGTGCCTCCAAGTTTCCCTCTCAGCCCAGAAGAGCTTCGTTTCCAGACACCCACAGATAGCCCGGTGCTTTCTCCCCAGCAATTCGCATATGCGGCTCCTTCTCTGGACCATGCGCATTATTCTGAGATGAGCTTGGAAGAACGGGTGGTTGCGCTCGAGGCACATACCCGCAAGCTTGAGAAGCTTGTCTCTCAGCTGTTTGAGCTTGTTTCAGGCGGCGCAGCACTGGGCCGTCCGGGTAATGCCGTGCCCAGGAGCCCGCAATCTCTCGACCGGTCCGCAGCACAGTACGGTACTTCATATTCTACGACACTGCGAGAAAATGCCCCTTCGTCACGGCAAAGTGATGAATCATTCGGTGATGCCTACACCTACGTCGGGTCTAACCCTGCGCCGCCCATCATCACTGAGCGAATGCCCTCGAACAATACGAGTGTCCGTGAGGCGACGAGTCTGCCGACTCTCCCTCGGGACTTTCAACCGTCCCTCGGTGCTGATCACTACACTACACTCAAGGCTCTACTCGATACTGAGCGCGTGAACCGCCAAATGCTGGAAGCCCAAGTCACCAAACTGAGCTACAGACTGAATCGCCTCTCTCGCGCCTCGCAGACTTTGGATTCACGCAAGCGTGGGCTCTACTCGGCTTTTGATGATGATGACGACGACTACGAGGGTTTGCCAAGTGCAACTGACGGCTACGGGTCCGAGATCTTCCAGACGCCTCACGAAGAGTATAATGCTGCAGCGCTCCAGGCATTGTCTGGATTCTCCCCGGACGCTGCGGGAGACAATTTTGACAATGATTCCGACAAGGAGAATCAGGGCACAGCACAGCGCAAGGCACCAAGGACCCTCTCTCTCGGACAACTGACACTCCCCAAGTCAAGCAGGATCCCGACTGATGGAGACGTTCACTTATGACTATATGGACTCCAAGGAGGGGGCCGCAACGCGAGGCACTGAAACAACGGCTTACGAGCGGGCATTTGTACTCCCAGACACGTGCAACCTGGCCTGCAAGACTGGAACATTGAATGTTACTGATCTACCTGGGCTCGTCGCTGATGTCTTGACGGACGAATGATGGATGTAATAAGGCTTTGACAGCATAGCGTAATTTTGCGTAGCGTGCATTTCTTTTGTAGTTGTAATAGTAGCGCGACTTGATACCCTCCACTATTGTTTGCAAGAATTTGTTGCTCGTCGATGTTGTTCGTTGTTTTGTCGCAAACTCACAACGAAGCACGCTACGACCAGGCCTAAGGACAGGGCCAACAGGGCCAACCTTACGTAATTGCGTGAACCACGGTCGCACCCCGTAGAGATGGATCCTGCGAGATCATGTGCGGGTGCAGTTGCAATCGGCACCGGGCAAAGATCGAACGGTCCAAGGACGATACTGCTGACGATCGGACGACGAGCACGGACAGACCCCACGAACTAGACATTTCGAGATGATTACGGCCTGGAAAGGAGGGACCAAAAAGAGAGCGGTGTCAGGTACGCGGCAGCTGTGATTGGCTCGGGTTGGGAGGTACGTACCTCAACCCGAATACGAATGCTGGCACCCTTGGTGGGGGCGAAGTTGCGCATGGCATCGGTTGGTGCAATCTCTCCCTTTTTTCCATTCCCCTTGTCATCAGGGTCGTCCAACACCACAATCTTTCGACTTTCCTCTTGTCTGCGCGACGACGCAAGCGAGTTGTTCTGTGCGGGCCGAGTTTATAAGCTGCACTTGCCTCTCGAGGGTGTCTCTCCCCTTCTAGCCTGTCCAGCGTCTTTTTGTTGATTCACCATTGCGACACGGGCTCATCTCAAGGAGCGGTCAACAGTCACCCCTTTCACTTCACTCGCGCTTCCAACAGCCTGTCACGCACGTGAACGCCCTCGCGCGCTTTACTCAACGCTCACGCATACCGTCCTCGACCCTTCGCGACGAGCCAGACGTAGCACGCAGCCATGGGTTTCCTCGAGGAGTTTGTCGGTCCCGCGACCGACAAGTTCTTGGGGCTCAGTCTGCGCGCCCAGATTGGTGTTGGTCTCGGCGGATTCATCTTCTTCTCAGTCCTCATCAACGTCCTCAACCAGATCCTGTTCAAGAACCCCAACGAGCCTCCGATGGTCTTCCACTGGTTCCCCATCATTGGCAGCACAATTACATATGGCATAGACCCTCCTCGCTGGTTCAAGCAGCAGCGCGAGAAGGTGCGTTCTCTTCACCCTAATGACGCTACAACAGAGGCTACTTTTGTACAAGAGCGTGCTGACCACTCTGCCTTTGTCATAGTATGGCGATATCTTCACCTTTGTCCTTCTCGGCAAGAAGACCACGGTTTACCTTGGCCCCGCCGGCAACGAGTTCATTCTGAACGGCAAGATCAAGGACGTCTCGGCTGAGGAGATCTATACGGTTCTTACAACCCCTGTGTTTGGCAAGGACGTCGTATATGACTGCCCGAACTCCAAGCTCATGGAGCAGAAGAAGGTGCGTTCCTCTTCTATATGTTGACGCTCCGTGATCTCTTGACCAGGCTCGGGTAACAACCTGACCGGCAAGATGGACGCATGCTGACAATTTTCCGATTACAGTTCATGAAGATTGCTCTTTCCACTGCCGCTTTCCAACGCTACGTTCCCATCATCACCGCCGAGGTCGACGACTACTTCAAGCGCTCGGCCGACTTCAAGGGCAAGTCTGGAATCGTCAACATTCCCAAGAGCATGGCCGAGCTCACCATCTTCACCGCTTCCCACACTCTGCAAGGCAGCGAGGTCCGCAGCAAGTTCGACGAGAAGGTTGCCGCTTTGTACCACGATCTCGACATGGGTTTCAGCCCCATCAACTTCGCTCTCTACTGGGCCCCTCTCCCCTGGAACGCGCGCCGTGACCACGCTCAGAGAACTGTCGCCAAGATCTATATGGACGTCATCAAGCAGCGCCGGGCTGCTGGTGCCACCGAGACCGAGGACATGATGTGGCACCTGATGAACTCTACCTACAAGAACGGCACCCCAGTCCCCGACCACGAGGTCGCCCACATGCTGATTGCGCTTTTGATGGCTGGACAGCACTCGTCTTCTTCCACTAGCTCGTGGATCTGCCTCTGGCTCGCCGCCCGTCCTGATGTCATGGAGGCCCTATACCAGGAGCAGATTGAGGTTCTTGGTGCCGATCTCCCCCCTTTGACGTACGAGAATCTGCAGAAACTGTCCCTCAACCAGGCTGTCCTCAAGGAGACCCTCAGACTTCACGCTCCCATCCACTCGATCATGCGCGCCGTCAAGTCCCCCATGCCTGTTCCCAACACACGCTACGTCATCCCCACCAACCACACTCTCCTTGCTGCGTCCGGTGTCTCCGCCTCAGACCCCAAGTACTTCCCTGAGCCTGACTTGTGGGAGCCAACGCGCTGGGACAAGGACTCGCCGATCGCCCCTTCCTCTGCCATCCAGGCTTCTGGTGAGGACGAGGAGAAGATCGACTACGGCTATGGTCTGGTCAGCAAGGGCGCCAACTCCCCGTACCTGCCCTTCGGTGCCGGCCGTCACAGGTGCATTGGTGAGCAGTTTGCTGGTGTGCAGCTGCAGACCATTACGGCTATGCTTGTGCGCAAGTTCAAGTTCTCCAACCCGGACGGCACCACCGGCAAGGTCATTGGCACCGACTACCAGTCTCTTTTCTCGCGGCCCTTGGAGCCTGCCAACATCCGCTGGGAGAAGCGTGACGAGTAGAGGTTGGTACAAGGTGCTTGGGCCTGTATTGCGATGAGACAACGATAATTGCTTAATTTTGGAGTATTTTCGTGTAACATATGTAGGGAGTGTCTCTTTGGGAGAGGAGAATACTTGGGAGCAAAGAAGGCGATGCGACACACTATAGATGAAGGGCAGAGAGCCCCGTGGCCTCCCGTCATTCTTGACGAGCGGAGGTCTAGACACGCATACAATTATTAATAGTATTATAAGCTAATCAAGAACAAGATGCGATACATGCCTTGTGCTTTTTCCTGGAGGTCTGACGGTCACGTAATTAGTCTTTGCATTACCTCTGTGACTGGGAATGTTCTGGGGACGGGGAATTGTGTGATATGTGGCTTCAAAAGTGAATTGCGCGGGAGCGGAGACTTTGTTCAGTTCGTGGCTGCTTTCTGAAAAAAAGTGTCTGGGGCGCCCGTTGCGCGCTGGTGTTGGAACCTTAAATGGTCAAGGGGGCGTGTGAGTGAGTGGATGACGCAAACGGGGTGTCTGAGACCGTCGGGGAGGCACTGGGGTTGTGACCGTGCTAGTGAGCGGACTTGGGAGGCGCATGCTGCCTACCTGCCTACCTGCGTGGGAACACAACTCTCTCAATTTACGAAACCAATCCTTCTGGCGCAGGAAAAGAGACATTCAACCCATTGTCTACTGGTCGGAGCTTGACATTTCTTACTGGGCAACCGGGCGCGCTCACCATTTCCAGGGGTGTCTTGGAGCTGGAGTCATCGTAGACTCTGCCAGCCTGAGCCTCCCGGTGCGCGCGCGCGCACGCACGCGCTGACAGACGAGGATAGCTCTGTGCTCCCACGCGCGCAGTGATCAACAGCACCGCACTTATTGGGGCGTGTTGACCGACCAAACATATCACGACCGTGCATCACAAGGACTCGCCATGACGGAGAACCTGTCGAGATTTCCGACTTCGAAGGGGTGGGAAGATATAGCGACGCAGACGCGCAAGGACCGGGAAATGCCTGGTGTGAACGGCATCAGCAGCAGCAACAACAACTACAACAACAATGGACCCAACAGCACCAGTCCCGGAGGAGCAGCTAATGCAGAATCACCATTCTCGGCACAACAACAACAACAACAACAACAACAACAACAACAACAGCAGAAGCATAGGCTTGGCCCCCTGGTCCGCCTCTGGGGCATCGGCAAGGACGAGCTTCCTCCCGACTCGGCGACGGCAGACGAGCTGCGGACCTTCCTGGCCGCGATCCTCAGCGAGGCCGGGCCCTTTATCGCGTCCGCCACCCCACAGAGCTCGCTCTCCCTGCCGAGCACGGCGTGGAAGCAGGCGCGCGGCCAGAAGAAGCATCGCGACTCGGCGGCGCCGGTGTCGCGGAGCAGCCGTGTCGTGTCGGGCAAGGAGCTGGATCGGATTGTCGGGGAGAAGGCGTTTGTCGTGGGTGCTGAAAACCAGTTCCTGAACGTGCCGGCGCAGCAGGGCGGCTATGATGACGGCGATATAAGTCCCGGTAATGTCAGCCTGCGCGATGGTCACGGGCCGCAGCAGCAGCAGCAGTGGCGACCGCCGACGCAGAAAGCGACGCGGGCACGGCGACAGCGGGACCGGCGGAGTAGCGGAGGTGAGACCTGGTTCTGTCGCCGAAGCGTGCATGAGGATTCTGCTCGGCGCGGGACGGCATCATGGGAGGAATTTGACCGGTACCACCGTCGTGAGCATGCCCAGTCGGAAGTCCGGCTTACGCCTGCTGTCGTCGCGGCGCATGAGGCAGTGAGCTGGCCTGGCTGCGAAGGGGTAGAGGTCAATATGCCGCCTGCGAATGGCAGTGGAGAGACTCAGGGTGGAGATGGGCTTGAGACGTGGGAGGGCTTCAGTCTCAGTATACAAGAGATGAGACATAAGGTCGGCAGGCCGTTGCTCAAAGACCGGACGTTTCCTGTGTTGCAGATGACATGTCGGAGAGTCTTTGGCCGGGACCCAGGTTCAGGATTTACGCCAAATCAACCAGATGATCATGGAATTAGAGTGGAAGCAGGCGGGTACGTGCGAGAACCGGTCTCCGGAGAAGACCAACATGATCAAGTCAACAACGAGGCCAGCGATGGAGGTGAAGTTGTTGAGCCAGGGGTCGACCCCGCGAAGCCATCCAGCAATACGGAAGGCGCAGAAACATCCGCCACGCGCGCTGCGAATGGGGAAACCCAGGAAACCCAGTCTGGGGAGGAGTTCCTGGTTGTGAGCATACCGGTGCCCGACTTTGGCGAGGACAATAGAAGCAAGCTGGCTCGCGAGGATGGCGCCCAGGTGGCTATGTACGTGAGCATCGAGCGGCTCCGTAAGATTCCCAAGACTGGTCAGATCGAATGGGTCATGGCGACGGCGAGTGATGCCGGGGGCGTGCTGCCCATGTGGGTGCAGACGGCAGCCGTGCCTGGCATGCTGTGGAAAGACGTGCCGATGTTCTTCAGTTGGGTGGACAAGCGCCGCCACGCAGAGACTTGAGGTCGACCGGCGACGCAGCGTCTCGAGCATGCCATAAAGGCTCAAACGATTGACTCCCAGAGAAGATGTTCTGGCACTTGCCACATGCGGAATGAGCAGTCATCCTGCCATGACGTCGAGGCCGTAGAGCTCTATCCCAGGGTTGGGACGCTGCGATGATCGGAGATTGAAGAGTCACCAGGCTGCATCCCCTTGAGACGATATCACAGGCGCATCTTCAGCGCAACGTGCTTCTGTATCAAGGCAGGACGCTTAACAATCTCAATATTGGTCACACCATGTCAGCATAATGAGTTCAATAACAATCCCAGGACAGGCTGAGTCAGGCGAGAATTACTGAGCAAGGTGACATCCTTGGGGACATTCGCGAAGCAGTACGGCCAATGTGATGACTGCGGCGTGCTTCCAGGGTCCTGCCTGGCTAGACACACGACACAGCCAAGTCCTTATCGATAGCATTTGGGCAATGACCCGACGTCGCTAAAAATGCCAATCCGATAAAGCAATCGGCTAGTGTCGCATGAGCTTGGTTGCAGAGTGACTCAGTCAGTCGAGCCACCCTTTCTGTGCCCGTCACTCCCTCGCCATCGCCTCCAGCAAGCAATTGTCCTCCAAGCCGAGTGCTGTGGCCGTCCTGGTGTCCCGTCTGCTAGCCTCTGTGTGCGGAGATAAAAGTCCATGGGACCCTGACTCTGTCTTGTGCCGCCGCTCACACCCCACGCTCCCTGATGCGCACCACCTCTCGCCAACTGCTCCAGCTCTGTCCGCGCTACCACTCACACTCCATCCCCATCGCCAAGTTGTCGGCCAGGCTCCCCCTCCGAGCCATCTTGGTGCGCAGGCCGCAATACAGACCTCATCTATACCTCTTTAGAGCCACGATGGCGACCAACAGCGCCCGTGGCAACATTAGTATGTCCTAGACCCCTGGCCTTTTTGGGACCTCCGCTGCCGGCGGCCTACCTCACTCGCCCGCCCTGCATGCAGCCCATGTTACGTCCCTGACCCCACATCGTCAAAGAAAGCCTCCCCCCCCCCCCGCCATGAATCACCCCTCCACTTCGGTCCAAAATCTTGCGTGGCGAGCCGTGCAGAGCAATCGCTGACATCCGGTTTTCTTTCGTCCCAATCAGTTGCCGCAGACGAAGGCAAAGACAATTCCGGCGACACCCCGATCCCTCCCCTCTCGAACGACGTCAAGAAAGCCGTTGCCGAAAGTTCTGCCAACAGCACCGCTGGCCTCCACGCCTCAGGGCAGACCGCAGACATGGAGCAAGCCGCCGCCACAAAGCCCGAGCCCAAGGTCAAGACCGAGAAGGAGCTCGAGCGCGAGCGCAAGAAGGCCGAGAAGAACGCAAAATTCCAGCAAAAGAAGGCCCAGGCTGCACAGGCCCCCCCGCCGCTGGGGCTGACGGCGCGAAGCCCAAGGAGAAGAAGGCCAAGCCTGCAAAGACCGAGGAAGCCCCTCTGCCGCCATATGTCGAGGACACTCCCGCGGGAGAGAAGAAACGTCTGCGATCTCTCGACGACCCTCAGCTCAAGGCCTACAACCCCCTGGCCGTCGAGTCAGCTTGGTATTCTTGGTGGGAAAAGTCTGGCTTCTTCGAGCCGAAGTTCAAGGAGGATGGCAATGTCAAGGATGAGGGCTCTTTTGTTATTGTGATCCCCCCGCCCAACGTCACTGGCGCTTTGCACATGGGCCACGCCCTAGGCAACTCGCTGCAGGACATCATGACCCGGTGGGCGCGTATGCATGGCAAGACTACCTTGTGGCTGCCTGGCTGCGATCATGCCGGTATCGCCACACAGAGCGTCGTTGAGAACATGCTTATGCGGAAAGAGGGAAAGACGCGCCACGACTTGGGTCGGCCGAAATTCATCGAGACTGTCTGGGACTGGAAGGCCGAATACCACACGCGGATCAACAACGCCCAGCGCAAAATGGGTGGTTCCACAGACTGGACCAGGGAGGCCTTCACCATGGACAAGAACCTGTCCGCCGCTGTCACCGAGACTTTCGTCTCGCTGCACGAGGAGGGCATCATCTACAGAGCCAACCGCCTGGTCAACTGGTGCACAAAGCTCAACACTGCCCTCTCGAATCTCGAAGTTACCAACAAGGAGCTTACTGGCCGTACACTCATTGACGTCCCTGGTTACGAGCGCAAGGTCGAGTTCGGCATCATCGTCCACTTCAAATACAAGATCGAAGGGTCTGAAGAGACGATTGAGGTTGCCACAACACGGCCTGAAACCATGCTCGGCGATACCGGTATCGCCGTCCACCCTCAAGACGAGCGCTACAAGCACCTCGTTGGCAAGAAGGCAGTCCACCCCTTCATTGAGGGTCGCCTGATGCCCATTGTCGCAGACGACTATGTGGACAAGGAGTTTGGAACTGGTGCCGTTAAAATCACCCCTGCGCACGACCCCAACGATTTTGCTCTTGGTCAAAGACACAATCTCGAGTTCATCAACATCCTCACAGATGACGGTCTTATGAACGGAAACGCTGGTGCTTACAAGGGCCAGAAGCGCTTCGATGTCCGCTACAGTATCCAAGAAGACCTCAAGAAGGCCGGTCTCTACGTCGACAAGAAGGACAACCCGATGAAGGTTCCCCTGTGTGAGAGGTCAAAGGATGTTATCGAGCCGCTCTTGAAGCCTCAGTGGTGGATGAGAATGAAGGATCTCGCCAAGCCCGCGATCGAGGTTGTCCGCGAGGGACGCATCAAGATCCAGCCAGAGTCAGCCAAGAACAGCTACTTCCGGTGGATGGAGGATATCAACGACTGGTGTCTCTCGAGACAGCTGTGGTGGGGTCACCAGTGCCCTGTCTATTTTGCGACTGTTGAGGGTGAAGAGCCGGACCGGTCTGATGACACGCGGTGGTTCTCGGGACGCACAGAGGAGGAAGCGCATGCCAAGGCTGAGAAGGCTTTGGGCGGGAAGAAGTTCACTCTTGAGCGCGATGCGGACGTGCTTGACACTTGGTTCTCGGCTGGTCTCTGGCCTTTCTCCACACTTGGCTGGCCTAACAAGACTCACGACCTCCAGCACCTGTACCCCACGTCTGTCCTCGAGACTGGCTGGGATATCATGTTCTTCTGGGTTGCGCGTATGATTATGCTTGGCCTGAAGATGGTTGGCGACATCCCCTTCAAGGAGGTCTACTGCCATTCTCTGATCCGAGACTCGGAGGGCCGCAAGATGAGCAAGTCATTGGGCAACGTCATTGATCCCCTCGATGTCATCTACGGCATTCCTCTGGAGAAGTTGCACGAGAAGCTACTGCAGGGTAACCTTCACCCCAGTGAGGTCGAGAAGGCCAAGAAGTACCAAAAGACTGCGTTCCCTGAGGGCATCCCCGAGTGTGGCGCTGACGCCCTGCGCTTCTGCCTTGCCAACTATACCAGCGGCGGCAGTGATGTCAACTTTGACATCAAGGTTATGCACGGCTACCGCAAGTTCTGCAACAAGATCTACCAGGCGACAAAGTACGTCCTTGGCAAGCTCGACAAAGACTACGTCCCCCAGAAGACGGGCAAGCTCACCGGGAAGGAGTCGCTCGCCGAGAAGTGGATCCTGCACAAGATGAACCAGGCTATCAAGGAGGTCAACGAGGCCATCCCGGACCGCGAGTTCATGAAGTCCACCAACATCATCTACGCGTACTGGTACAACCAGTTGTGTGACGTCTACATTGAGAACTCCAAGGCTCTGATTCAAGACGGCCCCAAGGACCAGCAGCAGTCTGCCATCGACACCCTGTACACCACGCTTGAGAATGCGCTGCTGATTATCCACCCCTTCATGCCGTTCCTGACAGAGGAGCTCTGGCAGCGTCTTCCCAGGCGGCCAGACGACAAGACAGAGTCGATCATGATCGCCAAGTACCCTACTTACGACCCAGAGCTCGACAACCCCGAGGCTGAGGCAGCCTATGACCTTGTCATGGGCTGCTCCAAGGGCATCCGGTCCTTGATGGCCGAGTACACGCTCAAGGACGAGGCTCAGGGTAAGTCCCAGATATGTGTGAAGTACCGTTCGTGAACTTATGCTAACCCTCTATTGTTCAGTATACGTCCAAGCCTACGACGAGACCGCGCATAAGACCATCACCGAGCAGGTCCAGTCCATCAAGTCGCTGAGCGGCAAGGGCGTCACGAATATTGAGACGCTCCCGGCCTCCGAGCCGCGTCCGGCGGGCTGCGTCGCGTTCCCCGTCTCGGCCTCGGCCGCCGTCTTCCTATTCGTCAAGGGCCGCGTCGACATGGACAATGAGATTGCAAAGGCCACCAAGAAGCTGGACCGCACGCGCGCCGCCATTGCCAAGCAGCAGAAGCTCCTGTCGGACCTGGGCTATCAACAAAAGGTGGCCGAGGCGCTGCAGGAGGCGGATCGCAAGAAGCTTGCGGACTACGAGTCTGAGGCCAAGGGCTTCGAGGCGACGATCAAGCAGTTTGAGACGCTGAAGCTGGAGTAGATAGAGTTAGAGAGGTGGTTTTCTTGTAAGACGAGAGGTCGGTGATCGGCCTAATCCAGTTTAGGCCACCCGGTTTGGGCAAAACATTAAAACATGACTATACATGTGGTTGTCCCTCAGGTTCCCCTATCAACCCGGGCATTCATTCCAATCTCGACAGCGGTTTTGTGTCTGTAGAAGAGGCAATGGAGTCGTTCGTATTCATTATATTCTCGTCCAGCCTTCCCATCCATGATTGACATACAGAGGTACGGAATCGTGGGTGCGGTACGTGTCCCTGCTCCTAGTTGTTCCTGGGCAGACAGCCATTCCCGCCGCTCGTCATGTATTTGTCTAACGGTCATATATCACTTGGCTTTTTTCGTCGAATCTTCCAATTGGCCGGTTATCACAACAAAGTCCAGAACTCCCTTGACATGAATGGCTTGACTTCGACGACTGCACGACTACGTACTTAGAAGAATGTGGAAAATGAAAAGAGTCCCCATCTCCAGTTTGCAGGCACTCCAATCATGGCTATTCCTGATGTTCGATCCCATTCTCCATGATTGGCATGTATTTCTCAATCCTCATGACCTGTAGCCGAGTCCAATGGACTCTGGTGGTCAGTTCGAGGCTCAAAAACCAGACTTGCACAGAAGCGCGGGGCCGGTCGATTTCCAGAAGATGACTTACGTCCTGCCACACTCCCCTGATCTCCTCGATGATGTCCTTGCTCAGTCTCAACAAGCTAGCCTCAAGCCCGTGGACGTGCGCCAGCAGTGCGTCCCAGTTCCTGTTGACATAGTCCTGCGTCTTGCAGCTGAAGCGGAGCGTGCTCGCGTCAGACTACTGACCACTACCGAAGTACGTCCTCTTCCACTTGCGGTACATGGTCTGGAGGTCGCGCGGGCCCGCGGTGATGTGTTTCTGGAACTGGTGGAATAGCTGGATTGTGGCGAAGAAGGTTTTGCCTTTTGCTGCGACGAGATTCTGGTCGAGGGTCTTGATCTAGTATTGCTCATGTATCAGCATGCTTCAGCTTTTCTAACCTCGGCCGACGATGTAGTAGGGTAAGAGGAGGGTTAAAATAGAAAGAAGAGAGAACGAAAAGAGAGAGAGAGACCCCTCTGGTAAACCACTCACGTCAATATCCAATAACCTTCTCCTGTTCGCTATGGTGGCTTGCCACATATCAAACCAGTCTCCGAAAGTGTTCCACAGAAGCTGTTGGAAAAAAGCGACTCCCTCCGCCCCAGCCGGGCACACAAGACCACGGCTGTCCCAATCATTCACGTTGACGACCAGCGGGCTGTGGGCTTCGTCGGTGAGGACGAAGCCGACAAAGTTGCCGTCGGGCATTGTCGCCGCCGCCGAAGCATTGCCTTGACCATCTCTGGCCGTGGCCACCCGCGCGATCGATGTCCGGCGACTCTCGACGTATATACCTGCAAACTCGTCCCCCAGGGAGCGCCGATCGATCTTCATCCCAGAGACACTTGGCTGTGGATAATGGCCGCGATCCTCGACCGTCCCGCTTTCAAAGTGGTGCACAGTGAGATGCATGTAGATCCAGTGATCGCCGTATGTCTCGAGTGCCCAGTTGTTCCAATCGTCCGCGTTGAGATATGGCTTGACTGCGGGCGGCCCTTCCATGCGAGCATAGGTATGCAACGCATCAAGACACCAAGAGATGTCGCAATCAGGGTATTCGGTAGCGATGTCAACGTCCAGCATGCCTTTGGCGGGGTTGAGCATCAGCAGCATGGTCGCTGCGATGACGGGAAAGGAAACGACGTTGGCATCTGCCCGACAAATGGACCTGAACATCTGTGGTTAGTGAACCAGCGCATGAAATTCGCCCCGTGAGAGCCCCCCTTGGTCTGTTGCTCACCATATTTGGCCGCATCGAGGCCGGGCAGAGCCTGCTGGAGCAGGGTCGCCTTCATCGCGCCAGCTTGGGGTGTCTAATTCCTCCGGCTTTATATGAGGATAGATCATTTGCTGTATTGCTTTTAGTACAGCATGCTCTCATCACCGTCAAGTTAAGAATATGAGCGTTCTTGGACTGCTGTGGGGGAATATAGCAACTCACATTGTCTGCTCTGAGAATCTCTAGAGTCCCCCCATCCCCGGGCGTGATGAATGCGACGGAGAGCCCTTCGCCGGGTAGCAGGCCTTTGGAAGACAACCAGCGGACCATTGGCTCCATTGCAGCCTTGTCGTCGAGATCGCGCCCATTCCAGGCGTCTTTGCTATGTCGATAAAGCTTGACATGACGGCGAGGGGCGTCGTCCGAGGCGGTTGGCCACAGAAGGGCAATCTGTCGAGCAGCCTCCTTGATGTCATGCTCTGGTGTGTTGCTGACGCTCACGTGCGCAAAGGGTATCGCGAGCAAGTCAGGCCCGTCGACAAGCCTGAGGCAAGCAGACCAAGCCGCCTCACCAGGAATATCAACAGTCGCGCGATGAAAGTCGTTGCTGGGCATGGGCCCCCAATGGAGATAGCCATCTTTTGGCCGGTACAGATTTCGTTGAAGGTGACGTTTAGGACGAGGACGAGCTGGGAGGCCAAGCAGGCCAAAGACAGAAAGCAGCTTGTCCCGGAGTTCCTCAAGAACTTGGGGTGTAATGGGCACGAGACCTGGGGTATGTGCTGGCATGGTGGCTTTGTCGTGGCTATTCGTGGCGGGACTGACGAAAGACGTAGGATTCTCTGTATGTAACTCTTGCGAGTTCAAGTTTGCATGCCGTGCTTGGGAGGATGTTGGGCAACCTAAGAAAGCGGACGGAATGGTTAAGAGACGGCCGCTTGTCCTTAAGCCGTTGGCTGGAGCCCCGACTCGACATGGCAAGGCCCAACCGACTCCTAAGCACCAACAAGCTCCTTCGGTCTGCAGCTTGCATGGATCGTCAGCGCATATGTGTGTTGGCTGCATATATCCGCACGGATCCGGGGGCTGATTGGGTGTCTTATGGCTGGGGACCAACATGACCCCGCGACAACACGAGCTTTGTCTCCAAAGAAACGGAAGTTCCAGAGGTTCCCATGGGCTCACGTAGTTACATGTACTGTGCCTCCTCTTGTACATGAGCACCTTCAGACATGTTGGTCTTTGTCGATGGGGAGAAGCCCCTTTGGCCGGTGTGAAGCTGGTGCCAGTAGTCGTCAGATGTGCTGGATGGATTCAAGAGACGTTGAGCAACATTACAACGAGGATTGCATGAATCATGATCTCATAGAACCCTGCAATCCATAGCACTTTATTTCTTGCCCGGTCGTTGGCATCGGTAAAGAGTTTCAAGACCGAGCATTGCCTGACCGTGACAGGAGCTTTCGAGCACACGCTCACAAATAAAGACAAAAGCGTATCTGAGTCCGCGTTGGCAGAAAAGATCTGCCTGTTGCCCAGTCCTAAAGGCATACAGCTAGAGTTCACCTCCTCTTCCACCGTTCTTGGAACCAACAGCCAAGTTCAGTCCTTTGTGCACAATGGCAGATACTCCTTAGCTCTGCTTGGTAGGCCGACCCGGCCAAACTCGCGTCAACCACCGAAACCGATGTAATTCTTTGGCGTGGCATGCTTCCATGAACAATGTTCGGCAGTGTTTCGCTGCTCAACTATTAGGCGGGATGCCTCATCGAACAAGGACACCTGGCCAATACAAAATCCACAGCACCATCCTCCTCCTCCTCCTCCATCTGCCATGAAGCCGAATCATCCATCACGCATAGCACGCTCCATAAGCTCAACTTTCTCGCTCCCAAACCAGGCACGCTCTTCGGCTTAAAAAGACAAGATTAGCACTCTCACTCTGCCAATGACATTGAAAGATCTTAGAGCTAGCAGTACGCCGCACGGCGTCCTAGGGGCTTCCAGCACCTTATAGATAGAATATTGCAGCTCTCTAGCATCATCACACTCACGTAGAGCCACGTATTATACATAAGCGAGGATATCTAACGCACTTAGCTCAAGTCGTTTTACTTCCCACCCAAAGAGCCATGGCACCCTCTACGATCATAGTTGCGAAGACCTCTGGGACACTAGAGCATGCCGTTTTCTTAAAGGTGTGCATTTGTGCATGTGCGGTCCTTGCACGGGTCGGGACCATGTCGATATCCGCTCACTTCCATAACGTAGCGTTGCCGTTGCACGTCAGTCGTGTATAAACTTAGAACAAAGACCCGCCAGGTTGAAGCAGCAATATTTTGAGAACGGTATTACGAAAGAGTTGTAGAAAAAAGTTAAATTTTGGGTATAACGAATAAAGCATATGTGATATGTCTTTCCTTCACACTGTCCAAAAAATGTAAAAACGCAACGCTTGTGTACAGTCTATCCCCCAACTTTCTTTTTGGATTGTTCGCCCCTAGCTCCCGGCGGAGAGATAACTGTTGCTACAAGGAGCGGTTGGGGGCCGATACGTAGATAAAGACGAGGTACATATCCAAAATAACAAAAATAAATTTGGCTAGGTATTTTCCGCGAACATGGAAACAGAAGAAGCAAGCGACGCAGAAAGACCTTTCATCCTTTGTGTGAGGACGAAGCTTTTATTGCTGAGGCCGGATCGCCGGGATGCCGGCCTCGGCCTCGGCGGCCTGCTCCTTGGCCGGGGCGCGCGCCGAGGCACCCTCCTTTTCTTGCTCGGCGCCCAGGGAACTGCTGCCGTCGACGTGGCTGCCGTTGGTGTTGGCGAGCTTAGCGTGCTCCTCGATACCGTGCTGGGGCTCGATGCGGTGGTTGTCCTCAGCCTGCACCTCCTTGGCGGGCGTCCAGGCGAGGAAGTCACGGCGGACCTCGACGTAGTCGTAGGCAAACTCGCCGAGCTGGTCGTCGTCCATGCCGAGCAGCTCAGCCTCCTCGCTGGCGCGAAGGTGCAGGCCGGGGATGATATCGATGGCCTTGGCGATCAGGGCCGACATGACAAACGAGTAGGCGCAGGCGGCGCAGATGTAGGCAACCTGGATGTACAGCTGAGCATAGTGCTGCCTGATCCAGCCGCCGGTGACGAGGCCGTTGTTGACGCCGTCGAGGCCAACGATGCCGGGGTCGGCGAAGAGCGCGTTGAAGATGAGGCCGACAATGCCGCCGATGGCGTGCTCGGCAAAGACATCGAGAGAGTCGTCGATCTTGATGAGGAACTTGACTGTGGAGAGGAGATGGCGCGTTAGTGGCATGTCAGAGAGCGGTAGGGATGCGAACACAGTGCTTACTCTTGGTGCCAAAGTTGCAAGCAACACCAGTGACGACACCGAGCACGATGGACGCCCACGGAGGGATGAAACCAGAGGCGGGAGTGGCAGCGACAAGGCCAGAAATGCAGCCGGAACACCAGCCAACCATGGACCACTTGCGGGCAAGTCGGAAATCAAGCAGGCACCAGGTCATGGACGCAAACATGGCAGTCAGGCACGAGTTCCAGCAGGCCATGACGGCACGAAGGTTGGCGCCAAAGGCGGAACCGCCGTTGAAGCCGAGCCAGCCAAACCACAGGAAGACGGTGCCAAGGGTGACGAGCGAGACGTTGTGGGGGCGGAAGTTGAGCATCATCTTCTCGTGACGCCGGCCCAGGACCCAAGAGTAGGCGAGAGCAGAGACACCGGATCCGATCTCAACGGGGCCGCCGCCGGCATAGTCGAGAACGCCATACTTGAAAGCCCATCCGTTGATGTTCCACACCCAGCACGCGATGGGACAGTAGACAAGCGTGGCCCAGAAGAAGGTGAAGATCATGCCGGGGAGCACGCGACCACGCTCAGCAACACAGCCAATGACGAGGGCAGCCGTGACGCCGCAGAACATCATCTGGTAGAAGGAGTAGAGCAACTCCGGGATGAGAGGCGAACCGGGCGAGGGGGCGCCCAAGGTGTTCATGAGGCCGAATTTGTGGAGATCGCCAATGAAGCCGTTGGTAGCTGTCGAACTGAAGGCCAGACTGTAACCCCAGAAATACCACTGGAAAATGACGACACTGAAGGACATCATGACGACCCAGATCTCGGAGAGGGCAGACTTGCGGCGAGCGAGACCGGAGTAGAGAAAGGCGATTCCGGGAACCATGAGCAAGACCATGGCGGCGGAAATGAGGATGAAGGCCTGATCACCAGGCGAGTACCATTGGTTCAGGTTCTCGGTCTCTATAGCGAAGGAGAGAGCAGAGGTTAGTACCTTGATTGTCGGTTGGGGAGCAAGACGTGATAAGCAGGCAGGATTCCGGGACGGTACTACTAACCTGGGTCGCCGCCAGTCTCTGTGTTTGTGCCATTGAACTCGGCGGGCGCGCCGGTCCACGAGTACGAGGGATGCCAGCTCATCGTGGCGAGGTTGTGTGTAAAGCTGGTGGGTGGTGACAATAAGTTGGTTGCTGGCGATCAAGGTAGGCCAGGACCTCGACGAGTGAACGCGAGGCGAGAGCAGTGTCCCGGGACAGGAAGGAGTGACGACGAAGTACAGGCTCGACGCCGACACGGGGAAGAAGACTTGAAGGAAGCGCGAGAGGGTGCGGGCAAGGTACCGGGGGGCTCCACGAGTCTATATACGTTGGGGAGGATCCGGCAGTCGCAGGAGGAAAAGAATTGGACGAGCAGGCGTGGCGCGCAGGGCGTGGCAGCAGCAGAGATGGCACGCACTGTCGATAGGCTCCAGGTGTCGGGTGTAAGTGCTCAATGGCAACCAAGGTAGGTACGTACCCTCCAAGTTATCGGACGGCCATAGCTCTCCACCCAAGATTGTGTGAGTTGCAGATTGTACTAATAGCCATGACAGCAGTGGAGGGCCGCCAAGCCCAGCGCGGCACCGCGCACCACCCCCAGAACGAGCAGGCATAAACTCTGGCGGGCCCTGGCCTGGCTTGGCTTGGGTCCCCTGCCTTTACGGAATAGTGAGCTGCGAGGATGGATGGATGATGGAGCGCCGACTCGTGTGCCCAGCGTCAGAGTCGCGCCTCTGCGTCAGGCGCAGCGAGCTTCAGAGCGAGCTGGCCTGCTGCTAACCATTGGACTAACTGCTTCAAGTGCATAGCACCTCCGCAGTCCCGGAACATCTTCGCATTGCCGCGGGTTCGGGCATCTGGATCGAGGCCGTCCATCGGCGCGAGCGTACGTACGTCGCCCCAGCCCCGGCCGGTCGCGTCGACATCATCCTCGAAAAGACAAAGAACCTCGTCGTACCACCAAGACCGTGCACTGGTGGTGGCCCCCATCAACAACAAAAGCTGATACTGCCTGATGGTGGGTTGATGCGCAGAGCTGGCCTGTGCTTGCCGGCTGAGCCTGATGGGTTTTGCTTTCTTCGAGTGGTATTCATGGATTGCACGCTGGGGGGCGTATTGGGTCCGAGCTGCTCGCTGCTGCCGCGGCTGCTACGGGGATGAAGCCTGGGCAATGACGGTGGTTTCATCGGGTGCTGGAGGCGAATGGGCGAAGCATTGCGCGGATGCTTATCTCTGGCAAACCGGCGGTGCCGTGAGGGTGAGCGGACAGGCAAATTGGGTGCATGCAGTGACCATTGCCAATGACCAACACCTGGATGCGGACGGCCAATCACGGCCGCAGCCCGCCCGCCCTCCCGCCGATGGCGCTAGGCTCCTTCCGTGCTAGGGTCCAGGAGCTTAAACTTGCATGTCCCCAGCGGGCTGCTGTGGGTGTGCGCTGCTTCTTGGTTTTTCTCGAGCTGCTGCTGCGCACATGTGACAGACAGGCACGGCACGCACGTCGAGCAAGCACCAGCAGGAAAAGCAGAGTGCCTAGTTGGTCTGGTCCCGAGGGATCGGGTGTCTGGAGATGCGCTGCCGTCAAGATAACTGCAATCTGCAGCTGCATCTGCCTTGCTGCCATTCGCCCGCCCGCCAGCGGCCTGATCTGCGCACAAGACAGCCAGCCATATGCACAGTGACGACTCGACCCGGGGTTCTGGGACCCTGGCCTGACCTGGCCTGGCTGGCCGTAGCATCTTGTCCGTCTACCGACAATCTAGCAGGGAGAGCACGATCGGATCTGTCTGTCGCACATCCATCCATCCAATTGACCACTCCTTCCCAACATCCCCCGTCCGTGTCTTCTTTCATCGTCGTCAATGACGAGTTTGCTGGCCGGCACTTGGCGCGACGTTGAATCTGGCAGCGGTGGTCCCTGGCCTGGCCATGGCGGCGCGGGTGCCGCGTGGAACCCATGGAATCTTTTACGCAATCGCGTGACTGTCAAACTGCACGTCGCCCTGCGTCTCTGCCAACCGTCCGTCCCTATCAGGCACGCACGCATCTATTTCCGTCCTGCCCCGTGGGCTGCGGCCCTGCGCGGACCTGACGGGACAATATCGGGCGCCTGCCATTGAAACACGGCGCGGCGGGTTCAAGTGATGCGGGTGGTTTTTTCTCGTGTCGTGTTGGCGTCCGTGCTGTAATTATTGCATGACTGATCGCGCCCGCCCAGCAGTGTCGTGCCACTGATTCCAGTCAACCAGTTAAGATCAGGCCCAGCATTTTATTTGTGCACAATCTCTTGGTTATGCGCCCCCGAGCGACCTGGCGCAGCAGTGAGACAGCAGGCGATCCAATGGCCAAACTCAAACGAACGACCATCGCACCAGCTCGCTCGTTGGCTTCGCTTGGATGGGCGCTGGGCGTTGGACAGGGCAAACAAGCTCGGCGCCACAAGGGCTGATCCAGCAGCAGCAGCAGCAGCCGCACGCACACACGAGCGAAAAACCATTCCAATTGCAATACCATACCATAACATACCATGACATACCATAGGCAGGTCATCCTGAGCAATTCGGGCAGGGAGCTGCACCGCCGCTGCGAGGTCGGCGCTCTTGTGGCCTCGGTCCAGCTGGACGGATGCTGGGGTCGGGAGGAGCCAGAGCGAGGAGTTGCGAGACGCGGAGCAAAAGGGGCGCCACGGCTGTGGAAGCGCGTCGCCCCCAGAGCCCCCAGGCCCCGGGTGAAACGATCGCCGGCGCGGCGCGGGCGCATCATGACTTGCTAGGGGCGGGCTCTTGTCTGGTTGTATGTAATTACGTCTGTCCTGCTGCTGGCTTGCTGTGTGGAGGGTTTTTCTTATCTGCCTGATCGAGAGAGGTGAGTGGTGGTGGTGGGATTGGCCAATGGCAGCCCCTGCGGGAGGCAAGCTATTGCTCATTGCTGTGTGCAATCGCGGCTTGGCAGGGCCTGCCCAACTCAAGCTTTGGCGCCAGCAAACAACCGAGGGCCCCAGTCGCCAGAAAAGCTTGGCTGTTCCTCTGCTTCTCCGACTCCTCCACCCGGACTGGGGTCGTCCCCCACACTCACCATGTTCCAGCCAGCACTGGGGCGGAAGGAAAGAAAAAAAAAAAGTGAGTTCAGGGCCATTCGCAGACAGCAAGCAGCAGCAGCCTCAGGGACGGTCCTCTCTCCTTGACTCGGCCACCCCCCCACCACATCCCATCCAGACCTCTGGGCCCAAGCCAACCGCCCTGGAGGAAGACAACAGTCTTGGAAGAAGAAGAATAAGAAAAACACAGACATACAGAGAATGACATCGCTTCATCTCCTGCCGCCCGACAGCCGCCCAGCCAATCACGGCCGGGAAGTGCTCTCCAGCACGACGCGACGACGTGGGTGTGCGTGCCCCCCACCTCTCTGCACCGCAGCCGCAAGCCACACACTGGGAATCCCACCCACTCGCTCCACTAGACCACCACCACTCCACGCCCGCGACGGCACCGCCCGCAGGCACATCCGCATCAGATATGGTACGTACGTACGTCAACATCCTCTCACAAACACGCTCCGGGCAGTGCTATCACGACACGCACGGCCCCAGCTGTAGCCCCAATGGCCACACTGAAACACCACAAGCAGACAACCTTGGAAGCTCTCCAAGCAATAGCCACAGCACGCAACAATAATAACGAACCCCCACCCCCGCATGATTGGACCTACCAAAGGGACAGCACACACACAGCCTTGCAGGACTCGTCTCGGGACTCGATGTCCTAGAGCTAGCCTGCCTTCGCATGCCCCCTTCTCAGTCCTTTATCACTCTTGCCAAGCCAGGCCCCGTCAGCCTCACGCACATTTGGCTTGCTGCGGCTGTCTGCATTGCAGAAAAGTCACGCGAGACTCACCCCGGCTTCGGGTCACATGCCAGCCTTTCCCTTCTGGCATCTGACCAGACTTGCTTTTGGCACCTCTTCTTTTCTCCATGGCACCCTCCTCCTCTTGGCTCGGTCGCGGCTGCTCATTGGTGAGTGCTGGTCAGCTTGGATGGTCTTCCTTATCTATCCCGCCAGGGAAACCAACCATATTGTTTTGAACGGAAGACTGCCCGGTCGGGAGAGGCTGATCAGTCCGGTGATCTGTTTGCGGCGGCATGAACAATGCTCACCAGGCTGGGGTGGTTTCGGCTCTGGAGCCTAGTCTGCTTAACAATGTACGGTATACATTGGCCGAACAGCTTTCAAACACGAAGAGCACGGCAGGTAGTGAGTGGGTGATTTGCGTCGACTCTACGCGATTCAACACAGACAGCAGGGACTCCCGCCAGTTCCAAGACGCCTAGTGAGATTATGAGCAGCGCACGTGTCGCCACCACTGACCAGCAAAGAAACAGCAAACCTCGAAGCCCGGGGGTCCATCTACAGAAACCACCACGTCAACCTGCCCCATCCAGCCTTCCTCATAATTACCAGCCGACTATGCCAGGAGGGAAGTCTCATGCTACGCGCCATCAGCCAGCCTACTGACCTACCCTTCATTCCTCCTCGCTTGACTCCCGCGCCTGCACGTCCACCCAAGAAAAGCATCTCGGGCCAGACATAATTCGCGTGCCTGCTGCAACACATGTACCCGTGCTGTCTCCAAACTGGTGAACCCTACGAGAAAGGCCCCAATTTGCGCCATGGTAAGCTCACACAGGAGGTTCTGTACCATCCGCAACCAGCGGAGCAGTCACAATGCTCCTGTGCCTCCTTTGTCGGTCAAGTGCATTGCATATATAATCAGTGAAGGATGAGAGTATGCGGACAGCAAGGGAGTGTGCTCCTCTATCTGATTACTTTCACTTTTCGGTTGGGAAGGCAGAAAAAGGAGGAGAAGAAGAACAAAGGGTAAAACAACATGGTGGGATCTACACAGCGAGGGGAGAACGAGACACAGCAAGTCTAGTGTAAACACTTGAGTCTCTCGCAATAGTTCCCCCCATCACTGGGCGTTTCCTTACGGTCCCCTCCATCCTCTGTGTTCGTTCTACACTCTAGTGCTTCTACAAGTGTATTATGACAATAAGTAAATTATGACAACAGCAATCTCCTGTATGAGTTGAATCTAGAAATACAGGAAGGGAACAGGTCTATATGTATACCTAGTTGCCGCCTTCCTTCGAGGGAGAGAGCACTGCAACCCACCATTACCACCTCTCGGTCAGTCAGTCAGTCAGTCAGTCACAGGGGTTCCTATCTATCCAAACTTCCCCCAAAAGCATAGCGAGGGCCGCGCGCCGCGCACACAGGTGGCTGGCTGTCTGTATACTCCGCGAAGCTCTCTAATAAGGCGAGATTTCCTCTTTTTTTTGACCCCATGTACCTTATTTTTTACGTCTTCACAATCACGTTCGCTGCGTCTACTATGTTCACACTCCATTCATCTATCTCCCCGATCTCTAACCCCGGGTGACTTGCTTCCCTCGAGGACTTCTCACGCCGCATCTGATCTTTGTGTGTGTGCGCGGGATGGACCAACAGCGCAGTCTTTGGTCCAGTAGCCCGTTTTCTTGTGACAAAGTTGCCTGCTCATCGAGCTTGTTTACCGGAGGGGCCCTTAGTCGGTAGTCATGATGATGGGCGAAGTCGACAACATAAGGCTCTTGCAGCTACGCGGGTCGTCACAGAGCGTGGGGAGTTGATGCATGATCGATCCCATGTCAGTCACTACAATTATGTTCCCGGGAGCGCATTACTTTGGCAGGCAAAACAAAGAATCTAGAGCAACGTGCTGGTATTCACACCCACCCTCACTCAAAGACCCGGGCAGTCCTCAGCCACGGCAGAAAAGGGAGGGGGGGAGAGAAGAAGATCACCGTTATAAGAGGGCAGCCAGCCAAAAGCATGATCCGACGCGTCGCCGATCCGACTCCATGGCAGTTCCTCTTTGTGATTGACTCCGGCTTTTGCTGTTCTGTTCCCTTCGAGAGAATATCAACGCACACTTACATGCCAAAATCCGAAAGGAAGACGAGAGATCCGGCCATGCCCGCCCGTGGTTGTGAAAGTCCCCATGATGAAAGGGGAATAAAACCCCAATGCAGAAAAGTCTCACCGCCACCCAGTCACATCATACAATCGCTAACCCATCAGCGTCCCCCCTGCTGATTTCATAGCTCAGGATGCGCAAATCATAGTACTGCAGCATCAGCCTGTACCGTCTCGGCCAACCCTCGCACGCCGCGCTCGAGCCAGACCGGGCACCGCCGAACCGCCGCACGTCGTCCGAGGGCACGGGCGAAGCCGCCACGCCGAGAAGCGGACACATGGGTCGCAGCCTCTTGTCCTCGTCCTCCTCGGTCGGAAGGATCCGCTCGATCTTGAAGCCCCTGGCAAAAGGCACATCTGCATCGAATCCAGCTCGCTGGCTGCTTCCTTTGCGTGGCGTCGTCATCGGTGTCGTCGGTCTTACTCGAGGCGAGGAGGAGGAGAAGGGGTTGGTGGCGGTGGCGTTGGGCGACGACAACGACGACGAATATGGGCGACCCGAAGAAGACGCGGGCCGTGTCAGCGTGATTAGTGCGACGCGTCCGCACATGCTTGCCGCCACGACGAGACACAGCTCTGGGATATGGAGTAGGTTGCTCAAGCGCTCGTGCGAGACGCGCATGGACGGGATGAAGGCGCCCGCCGGACGTGTCTGCCGGATGGCATCCTCAAACATGATGCCCACGCCGTCATCTCTGAGATGGCTACGCAGTTCAACATCCAGCTCGTACGTGCGCATGATGCTGCTCCCATCCGCGAGGACTGGAACGGCTCTGTGCGCACTGGCCTGGGGAAACTCCCCGCGTGCAGCACCGCCGGGCGAGTCGTGCTTGACGGCACGACGGGATGGCGACCCGCGACTTTTCGGAGAGGCAAGGCTTCTCGCGGAAGCCGGACTCAGTGTCGTAGAGGGCGATGACAGCAAGGTTGACGACGACGGCCACCCTTGCCCGTGGAAGTCGAACCAAGGGCGCGCATATGCCTGGTCGCCGCGGTCGTGCTGATTAAAAGCGAACCGGTGATCTTCGCCGTTCCTCTGCCACGGATGCTGCCCAGAACTCCCCAGGATGCCGTCCGCGCCGGCGCTGATATCCACGAACCGGCCGATCTTGTCGCTGTAGGCGTACTTGGCCTGTGACTCTTTGATCCCCACCAGTTCCGTGAACGTCCTGCTGGTAGGCAGGAAACTGCTCTCTGGCAGCACGAGAACTCCCCAACCTCGTGGTCTAGCTCATCTTGTTAGTGTTTGTTGCGTGACAACGACCGAGACACTTTTGGCAGTGCAAGTCGCATACGCACCTCACATCATCTCGGAAAAACGACCACCTAGATCTCGGTGCCTGGCGCCTCCGGATGCTTTCGATTCTCGTATATGGCCCACTGTCCAAGCTCCACAGGTCCATCAGCCAAATGTTGCCCTTAACGTCGACGGCCACCACCTTGTCCGCGTCACCATTTGGCTTGCTGCTGAATGTGACATTGGGGATGTTGTGGCCCTCGGCGCCAGTATCAAAGGTCATATGCCAGTTGGCGTCGCGCCTGGCAAGCGAGGCCTCGACAGCTGCCAGATAGATATATGTGTTCGGATCAGCTGGGTCGACCAGGTGCGCAAGAAACCCAATGTTCATGTTGATCGTCCTCAGCGAGTCCCAATAGATCCGCCTGAAAAGCTCAGGTGGCTCATGGGCTAGGTTAGGGCTCAGCGAGGCGCATGGCTGTCCCGCAAGGGCAAAGGCAAAGACATCGACTTTCCGCAGGTTGCTGCCCACGGCAATCAGCCTCGATTGACTATGTATAGCGAGGCCCCACGCAGATTTGCCTACGTTCTCTTGGAAGAACGGCGTTGGTGGCTTTATCCCGCTGGTCGTGTGTCGGGACACACCCTTTTGTCTCACGGCCTCCTCGATATGCCGAGTGTAATATGCAATGACATCCCCATCGTCGTAGGCCATGAGCAAGATCTCGTCCTCTCCGAGGTTTCCAATGACCAGGTGGTTGACCTGGTGCGGAAGAGACTCATCCACGGCACCACCAACGGCCAGACCAGCAGGACTCGGACCGGGCTTCAGCACAAAGTCTGCCACGGGTGGAAGACGGCTCGTGACGCAGCTTCTAGGCCTTGATATGTGAATCTGATCCCGATAGGCGGTAAAATACAAGTTGTAGATTTGGGACAAAGCGGTAAGGTTCAGCCGCCATGTCGCAATTCGGGGCGGCGCATGGTCGTCGCCAGGATCGCTGACCGAGTCCGGCGCGTCCGACTCTGTGTCAAGCAGACTGTCGTCCTCAATGTCTGATTCATCATCCTCGTCGTCAAAGACCGTCCACTCCGCGTTGTTGTTATTGTTGCCGTTATTGTTATTCACAACTGGCAAGCCGGGATTCAGCAGCGGTATCAATTGAAAAGTGTCTAGTGACGGTGTGAAGAGGTTGCCGTTGTTACCACCGCTGACGGATTGGAACATGGGGTTCTCGGCGATGCTCTGCCCATTGCTCTCCTCCTCGTCACTCTCGAAAGGAGTCTCCTGAGGACTGCCGGAACTTGCATTGTCGCCGAAGGCATTCTCGATCTGGGTAATAATGTCATCGTTGGCACTGGCGGCATGAGCTGACATTGGCGAGACTATGTCAAGGAGAATATCAAGCGGATCAGATGGTGAACCCGCCATGGCATGGTCCTGAAGCCCTTGAAATTCGACATCACCGGTGTCTGACCCTGAGCCTGCCTCACTGTCTTGGTTTTCGCCGTCGTGGGCAACACCATCATCCTGGGGAGCTTCTAAAGCTGCATCGGTGACTGTAATTATGGTCGGTACGATCGCAGTTCCTACTGCTGGCACTACTGTTGTTGTCACTGACCCAGCAATCGTCACAGCGGCAGCGTGTGGCGCGTCCGCCGAGACCTCATAGGGGATGCGCGTGCCTGGTTGTATGCGATGCTGCAATATTCTTGAATTAGCTATTACTTCTTGACATATCACGAGAACGAGGGAGTCCCGGTTTCAGTATTCCCATTGTCGAGCGCTTGAATCTATCACCGGCCTCCCAGCCTCACTGTCACACATCCAATAATACGCAACACAATGACTCGATCCTGTGACAACCGCAACAACACCACAAGGCCAACTGGCGCATCCGCTCGGCTGTCTCTTGCTCTACGCTCTCAGGAACCACCTAGGCGACTCGAAAAGCACAGTGCAGAATATATTATATGATGACAAGACTCACCCGCTGTCGACCAGTCTCACACGAGCAGCGCCCGACGTTCAGCCTCGTATTGGCGGCTGACGCGGACGTGGACGAGGGCGTTGCCATGTCCAGCTGCCCCCCCTCACATCACTCAAGTCCGGCTGCCGTTCAGCGTCAGGAAAACAGTTTGGCCACCTAGAGAAAAGACGGTCGCCGGCCCTTGGGTAGATTGTCCGCTAGTCTCTGGAGTCCGTGGGGGTTGTGGCCGACGAGTTTTGGTTTTGCTTATTTTGACGTGGAGGATCGTGCCCGGACGGTCTGCCCGGCGATGCCGCCCGGCCGATTCCGTAGGCAGCTGCCGGCTCGCCCGGATTGCAGGGCACGTGAGTGCGTTCCACGGAAACGTCCGAGAAGAACAGTAAGCTGGTTCGAGGTGGTGGTGTCCGATGCAAGGCGTGGAGGTGACTTCTGGCTCGCCGTACGCGCGCTGCAGGCCTGCGCACAGGGGCCACGACGTGCTCGGCGTCTCACCGAGTTGAGACTGAATTGTGGTCTGGGTTGCGCCTCCAAGGTCTCGGCCTGCCACCGATGTTCTGATGATGATAATAATGATATTTGATGATGTTTTGAATCCTGTGTTGTCACGGGGCATCTTTTTCGGCCAAGGTCGCCTGGGCTGCTGAATCAGGTGGGGCAGCATACAGTGCAGTACGAGGAGAGGTCTACTGAGGTCGGGTCCCACGGGTACCTTTAGCGCCGCGTCGCACCTGCAGCAGCCCGGGCGACCCATGTTGCGGCTACAATGACATCAAAATGCGCCGTCCCTTTTTAATTTTAGTGGAGCGCGCCACGACGACCGGCATCCACGCCGCATACGAGACTTGGAGCGCATACCGAGAGATGCATTGTGCCAGGCTTTACACGACGAGCCCCAATGCGACAGATGTACAGTCCCCAAGGGCCGCTGATACGCGCGGTGTGACACTGATGCACGGTGTCCTGCAGAGCCAAGTACCGTGCGCAACAAAGCTTGCCCACCCCGCTTCGGTTCCAAAGTTGTTTAGATGCGAGCAGTTGTGGCCGTAATAACGCGACTGTCTTGGGGTCGAGCGTCTTCTCAGAGCTTATTTTCTCTGCCGCCGCCTTTAGACCGGGTCGTCTGATATCTGCCAATCCGACGACCGCTTGGTCTCGACGGCTGGGAAACCTCGTGTCTCGACGATCGGTTGAGCCTCTGCCAACGTTCCTGGAAGCCTTTGGTGCTGGACAAGGTCAGCAATGCCCTGTTGGTTTTCACTGCTGCCATGACGTGGGCGAGTGAAAAGGGCCGCCTTGCATGGCCACACTTGCTCTTGGAGGCATCTCGATGTACTCACCCAGAAGATGTCCCCCCTACCCAAAATACCACCACCACGACGGCACGGCACGACATCCGGTATCAATCTTATTCAAACCGGGCGCCTCGATCAAATCGCCACAACAGGAGCGAAGGGCCAAACTGGGCATGCTCAGAGTGCTCGTGGTTTTCGCAGGAGCCTGGACTTCCCCCCATATGACGAGCAGTGCCAGTCAACCACTTTGGCATCACCTAGCGTCTCCATATCCCAAGCCTGGAACCTCCAAGACTCTTGAGGGCATAACAGCTCGTTAGCTCGTAGCTCGTAGCTCGTCTTAGTTATTGCGAACAATGGGTTGCCAGTAGTTACCGGCATTAGTTCCGGTGCGCCATGCCAAGCACATGCATATAGGCGCAATCGCTCGTTCAGGTCTTGGCTTGGCCCGGCGCCACCCATGGTCCCATAGCCACGGGCATGAGAATATGTTCCACCACTTCAAAACAATTATCCCCTCACCGTGTGTGCCCTTGGAGGAAAGTCCATCCATCTCTCCCCTCGTACATCTGAGCTTCTTGCAAGCTCAGCCCGGACGCACAAACCACCCCCCCCCTTGGTTGTGAGCCATCATGACGAGCAGCCCCCGTCATCACTTTCGTGACGACCCCCATGGATGCTTCCGCTGTGGGTTGCGGGCCATCGAGAAAGTTCTTTTCCACTTTCTCTTCGGTGCTGTGCTGGATGGTGGTGTCCAGCCACGGCCCCGTCTTCACACGAGAACGCAAGCGAGGTTTTCTTCCGTGGGAGAGAAAGGTAATGACTGTGACAAGCCACCATGCATGTCTGGCATGCCTGCAGGATCGAGACCCCTTTTAAACCCCCCCCCAGCACACCGTAGTGCTTCACATGGCTTGGCGCGTAGCATCTCGCGACATGGATATGGGCGAGGAGTAACGTAAGACAAGACCCGCTACTTCACATTGCAGAAGACACTGCGGATATGTAGCCAGGAAGTTTCTCGTAGAGGCCGAGGCACTCTTTTTAGTGATTGAGTTTCCAGGTTGCATTCCAGAGGTTACTACATGGGGTTTTCCAAGAACCACGTCTGAAAGCTATCGATGTTGGGGCCTATTATACAAGTCTCCCCTTGTCGAAAATGCCATATGCAAGTGGAGATCAACAATCGATCTTCGCCCAGAGTAGCCTTTTATCTAGGACCCGACATAAAGGGCTGAGGCTCCCGGGGTCCATTGCCTCGATCGGAGAGTCCCAGAGATCGAGACCCCAGGGGCCCGCCAGGATCTCTTCCTGGCTGACGCGCTAGCTCATCCGTCAAGCGAAGGACTGGTAATGTTGCGGGAGTTGCCGCCTCCCCCACTGTTACCGACCGGATATATCCTAAAATGCCGCGTGGTGGGCGCTGCCCACACAGCTACCTATGGGAACAGCGGGGAATAATGACGTTGGAAGTGCGTCGGGTTTTTCAAATCACGGGCCCCGTTTCACATATTGGTTGCGGAAGGGGGTTTACACACCTCTTGTGACTTGTCGTAGGCACTCTATGGGCAGTAGACTTCGTGTGGTTGCCACACAGCTCGAAAGCTTGGAATGGTCATGGACTTTGGAGACACTTGCTGTCAGTATCCCAAATCTTGCCAAGCTTGTCTGACATGCTGCAATGGGTGTTCAAAAGGAGAACTAGCGTCTCCGGCAACGGCCAACTCCGTCTCTAGATCTGTACTCTCGAGTCCTCGTTTGACTTATCTCATTGGCGCCGAGTCTGACTCCGGGACATAAATACTGGAGAGTTTGCAGGGTTTATAGCATGTCGAAAAGCAGTTTAAAATTGTACTTGGTCCTGCACCAGATTTCCGCTTCGGCATATAGACCCTGAGCTGTAGTAGGTCCTGATCGACAAGTCGCTGTTGAGCTCTAAGGCTGCCTCTAGATTCCTGAAGTACGCAGTGGCGACGTACAAGCTACTACTTGAAGATGTGGTGGGTCTTGAAAGCATTAGAAACAACTCGGGCTCAAGGAGATGGAACAGTTATGCCCAGGGGACCATCGGTCTTGAGTATTTCCGATAATGGTAGACAATACCTGTGTGCGTGTGGAGCATGTAGTGCTTCCGGCTTGCAAGCATCTTGTGAGACAGTATGAGGAATCAAGCGTCAAAGGAACTGCAATGAACAATCGCATTCGAAACACTCAACAACACACCCGAGTCTCAGTGTGCTGGCGCGAAGCTGGTGGCCTAGTGAGATCATCGCCAGGTCCTGCGATAATAAAGCACTCTATCTATTCGGCGATCAATAACCCTTGGTGATACGGCCAATGGCCTCTGCCTTGCACATCCAGGCTGAATCGATCAACAGTCCTGACACGGAGGGCTAGCGTTGCAGTCCAGATCGGCTTGCTCGAGGCTTGCTGCTTTATGCCCGCACATATGGGGGCCCTTCAGAATTCGCGAAAAAGTCCCAGAAGATCTCTTCTACGCGAGTCTGAGCATATTAACCGCGCAGACGATGTATTGAGACTTCCATTTGCGGGAAGGCGCACAAGGAGAGCACCTGAACCTAAATGGCGCTTTTGCTTCTTTTGTTACAGATAGCACGACATCCAGGTACAATCCATGTATTGCAGGGTTATCATTAGTCCTGGGAACCTTATATCCTTCATGGTCGTATTGGATCTCAACGTATCTGGATCTTTTGGGCCTGCCCTGTGGCGACATGATCATCGACTCTGATTGGGCCAGACTGGACATGGCCCCGGGGTGCTTGCACCATGAACGAGCAATAGCTCGAAACAACGACCAGAGCGCATATGCTCGACCTGTCGATATGCCACAAATGCCAGGGTTTGTGGATCGGACTCCAACAACCCTGGTCTCTGGAATCGCTTGCTGACGATTGTGGTCTGCGCAAGACCCCTGCTTACTCTAGCAATGCTGGGGTCTTGGCAGGAAGCCGAGTGGCCACTTTCATCCGCAGTGGGTACAGACGCCCACGAGCAGTGCGTGTCACTTGTCGCATTTGCTGTATTAATCGTAGCTGTAGGAACTGATTCGTAGCCGGCAACGCGACCGGGGCCCACCAAATTCAGGCTGAGGCTAGGCGAAATATGGACGACGAGGTGCGTCGCTCGCTCTGGATGCATCGATAGACTTCGCGCCCGAATGCCGGCTGCCCAAAACCCACACTCGCTTGTTAGCCACCGCACGCCAGGTATGATGATGCCTACGGCCATATGAGTCTTTTTGACTCAAGCCTTCCGGGTTGGGCGGAAGTATTGATCACTCCTGCCCAAGTAATCCCTGTTCCAGCAGGGCACACGGGGTGATAGGGTTTCCGCCTTTCCGGTACCGAGAAGGGTCCCCACAGCTGCATGAAACCGTGTCCCTTCGGTTCGACTCTAGTGTCGGCCCGAGGCGGATGCAGCAGAATGTTCGCCAGCTTCGCCAGCTTTGCTGGTAGTGAGCTCTCGTAATGCTTCAAACACGGAAGTCGATATTTCGAGCTGTCACAATGTGCCCTCGCTCGGCATCCTCTGGTGCCACGCGATGAGTTGTGAGCTGGCTGGTCACCGCCTGGCAAGACGAGTACCAGGTGGTGTATGTCATAGTGTCGGCATCGATGATCAACCTAGCAAGACTCGACTCAGCCGCAGCATTGGGTCTTCGCATGTGGGCAGCCAGCGGACCTAGCCACCCATGGCTCCAGCGATCGATCACAAGTGTCCGCCAAGGTCGATTCGAGGCTGGCGTCATCGGTAGAGAGACGAATGGCAGGTTAGGCTATGGTCTCTCTCTCGTTCAAGTTCTGGGATGGGAGAACGTCAGCTGAGGGTGAGACTTTGCTCTGGGACGTTCGATCTGATGGTGCCACGAGGGCGGTTTCTTTTTCCAGTTTCGCCAATGACGATGGTGGTGTGGGAGCGATGTATCTGCATGAATGGCTGTGACCCGCAGGTTGCAAGCTGCAGCTAACGGCTGGCCGCCCATGCCCCTGGTGGGGCCGGCCCCCAGCCATCCCAGCAGCAACGGCTCGACAGGAACAGCCCGGGCTGTGTGCCGGCAGCACAACCATGCAAGGTTGGCATGCGTGCAAGGGATCCATGGCGTAGACCAAGCAGATGTGACGGCAATGGGCACCGGACCCGCGCAGTCCGCCGAGCCCATTGGCTGCCCTCCAGCCCGCCAACCTTGTGCTCAATGCATCCCACCTGGCCAATGGGGCACTTTCCCAGTCAACGACAAGCCCTGCCAAAGCCTCGTCTCTTCAGGGTCCCGTGCCTCGGTTATCGTGAGCCTGCCCAGCCAAGCTCATCACACACCTGCCGTTACAGCCGTCACTCTTGTTGCACCCGCCGTGCTTCAAAACCATGTAAGGGATTTTCTAACATGCATCTATGTGAACTAGGCATACAATCTGACCATTACTCTCGAGGTCTAAGCCTCCAAGTGTCAATGACGACGCTGTGTTGTACCGACAAAGGCGTCCCAGGTCGACCGTTTTGGGGGATGATTATGCGTGTGGCCAGCAAGACATGCTTCCCAAACGGGAGCGAGAAATAATGAAAACCATTAGGAAGCGAGGAAACGCCCCAACGAGGGTAAGCTACAAACTTTTGTCTTTCCGATAATTATGCAGGACTCCGTGAGAACGCCATGTAGAGTAGGGATGCCGTGCCGTCTTCGACCAGGCCTGGTGGTAAGAAATGTGAGGCAAGATCCACTATGGTTGGGGGTGGCTCAGTTGGTATACTTGCGAAGCGGGAAGGCCTCGCCGGGCATAGGCTCGAGATGCCAGGTCTTGCAAGCTTCCTGGTTGAATGCTTCGCGCCATTCTCGCTCAAGCTCAGTAGGGATCTTCCATCCAAGGCGAGTACTGCGAAGCCTCATACGAACTAGGTGTCGCTTTTCATCGAGGGAGGCGCCGTCGACAAAGCCCTCGCGTCTGTGGAGGATGGCGAGGTTGTTGATGAAATGTAAATCGCCTGCTCCGGTTTGGATCTCGAGTTGCACAGCCTTTGCGATCGCTTCAACAGCGTCCAGAGCCTCCCGCTGGCGCTCGTTGAGCTTGGGTAAATACTCTGGTCGAGGATGCGTGGCATTACCCATGAGGGGTGTGCGCCCGAAGTTCATGATCAGGCGAGAGTCCTCGTGAAAGATAAGTGGGCGGCATTGAAATCGGGGTCTATCCACACAGAGTGAGTAGCTGCCTTTCATTAAAGTAACTTAGCTTTGGTCCACTTACAGCGCCAATGGCCAATCAGACTTTGCGAGTGTGCGGAGGATATCTGGGCGATGTGTCGCAAGCACGTTGTAGATCTCATATGCAGACGCGATGATACATCTGCCCCCAGATGCTGCGGTGCTGCGTGTGAGCCAGCTCACGATGTCGCCAGCCTCCTCGTTGTGGAAAGACTACGGCCGCAAAAGTCAGCGCAAGTGTGATAAGTTGCAAAGATGGATCATGGTGGGGCTGGACCAACAATTGCTCCGGTGGAGTGACGGTGATGTCCGAGCTTGATCTCGGAAGAGTTATCAGCAATGATGTGGACTGTGACCGTCGTTAACTAATGCTGTTGCTTCAGGCTGGTTTGAAGGAAAACAAACCAAGCATGTTGCCCTTGTGGTCCTGTCGGCCTTGCTGATCGGCAATGTAGCTCTGGAGGCCAAGACGCACAATTGTGAGGTCTTCCACGGAGAACTCTTTCGGGTCCAGTCCACGAATGACGGCAACGCCTATGCCATCGTGGAGAATCTCGCTCAATGCGTCCAGTCTGGCGGCGAGGTTGGGAAGAGGGAAGTTTTCTCTGGTGACAAGGTCACCATCCAGCTCCTGCTCTACGCTGCTTTAGTTGAAGTAGACAGAACCGTGCGAGGGGATCAACCAACCTTTGAAGCTCGTGAGCGCCCGCCTGATCTCTTCCATGTCGTCATGGCTGAGGTGATGGATCAATCCATTCTCCTGGGTAAGCCTGTCTCCAGTCCAGGCAAGGGGGTGATGGAGAAACTCGGGGAATCCAGTGGGGCAGCCGAGAGCATCATCGACGGTCCGTCGGTGACCAACCTGTGGAAGACCAAGGCCGGACACACCTGGCACGGATGCCATGACTGGAGCTGCGGCGAGGGAAGCCATTATTGGATATTGCGAGATTTGGTGTTGAACTGGTTCTCGCAGGTTCATGTGTTGGCGGTTAGACCTCTGACAGAGTGTGCATAAGCGACAAGCTTGCAAGGCAATTCAGGCACGCCAATTGGAGAAGTGAGGATGCAGGCCAGTGACGGACTAATGCGGATCAGGCAGTGCGAGAGAAGAAGGGCCCGGACAGGGGTCGAGAGATCCTGCAAGCCCTGAAGAGATTCGGATGTGATGGCGAGCGTTGACCTAGGCCAGGGGAAAAGAGCAGGTGAGCGACTCTTATACCGGAAGGCATGGAAAGGTAGGACTTACGTTCCGCGGAACTGCAGCCGGCTCCCGTATTTGGGGAGCGAAGTCGAGGCAAGGTGATGCCCGGGGGGAAACTTTGGGTCGTACGCGGGAAAGCAGCCGTGATTTCAGGAGGACGTGTAAAAGGACACTCAGGCCAGCCGGCGGAGAGATGGCCGTGCAGGAAATATGAGGCGAGGCTCTGGGACCTATCACAAAAGTGCTTCAAAGGCGGGCAGCAGTGTCGCGAACGGGGGCCAGCATGAGGAGGCACAAGCTGGTAAGACGAGCAGTCGCTGGGAGCAGAAGTGAGAAAAGGAACAACCAGGAGAGGCGCCCTGGAGACGAGACGACGTGAGACGCAGACCCTACGACGATGACCTGACAGGGCAGCCGCGTGCCGAGAAAAGCAGCTATGATACATGGACGTGTGTAGTCTGGCAGCCAGCCAGCCGGAAGGCACGAACACTGCATCGAAGTCGCCAATGCCTGCCGTGCGTGCCCCAGTCGGGCTGAGCCCACTTGCAGCCTACCAGACATGGACCTACGAACACGACGTCTGGTCGAGCTGAGGAAGGCACGCTGCGTTCGCTACGTACACTCACTACGGAGGTACCTGCCTCTGGGCAGCCCTGTACATAGGTGCAGTACATGTACCTGGCCCCAGCACGCCTGCAGCACACGCCTGTGCTCCACCTTGCGCGGGACCGGGCCCGCGCGGCGCTCCTGCCGCAGGAACCTTGGTGGTGAATCGACCCGCCCGCCCGCCAGCCAGCCCCAGGGATGCTGTTGTGCCAGATCGCTTGCACACGGTTGCATCACAGATGATCGAGCGGTGTCTTCATATGGTTTGACCTCTGGCCGGGGGTTGCTCTGCCCAGACTGCACCACCACACTTTACACCCGTGGCAACCCTCGTCCCATCTCTGAAGCGTCATCACCATCATCGCCACCCCCGTACTCGCCGTTGGTGAATCTCGTGATGCCCCCGCGCGGGTGGTAAGGTTTGTGTGAGCAACGGCCCGTCCAATGCCACTCGCCGCATGGGCCCTCCGACTTCGTACTACCGCTGGGGCAGTGGTCACACGCAGCTCGCCATCCGCAGCAACCATCCATGAATCCCCGGAGCGCTGTCCAAATTATCGTCCCCGTCCTTTTTTCTTTTTTTCCTTTTTGCTCTCTTGTCCTTTTTTTTTTTTTTTCTGTTCTCCAACTTTCCTCATTGTGGATCGTTTGTTTTTCTTAGCTGCTTGGCGCAATGGAGCCACTTTGTTTTTCTGGCCCACCACTCGTCTGGCACGCCGTCGAGATCCTTTCCCGTCCACGCAAGCCTCGACCACTCTGCGCAAGCCACCGCCGTCTCACGTCAAGAGTGGCAAGGTTGGTTCCAATGCGCCTTGGACCGTACGGGGGTGCCGGCAGGGGCCTATTGTCTCCAAGCCAGGCCCAGGGATCTGGTTGAGCTAGCCCACTTCAAAACCTTCTTGTTAGTGTAGCTAGGGGTTGTTTCCGGCACAGCCAGAACACAACGACGCCAGAGCTAAATCATCAAGGACGGCGGCCAAGGGTCATTGTGTCCCGTCTCCCGCTCGATGGCGCGCGGGCATCAGAGGAACCCCATGTTGCTCGCCCGCTCAGCACCAGCGTTATTGAACCTTCTTGGGTTGCTGCCTTTGCAACTCTGACAACTTGATCCGCCCAAAGCCGGGCCCAGCGGATATGGGCGAAGCAGACCGGGGCCCTTGCAGTAATAATGATATGGTGGTTCAACCATCTAGCCTAAGCAGGTCCAATTGCACGGAATCGTCTTGTTTCGAGCCACACCGAAACAAAACAAAAACCTACATGCACCCCGGGAGCTCCGATGCTAATCGAGGCAGGACATCAACGCGCACTGTTCCTGTCTGGCTAGCCACATCTTGCCGTACACCAAGCAGAAGGGCGCTTTTGACCCCTTGCTTGCCCCACGTTTGTCGTCGTCGACGTCGTCGCCTCGCAGCCGCTGCACCTCGAAACATTGCCGGTCCTGACGGGTCTCCTCGTGAAAGCAGAGAGTATCCTGAGCTGCTCCGGTGCTCCGACTGGTCCGTCAACTGCATCACTGGAAGCTACGCCGCGCCGTTTGACTTTACGTAGGTTCCCGCCGCGTATAGCCGTAAGGCCCGGTCTCTTGCCGCATTTCTCATCTCGGGCCAGCGAGTAAACATGCACAGGAGGAGGAGGGATTACGAGCTAGTCCCGCCCCACGACGGGTGAAGCTGGTGTCCGATGGCCGTTTGCAGATTTAAGCAACGATCCCCGAGCTGGCCGCTGCATCCCTACCGGCTGTGGCGCGTCCGCACATGTAGACGTGTAGGATTCTCACCGCCAACACGCCAAGTGAGCACGGCCCGACCGGCCAACACAGTCCTCTCTTTCTTACACAACGACATACGTGTCCATGCACACACAAAGCAATGTGCTATCGGGCTCGCGCTGCGTATTGATTTCCTGCAGATTTCTAGGCCGCTGGCAAATAATCGTGAAGGCCAATCTATGTAACATGCGATACAAGGGTGACATGATCTTTGACCAAACACTCTCACCCTCCCGAATTCTCCAAACTCCAGGTCGTTGAAGTGGCCTTGGCCTCCTTCTCTCCCAATTTCGTTTCGACGTGGCCATAGGCCAGGGCAATGCTACGCTTGCAGGCCCTCTCCTTCTTCTAGCCCGCTGCCCAGAACTTCAAATTCGATTGGTGCGAAACTGACTTCGCGCAGGCTCCCGAATCAACCTGACAATCAAGATGTACGCGACACGGCCTTGTTGATTGTGGTTGTGCCCTCGAGGTGATGTTGATCCCCACACAACGACTGACAGGTTATTCGCTAGTTCTGTGCCTTCCAGGTGTGTACGTCTCATGCGTGTTGGGGGTTCACTTGACCGGACGATCCGTCCAAGTGAAGCCGACTGTCGGGGCGGCGGAACAGTCGGTGAACTGCTAGCGAGCTTGCACACGGTTGCGGGTGGAATCCAGCGTTCTGTATCGTGTTCTGGAGATCTGGGATCGGTTGCTGGGGTCTGCAACATTTCTGAAAGCTGCAGGTGGAGCACAAGAAAGTCAGCGCCCCCCAATGACGAACACCTGGGATTGGCAGAGAACTGTACCGACCTGTCTGGCTCAGACGACGTTGCTTTTTCCTTGTCACATGTCGTATGTCAAGCACATCGAAATCTTTTCCCTGCTCGTGCGATCGAGACCTGCAGTGCCGTGTTCAAGATCCGTTTCGGCCTTGGTGTGGCGGAGCTGACAGCTCCACATGTCCGACTTGGTGGCTCTATTTCGAACAGATGCATGCATGTCTCGCTGCCTTTTCTCGTGCTCATCTCGGCGACCATTACCTTGCAAATGAAGCTGTGAATGCGGCTGGCGTGACCAATGTCTCTTTTTCGCGTTGCAGATGGCAGTCTTGATGTCTTAAATTCAAATCGTCGGGAGCGGAGACCAGTGCTCCTCGTACAGCTGGCTGATGTAGAACAAGTCGTTCTCGTAATCGGCCGACTGGCGGATCTTTGCCCATTGATTCCCTATGATGATGAAGTATGAGGCGTTAGCCACGTGTACACAACAGAGCACAACCTCTGCGCATGCGGGCGGCGTGGCGAGAAACACTCACTGTGCTCTTTCACAACCTTCCTGGTCGCCAAGACGACTTTTGTCTTTGACTCGTCCAGTTCTGCCAGAGTAGACAAGTCTTGGTCCTTGCAATCCATGGAGAAGGGGAAAACGCCTGCCCAGGATGGTTAGTTCGAGCCTTCTTCTCCAAAGCAAGACAGAGAGTTAGGCAACATACCTTTTGTGCAGTAGTGGAAATACGCTAATAAGATGTTCGCGCCTATATCTGCTGTTAGCCGCCGATCATCGAATCTAACATGATCGTTAAATGCTCCTGTGGTTTACCCCTGGCTGGGACTTACCTGTTTGGTATTCTTGCACCATATCCTCCCGTGCGAAACGCGTCTGCATATGATTTCGTCAGCGAACTGAATTCCGGAGAAACCCATCGGAGCGACTGTCCCGGCGGCACCTGAAATGACGTTTTCGGGTCTCCGAGGAGAGTTATGGTGTGGCCTTACCTTCATGCCATGCTTCCGCGCATAGCCAGCATCATGTTGGCATAGCAAGGCGACATTATGCAGCAGAATGAATGTGACAAGATACGTCGTGAACCATGTTTTGTGCTTGTTTGCCTGCGTCATGGCTTGCAGGTTTTCCAACAGCTCTCGTCGAAGAGCCGATTGGATTTGATGGATCAGAACAAGCTCGATTTGAGCGCCCATGACTGGTGGGAGCGGGATCTGGCCGTGCAACGGACTCGTGTTGTCCATGATATCTCGGTCCATGCCCAGAGTTTCGCTACCGACAATGACGGTGGACTTTGTCGTCAGACGGATGGCCATCCAGAGACGCAAGGCTTTCGTGAGAAGCTCCCGTTCCTTGTCAGGCGTCTGCGGGTCTTGTGATGCTTTGATAGCCATCAAATATGTGGCATGCAACAGTTTTGCTTTGGACTTCAAGATCGACTTGCAACATTCGTAGTAACCGGACTTGATATAGTCGTCGTACGCATTCTTTGCCTCGTCAAGGTTGACAATTGCGTACGCTGGTATCCTCACCTCCCGCTTCAGCCCATTAGCAACCCAAGTTCGCGAAAGAGAGTCGCCATCCTGAGGCACGAATCTGCGCACTCGAAGCAAGATGTTGTGTTTCGTGTATCCCTCGGTGACTCTGACAAATTTCGTATCGGGTGACTCCCAGAGGGAGATATCTCCGGGGACGCCTTCGGTCCACCTACGAGTCCACTCGTAACCTTTGACGGGGCCGGGCTTGAAGAGTCTTACGTCCGTGATCTTGTAGCGCAGACAAGGCAAGCGCCATATTTTCACGCTGGAGACCCTCTGGCACGTTAGACATGTCCCATGCTTATCATCGGGGTCAATTTCGCACTGCGTCCATCGTTAGTCATCACTACACGACCGCGATAGGTAAGGCGCTCCGTATGAGTAGTTTGAGCGCCTTTGAGTCGGATGCGACACTTACGCGAATTCTTTGCATCCTGCACCGGATACAGGAACCGATCTTCCTAGTCTCGGCTGTCCGCTCCCTTTCGTCGTTGGAACGGAACGGGCCCCTTTTGGCCGCTGGTGGACGCTGCGAGGACAAGACAATATCCAGTTCCCGTGTCTGCTCCGTGTTGCCGAATATGCCTGTCTCCGGGCTCCGAGAAGGGTGCATTGTTTTGTACTGACTCAGATCCATGCCATGAGGCTCGACCCCATTCGAAAAGTGCCCAACAGTTGCGGGATGTCCTGTCGCAGTAGTGGGAGTTTCGATGCGTGGATCTCCCGCGTGGTCTCGGGCAGTGTTGAAATTATGATAGACCATGCTCTCGCTGCGCGTACTTGGCTGCGTGATCATATCACGACTTGGCTGCAACGGCGGGTAGGAAGAGAGCGCGGGGGAATCCACATCTGCGGTCTTATACGGATCGCCCTGTACACGAGAAGCTTGGTAATTGGATTCTGCCTCCTCTTCATCGCGATATGAGAGCTTCTCATGCATGTAGCTATAGTCGTTTGCGACTGGCGCAGCATAAGCTAATTGAGAGTCAGCAAGTGGCTGGCCCACCACGGTCTGGTGGAATGTCACATACCTGGCGGCTCGTATGCCGAATTTGAGCATGGCGAGCATACGGAAAAGTTTGTCAGGCACTGCACAAGACTCGGCGTGTCTTCTGACATGCTCGAATCAGTGCCATGGTTCCTAAAAAACCCACCCGGCATCTCGTTGTAGTGTGCTTGCGGAGGGGACCTGGCTTCCAACGGTGATACTTGGACGGAATCAGAGTCAAGGCGCTGCCTCTTGGAGGCAGTGGATGCGTACACTATCGGTGTCTGATATGCCGCGAATTGAGGCCGCTGGTCTAACGCGAACAACTGGTCGATCGGGCAGTTAAGCAAGGAGGCGGCTTGATGAAGGACCTGAAGCTCTTGTGGCGTATACCTGTCTTGCATATAAAAAGTATGCGCCGGGATAGGAGGAAGTGATGACAGAGAGATGGCCAAGGATGAAGACGACGAGGACGACGTCGTCAGAGACAGTGGAGCGGCCGAGGAAGAAGGCAAGGTCACGGGAGGAGGTTCGCCATGGCCGTGTGGCCTTCTCTTTTTGAGGTTATGGGAGTTCTGAAATGGGTCAATTAAGGAAAGGACTGGACATCAGGTTGAAATATGCGACAAGCCGCACCCGGTCGTGGCCAGCGTAGCACGAACAACCTGGGAGAACAAGGGGAGGTGGGGTGGACGGAGGAGGAAGAGGCTTACCATTGTAGGACCCGGCAAGCAGAGGGTGTGTTCGACGGAGGGACAAGCAAGTACATGTATGTGTATAGTAGTACATCGGTCGACTGTGAAGAGGCGTCAAGAGCCGGGCACCGACCTTGCGCTCTGCGCTATGCGCATCCGGGAGGGTGTGCGAAGAGTGAAGGAAGGCCGGACGCTGGCCAGGGGAGCCAACGATGTCCTCAGTTGCGGTATGGAACCCACGTTGTCCCAAGGATCATTTGGGGGCTGTTGCTAACAAAAGAACCCCTGGGCCCGGCCACGAACAGCAAGCGGTTTCTGCTGGCGGGTGAAGTGGTGATGAGCGGAGCAGATGGCACTGACACGCTGCTCGAGTGTGTGCTATTGCGCCGTGCTGAGGCACCGGGGCACGACACACCCCCACCGGTCGACACCGGTAATCCGCAATCGCCCGCGCCCAGGGCCGTGGCACTCGGCGAGAGGGACTGGCGATGCGCAACAAAGCAAGGCTTCAGTGGCCGGTGAACGGTTGGTCTGACGGGGGAGGGCGTCGGTGGTCGTTTAGAGAACAATGGGATGGGGCACTAGACGCACTAGCTTAAGCACTAGCTCCCGCTGTGGAATTGTATGGATCGGGGCCACGCACCGGGACCCGAGAAAAAGTGGAAATGTGCAAAGGGTAGTGCGGCGCTGGTGGCGGCGGCCGGGATGGTTGGTGGCGGCAATAGTCTGGGCGGCCGACCGACGGGTGGGCAGGATCGGAGGCTTGGGTGCGAGAGAGGGATGCTGCTGCTGCTGCAACTGGCAGGTAGGCAGGCAGGCAGGGTTAAGGGGAGCCTTGCGTGCTGCGCGACCGTTGTGGGCGTGGTGTCGAGTCGGTCAATCGAGTCGCGACACTCTGAGCGCGGCCGTGGAAGCGCAACGGCCTCACCGGTGCATGTGGGGGCGGGCGAGAGCAAGCAGAGCGTCGTCCAGCTCGCGCGCGACTAGGGCTGACCTGGGGGTAAGACAAGACAGTGTCGAGGCTGGACCGGGTGCCATGCACTTTGACGTACACGCAAGCGCAGACAGGCGGTCAAATGCAGACTGCGAGACGAGCGACAGCGTCGGCGGACGACAACGACGCAGCCCGTGAGGCAGAGAGGACCGGGGCACGAGGCAGGCCCGAGAGGTTTCTGGCTGGCAGGCAGGCGAGGGGCAGCAGCGGTTGCCGCTGGTGGTAGCTGCGCGCCGCGACAAAGGCGGTGATGGCGAGGGCGACACGATGTCCTGCGATGCGATGCAATGGCGATGGCGATGGAGAGGATGGAGAACGAGGACAAAGGAGATGTCGTCCCAGGACAAGGGCTGCCGGCAGAGAGGAGGAGCAGGTCGAGATGGCTCCACGGCAGCGCAGTCGTGCCCACGGCCACTTCGGCAGCATTTTGGGCACATGCGCCGACTGCCTCTGACAACTCGACAACACGCAGCCGCCGCGATGAGCAAGCCCCGCCCCTGGTCGAGACGGAAATCAGCGCACTCGTGGCCTGCCGGGATCTGCTCCCGAAGCGTCGCCCGGCAGGCCTGTGGCCAGACGGAGGGCCTGCTACAAGGTAAGCCCTTGTGCCAATCCGCCTGTCGCCTCTGCCAACTCAGCGTTTGGCCAGCGCGCCGTTCCAACAGCATGGCCAACGCCAACACCCATCACCACGCCTGCGCGCACCGTCCCCGAGTCACGAGCCTTACGACGGGCACCCGACAGCACCCGCCGAGCCCGTGGTGGGCGGGTGGATGAGAGGAGTCTCGACTTGCATGCAAGGCTCAGCCGATGCCAGGGTCAAGATGAGCAAGCATGGCACATGACATACCTGCAGACGATGTTCAGGGTTCTGCAGATTACGCTCACTGCCAAGCTCGTGTCTCCATGCGGGCTGGCTTACCGTGCTCGGCCAGCCTCTAATACATACTGCTGCTACATACTGTTGTGGGAAGGATAGACACCTAGGATCATCGCATCCTGCGGCCTGGTGTGCGAGAACAGCGGCAATTACCGCCCTGCGCAAGGGCAAGTCTCTACGGCTTATCGACTCGCTTCCCACTTGTGCGATGCCCCATCAAGGTCCCGAAATAGCAGCACGGCTAGTGTGAGCCTGCATCTCGCCGTCGACGCCAGAGCGTCATTTGATCACGAGGTCTTGAGATGACTGGACCAGACCCGAGCTATCGTCGTGTCGTGTCACGATAGGTCTGCTCAACCATTTCCAACAGAGGTTGTTCGCTCGCAACCGTGTTGGCTGCCAAGGCAATGCCCGCCATACTGCAGCACGTTCCATCGCCAAGGGTGTGTCCAAGTTCCAACGGCCCCACTATGGATTCCACGTATCACAAGCTGGCTCGCAACCCTTGTGGCCCGTCTATCCCGAGTATTTGGCGCAATCATTGGCCATGTAGCCAGGGATCGGGAATGAACGCCGACAATTCCAACCAAGACGTTCATCGGCCGTAGAAGAGTTTACGCTTCCAGAAATCGAGTCATGCGCCGGTAATACTGACGTGTGGTTCTTCCATAGCGGACATCTGGGTATCTGGTGCCGTGTCGAAGTCTCAGCATGTTCCGCACAGCTTTGGCATTCCGTGATCCATGATAGCCAACAGGGCTGGCCAAGCACAACTTTCGTCATCAATTACAAATCGCGTTCGGGCCACACCAGAGTGTATTGTTTTCGGCGGCGCTGTATTCTTTGGGAAGTCCCCGCGCTCAATCATGTGGATGCCTTGAAATAAAGTCTGCCATGACGATTGCGACACAGCTGTCAGCACGACCAAGCTAAGGCATGGCCCGCCCCACGTGAGGATTGCCATGTGCTTACGCCAGTGGAACGCGCCGTTCCATAGCCCCAGAGTAATGGCGCACCCGCTCGCCTTGGAGCGGAGTTGGAATTGCACCGCGTGTTTGAGAGCTTTGTGGAGGGAAGCCTAAAATCTGGAACAGAAAGTGGGACCAGCTTGTCGGGCCCATTTGTCCTCTTCGAGTATTCTTCCAGAAGCCTGGTCGTTCGAAGCTCTTGGTTCCCCCGAGGTCCACTGCCATCCGCCTGCCTGAGACAGCGCGTGCAGCCGACACTTGGTCCCCGACTCTGGAAACCAAGCCTCGTCTTGTTGGAGCAGACGCAGGTCAGCACTCGGCACATCGCGAAGAGGGTTGCTTTGGCTTGGAAGGGGCTCACCCCAACCCACCAACCGCCAGTCCGCTGGTCCGGCCAGTGTACCCTGAACGAGGAGGCACAATCACGTGGGCGGACCGAAAGCACTCAGTCAGCGACCTTGGACTGGAGCATGGCGATTGGTGCTGTCGAGCACCCGCCCACACACACCGGTCGGCTGTCATGCCTACACCTCCAACTGCGGCAGAACAAGTTGGGGACAGCGGGGTGGATCCGTGCTTCACCTTCCAGGGCTGGCGGACCTGACAGCCCTGGCCGTTGACACGACGTTTTCCAAAAGCAGCGCTCTGCGCATCACGATCCTTGCCAGCGTGACACGACCGCATACGCCTCGCGAGGCATTGTCGTCACCTCCCTTTGCATAAATGGGTGCGCCGGCGGCGCCCAGTCCGCCAGCGATGAGGCTCGGCGACGTCAGTCATCCGCCCGACACGGGCAGGTCTGTTAATAATAACCCAATCACGGTTTGACCGCCACTCTGCCGTCATGTCCGTGAGTCAGCCGCCCCGGCTCTTCCAGCAGCAGCCTCGGGATAAAATCATTACGCAAGTACGACCTGTTGATTGGATCCCAAGCCGGCGGTCCTGCTCGCCCTGCTTCAGTTTTCGAAAAAAAAATCAGCATTGGCCATGGCCAATCCTCAACCCAAAAAGGCGGAGGTTGCATTGCTGCACGTCGCCACAATTGGGGTCGATTACTTGCTTCCGTGTCCTTGTCCACCGACAAGCGATTTGTAAGATCAGCCCATAATTCTCACAAGTGTGGCGCGGCACCCCATCGGAGAACTGCTCATCTTCAGCCCTGCCACATCGTGCGCCGCCGCCCACCTCTTCACCTGGACGGGTACGCAACTCTACAGGCTCCTGTGTGGCATGACGGAACAGTTTGCAGGGCGATGCCTCGTCATGGGAAGGATGGATTGGGTTAATCCTCCGTAGCCTTGCTGCGGCTTACCGTGGCAGACAAACATGGCCAAAGGGGCGACGCGACAACGGAATGCCCGGCCCCGAGGGAGGAGGGAGGATACTTCTAGGCGAATGATTGACTGGCCGTTTTGCGGCCAAATCCCCGATCAACCGAGGCTCGGACGCGTTCGCATATCTCGCGATGAGAAGAGAGGCGGCATGGTACAATCGGTGACCTGAGGATACATTTCTCGAGATGACCCAACCCTAATCAGGTTGCCTTTCTTACTCACTCTCTCTCTGTCTTGTGTCGTTGACCTTGCCTCGGCCGAGCCGGATCGACGTCGTCGAACCCTTCGATCACGTATGGGTGCACAGGGCTGCATAGGGCTGCGTAGGCATCCTATGGCTTTGCTGCCTGCCTGCCTGCCTGCCAGCAGCTGCGGCAAGCTAGAAGAACGTTCGCGAAAGCATGTCTCGTCCTGCGGGCCACAACGTAGTTCAGCATGAACGGCTAGGCTGTCGGCACTTTCGTAACCTTAATTGCCAGGCCTGTCCGGCACGACCATGAACTCCCAATCGCCATCCTTATTTCTCTCTCACCGAGCGGCATCGTGACCGAGCTACCCCATACTCGATCCAGAGTGGTTGCGAAAGCACCGATATGCCATGTCGGCCCATCCAAAGGGGAGCTAGGCCTCCAACTCATATATGCCTAGCCCCAGAGATGGTCCAGGCGGTCTATTTTGCTGATCGCGGAGCGTGCTGTTGATCTCACATGGAAGACATGCGGCTCCAATGCTTGTCGCCCCTTTGTGATACCACGCTTTCGGCGTCAAAGTCGGGTCGTCGTTGATTTATCCAACAACTTGACGAGCAGGTTCTGCCAGTGACTAGGCCCCGAGCTGGTCGCATAGACCTTCCTGAATGTCGCAGGCCAATCGTTAATCATGGCCCTGGCTGTCTCGGGAAAGGACTGCTTAGACCAGCCTGCCAGCCTGTCGCGTCGTTCAGTCCAGACACCCCGGTGACCTCTAGTGCGTGGCCGTTTTCCATAATTCGCTACATGCAACATTACGCTAAGTGGAACTTGCCGAAACCACCCCTGGCATTCGCCTTAGAATAGAGTCTAAATGCCTGGCTATCAAGGATCATGCGTGTATACCTGTTCTATTTGGCATGTGGGCCGGAACTTGAGCGCCAGCCGAGGGGCATCGTGCTTGATACGACTATGTAACAAGTACATATTGCGAAGCTGCCCTTGCCTTGTCGTAGTCGACAACTCATGCTTGGTTTCTCTTCCACCATGCTTCAAAAGCATCGAATATTCCTCGCAAGGAAGGCCCTCCCGCACGCTGCAGACTATCCCTTCGTACAGTTGGGGAGTGTGTGAGTAGCGACGCAGAACAGCATGTATGCTCATGACTGTATGCTATTTGAGCAGGACCAAGGCGATCCGGAAAAGACAGCCAGCAAGCCAGGACCTTCACCCTGTAAGGGCATATTCGTCGAGTCATTGACAGAACCTCGACTTGGTCTTAGACATGTCCATGGCCCACTGATGACTGGCATTTCAAAAGTGCCACCCCAACGGAGACAGGAACTTCCAGGTGCAGTCACGGAACGAAAGAACTAGCTTCAAGTCTGTGTAAACTATGCCGCTTCTGATAGGATCACTGACTCATGCAGGACGCGACGTGTCGTATGCGGGAACAAAAGCCCCAATGACGGAAGTTGTTTGAAAACGAACCCTTTCTCAGGAGCATGGGCTCACACCAAAGACCGTACCGCCATATGATCCGCAGCTCGAAGAACGAGTCAGTTTATGGCATCGCGTGCACCAGGCGGCTTGTGATATGACATGCTACCAGAGGCTAGCGTGGCGATAGAGGTCCTTTGCGATCCGGGATTTTGCAGAATCGTTGCCCAGTGGAGGAGGCAGCCAACTCTGCATCGACCTACGGGGGTTAAAGCTCGTATGAGTCGGTGAGCATGAATCGTGATTCAATTTGTCTGTGCCTTGCGTTGCCCGATTCGATACTGCTGTGCGTGCGTCTCTGGCGCCTAGAGTCCTCAGTGGTTTAACAAGGACACAAACCATCGACCCTGGCGAATGCAGCGCCTGACTCGATTGCAGTGACGACCAGATCCCCGAGTCATTCATTTCCAAGAAAGTCACCCAAATAGACCTCTTTCGTGCCCAAGGAACGATCTTGTGGCCGACCAGCGCAAACGCGCTTGGACATTTCCTGCCTGCCTGCAAGGATCTAACAACGAAAAAAAAAAAAGACTCTCCAAAGTCGTGAGCCAATCAAGGTGCTCGAGACTTGGCCTGCAGCAGCTGTCGACGACCATTGACTCAATTGCCGGCATGAGTGCCTGAACAGATCTTGCCTTTAATTATTCCGACGCCCGACGAAGGTTGCAAGGGCGTGACGGCAAGGTCCTCACCATGGCCAGATGCTCCCAGCCCAGTGCACCTTCAAGCCCCAGATGCCTCTGCCAGCTGGCATGCGACGTCATTGAGACGCCGGAACTTGACACAAGGCGGTGTCGAGCGTTGAGCGGGCCGTTTGTTTCTCTTGTTTGATGGCTGCCGACGAGTCGTGCGGGTGCTGGGGGCCCATGTGCAGCAGCCGGCATGAGGGAGGAGTCGTGATCCCAGCTCCGATCGGATGCGAGGGCGTGCTGCACGAGCAGGGAAGCGACAGCCGGTCAAGATCCGTGGTTTGCGGGCATGGCTGCAACAGCTCGTGGCGGCCATTTGATGTACCTGTTTCTGTGCATCTCTTCCAGTGTCTGCACGCCTGAGACGTGACTTTGATGCACGACCGATCAGCGTTGGGTATCCCTGGACCGTGGCGTGGCTGGGGCCAGGCCAGGCCCCTCCCAGCACTTTCCGCCGCTCCTGAGAGCTGCATTGGTGGTGCAGAAGAAGCAAGAACAACCTGGCAGGGTCCAAGCAGCAGCAACAGCAGCAGCAGCCGAGTAAACGCACACGTCCCCAGGTCTCGAGCATGAAAGCCGTCGATAATCTAGTCGCCCTCACATCCTCTCGTCCCAGCCTCTGCACGCCTCAAAACGCCTCCCGGCCCGCTGCAGAAGCACTACGCTCCTCGGAACGCTGCCCAGCCATCCGAGCGCACACATCGTCAACCACCCGCCACACGAGCCTCGACGTCCTCGTGCCTGCTGCTGCCGGGTCTGGTATAGATGCAGATGTGCCCGCATCGACTGCAGCTCCTGCCCGCACGCCGGGACTGCTCTGTGCGGCCCGACTCGTCTGTCCTGCTCGCCTCACTGCTGGCACTATAATGCCCCAACTCATCATCGCCCTTCGGCTCCATCTCATCCACACATCTGTCCCTACATGCCTGCTTGCTTTTGATGGCACGTTCCCCCAGCCTTGCAAGCCTACCAACTCCTCGTCTTCATCAAAGTCATTACGGCATTCCTGATCAGAGGCCACGGCGGTCGGCCGTGCGGTAAACCCACCAGCACCGTTTTCAGATGGCTCGCTGTCTGGCCATTTATATCCTTCCAACCAACCGCCAAGCATAAGTCTTGCCTGTTGCTACTGCACACATCCTAATCCACTTGGACACCCTTTAGACGTTACGGACGAGGCCGTCTGCAATGGAGCTACATAACCAAGTGATCGAGTTGGTTGTCCATCCAACAGCCGCATGGGCACCAGAAATCACGACCACAGACATTCGGCAAAAGCTGGACGGGCCAGAGGGCACCAGTGACTGGTCAGAGTCTCTTCTCAACCCCAAGAATCGTATTGACAGTCTCGACGACTACCCTTCGGCGCTCTGGCGCGTGGATGGTTGTGCTGGCCTTGGCACCCAGTTTTACGCGATTCCCACATTTCTTCAGAAGATTCCCCCTATGCGTATGGACGTTTTCATTCCTGAAGACCAGACTCCTAGGATTCGGCGGCAATTAGACCTCTCAGTAGCTTTTCACACCAAAGATGGCCTCCGCTTGTCGCGACTGGCTGTGTCTCGCTTCATCGTCCGGGTCCTGCAGCACTGGACGCAGACCGAGTTTGCAGACTTTGATGCCTTCGAGCGCTTCTACACCAGCGCGCCGTTCGGGTCAAGAATCGTTTTCGAAAACCTCTCCCTTGACGTGCGGCAGGTCGATGTCAGGATCGGCCTGAATCACAATCTTGAGCGCCAGTTGATGCCGTTGTCGAGTCTAGCAAAGCTATGGGGCCCAGAAGTCGTGCTGCCAGAGGTGATAGAGTTTCAAGACCTGCACGTAGTCAAAGTCCTGCATGACAGTGTCTGTCTCGTTGAATACCAGAAGCAGCTTTTCATATTCAAGGCTCTGACTAGTGGCGCCAAATACCTCTATCATGAGCTCAAGACTCTATGCACCATGGAGCCACATCCGAACGTCATCGCTTATCCCATGCATCTGGTGCAGAAGGACTGCAAATTCGGAGGCAAAAAGGCCATCTGTGGCTTTACCACATTTTACCATGCAAAGGGCACACTCCGGGACATCTTACCACCTCTCCGCGCGCATGGCCAACTTGCGACAGAGGATCAAGTCAAATGGGCGCTTCAGCTTGCGGGTGCACTCAAACATCTACGCCAACACTCATTCGGTTATTATCCTGACCTGCGGCTCGACAACATTGTCCTTTCCGAAGGTGGAGATGTTGTGATGATCGATTTTGAACAACGGGGCGTATGGTGCGAGTTTGCCGCACCAGAGGTCAATGCCATCGAGTACATGCGCCTCATCGCGGAGCAAGAGGATTTCCCAGACAATCTCAAGGAAGCCTATCTCGACAAACTCATCGCTGTCGTGCCCGAATACGAGAGCCTACAGGCAGACAAGTACAGCAATCCCGAAAATGGTTACAATGGCGCCGGACTGGCTCTATCGCCTCGAGAGCAGGAAGCTGCCGAGGTTTACATGCTTGGTCGCGTGCTATGGTGCATCTTCGAAGGTGTCAGTGGACCTCAAAAGGCGGCAGTTTGGCAGTCATACCGCTGGGAGCCACACATTGAGTTCCCAGATTTCGAGAGATGCCCTGCAGCCATTCGGTCATTGATTGAGGACTGCACACGAGGAAGAAGGCCCCCCCTGAGCCGAACCGTAATGAGAAAAAGCAGTCGTATGGTACTCGAGGGAGCATTGCATGGTGGCCACCAAACGCCGGAGAACGTCATTGCAGCTGCGAGCGCCTTCTGGGCGAGTGAGGTTGAATTTGCGACCAAGTTTCTGGACGAAAGGGCGGCATTGAAAGCCAGAGGAGAGTTGGATGACAACTACTACGGTCGACCTGCCCTGGAAGAGGTGTTCCAACGACTTGACGACTTTAGAGCAGGTAATGCCGCGGCCAGATGAGATATGACTTGGGCCGAACCTCAGATCATACTCAAGAGCACAGCAAGGGCAAGAGGAGTAGAATGAAGCAGAGACTCAACGGGCAATGCATAAGTAGATACGCAATGGCATCAAGTCCCGTTGCCGGGACAGTGAATGCCGCACGCCTGGATTACCAAGAGTGCCTTGAGAGTCACCATCCTGGGGGCAGTCGAGATTAACCTTGCCTCGCCTTGCTTTGCCTACCTTATTCCGGTTCTGTCCGCAGTCTCCTGCTCACACACCATTTCACTCGTTAGGTTGAAGTCATACGGCTGTCGATAGTGGCATGCGGGCCTCGGAAACGGGCTGCTGCTTCGGCATGCGACCCAACGCGGGCGAAGTGCACATCAGACAACGCATGCATTGCTGCGCGAGAAAGGCGGGCAGCAGGCGGTTGTTTGAGACCAATGCGCTTGGAATGCTGTGAGCCGGAGTCTGATCGGTGAATTCGCAGCCATGTGTTGTGCTCGTGGCACGCTTATCATGTGGTGTGTGCCTGGGGCAGCGCACAGGATGACGACCCGGGCAGTCGACCGACCACGCGGGCCGGCGCTTAAGCACGGCGTGATTTGTGGGGCGCCGGCCGGCGAGAGGGGCCGGGTGGGTAACACCGGGGCCGCACACCGGGCGTTGTGATTCGACAGTTGAGCGCCGAGGCGCCGGCAACGACGTCGACGACGTCGACAACGTCCAAGAGGACGACAAGACAGAATGCCAGCCCCGAGTCTAGTTGGATTGTCGTGTGATGATGCGTGTTGGAGTAATGTGGCGCTCGCGGAGGGTAGGCGTACACAGCTTGGCATGCAGAATCGGATGCGTCGAGGCCGATTGTCATTTGCAGCACATATGAACCTGCTTGGTAACAATGATGCATGTGAACCATGCCCGCGGGTACATTGGCTGTAATAGACCATCAAGTGTATTCCCATGACTTGGGACTGATCTGCAGTTTTTCCAAATTGTCGCCGAAAGAAAAATTAATTTATATCCTGTGGGATTTATCTGAGATTGCACAATCACGTCGGCGAGCGAGGATAGCCTGCAGTACGCTGTGAGCGCTTCATCCAGGATGGGACGAGAGCCAGCCGGAGATTCTTGATGCTCGATGCTTGATGCTTGCTCGGGGTTGAACAAATTGGCCGGACAAGGATGTGTCTGCACTGGCGGGGTAAAAGCTCTGGCTTAAGCAGCGTAAGATTCACGAGGCTAGCTCGGCTGGCGGACCTCGATGCTCGAAGTCGACAGTTGGCTGCACAAACATTACTTGTCGATGTTGCATGCTGGCCGGGGTGGTTCGGGAGGCGCTTGCCGTCAGCCTTTGCCCCCTGATGGCAACGGCTCTCCTGCCGACATCATGTTGCTGCTGCTGCTGCTGCTGTTGACACGTGGGCTGAGCAGCCGGATTGGCTGAAGAACGGACGGTGGTGGGTGCTGCTCGGGAGCGCGCTGCAGAAAAGCGACGTGGTGGGATCGAGGTTTGCGCAGAGAGTCTCTGATGTTTCAGCCTCGTGTGCTCGGTTCAGAGTGCGAGGCGGACTGTCTGCCCGTCAGAGGTGGGCGTGGGGCCCGCCATTGAGCAGCAGCAGCAGCTGCTACGATGTTGGCGGTGGACCGTGCCGTGGCAGACGGAGGCAGCGGGACTGGCATGCATTACTGAAGGTGTGCAAGGGCAAAGATGGGTGATGAGTGATCGGTGGTTGCGGGCGAGGAGAGGTGGAAGAGAGGTGGAGGAGAGAGGGAAAAGCCTTGGGCCGCGAGATGGGCCGGTGCCAAGGCGGCCCGTGGTGCGGCCGGCTGGAGCACGGATTGGGGCTTTGCGGCCGTCTTTGGCGGCCCAGTGCGCCGTTGGAGACCCTTCGGGGCAGGAGCAGCCATGGCCGGGCCGCAGGAGGGGCCGCTGCCAGGCTTTTATAGTGCTGGGGGCCCGCTGCTGCGCTCTCCTCCCAAGGCAGACAACGCCCTCCACCCGTGCAAGGGCCCCTACAGTCGATCCGTCCGCTTGGGTCCTCGTCGTCGATGCCGACCTGCTGCCCTGCTGCCATTGGCTTCCTGACCGACGAGCTCCCTCCCGCAATGCATTTGCACCGTCCATCGCCAGGTGGTGATGCCATCGGCCATGCCCTGTGCTGCCCTGTGCTGCCCTGTGCTAGCTGCCTCTCCCTCCCAGAAAGAGCCTCCCCTGTCGTCGTTTGCTGGTGCCCTCCCGACTCGACTCTTTTGCCATGATGCGGGCTCGCAGCAGCGTGGCATTGCCAGTCTTGCAGTCGGCCGCCTTGCCAGGCCCGCCCGATGCACAATGGGCTACGGTGACAGCACCCTCACGATGGCCCTGCGGCCCCGGCAGGTCTCAAAGGCGGCCTCGTACGCCTGCTCCGTGGCTTCGATGCTCCGTCTCCACATCTTCTACCCGTCCCCGGGACACTTGCCATATATCATTGCCCTAAGCGTCCAGCTCTGTGCCCACTCGTTTGGTCAACACTGTCGCCTTTCATGACTCTCACCTGGCGTACTTACACATTGCCTGTCCTTCATGTCGATGGAATCACCTACTCGACGCATGAACCTTCTCTCCATTGCCGAGATGCCCTTGTCACATTTGCACGCTCAGGGCCGGGAACTCGACGTCCAGGTCGGGGCTCTCGACGATGACGGCAACACAATCTTGAGCCCGGCCGGGCTCTTGTACTCCATGAAAAACCTCAGCCGCCAGGAGAAGGACGACTTCAACGAGACATTCTTCACCGAGGACATTGATGCCTTCCAGATGGTGTTGCACGACTACTCAATGCTCCAAGACACGGCAAAGTTCGAGGTCCTCGAGCTCACTCGTCACACCATCTCCATTCCTGCGTCGCGCGGAGCTGAGCCTCGAATTTCCTCTTGCAACAAATGCGGCACCTCGGCGCACAGATGCCGAGCTGGTTTGTGGCTGTTGGACCAAATCGCCGGCCAAGTCATGGGCAACACCGTCGAGCCATTGGTCATGTCGGCTAAAGGATACGCCGAGGAACTCGGTGACATTTTTGAGGCCATCACGGACCACGACATCGATACGCTTGCCAATGGCCTGCAATGCAACGACACATACAGGTCCTGGGGCCCAGTCCCTCGCCGAGTCCAAGAAAGTCGAGAGATCCTGGCTTCCCTTCACCAGACGCCCGTCAAGATGTATCGCCAAGACCTATACGGACCGGGGGATGACGACGACGATATTGTGCAGCAAAACGACCTGGAGAAGACCATCTTTCGAATGCTTCTCCACAATGACCAGTTTTTCAAATACTTCCTCTCCGTCACGAAGCCCGACAGATGTGTCAATAACCCCTTTCGGAAACTTCAGCACAAGGCGGAATGCATCGTGGCCAAATATGTTGCGCGGGCCAGCGACGCGGACACCCAGTCCATTGGGCCGGAGAAGTCGAGACACGCAAGGTGGTGTGCAAAGAGTCTCAAGGCAGTGGTCAAGAATATCCGCGTCATCCTCACCACGGACTCCGAACCACTTGAAGACTGGCTTCTCGATAGCGCTGCCGAAGCTCTGATCCATATTTTGGACAAACTGGTGGAATTAAACGTCGGAATGAACCCGAATACGCCTTCTGGACGAGACCTCAACCTCTTCAGCTGGCTGATGGGGGAGGCAGACTCAGACTTCATTGTCGACATCCTCCATGGCCTTATCCCCAAAGAGATACTGGTCCTGCACGAGGAGAAATTGCTAGACATCCGGGACAGGCTTCAGGGCGTCCCGCAATCGTGGTACGACAAGTTTTGCAAGCTCATCGATACCGACCGCAGGTCTCGTGCACCGCCCAAGACTCCAGCAAAGCACAAGCGAGGCTCCGACGATGACGAGCGGTCCGCGAAGCGAGCGAAATGAGCCGGTGTGCTCTTCGTGCTTATGCAAGCGGGTCCAGCATTCGACAACGAGAGGTGCATGGCGCCTCGCGACTTGTGCTCACGCGAGCCCGTCCGCTTTGTTGCCTTGTCGACCAACTACCCTACTCATCCCGGCCACCACCCCCTCCTCTTCCTCATTTCCTTTCTTTACACTCGTTCCTCCTACGCCTGTTCCCAAGACTTATACGTTCAACATATACCGTCCAGCAAAAGGCCACCACCACCACCTGAATCTCACAGTTCAAATTTATAAACATCCATCCTTCCCAATCTCTCCTCTCTCTCTCTACAGTACTCAGACATCTTGGCCCGAGCCCCCCTCCCCTTTCCTCACAGCCCGAAGCTGGTTCTTCTGGGTCCAATTATACACACACACACACACAGACACACACCTGTTCCTTTCGAGCAGTCTGTCTGTTTCATATTCCATATCTCCTCCCAGCTTACCTTAGGCACGTTGCTAGCTAGCTAGCAGCTGACTGGTCCCTGTCGCCTACCACACAGCGCATGGACACGAATTGAAATAGTCAAAGCACAATTACAGTTCCGTCGCGGGATCCCCTAGCACCCTGCTCCCGTCTCTGGGCTGGGAGAGCTGTTGACCTGCCGAATGTCCAAGTGTCTCAATTTTCAATGTGACATGCTAGCACGCATATCTAGTCCACGTTGCCGTAATTTTGTCTCTAACGATGTAATCACTCGCGCAAGCTGTAAACCATCCACTTCTTCTTTCTTGTGGTTCAAGAGACACTAGGGACTAAAGAGGCTGGTCACAAATAATGAACATGCAGAATGGACTTGTGTGAGTTATAACTGATGACTAGGCTTTTATTGCCAACCGCCCCCTTTTTTTCAGTTTTCCTTGTTGAGATGCTTCAACCGAGTGAATGAGGCCCGCAATCCAGTATGCCTTATGTGTGTATGTGTGTATCAAAGAGAACAATAGAAAATGTCTGTGTCTGTCTATGTAGCCCGTCCATGGGGCAACAGCCACCCGAACGCAAAGTCTCTCCAGAAAGAAAAAAGAAATCAATCGAAATCGCTAGCCTGAACTCCTAGAAAATAAATCGCTGATATGCTGTGCTTTTGTACATCCGAGTCAAACAACCCATAAATGGAAATGCTGAATATGAAAGAAAACGAGGGATTCGTGTGACGTCAGGTTATAAGGCAACCCAGCTATAGTCACCGTCGATGTTGACCCACTGCTCCTTGACCATGGCCTTTTCCCAGCCCATCATGACAGCGAGGAGGCGGCAGCCCATCGCACTGATGGTGCACACCATCACATCACTGGTTGCACCAAGCACCGCGAGGTCCATGACGTAAGCCCTCCCAATGAAGGCTCGTAGTTTCGTCGCCTCGGGGGCTAGGCTGATCTGAGTCTGCTTGCTGGCAATGGATGGGCGACCGAGGTTCCAAAACATGACACGGAAGAAACCACCTTCCCAGCCAACAGCCTCTTCTTTGAATGGGTGCATGACGGACTTGTCGAGGACTGGTTGGACGACAGGCACTTTGCCTGCAAGCTTGATACGTTCCTGCGCACGAATAACCCCAGAAAACTCTTCCGACTCAAACACCCTCGGGTCGTCCGAGGCCAGCACTACCAGAGGCGCAGGGGCTGGTTCCACGGATTCGGGCATCGCGCGGTTATGCTGCGCGACAGCTGCCTGCTGGATCCTCTCTTTGTAGATGGTGAGGGGAATGTAGGCGCCATTGTATTGGTACTCCACGGGGTGTACGTCACCATGCCGGACGTGGACACCAATGATGGTGCTGTTGGCGGCATCGCCGTTGGTGCCATGGGTTGTCTTGAGCTTGAGTTCCTCGATTCTCTCCATGACATATGGCCTATCGTCCTTGTTGATGCGGAAGAGTGCCTCATACCCTACGCGCGCGAGGTTGAATAACGGTCGTTCCCTTTCGATGCTGTCCTGTCGGACGTCTTCGAATTGAGCCGTGAAGGCAGGTCCGAACGTGTCCCGCGCTGTACCCGCTGACACAACCAGATGGCGAGCGCCGTGTGGGCAAGGCAGCATTTCGTGCCGCGGTGGGGGAACACAATCGGCAGGAGGTGGTGGTTGAAACATTTCTGTGTATCGCCCGTACGCCCATCGAGTGTCGTCAATGAAGAAGGCTCGACCCTCCTTTTGGGCCAAACCATATGCCATCCAAAGCAGCATCAGAGTGGTGCCAAGGCCGCCATCGGCAGACTCAAGAACGAAGGTGAGGGAGGTCTTGCAGGCGGGTTTTTCCACCATGTAATCCCATGACTCTCCAATCAGGGGTTTTGCCAGAGACCTTCCGGTGGCCTTAGAAGTCTTGCTGAAGCCAGGAAGGAGGCCATGGGATTCTGCCTCGCCCACATCGACAAAATACGGGTCCCGGTAGTAGTAGCTCGCGCGAGCCTGCTGCTTGGACGTGCTTTCACCATGAAGCTCTCGGACATGAACAGCCACCTCATGGCACTGTGCACACATGTCTGCGTACTCTTGGACGCTGAGTGGGAAGGTGTGTGTGGGCGGTATCGAGACAGTCCACTTTGATCTGCCATGCACGTCGGTGACGGCAATTGGCGTTGGAAAGTCGGGCAGCTCATCCTGGCCGACCATTTCATACTCATCCTGGCTCTCTATCGCCCAGCTCATCACCGATGGAACGTGACCTACAAACCGCCGAGCGAAAAGGCTGGCGACGTACAAAAAGGCGACGAGGCTGGCGACCCAAAAGACGAAACGGAAGACTCGGCTAGGCCTGGGGGCATTGGACAGCTTCCGAGGCCGCGTGACAAGCGGAGGCGGTAAGCCTGGCGATGGTGGTGGGGAGAAGACCAGATGGTTGAAGTTGAAGCGAGAGGATGTGGACGAGAGGGGCCCTTTGTCGTTCTGATAGGAAGCAGCCCTTCTCAGATTGAGCCGCGGGGGCGCCGCCATTATTCTGGTGACGCCATCGCGGGGAAGTTCGAATTGTGCCGACATACTGAAGGTGGACTATTGGGAAAGAAGAAGTCGAAGAAAAGGTCGAGCTTGTGATGAGAGAAGGAGCGGCAGTATCAAGTTTAGGGGAGAACGTGGTTGGGTGTTTGCATGCCCGATCCGGGCGAGAGGCAATAGGCTCAGAGAATGCACCTCCAAGTGTGAGGCCGCAGTAGCGGATGATTATGGCTCTCCTTCAACATGGACCGGCTGAAGGAACGACGAGGAACTGCTCAGGAGTGTGACCAAGAAAGAGAACAAGGCAAAGGCAAATATTTCGAAGAGATGCTGGTGAAAGTGAGAGCCAGAAAAGCTGACGGGGCGATGCCCAAAAGGATCTCCAAGCAGAGGTGATGGGCCAAGAGGCTGGTCGCGCAAGGGCCGGGTACTGAGCAGGACAGAGGCCTATGCGGGAGGCGAGACAGTGCAGGACAGATCGTCGCCTGAAGGAGGAGGTGATCGGACAGGCACAGGACGGCTTGCCGGCGGTGGCTTATTGCATTTCTTTGGCCAGTCACACCAAGTTGATGGGGTGGAAGTTGTTACGGATGTCCTGCCGGACGGGGCACAGACGAAGAGCGACGACTGTAGGACGAGGAGAAGGGTAGCGGAGACGAGACCCAGCTCTTTGATCTGGAAGGAAAAACCTCTATGGGCGATGAGACCTCTGTTTGACGGGGACAGACAAGTCACAAGCGCAGGAACGGGCGGCTTTGGCAGATGACGAGTGTCGATCTCTGGTGGGCTCGGGACGTGGTAGAGCAGGGGTCAGTGGCGATCAGAACCAGGTTGAAATGTAGTCTGGCGGGCGGGTGGAGATGCGATTTTGTGCTTTTGGCAATGACCTGCCAGCCTTAGCGATAGAGAGAAGAGAGAAGAGAGAAGCGAAAAAATGATGCAGAGAGAACGAGACGAAAGAGACAGCACAAGGCGGCAGAGAGAGCACAACCGGGCCAAGAGGGCGTGTGCGGATGGGGAGAAGAAGAAGACGACGAGGAGGAGCAGGAAACAAGCAGCAACAATGACGGGATAAAGTCGAAACAAGAAGCAAGCAGATAGACACGCCGCGGTGCACTCAGAGAGACTCAAGAAAGGACCTCGTCCGTCGCATGGACTCAAGGCGGAAGGAAGGAAGGAGCAGCCCCGCGGGCCAGGACCTGCCTGGGCTGGCTGGCAACAGATAGACTTGGTTGACGCATGTGCCTTGACGCTAACGTTACGGGCCAAGTGCAGCGTCCTGCCGGGGTCCGCCGTGATTCGCCCACGGCGGCGCGAGATGGATGGCACCGGCCGCCGACGAAACACCCTCTCGACCATGACCCCGTCAATCCGATTCATCCCATCGTGCGCCGGCCTGCTCGGTGCTGCTCCATTGTGTGGTCCGCCTGCTTGGGCGGCTGGTGCAGTAGCCCCTCGACCCATCCGTCATCCATCCCTCTTGCTGTCTCCACTGCCGCCATGCTATGGGCATGGGAAAAGAGCTCCTCAGCTGCCGGACACGGGGCGAGTCGACGCAGATCTCGCAGAGGCGATGCATGGCTGGCTGGCTGGCCGAGATGGGGATTCGCCATTCGCTGCAACCCATGCCACGGGAAAAGAACAATGGGCAGGCCAGAAAAGAACAAAGATGGGCGCCGGTCAGGAACAAGGGCCGCCGCTTGGCACACTCTGAAACGCGCTAGGCCGGGGCTCGCTGACAGCCAGGGCCCTCACCTTGGGGGCACCCGTCAAGTCACAACCCGCGCCCCCGGATGCCACGTACAGTACTGTCAGCCACTCACTCACGCGGAACAACTGCGCGCCACCAGTCAGTCCCGGAGCAGGACCCCTTTTCACATCAATCGTCTCCCCCCTCTCTCTCCCGCCACGAGATCAACAGCGCACAGGTCAGCATACAGGAGGAGCCCCCAAGGTACGGCTATGTACCGAGTGAGCTGTACAGAAACACCCGCCCGGCAAACCCCAACCCAGGACCCATCATCTAGCGCCCATCACCAACCAGCTCCTCGGCGACACAACAACAAAAGTCATTCGGAGTTTGCCCATCCTCATTTCCCCAATGTCCGGGGGCCCTTTTCAGCTTTCACTCTGGCACCATGGGCGCCACCACAGCAGTGATCCCTGCTTGACGTCATTCCCGCAACATCGCGGCTCTCTCCTTCTGTTCCCCCCGGTACATACCTAGGTACATTCTTGCGTGCTCACTCAATGTACTTGTAATTTTGATCCCACTCCAGAAACCAAATCCCCCTCTCATCATAAGCACGCACCATCCAGAAGGATCAGCGGATCAGGGAGTCACAAGACACATGATTCACCGCGTGCCTGTGAGGGTCCACCCAAAGAATGCGGCCTCGCTTTCTACAGTACCTAGGTGATGAGTCCCCCATGCTCATCCATGGCTTGAGCTTGGACCAATACTCCGTGGACCGCGGTAAGGCTCATGCATTTTTTGCTCGAGAGGCCCGGCCGGTTCCCAATCCTTAGTGCAGCGCGCCGCGTCCGAGCACACTAACACCTAGTACGCCACACAAAATCCGGGACCCGGGGCCCTGCTTTGTGGGGGGGAACTGTGTAGCGTGATGAGACCCCGATACACGAGAGGGACTTGCGCGAATTATTCTGACGTAAGGTCCGTGGACATTCTCAAAAGGCATCTGCATGGCACATATGTATATATGAGTATAAAAAGTGTACATACATGGCTCGGCCTCGAGCGCAAAAACCCAGTAGTCTTGGGGGAGCAGCGCTAGATCCACAATCGCTGGCTACGCTGTGTAATTATCATACTGCCACCGACCAACCGAACCGCCTCTACAAGAGAGAAGAAAATTTGCCAGCGATAAGAGGTACAATGTGAAGAGGGTATAGCACACCAAAAAAGAAAATCAAAAAGGGACCAAAGCCGTCCCTCCAAAGAAAAAAAAAACGCCAGATGCCTCCTTGAAATCAGTCAAAGCGTCGCCGGCATGCTGTCGTCCGCATGCATCGTAATGTCCTGATACCACGCCCATGATCGCATCCATCACTCGGCCTGATCTGCAGACGACTCTGTGCGCAGTACAGGAGAGCGAGATGCCTCGCGTAATGGTTGGAGACCGAGCACGTTGTGCGCCCCAACACCGTCTGGTCGCCGATCCGCAACCACCCGAACACTCCCACGGGAGCCTCGCACAAGGTGACCAGTCTCAACCCGATCCTGAATCATCTCGTCGAGAATGCGACTCATCTCATCGACGCTCTTCGTCCGCATGCTTCGTGGCGACTGTGGCACACCGCCCATGACCGGTGGGTCAGGCAGTGCCCCTTGTGGTGGCGGGCTAGCGGCTCCTTCGTGCAGCAGCGAGTGTCGTGCTTCGGCCTTGAGGCTCTCTAGACGAGGACTCTCGATACCCTCGGCTGCGTCCCGCGACCGTGCAGCACTGCGCAGAGCCGTCAACATCCGATCCTTGTCTTCAAGTCGAGCGCGCAATTCGGCAATTTCTGAATCCTTCTCCTTGAGAATCGCCGAGACGCTGTGATCCTCGCCAACCATGATGCTCTTGTTCGGGGACGCAAAGCCTAGAGACGTTCGTGAAGAGCTGGCTCGTCGGGCTTGCAAAAGCCGCTTCTCGAGTGTCGCAATATACCGCGTCTTGTCCGCCAAGTCCGACTGCAGTGCCTGATTTTGTGCCTGCAAAGTCGCCATGCCGTCGCCAAACTCACCCAGGCCATCATCGTCCTCATTCGACCCAGGCTCACCATCACTGGAATGCCGGGGGCCAATCGACTTCCGGCCGATGGTTGACGACGACGACGCAAGGGATCCTTTTCTTTCGAGCCCAGATTTGCCACTGCTTGTAATGGTCGAAGAACGCATCGACGATGCAGAGTACCGTGGATGTATGCCAAGAGCGCTATATGTTCCGCTTGCATTCACTCCGCTCGATTTCGAGCTCAAGATGAGCCTGTTCAGATGTTCGATGCGCTCCTTGAGCGCGGTGCGAGCGAGCTGCATCTCGAGAATCTGCTCTTCATGCCGCATTTCCTGTTCCTTTTCGCGGGCCTTCTCCTCCTCTTCGTCCTTCTCCTTGATTGCATCGTCTGTCTTGCCACCCTGGTTCTTTGATTGCGTCTCCAGCTGACCACGCAACTCGAGGATTTCCATGCGATATCTTTCAAGGAGCACGCGAGCACCGCCCTCCCCGCCAACACCAAGGGCTTCCTCAGCACGCTTGGCGTGACTGACAATGTTGTTTTTCGCTCTCGAAGCAAACTTGAGAGTGTTCAGCGTCTCGGCAATATGAGTATTCGCGGTGGTGGAGCTACCAGCAGCCCCAGTGGCGATTGTGCAGAGGATGCTGACGAGAGAGTTACCCGACAGTGCGCCTTGCAGCAGTCTTGTCAGCTTGCTATCTCTGTACGGCAGGTGCTTTCCATCCTTGTCCGCAGATTTTCCGTCCTTGTGTTCTGATAACCTTGAGATGACGGTGCCCAAAGTCAGCAAGCTCTTGTTGATATGTGAGCCCTCCTGGCGGCGTTCTTTCGTCTCGGCCGCTTTCTCCGAACCAGCAAGATCGATCAAGCTCAGGGTGCTAACTCGGACACCGCCCGGGAGGACTCCAGAACGTTTGCTGTCGCTGCCTGGCACACCCGGTGTCCGCTCACGGCTTTCCACAACGATCTGCACGACTGCGTGACTTCGAGAACTGCGGGCATTGAACTGAGTGCTGGCGGTCCTCCGAGCCTGGTCACCACGAGCAATCACTCGCAATAGCTGCGTAGGGCTCTGGACAATTTCCTCCTTCAGAGGTGTAGCGTAGACACCTCGCTTGCTGTCCTCTCTCAGCTTGATGTCTTCCTCCACGCCCATGCTGAGCAAGTCATGGATTTTCTCGTTGTAGATCTCCAGATAGCTGACGCGAAGTAGAAACTCTCGCGAGGGCGTCTCGCGGATATACGAGAAGATATCGGTGATGGCCAAAGGAATGACACCCGGCGACGAAGCTGTGCCCTGCATGGAGAATGTCTTTCCTGTGCCGGTCATACCGTAAGCGAATACCGTGCCATGGTAGCCTTCCATGACGCGACGCACCAGGCGCTTGGCGCTGTGGTCGTAAACTCTGCTGTTGTCGTCATGGGTTGAGAACACATTGTCTGGGATAAGATCAGTATTGCGGCGACAACGATACACAAGTGACGGTTTGCAGCATACCGTAATAATAATCACCCCCTTCCTTCCCACGATAAGCGACCAGTGACCGGCGGTTGTCGACCATCCACTCTCCCTCAGGGCGGCCATTGTTGCCGCCGGCATCGGGCCGTACACGCACGCTGACGATGACATTGCCTTTGCCGTCCAAGCCTTTCGAGGTGCGCTTGTCGTTTGTTGGTGTTATGCTTGGATCTGCAGGCTCGTCAAACGTAGTAGCAGATGTGGAGTACGAGTCTTGTGCCGACGAGCTCCGGCTCTGTGTAGGCGATCCAACACTTATGAGACCATCTGATACGCGGTTGCCGGCTCCACTCCGAATCAATTTACTCTCTCCACTGCTGTTGAGCAGTGAGGGGTTCCCAGACGAGCTGGTGCTAAGCTTAGAAGCCTGAGGCGTTCGCGACTTCCGCCCTGGGGTAACAGATCCCGAGAGGGGACTCGGTGGGAGACTCGGCATTCGGCTAGGAGGGTGAGGGAAGGAGCTGATGCTAACTGCCTTTCTCAACGTCCTCTGTGGTGCTGGAGTGGCGATGTTCGCTTTAGATGTTGGCAAAGCCGTGGTGGATGCGGATGCAAGCGTGGGAAGGCTAGGCACTGCGCCCGAGGGCGATCTCAAAGATTTCGTCGGCGTCGCAATTCCACCTGTGCTCTTGCGGGACTTGGCCATGGGAAGAGCTGGGAGAGCGCCCGCAGGTGGCTTAGTGGACTGCCGGGGTCGGGGAAGTGTTGTCGCCATGGTTGGTTTTTCTTTTTTCGTAATAAGCTCGTTATTCGTTGGCAGAATGGGTGCCCGTCTACTCGTTGGAGGGCCCGCCCACTTGAATCACTAATCGATCAACCAGCGCCGGATGGTGGAACAATCAAAGCGGCCACATCACAACCATTCCGGCTGACCAAGAGACGCGTGTGCGCGAGATTCGAGCGAGGTGCAAAACGCTTTCGGGTACAATGGTAGTGGTCTTGAAAACCAACAGCAACGATGTCGGAGGCTGTCCAGGAGATCGAGGTCAAAAGAGAAGGTACTGCGTAACACGGCATGGTCAGCATCTGAATCTGCCGCTCCAGGAAGTGCATGAATTTTCGATGCTCTTGGCCAGACACGTGTATGCCAACACATCTGACCTCCTGCAGAGAACGAGAATGAAGTATGCCTCGGCCTTTCGCAAGCAGGGAACAAAGAGGTACTTACACCACGTCGTGGATCGTTGGGCGTCGGGAGGTCTGTGCCGGGTTGTTGCTTTTTTGTGTGACGGCCTACTGGTTCTGGGTTGTGCTTATGCAGGAAGCACTCTGCAGCTGTGAATGAAGTCGTTTTTGAAGAGGACTCTGAGCCACAAAGGAGCACTGGGTCAGATGCTGCGGTGGTGTGTGGCACCAGAGTAGCATGGAGCGTAAGCCGTGCCGCGCCAGTTGAGACCAAGGGGGCGATTTCGAGTATCGTGCGAGCAGAGGAGCGCGATCGTGGGGTGCAGCGGCGAGGGCGAGGGCGATCTTGTTGGTGGTGAATGACCGGCTGGACAACGAGGTGGACGGCGAGATTCCAACTTGAACGACACGAAGCGAGAGGGCGCGTGGGCACCTTAGGACGCCAGGGTTGTCGTGACGCTGGGCTCGTCTACGCCAGTGGGCAGGTGGGAGAGCGACCAGACCGGGGCAGTGCCGGCAACACTTGATGGCCTGATGAGACCGAGCAAATCAGACAGCGGCCTTGGACGGCCTTGGAGTCTACAGCAATGTGCTTGCAAGATGGGCCATGGGGAGCCAGGGGGCAGAGGGCAAGGGTTGGATCGAGTGGGTGTGCGCCGGCACGGATGCCCCTGATATCCTGGACGGTCGCTCGCCAGGGTGGGCCGGGCAGAAAGTGGCAGGCCGCGATGAAGCGAGGCGGGCACTGGTGTGGTTGATATTTCGAGCGGATGCGCAAAGTGGCGCTGGCGGGTGGGCGGGAGGAGCTGGGAAGCGTGCACAAGTGGGGAGACTGGTCGAGAGGGCTAGGGCCGTGATGGGCTAGCGCTGGGCGTGGCCCATTGAACCCTCCAGTCGCGCCTGCCGTTGTTTCTCCCCACGCAAATCTTAAACCTCTCGCGAGCCATGCGAGGCTAAGGACACGCGGCGGCAATCTTGCGACTCACGAAAACCCCGACGCGACTAGCCATGGCGACGGAGCTCAGGACAACAGAAGCCATGGGCAGCGTGGCAAGCATCGGACGCCTGGGCAGATGAGTTGGGCAACTCAGTGCCCACGCCCGACCTGCTGTACTGCGTAGGCCGGCATCACTGGACCCCAGCGTTTCATCAGGACCCCCAACCTCATCACAGATGAGCCGTCAGGGATTAGGATGGGGGCTTGATGGATGTAAGATTTGCACCGCAGCCCCTTTTTGCGTCGTCCAACCGGGTCCACCAGAGCGCTGCAGGCTAGTCTGGGGTCTGCACAGTCTCCCGATAATTACAGTTTGGTCCCATACAAATCACTGCAGGCCATGCAGGGCTCAATAGTCACGATGCTGGTAGGTACACAACCAGAGGACGCGACGAATGTGCTGATTGTCAGTCTTTGAGAGCAATGGCTCACATCGACTACGTGCCCCGGGGCCGACCTGCCTTGTCTCTCCCCGAGGATGGCATCTGGCACGCCTGGCAATACAGGCATCTGTCAAGCTCGAACATGAGTGCCACAGCCTCAGACATCGTCCCAACCTGAGGTGAGGGAAGACGGCCGACGACCCTGTATGCCAACGCTCTCCAGCTCATCGGCTTCTGGGCTTTTGAGCAGGCTTGGTCTCAATTCCCTCTGTAGACTTACGTCAGGCTCGCATGGGCATCATTCGTCCACCTACAACCAATCGCCCCTTGACTCGCTACGGCTTGCCCATCACGTCAAGTCCGATCATGCTTGTCTCAAAAGTTAGACAACGAGGACTTTGCAGGCCTACGGGAGCCCGCGCATCATCAGCCCGGTACATGGCCAGCGCGGCATTGCTCCCATGTTATCACTGGCCCTGCAACCCTACTCACAGACGATGCGCGTCAGCCTTGCATGGCTCCGAGACCCTCTTGTCCGGAAGTGCGTGCTCGAGATGAGATGCCATGCTTGGTGGCTGCCCGGCAGCAGCCGTGCCACTTACGATCCCTTGTCGAGGCTAGGCAGGGTTTATCACGAGACTCAGCATGAACTGATGTTGAGACACCCGGGACTTTACTTTATGCAAGTCGCAACGGCCTCAAGCCGTGGGCTATGTATGGCGAACCACTATTCAGGCTGCGTGCGACTGTATCAATAAGTCCCCGTCGACATCCCTGGGTGTCTTGCATACAAGACCGGGTTTTTGCAACATGATAGTCTGGGACCTGCATGTCCATGCCCTGGATCTGCTGCATGCGCGGGAGCTACTTTACGCGCATGTCGCAGTCAACTCTGTCGAATGCGACCCACATGTCTCCCGCCGTGGTTCCAGGCAGCCTTTGCCAGCTTACTGGTATTGACGCCCGTCACTCAACGGCTGCTGATGGTTCTGTTCACGCAGCGGCGCGATTGTGCTCAGTGGTGCAGGCGGGCTGAACGGAAGCCTCAAGTTTGCGAGTCGCCGCTCGCTCAATCTGATCAAGAAGGAATAGTCCGATATGCCTCGGGATATTGCTTACAAATTTTGCTTGTCAAACGTACCCCGGCAATATCATATGCGGGTGATAATTGACAGTTGCACTCTGTCTGCGTCGCGATATGTCGTCAGAGCACTACATATAATTGGATAACTAAGTCGCATTCTCTGAGGTGTAGCCGAGACCTGTCAATGCGCAGGAACACGTCAACAGCGGTCTCTTTCCCCGAGAGACCATTATTCTGGAAATAAACCTGAGCTCGGAACCTGGTAGTACGGTTACATACAGGAAGGTCTTGGTTGGGGCGAGTCACGAATATCGAAGCAAACCTATTGCCTTGACACACATCCTCTATCGAGTCGGTATGTCGACCTTCTGTGCGTTCGAGCTTCGGGTCCACAGAACATCACTCAGAGTAATGGCCGGCGAGCCATCGTGCAGAATCAGTATGGGTAGTTTCGAGTGTCTCAGATGTGCGATCTCGACAGCTAGCTCTCTGCACCTAGCAATCCTTCAGGCTCGGCGACGCATACCGCTCGGCGACAATGAACTCACAGCTCTCTAGCTTCACGCTGGTGTTCGTGCCTACGGGATTTGCTCCGGCTCCCCTCGAAACTTCTATCCACTGAATAGATCTCGACCGGGAAGTAAAAGCACGGAGCAAGGTCTGAACGTCTGACAACACATTCACTAGCAATAATAGTGCGCGCTTCGGCTATAAAGACTAAACATGGTGACGTTGGTGTTGTCCCACCGTCAGAGTCCAGAACGAGGCGGAATCGGCCATCAGAGGAGGATGGGAAAGTCAATCGTCCATCCGGCACAGCATGACCATGTGGTGCTTTGTGGAGCCAGTTCCTGCTGGAGAAACCAAGCTGTAGATGAATTACTGGGATGACTCCTCATCCACAAGGTCTGTCTATTTTCTCGATCGTCGTCACGGCGAGCCCGCACGGTAGCACGTCCGAGTATGCAGAATGCCTTGCCGCTGAGATATTCCAGGAACGCCCCGCTGTCCTGAGTCTGGACGCGCTCTGCTGTGTTGTAATGACGGAGGGTGGGTGTCTCAGATCATCAGCACAGCACATCACGCCGCCATTGCATGCGAGCGAGCAAGCTGGAACACACTACGACCCGACGCCGGAAGTCCGACTCGTTCTCTCAGCGCTTTCCGCATTCGGCCACTTCACCACGAGTGCGCCCACCACCTGACAACGAAACATGCCGCGGAGCCCACTCCGCTCACAGTCCCGCCCAATGCCTTGCTGCAACGACTCGAGGGTGTCTGGACGATGCCTCTCGCCCGGTCCTGTCCTGTTGCCCGCCCATCTCTAGCTCTTTTGTAATCGCCTAGAACTGTCTAGGCTCCCGATGATCTCTAGAGCGAGTTTAGAAATCAACTGGGTGCTGAATTGTGCCCGTCGTCAACTCAACTGCAACATGCCATGCTCTCTAGGAGCCCACTCAGGAATTATGCTCCTTCACACAACCCACGCACACTCTGCTTTTGGGGAAATGCCCCGTCGTACTTTGATACGCGGGCCGGGTTTTCACCTGATGTTTTGCTACGCGCCATGCGAACATTTCATCACATACCTCTCACACTCTCTCTCTCTTGATACGTGGCCGGATCAGGTCATGGCCGGTTCTGATGCAACGTGTATGACTATCTAGTGCAGACGCCCATTCAGATTCAAGAGCTCGTGCTTCGTGCTGGGTAGATTGTAACGTTGAAACGCTACTTCGGGCATGTATGTCTATCAACCCTTGGTCTCTTCTCTAGCTCGCGAAGGACTCTGTACAGACAATCGTTCCCACAGGATAATAGCTTCTTCGTCGCCCTTTGGAACAGGTCGTCACCTGCCCGACAGAGCACGGACACCCCTCCCCACACTTCCCGTCTCAAACACCTCAACGAGCCCAGACCCTACAGCCTCCTGGAGCACCCAGTCGAAGGCCAGGCCGTCGAACTGGCGCCACTTTCTCGTCTGGCCTGGCAAGATCCCCGCGAACTCGCGCCGGGACCGCTTGGCCGCGTACCGCGGCTCGTCCTTGGAGATCCCGCCGTCCCAGCGGTCCCGCAGGACCGACTCGGGCAACTCGCGGAACTTGCTGTTGGCCTTGGTCAGCAGTGCGACCAGGTGCTCGAGCGCAGACGAGACGAGCTTCAGGAACGTGCCGTTTCCAGGCACGGCGAGCTTCAAGTCTGTTGCGCTGGCGGCGGCGCCGTGGTGGTGGTGGTGGTGGTGCTGCGATGAGCCGCCGGCGCTTCCGCCAGCCATGTACACGGCTGCTTGCCCACCCACTGCGCCCAGCGATCCCGTGGCCTGCCGCGAGACGACCTCCAGAGACGTCAGCGTGCCTTTGTCTTCCGGGCGCGAGTACAAGTTCATAGTCTCGGACATGGAGGCAAAGCTGGTCGCCCCGATGTGGTGGCTGGTCAAAAACCCGCATTTGATCAGATGGTCGACGTCCTTCGAGGTGAGACACGATCCGGCGTCGATCGTCTGTCGACCGGGGTTCTGCCTGAGATGCGCGAGGAAGCTGGCCTTCGTGTCGTCCCCCAGCGACGGCGAGTCCTGGACCAGCTGCGCAAACTCGGTCGCGAGGAGCAGCGTGTCGCCAATGTCGCCCCTGCGCGCGACCACGATGCGCAGCAGGAACCCAGACCTCACGAGCTCGGCGATCTCGCGCTCGACGGCGCTGGGCGAGCATGTCAGCAGCGCCTGGATGTGCGAGACGCTGACGATCCGGGGCAGGTTCTTCCTAAAGTTGAGGACCTCGCTGATCTTGACGCTGCCCATGCCGGCCGCCTGCTCCGGGACGGGCGAGAACATGTGGGCGCGGATGTAGTGGATCGCCTGCGAGGTGTCGCGGAGGTTGAGGTCGGTGGCGAGCGCGCGGACGAGGCCATGGTCATCGAGCTTGTCGTCGAACAAATCATAGTCGTCGTCGTAGTCGTCACCCTTCGAGGTGGTGGTGGTGGTAGTCTTGCCTGTGTGCTTGGCTGCTGGCTTGCTTCGGGGAAGAGATGCCGTCCATGATGACGAGGAGGTTGTGGATGGTCTTTTCGCGGAAGGCTTCTTAACCCGGCCGGATCCTCCGAGGATCTTTCGCAGACTCATGGCCGTGGGTCGCGTACATCTGGAGGCCCGTTGCGCACCAACAAGAACGTTTGCGACAAGCAGAGCGACAACGATTTCAAGGATGCGAGCTGGGCAAGTGGCAATCGATGTAGTAGCAGCCTACTCGGAGTGGCGACGGTCTGCCGGCAGTGGAGCCGCGAAGGGCGCGCCCATTTGCTGACACAAACTTGCAGCCAAGCGACACGCCATTGCGCCCGGGCCGGAAGCGTCCATGTCAAGATTGGCAGGTGTACATCACTTGGTCGCATTACAGAGACTCTGAACCATAGATACAATCACGGGATTGTCAGAGAGTGCGAGCTGCGGGTGAAGGCCCAGTCCGTGAAGGCGTGGGCTTCCAGATGTGAGGAGAGGAAGTGCATGTGGCCGAGATTAACCATAGGAATGCCAATACTTGGTAAAGATGACTGGACTCCCTCAAACGAACGGCAGTGCGATACTCTGGCACAGGATTCCACCTGGGAGACGGTGAGAAGCCGCCTCTTGGGAGTTTCACATCAGATGCGAGAATCAGAAGTGCGTGATTGAATGTGAGGAAGAGAAGAAGAGGAAGAAGACCGCCGCGTAAAACTTTTCGAGCAGCATATTTACCAGCACCAGAGCCCGTCCCCACTTCAAACAGACACACCCGCCACTCCTGGACACGACACGCCGCTCAGCGCTGACCACCTCTGCTCCCAACTTACAACTGCCAATGCACTCGGCTTGAGGCACTCATTCATTTATATACACTGGCCAGGAGTGTCTCCAAAGAGGCAAGGAGAGGCGCACGCTGGCCGGCACCCATATCTTTTTTGCTTAATTGTACAAAGTCCTGTGCACTTTGGCACTTGGCTAGCTGCTCGCCCATGAAGACGCCCAGTCCAATCTGCAGGGGACGCCGATTTCGCATAAGGTTGGTTTGGCCATCAGGGTGCTCCATAGTCCACTTCTGGTGTCTGGCTCCCACGATTCTCACCCCGCAAAGGACGGCCTGCCGTTCTGCGGCACTTGCCTCAGCTTGATCTGTGTCATGTGTCCGCTGGGAAAAAGGGATATATCGTTGTCGACACAATGACTGGATCTGCACGTGTAGCTGGCGGGCCGCGTGATTGGCCGTGGCCGGGCACCCTCAGCGTAGCGGGCAGCGGTCTCGTGCACAGGTTGGCGTCCTCCATTGCCTACCAAGTACGTAGCTAAGGCATCACCTACATGCGCGACGTGCAGATTCTCATCGCGTGCCCCCCCGGGTGCCCGCCTGGGTGCTCATGACTAGGGGACAATGGGCAGGATGGAATTCTTGGGACGGAGTATATAAGAGCCTGGCTTGCGGCCTGCGGATTCCTGACGATGCGCTTTTTGGCTTTCTAGGAAAAGAGAGGGAAGGCGCCCCCGCGAGCCACACACTGCACGCGGCAGTCAGTGAACTTACCTAACCTCGCAGCGCTAGACGCCGTCCGCCTTGCCGCCCCAACCCTCCCCTCAGCCCGCTACTGCACAGTTTGAGCCTCAGCACAAGTCGTCCAGTGCCATAGCCTCTTCGCGATTTTCGTGGTTGGCATTTCCGGCTCGCCTGCACGAGCCGTTTTGCAGCTTTCTACCCTGAGTCGCGGGAGGACGACACAATCGAATGGTCCCTCGCGCGCCGCCGCCCTCCCTCCGTCACGGTGAGGTCAGTCAGGCCAGGGCCTTCGGCCGAGCTGATCGCTGCAGGCACGACGTCACATCCCCTGTCTGGCGGCGCCAGCAGCCACGAAAGAGAAATCCACTGTCCAGCGCCTAGCCCTCTTGGACATTCCACGACACAACCGCTTCGTCCCTCCGCCAAAAGTCGGCGTCAGCCTCCCAGCTCACCGCATCTCCCCACGGCTGTCCCAGGCAACATATCGTCCTGTTTTTCCATGTAGCGAACGGTACACAACTGCTCCAGCACGCGCCGCGTCGTCTCAATCATCGGCAGCATGATCACCAGCGCAGTGCTGTTGCAATGGCTCGCTTGGGGCCTGCTGCCGTCTGCCGTTCCTGCAGCGCCAACCCACAGCCAGCTTGTCCTGCAGGTGCCCTCCAGCTCTAACAGGCAACCCCTCCGCAAGCTGCATGGGCGCTTCCTGCATATCACAGGTACGTCGTGCTTCTTGCTGTCCGATTGGCGGCACATCTTGGCTGTGACGGCTGTTCCTCAATCTGGTCTTGGGCTTATATTCGGACTCACCACGCAGATATTCACCCGGACCCTTTCTACAAAGTCCACTCCTCCACAGAGGAGACAATCGCCTGCCATCGCGGCCATGGCCCGGCCGGCACATATGGTGCGGAGACGTCGGATTGCGACTCGCCCTTTTCTCTTGTCAATGCCACGCTCGACTGGATCAGCAAAAACATCAAAGACGACATTGACTTCGTAATATGGACGGGCGACTCGGCAAGGCATGATAGCGACGAGCAAGCACCGCGGCACAACAAGGAGATCCTCGAGACGAATCGCCAAATCGCCAACAGCTTCTCGGCCACGTTCTCCGACAAGCATGGCTTGACCATCCCGATCGTGCCGACCTTCGGTAACAACGACATATTCCCACACAACATCTTGATGCCAGGGCCGAACGATGTGCTCCGCAGCTACACGGATATATGGCGGGACTTCATTCCGGAGGCGCAGCGCCATTCGTTCGAGTTTGGAGGCTGGTTCTACGTCGAGGTTATTCCAAACAAGCTCGCCGTCTTCAGCCTGAATACGATGTATTTCTTTGACCGCAATGCCGGCATCGACGACTGCATACACCCGAGCGAGCCAGGTACTAAGCACTTTGAGTGGCTCCGGATTCAGCTGCAGTTTATGCGCAATCGCGGCATGAAGGCAATTCTCATGGGCCATGTCCCGCCTGCACGGACGGCGACCAAGCAGCTCTGGGATGAGACGTGTTGGCAAAAGTACACTTTGTGGCTACAGCAGTATCGCGATGTCGTTGCCGGTTCGATATATGGGCACATGAATATCGACCACTTCCTGCTTCAAGATACAAAGGATCTCGACTTTTCGCTCATCGAGGCTGCAGGCAGCCGCTTGAAGGAGTTGCGAGAGCCGCTCGAGGACGACATGTCGATCAATTCAGGAGCAGATTACCTGCTCGATCTTCGTAATATGTGGTCACAGCTGCCAAAGCCTGCGTCCGTCAAGAGTTTCGCGGACACCCAGGGCAAGAAGAAGAAGAAGAAGAACGGGGGCAAGAAGCACAAGAAGGACAAGCTTGGGGGTCCGTATGCGGAGCATTTCCAACTAAGCCTCGTCAGCCCGAGCATCGTGCCCAACTATTTTCCCAGCATCAGGATCGTTGAGTACAACATTTCTGGGCTCGAGAACGCCGTAACCTGGGTAGATCACATCCGGGGGTTGAGCACCGACCCCCTGTCGACAATGAATGACGTGGACGAGACCGTGCTTGAGGAGGACCAGGCACAGGAGATCCTCGAGCTGAGAGCCGTCTCCGATGAAACGGCCGATGCCCAAGGAAAGAAGAAGAAAAAGAAGAAGCCCAAACAGCCTAGCTTCACTGTCCCTGACCCCCCTCCCAAGTCAGCAAGCCCCGGCCCAGCTTACTCGCCACAGCCGCTGACATTCACTGGATTCACACAATACTATGCGAATTTGACGAGAATCAACAATGATATTGCGTCAAGTGCCCACAGCGATGATGATGGCGACGTGGAGCCCGCGAAATGGAACCCTGGAAAACACCACGGCAAGAAGCCGAAACACGATAAGCCGTCGCCAAACGAGTTCACGTATGAAGTGGAGTACGACACGTTCAACGACAGAATATACAAGCTCAAGGATCTGACTGTCCGGAGCTTTGTGGAGCTTGCGCACACGATCGGGCAGACCTCCGCCAAGGCGAAAGTCGGGATGCGAGACGCATCTGATGAGGGCGATAGTGAGGACGAGTTCGACCAAGAGGATACCGAGGCTGAGGATAGTGAAGGTGAAGATGAAGATGAAGATGAAGATGAGGAAGAAGACGACGAGGAAGACGAGGACGAGGATGACGACATTGACAGTGTTGGTGAACCAGACGAGCCACATGTCGAAGGCAAAAAAGGCAATAAGGGAAAGAAAGGCAAGAAGGCCAAAAGGAAGTCCAGGAAAGTCTGGCTGCATTTTGCGAAACACGCATTTGTGAGCACAAGGAGTACCAAGCAGCTCAAAGGCATTGACCAGTGAGAGGCAAGCGAGCGAGCAGACTAGCATTTTGCATAAGAGAAAGAAACCAGTTCGAACTTATGCCTCTGTTCATATCATGTTCGTGATACTAGAATCAGTGTGAGCAACTATCGGGGGTGAAGGGAAACCGGGGCGGTTCGTATTGTATCTCTAGGACTGCGCACCAACGTAGCACGCTTCACGGCTCAGTTTCGGAGGCCCGCCATCTGGACTTCTGTCGACAGACACTCCTGCTTGTATGGCTGAGCTTGCTTGATATGTCGTTCCTCATTCCACGTCCTTGAGAAGGTAAAGCTCTATTTAGTCTGAGAATCCATCCCATTCCTCAGCGCCGTCTTCATCCTCATCCTCGCCCTCCTCTTCCTCACCACTCTCCTCATCCTCGTCATCATCATCTTCTTCATCATCACTGTCCGTCTCCGCGACCTCAAACGTCCCTGAGACGTCCCACCGATCGCCAGGCGCGCTGCGGCTCACGTACTTGACAAACTTGAGGATCCCGCTGTCGCGCAGGACAATGGTCATCTTGTTCCAGCTCGCGGCCTGGAAGAAGAGGATGTTGTCGTCGTCGCTGCTCGTCTTGTACACCGCGGCGTCCTCCTCAGTGTCGTCGTCGCCGGCCATGAAGACTTCGTGGCCGCCTACGTCTTCTGCCGAGGTGGGCTGCTGCTCTTGTTCTGACTCTTTGGCGGTTGAGGAGGAGGAGGAGGAGGAAGTGGTGGTGGCGGCTTTGGACTTTTTGGGCGGCGTGGGTTTGGATCCGGAGGCTGCTGTTGCCTTTGCCTTTGACGATTGTTTCTGTTTTTGTTTTCCCTGCACTTGCGCCTCCTCCTCATCTTCATTCTCGTCCTCATCCTCGTCCTCGTCATCAACCTCATCGCCCCATCCCAGTGTCGGCGTCAACCCGAGGTTGATCTCGAGCCGCGGCTTGCCCGCGTGGCCCGTGGCCAAGGTGTAGTCCTTGCCGCGGCGGAAGCGGCGGGCCAGCAGGTCGTGGCTTTCGACCTTGCACCCCGTCGCGAGCTGCAGCCACCGCCGGAACTGTGGGCTGGGCAGGAAGTCGTCGAGGAGCTCCCTGATGGGCGAGGAGGAGGAGGAGGGCTTGTCTTGTTGCTGCTGCTGCTGCTTCTCCTTGCCCTTGCCCTTGTTCTTCTTCTTGCCATTGACTTTGTTGCCGTTGTTGTGGTTGTTACTGCTCCCGTTCTGCGCGGCTGCTGCTGCTGCATTGCCCTGCACGTATAGATAGCGGTGCTTGTGCGGCGGCCGGGCCACCTTCCACGGCGTCTCCTTTTCTATTGTCGCCGCATCCTCTGGCAGGGCCGCCTTGTCCTGCTGCGCCACGTACTCGCGCAGGCGGGCCGAGAACTTCTTGCCCAGCAGGTCCGGCAGGGTGATGGTCGAGTCGGATCCAAACACCTCGGACACCTGCTCGAGCGTGTCGGGCGTCAGGTACGTCGGGGCCATGTACTGCAGGAGGAACTCGAGGTCTGCCTCGCTGAACTCGTCATCGGCGTCGGCGGCGTCGTCGTCATCGCCGTCGTTCTCGGTCTTGGCGGCGGCGACGACGGGCACCGGCGCGGCCCGCGGCAGGTCGTACTGGTCCGGGTTGCCCTGGAGCTGCATGAGCCCGGAGTTCTTGAGCTGCTTCTCCTCGGCGCCCTCGACGTAGCCCGGCTCCCCGGCCTGGGGGATGTGGAACCAGCCGCTGATGGCCATGCGCACGCGGCCCCCTTGCGCCTCGAGCGCCTCGCGGGACTCGGCGTGGTACACCTCCTCGACGTCGTGGAAGCTCTCGCCGGGCTGCACGGCAAAGAAGCTCAGCTGGTTCCAGGCGGGCGGGATCACCTTGAAAACGTCGGGCGAGGGCGTCTTGGCCACCTGCCCGTCCTTGCCCTTGATCGTGCGCACGGGGAAGAGCCGCAGCGCGCCTCCCCACTCGGCCTGCCAGGGGATGTCCGGGTCGACGAGGTACAGGATGTAGCTGACCCTGCGGCTGCCGATGACGTCGTCGTGGCAGAGGAGGAAGGAGCCCGGGGTGTAGACGTTGATGGCCATGTCGGTCTTTGAGCCGCTCAGGGGCCCGCAGCCGGTGATGCCCGCCACATAGTCGCGGAAGGCCTGGGAATAGAGGGCGTCGCGCAGGGCGAGCAGGGAGGGCAGCTTGGCGAGGGCGGCGTCGTCGAGACCGTCGAGGTTGGCGAGGTCGCCGGACTGGTGGATCTTGTAGATGTCGGTCTCCTTGGGCGTGAAGGAGACGTTGTCCTTGATCTCGGAGCGCACGGAGCGCAGGAGCTGGTCGTCAATGAGCTCGTGGATGACGGCGTGCTTGTACGGTGCCGACTCGGCGTACTGGCTCGTGTAGCTGTCGAGGACTTTCTTGTCGAAGAGACCCTTGCGGAAGCGCTTCTTGGCGTCAGAATCGCCTAGAGTGACGGCTGTTGTGGGTGGATGTTGGTCAGTAAGTTATCAGGCGGGCAAGAGAGTGGCGGGGCGTGCGGCAGTCGCTCACCAGACTTTGACTTCTTCTTGGAGGCCGCCTTGTCCGAGGCCGGGTGTGAGTCGGCCTTGCGCTTCATTTTGAGCGCCAATTAGCCCCGGCAAGTTTCTAGTGAGTGCTGAAAGCTTCACAGAATGGGGTGCTCTGGGAGAAGGACAATTGCTGCACGAGCAGGTCTGGACGAGGTTGTGGTTTGTGGTTTGTGGTCCGACGACTCTCGTACGATTGAAGAAAGCTCCAAACTTTTTTTTTTTGGTTTTTGCCTATGACGGACAGCTTGGGACAAATGCTCCAGGTACGCTACGCTAGGTTGCGGGAGCTTTACAGTGGGGCCGGCAGGGGTTGGTGCCGGGTGCTTGTCCAGGTGCAGCTCATCCGTCGGGAAGGCAGTACCAGAGGGTGAAGGAACACTCTCCGCGGACCTTGAAGGAAGGTGAGAGCCTAGTCGAAATACATGCCTTGTCCAAAGCTACCGGGCCCCATCCACAAGGCGTAGCCGTGGATGTGGTTGTTGAAGCGCTACTTACGGGGGTCCCACCTCGAGGGCCGGCGAACGGAGCCTGGGGGCGTGCGGCATGACGGAAGCCGTCACCGGGGAGCGGGGCAGGCTAGCGACGTTGAGGAAGCTCGATCTTACCGTAGGTAGAGGCTGCCGACGGACGGCCCAGCCGACGAGCATCGCGGCCAGGGAGGGGCAGGCGGCTATCAAAGGGCCACCGGGGCATTGTCCGCCGGGGACCAGGGACTGCTACCTCACTTTGTCTTTTGCTTCTTCGAACAGGCCTTTTGTCATCTCGACGGCCGACTCCAAAACAGAGAGCTACGACATTGTCCAAGCATATCAACACCAAGAGCACTAATAGCACCATGGCAGCAGCCTTTGACGTCAAGGCCACCCGGGCAAAGTTCCCTGCCCTCAGCAATGGCGGCCAGGTCTACCTCGACAACGCCGGTGGCAGCCAGACCTTGGAGTCTGTCATTGGCTCGTAAGTTGGCTAGAGAACACCTGGGCCAAAAGGCACACACAGACTCGCGGATTGGCTGACCAACCACTCTGCCGGTCAAGCGTCCGAGACTACCTCGCGGCAACAAATGTCCAGCTCGGGGCCACCTACAATGTCTCTGAGCTGTCGACAAAGGCGTACGCGGACGGCTTCCGCGCCGGCGCGAGGTACGTCAACGCCGCCAGCGAGGACGAGATTGTCTACGGCTCCTCGACGACCCAGCTCTTCCGCAACCTCTCGTACGCCCTCGACTTTAACGAGGGCGACGACATTGTCGTCTCGAGCGTCGACCACGAGGCCAACATAGCCCCCTGGGTCGACCTCGCCCGCCGCCAGAAGCTCAACCTCAAGTGGTGGACGCCCGAGAAGTCGTCCAACCCGCGCCTCACGCCAGAGTCCCTCGGGCCCTTGCTCACCCCGCGCACCCGCCTCGTGACGTGCACCCACACGAGCAACATCCTCGGCACCATCACCGACGTCGCCGCCATCGCCTCTCTGATCCGCGACGGCAGCAGCAGCCCGTGCCTGCAGGCCCTGCTCTGCGTCGACGCCGTGGCGTACGCCCCGCACCGCCAGATCGACGTCAAGGCCCTCGGGGTCGACTTCTACGCCTTTTCGTGGTACAAGGTCTACGGGCCGCACATTGCCATGCTTTACGCCAACAGCAGAAGCAGCGGCAGCGGTCCCAGCGCCCTCGACAGAGTCCGCAGCTTGGGCCACTTCTTCAACCCGAGCGACACGCTGTCCCAGAAACTCGGGCTCGCGGGTGGGAGCTATGAGCTCGTCCAGGCGATCCCCAAGGTCGCCGAGTATCTCGCGTCGTCTGCTGGTGGTGGTGGTGGTGGCGGCGGCGGCAGCTTGTGGGAAGGCGTGGTAGGCCAGGAGCACCAGCTCCAGCAGAAGCTCCTGGCCTACCTGGCCAGCAAGCCCGACGTCTTCACCGTGTACGGCGAGCCGTCGGCGGACCCGAAGCTGCGGGTGCCCACGATCAGCTTCGGCGTGCAAGGGTGGGACCCCAAGGACTTTGTCGAGACCGCGGAGCGAGGCACAGAGTTTGGCTTCCGCTGGGGCCATTTCTACTCAAAGAGGCTCGTGGATGACATTCTTGGGCTCGGTGCCAACGGCGTCGTCAGAGTGAGCATGGTTCACTACAACACAGGTGAGTCTTTTTCTTTTCCCTCTCTCTCTCTCTCTCTCTCTCTCTCTCTCTCTCTCTCTCCCCAGGGTGTTCCCTGTTGTTCTTGCTCTTGTTTCGTCTTTTGCTCTGGTCGAGTTTGCTAACGCCACAATCGATGATGTTAGTTGAGGAGGTCGAAGGCCTCATCGCTGTATTGGATAAAGCTGTCGCCAGCCGATAGAGCCAAATAGATCCTCTTTCGTCAAAGTACATCACCTGTGTATTACATCCTTGCTGTATGCGCAGCAATTCAGACCTAGATTCATGGTGATCCGCAGTCGACCTGTACAAGTATAGAGCTTGGAACGGATGATTCATGGCAGGGTGTAGATGTTTGACATGTTCGAGCCAGATTCTCCGTGTCTCAGTAAAGGCTGAAAGCGAGTCGAATTTCGGTCTTGAGCAGAGACGTCACGAATAGAATCCTCAGACAACTGCCAGTATCCATGAGGTGGCACTCTCCAAATCGTGTGAGACGTACTACACTCATGAACCACTCATTCCAAATGACCAAACTCCTTTTTGGATGCTACCAGATCTATTTGGCATAATCTAAAGACGGTTCACGCACATCCTCTCATACCCCAAGCACATTAAACTTTTTACTCGTCGGCCTGCTCCGCGATGCCAGCATCCTCCTCCTCATCGTCCTCGTCAAAGCTACCGGCAGGGACCTCGTACAGGCGCAGGATTGACTTGTTGGGGTCCTTGACGAGGATAAACTTGCCATCCTCGCGCTTGAGAACCATGTCGGCAATCGTGCGGACAATACCCCAGCCGTTCGCGAGCGACAGGTTCATCTGGTTAGCAAAGTCCCGGGGCTTCCAGCCGATAACGCCCAGAATGACGTGCTTGTCGTTGATCTTGGGGTTGACACGAGAGACGAAACTAAAACCCACATGTTAGTATTTCAGCATTGTGAATTGTTTGACGACCATCCACTTACCCAAGCTTCATGACATCGGCCTTGGCCAGGATACTCTGGACGGTCCAGCGAGCAAGCTTGACGCTGTTATTCTTCATCTCGGTAGCGACAACAGCACCACGTTGGCTGGCAAGCTTGGTCCGCCAGTCGAGCGCGCCGCCGCTGCCCTGGGCCTTGTTGTCAAACTCGTTGAGCGCCTTCAGAACCACAAACTGGTCCTCTCCGCTGAGGGCGTTCTTCTGGACGGCATCGAGCTCTGTCCTCACAATGAGGTACATAGGGTCCTCCTCGCTGGTAGACAAGTCAAACCTCCTGTACTTGTACGCCTTGCTGGCCGGGGGCTCGGTCTCCTCAGCCGCGTTGTAAAAGGGGTTCTCGTGCTCCATCTCGACCTTGCTGTTATCGCTCTCAACAACCACCTGGTTGGCGAAGTTGTGGTTGATGTAGGTGGCCTCCTCAGCCAGGGCGTGGGGCTGGTTGATACCCTCCTTGTTGCCATCGACAGCCTCCATCGGCGCATCGGCGGCATTCTCGTTGACGGTGACCAGGTCCAGAGTGGCGTTCTCGCGCTTGTCAAGGAAGACCTTGTCGCCCTGCTTGACAATGACAATGTCCCAGGAGTAGACCGAGCGCGTCGAGCACATGAGCATGGAAAGAATGCTGTCTGTGGCAAAGATGCTGGCCTCGCCCTTCTCGGCGAGATCCTGGATGACAGGGTCGGACGAGGTTGTGACATTGTACAGAGCACGGTCGACGGCCAGCAGCTTGCGCTCGGCAGACTTGACAGGCTGCTTGTCGAAAGAGCGATCGTAGTAGTGGACGAAACCGTAGCTCTCGACATCCTCACCCTCATCAGCATCCAGGTTGAGCTTCGCCAGTCTGTTGAAGTCGATCTCCTCGAGCAGGCTCCAGTCGGCCTTGATGTTGATAGAGGCATCACGGTTGCGTTGAGGCTTGTCGTAATCCTTCCAGCCGAAACGACGGCCACCTCCGCGCTGTCCACCACGTCCGCCGCGGTTGTCGTAGCCACCATAGCCTTGTTGACCCCCTCTTCCGGAGCGCTGGAAGGTCTGACGACCACCCCGGGCAGTGCCGGCGGGACCGCCACGCTGGCCACGGCCACGTGCTGTGAAGACACCACCGCGTCCGAAGCGAGTCTTTGTGGGCTCTCTGCTGACGACAGAGAACGAGTTCTCATCGCCTTCGGTGACAGGGGCGACGAAGAGGCCGGCGCTGCCGGCACCGTAGATCTGCTGGTCTATACGTTGCACTAGTTAGTTTCTTTGTCCCTTTGCTTCGTCGGTACGGACCGCGCTGAAAAGCAGAAGATACCAGGCAAGAAGGAAAAGCCAGATGCCTACCTCTGAAGTTGCGACCAAACTGCTGTCTGCCACCACGTCCGTCTCTGCCATCCTTTCCGTCCGTGCCCCAGTCGGCCATCCGACCGAGCTTGTCGCCCTTCGAGAACGGCGCATAGGGGACGCCGTCGATGGTGGTCTCAGTGACCGGGGCGGGGCCCCAGCCGTCGCCCTCGGGCAGGGCCGAAATCAGGTCGGCCAGTGATGACGGCATCGCGAATATGTATCTGTGTCGATGTGCAGATGTCGACGTCGAAACAAGGGCCTGTGTCGTCGTGTTTTCGATACTGCGCGGACAGCAGTAGTCGTCGTTGGTGGCGTCGCAACCTTTGGATCGACTTGCAAGTGGGCAAAATTGTCCAGAATTATCGATTTTGCGGTTTGGTGGGGGATGTGGGGCCCGACGTCGACCCGCTGGGCCAGCCAGTCACAAGAGGCGCAAGCCTACCGTTAGCGCGCTTTCAGCAGCACTTCACACAATGCCCCGCGCCTCTAGCACTGTTAGAGTTGTCTGTGAACAGGTACATGGTGTGGTGTCCCATCAAGGCTTCATGAAAAACAAAACTTCGAGACCGTCTCATACTTTCTATGCTGACTTTGCATATCCCCGTGTTCTCGAATGCCTCAATGTGGCTCATGAGAAAAGTTTCGATGGGAATGAGAATGTTGATTGAGACTAAGTCAAGTCCCTGGTATATCAATTAAAGGAACCCGCCAGACATCTACCCCAAAAATGAAAATTGATCAACAAACGAGCATCGGAGAGCCCGATTTCGAACCAAGGACAGCCTCGAGTGCATCGCGAAGCTCAAAGTCCTCAAAAACAGCGCCGAATCTGAGGGTGTTACTGTTAGCATACAACACAGTCTAATGCATTGACGAAGGCTTTCCACGACTGACCCATAACAGCGGACTTTCCCTTGCAACTCTTCCGTGACCCGAAGGAAATCAGCATAGCCCATCTCCCTGATTCGCGGGTGGTTCATGAGTGCTCCCCATGCCATGATGGGCGTGATTTCTCCATCCAGGTTGAGCTTCGAGCTTAAATCGAGCAGAGTCGCAAGATCCGCCCTCGACAGCTCACCAGTATGTACCGTGCCGTCGTCAAGCATTGGACCAGGCTCGTAGTTTGGCGGCAGCCTAGCGTTACTCCTCAAGTCGAGTGGACAGGTCCCCAATGCTGCATGACCTAAGGGCAGACATGTCTCGTCTGCTATCTTCCGCATTATGCGGACGTGGTCCATACAAGGTTGCTCGAGACTAGAGTGGCAAAAAGGCCATATGCAATTGGTTAGCTATTTTGCACAAGACTTTGAATGAGATGAAAACAATGTTGCAAAAAGTCGGTGATCGCCTCTGGCTATGAGCTCAAGAAGATTGAGGATTGGGGGCCAAGTCCATTCTCCATTCCAGTATCAAAGAGGGTTGTCCTACGTTAATACAAAGTCTATGCCTGCCTGCTCGTAGTCCATCTGCTGTGTCGTGTTTGTATTTATCGATCTCTCCGAGGATTGATAGGTGGTCGTATTTTGAGCTTGTGACGGGGCAGGTGCGAATTGACCGACATTCGAGGTCCTGCCGCCGCCGCCGCCGCCTCCGCCATGACTGCTACCATCATGGTCACCACTGGTTTCCGGTGGCGTGATGCCGTGCTGCTGAAGTAGAGCTCTGAGAATGCGGTTCTCGTCTGCTAACTTCTTCTTGTCTTGAGTGCTGCCGGTATAGACTTGTTTGAGACGGAGTACTTCATCCTCGAGCGCTTTTATGTACGTCTCTTTACGTTCACGATGCGTCCTGGATGACAGTGTCAGCCCCGCGCGTATCTTTTTAGCGAGGTTCGGGCACAAATGGAGTCTCCGATTGCGCTCTCCTCGTCAGAAGCAATGCCATCTCACCTCTGTGCCTGGCGGTTTAGTTCCTGCCGGCGTGTGAGAGCCGGTTTCGTGTCAGGCTTTGGGCCACGCTTTTTTGGTGGTTTCCCGTCTTTCGTGACTTTCTTTTCTTGCAGGGCCTTGAGTTGATCGAGACTGATCGAACTTGTGGCTAGGTTGTCGGTCCCCTGTGCCGTGCTGTAGCTCCCTCCCATGGAGCTTGGCGGAGAAGTTGAAGACATGACTTCCATCGACCGAGGTCAATCTTATGTCGAGCTCCGAGGAACTATGGCCCAGATCTTGGTGCTTTCGACCAGAAAGAGGATGTCGTGCCCGAGCCGCGTAGGGTGGTGCCCAGCGCGTCAAATTGGGTCGATCGGGAGAGGCACAAGAGTCTGGTCGTGAGGCCTGGAGATATACCCAAAGGCTTGGCTAGAAATTGCAGAAAGTGGCTGACTAGAGGGAGCGTCGAATGCTTCCCCGCTGAAGCTTTTGAGCACCTGTGGGCTGGGCGCGAAATCGCTGTTGTAGTACTTTTGAGTCAGAGATTCGCTTCGGTCGGGTGTGAGCTGCGTGCGTGCGGAGACGATCCCCAGCCGCAAGGGGGCTTAGAGGTGTGCAGGTGGCTGTGTCGCGGGATGCTACCTCTTAATTCAAATACTCGCAGTCATGGTCTTGCACTTGTCGGTATCGCTGATTTATACCTTTGGTCCGATCGGTTGGACACGCTACGCCCTTCGGCTTGCTAGACAAGACGTTTCGATGCAATGGCAAGAGGATGAAGATGCGCCGCAAAAAGGCCCTGTAGATCAAGAGCCGGGCCGCGGGCAAGCTACCCCGCCCAATGGATGCTAGACTCACCCGGCGAGACATGCGCAAAGGTACCTTAATAAGCGAAGCACTTCATGCAGACACGGCATGCATGACGTAAGCGGTCATTGGCGACACTGAGCCGCTCCCCGAGGCATCTCATCATTCAAGCCGTCACCCAAGAGCAACGTAACGTCGAGGTCTTGAGATGGTCAACGGATACGCAGCCGAAGTCTCAGTAAGCAGCAGCTTAACTCCGTGCATTGCCGCACTGACCCCGGAGCTTTTAGACCCCGGTCCCGGTCTTCTAGGGTGGAAATGAAAGCCGAGCACCCGCAAATGCGGTCGGCTCGGCTCGACGAGGATATTGATGGCAAGTTCAGGTGACGTGCGGTTCGCGCAATCAAGCCCGAAAATGTCCAATGAGCGTGAACAATGAATGGGTCAGCCCACCAGGGTGAGCATGACATGCCGAACGGATATTAGTGGAGGCTGCGCCTCTTTACGGAATCATGCTTCGCACCTGAACGTATGCTGAGCAGCGTTAGCATACAAGACATTCACATCTCCCTTTCAAGAGTGTGTGACATCACCAGCATCAATCCTCACCCACGCAAAATGATGGCACCTGCAGCACTACGGAGTGAACATGGCCAAGGTGATGCACACCCCGAAATGGTGTAACACCGATGCTCATCTCTCCAACGTGGCTGCACTCAGCACTCCCTGAGACATCTCACATGGTGTTCAGCGGTACTCTTAGCTTCAAACTGAACGGGTACACGTGCCCTGTCAGTACGTTCCTGCATCATTGCAGAGGTATGCAGGAGAGTGACTTTGAAAAAGTCACAGCGGAGCGATGGCTGCGCCATGAACGACATGGCGTATGTTCCTTGTGGGCTTGCTTTTATTCCAGGAGAGGCCCACGACACTGTGTAATGTCTTTAGCTGGCCCCGAGAGAGGCCTAATGATGGTCGAGGGGGGTGGAGGAGTCCGATACTTGGAAGAGAGCAGAATTGTTCTACCATTTTAGACTAGACTGGTTCGATAACATACCTGAGACCGAGGTCCATCTTGTGTAGACCCTGTGGAGACTGTCGGGTATAGATGTACCCGCGATAACGGCGGCTGAGTAAGATATAGCTTTATGAAGACTATGTGCTATTTGACGATCTTTGCAAGACAGCTTCAATCAATGGAACCTAGTTTATTTCGGTATCTTCCGGCCTTGCTATCCTCTAGACTTCTTGCAGACCACTAACTTGCACCGGCACTCAAGTTTTGCAAGACGGCGTGCGCTAATGTTCACCTGCTAAGCGTCCGCCCTGTTCCCCGGCTGGCGATACCAGCCTTGACTGCGGAGCAGATTCAAAACGCCGCCGACAAGATAGAGGCTTCCAGTAACAAGCACGTGCCTTGGATGTGTTCCCCACCTGGCTGCTTGTTGCACAGCCTCCTCAAAGTCGCGGACGCAGGAGCTATCCCCGCCGACATGTATACCGTCCCAAATGCGTTTATAAGTCTTTAGAACGGCTGATTCTCGATCATCATATGAATCTGCCTTGAGCCTGACTGACGGACCGGGCTGGGCTGTCGGCTGAGCGTATATGCTGTGAGGATATGAAGTGAACAAGACGTGATGGAACGGCGTTGTCACGGATTTCGCGAGGCACGTTACTACTTTCTCGCCGTCTCGTTGCGAAGAATTCTGCGCAAAGATGAGGACCCGAGTTGCTTCTTCACCATGGCTGCGACACCCCAGTAAAGGATTAGCATTGTTTGGTGCCGTCTAGTAGCCAAGAAAGAAGCCCGCCCTCCTCATGGATATGAAGTTTTTCTACGTACCTTCGTATTAGAGATTGCGATATAAACCACGAGGCTGCCTTGTCAACACTTATTTCATTGTGCGCTCCGTCTAGGAAGCAAGTATATCCGTCGGCTTCTACGATGTCAAATCGCCCCGGCCAATAGAAGTTCTGTATGCCGGCGGTCACATCTTCAGCGGACAGCAAGTCGCCATCCCTTTCGAAAGTTGCTGCCGGACGCTGCAGTTGTACTAGGAAAGCCTCGCTGACTTTATGAGCCAGGGAGCAATTGATGCGTTGCACGTCAAGCTCGAGATCGGTCAGGAGGTTACTGTCCATATCTACAAACTCGAGATTGAGCCCGCAAGAGGCAGCCCGAGCAGACAGGACTCTTGAGACACTCGGCTCTTGCGCTGCCGAGAAAGCCAGCGACCCGGGCTTGAGAATTCCCGCCTTGTGCCAAGCAATGTTTTCAACGGTCGGCCCGAGGCCGCGGATGTGGTCAATGCCAATGGTTGTGATTGCAGTGATGACGGGATTGGCAATCACGTTGGTCGCGTCATATTCGCCTCCACGGTGGGCTTCGTATACGGCGACATCGACGCCTTCGCACAGGAACGCATGGAAAGACACGAGGGCCAGCATCTGCAGGTAGCCGGGCAGTCGTGCGCCCGTGGCTGATAAACATTCAAAGACTTCGAGCACGTACTTGCCAAAGGACTCGTCATCGAGGGGATCAGAATTGATGCGGATGCGCTCGGGAATGCGCAGCAAGTGAGGAGACGTGTAGAGCCCCGTCTTCTGGGGGAATCCCGTGCGCCGGCCATGCTGGCGCAGGAATGCCTCGATGAAGGCGCATGTGCTTCCTTTGCCCTTAGTTCCTGCAACGTGAATAATGTTCAGTCGAGCGATGTCCGTTTGCTGTTACTTGGATGATCAGCCGATAGACTGGGTACAGTGTGGATGTTTGAACTGGTTCGTATTACCGAGTATCCCAGGTGATCCAGCCACTGCTGCATGCCGTGGACGTTGGGCACGCCCCTAAACACTGGGTCTCCCTGAGGCAGTCCGTCCTGGGTCGTTAAAGGGCCTTGCGGTAGCGGCCGACGTAGTTGATCCAAGACCTGGATGGCGCGCTAGAACAAGACGGGTTGGTTGTTGGCATGGCAGAATGGCGTTAGGCTCCACCGGGACCCCGCCGTGTCCAACACGGGAACAGGACTTACATCGTACGCCGACGGCGGCTGTGCCATGGTTGCCAAGCTCGAAACCTATCGTGCCTATTCTCGTTTCAAGGCACTCTCGTTGGCTCCCTTGTCATGGGAGTCGGGTTGGGGGCTGTTGAGGATCAAGCGGCCGAGCAGAAAAGCGCACAAGAGTTGGCAGCAAAGCTCAAGGACGGGTAGCGTGACATTGCCAGGAATCCAAGGCGTGGAGACGGCCATCATCTCGTGACGCGCCCGGGTACAAGAGCCGGAAATGTCGCCATGGGTTTGCTTACCGCCCGAGGTTGGAATGTGTCTTGTACAACGCCAGAATGGCATCGGCAAGCGGGGAAGGGAGGACCCAACATGTCTGCATGGCGCCCATGTTAAGGTCCCTTGGTACCCTGACTGGTGGCCAGGAGCTGGGCTTGGCAGCCCTGGAGGTGTCAGTGAAGGCGAGGGCATCCATGGATTGCATGGATACGACACCGGGCGGCTGAGTACTGCAAGTACGCGTACTTGATTGAGCTAATTATCAGGCAGAGCAGGACGTCAATGCGAGCAACACCCAGCACGCATACTGACTGCCGTAAAAGGTACGCCAAACGCCATATCAAAACGGACTGACGGGGTTGGCTCGCTCTGTGTGCCTTACGTCAACCTGATGCAGGGAGGGGCAAGACCGGAGGCTAGGTGTTTCTGGGGAGCTCTTCCTCTTGCGCGGCTCGGCTCGAATAATGCCTTGCAGGGCTAGGCGGACCCGATTCTCAAGTACAAAGGTATTCATATAAATCGTGCCTCTGCTGCCCAGCGCTGGCAGGCTGCGTGAGCGAGCTTCTTCCAACAGTATGGCCAGCATGGCCAAGGAGGAGCGGCCCCGGCCCTATCTTGCTGCCGTCTCGCGGCTCCAGGTGCATTATCCTATACTCAAGACGGTCACCTCATTCCTCCAGCGCCCGTCTCTCCACACGCCACGGCTCACCGTGCTCGAGTTCTCTCCTCAGCGCGTCGCCCAGGTGCAAATCGTCGCCGAGTCCGAGCTGCACGACTACTGGAGCAGGATCCCGGCCAGTGCCAGTGATCCCGCCTCAGACATCAAAGGCCGGCTGTACCTTATTGAGGATTTATCGGCCTCGTATCTCGAGGCTGTGGGCACGCACTTCAACATCAACCCCGTCTTCTTCCTCAGGCACTTTTATGCGCCGGTCATCCACAAGCATCAGCAGCTCGACATCGCTCAATGTCCGCCACAACAGCTGCATTGCGGCATGCACCAGCACGCCACGGGCATGTCGCTACGTTACTATGATACCTTCGTCAGAGATGGCCCGTTGGAGCGATGGGCCAAGTTCACCGCCTGCAATGCTCGCCGCAAAGTCGTAGTCACTCGGCCATTTCCCAGAAAGGATGCCATGTTGACCATTCTTCGCAACATCTCCCTCCATGTTGTCGACAACGCCACCGACAAGCCGTGGTCAGGTAAGCTCACCACAAGCCAAGCGACTCACAACATTTACAGTCGTTTCCCTGCCAATAATTGACCACATTTAATTGATAGCCGTCTTCTTGGTTGATGCCCCTGTGCGGTCACATTGGGTTATCTCAGAACCAGGTCCAGGTGGAAGAAGAGACCGGCTCGAGCTCTGCCACTTTAAGCCATATATGGCACCTCTTGCAACATCCGCCGACCTCTGGGCCAAGGATGTCCTTACCTCACACCCGACAAAGGGTATCACCATCCCATACGATGAGGCTGGCCCCTTTCAGAATATAATCGACTACTGGGCACGGCGATATACCAGCCTTGACCTCGCCACCGTGATCGGAAACCCTCAAGGTGTTTTGAACTCGGTCGCCACAGGAGTCATCTTACCGTCATGGATGAATCTGTTGTCACTCTTGTCGGCGACTCTGAGTAACCACGAATACTCAATGTTTGAGTTCGAGGAGATTTCACCAAACACGAGCGGAAAGAAGGTCAAGTCGGAGCTGACCAAACTTCGGGATGCCCTTGGAAACATCAGTCGCACCCGACGACGGGCTTGGTGGTACATTGAGCACATACACGTATCGTTCCAGAACCTCGGTTACCCCAACGGGAGGGTCGATCCCCAGTCTCACGGACACTCCAGCGGCCACTCTCCCGCAATTGAAGAGCTGTCCGTCATCCTCAACCGCTTCTACTACATGAAAGAGCGGATTGACTCTCTGATCCCCATCATCCAAAACGCATGCAACATCTTGGAGGCCCAGCGAGGTGCCCTGGAGACGAAACAGTTCAACGCGCTGACGTCACTCGCGTCCGTCTTTATCCCTATCAGTACCTGTGCTGCCATTTTCAGCATGGGCGATGGCTACTTGCCTGGGGAGGCCAATAATTGGGTATTTTGGGCCGTTGCCCTTCCTCTGACCACGGGCGTGATGCTGGTCATCTTCAATTTGTCATTCATGCAAATGCTTGCGAAGTCGGCGGTGAGCCGCATCGAAGCTTTACGCTAGTGCAGACTGAGCAACGGGGCCTGCCGTAGACAAGTTCTGTACCTAGTACTTAGTGTAAGAACGTATGTAACCCCAGGGCCGGACCCTGATGTAGTCAAAAGGAACACCCAAAGAATGTGGACGGGCAATCAATTGCCTATGAATCGGCACCATCCAATGCGTCAATGACATGGTTAAGGGAAATCAGTTGTCGGGTGGTGGTACCTCAGAATACTCACAAACGGTGCAGGCGGCGCGGTATAAAGCCACAGCCTTACAACGCAAGTCGGAGGAGGCACTGCATCTCACTGTTGTCTCCTGAACGCGTGCCTGGTGCTGAGACGTGAGGGGGCTGGGGAGGCGGCCCCTGCTTTGCTAGCGGTCGCGTAAGGTGCCGGAACAGGGCACAAACGCTGTGCTGGTGCCGTGTCTTCTTCTGGAGCCAAGTTGTTGTCTGTGCCGCACGGCGCTGCGCGAACTTCAAACACTACATTCCGAATGATTGCCAAACCCAAACCCTACCAGGTTCACCGCCAGCACGATGACACTTCCTCCAGATGTCTGACGCTTCTGCCAACGTCATGGCTTGTCCGAAGGCGGCGTGCTCGGTGGATGAAAATTGCTGCCGCCGCCTGTCTTGTCGTTCTGCTGTTCTGCCACTCTCCTTTCTTTGCGAAGCTTGACCATCCTGCACATGCTGTATTCATGCCAGACTGTCCCAAAAGCCAAGCACGAGGCATAAGCCCAGAGACAGAGCTTTCTAGCTCACCCCCACCGTCACCGTTGTTGTTGTCCACGCCAGCAATGAGACGGCTGAACCCGCGTTGGAATCCGGTAAGCGGGCAAGACACCACAGTTGTCCTGCGAAACGCTACCCTCTTTGACGGCGATTCAACACTCCCTGGTACAGTCGACATTTGTTTTGAGCAGGGCATCGTCACATCGATAACGGCGTCGCAACTCAATTCGAGCCCCTGCCCACCAAAAACACATGTCATTGATCTCGGCGGCAGATTTGTGACCCCCGGCCTTGTTGACATCCACTCTCATCACCTTGAGCTCCCTTTCTCTTCAGTGGCGGCTGCCCGAGATGTAAACGAAAAGCCGTCCCTCGGGACCATTACCCCGTTTGTGCGGGCTGTCGATGGGTTCAAGCCATACGACCCTGCCATCAAGCTCATCGCCTCGGGCGGTGTTACCTCGTCCCTCATCCTTCCTGGGTCCGGAAACATACTGGGCGGGCAGGCATATCTAGTCAAGAACACGCCTCGCCCAGGACGGGACCAGGAGCTGGTGGTGGAAGACCTATTATTTGAGCACGGAATCCCCCAGAGTGGACGCCGGCGGTACATGAAGATGGCCTGCGGAGAAAATCCCAAGCACCAGTACGGACACACACGCCTGGGCAATGCCTGGCTGCTAAGGCAACATCTCGAGGAGGCTCGCAAGCTCCGGGACCAACAAGACCAGTGGTGCCAGCGTGCGCGGGAGGGGGCAACCCCCAGCTTCTTGCATCGCTTTGGATACCTGGGTAGACCTGACTGGCAAGGGGAATACCCAAAGAGCCTCGAGCTTGAACCTACTGTAGCTCTGCTGAGAGGGGAAGTCAACCTGAATATCCACTGCTATGAGACCGAGGACATGGAGAGGATGTTGGCTGTCCTGCATGAATTTGACATCCACGTTCAGGCATTCCACCATGCTCTGGGCGCATGGGAGATTCCCGAATTCCTCAAACAGCAAGAGCCGTAAGCCACTCTCAAAGTCTTCGGTTGAGGGCCACAATGAAGCCACGGGCTCCGCTAATACTTGACCTAATAGCAACATCACCATTGCCACATTTGCCGATAACGCGCTATTCAAGCACGAGGCATACGGGGCAAATCTTAGAGCGCCAAGGATCTTGGATGACCACGGCATCCGAGTCGTTCTAAAGTCTGTATGTAAGCGGGCGAGGGTCTCGAATTTGATCATGTTCAACGAGGAGAACACGCGATTAATCACTTGAATTACACAGGATCATACCGGCGAAGGCAACTACGCGAAACACTTGATGTAGGTATACCCCCGAGCCCCTCATTTACAGCATCCGTGATTTCGACTGACATGATTCAAGGTGGCAAGCATCCATCGCGCACTCATTCGGCCTTTCGACAGATAAGTCACTTCAGGCTGTAACCTCCGCCGGGGCTCACTCGATTAACCAGGACCATCGTGTCGGCTATGTGCGCCCGGGTCATGACGCCGACCTGGTCGTGTGGGACATTCACCCTCTCCAGGTCGGGGCGACACCGCTTCAAATATACATAGATGGCGTCGCCCTTCTCGAGGCAGACGTACTGGATTCCGAGCTTGGTCGGCCAATCCGCACCGCGGCTCTTCTCCCGCCAGTCCAGAGGCCATCCATGGGAAAGGAAGAGCGGACAAGGCTTATTAAGAAAGTGACATCCCCTAGAGGACAAATTGTAATCCATGGAATCACCAAGGCCCTACTCAGTTGGTGGAAGCCCTCTGAGGATCCGAACAATGCTGCCGATGCAGACAGCGAGGAGGCACATCAGCTCACGGCCGTCATCTCAGCGGGCAAGCTGACATGTATTGGCCGCCGACTCGCTTGCGCACCGCACATCCGGGACAATGCAACATACATTAACCTCAAAGATGGGCACATCTCACCAGGCCTGGTCGCCTTTGGTAACAAGCTGGGGTTGATAGATATTGCCTCGGAGCCCTCCACGGGCGACGGATCGCCCGCTTCAAGTAGCAGCGCACTCAACGAACAGAGAGACCTGCATTATGCCAAATATGGCGTCCACTTTGGTGGCCGAAGTCTCGGCAGAGCTCGGGTGGGAGGGGTGACAAGGGCCATCACCGCGCCGCTGCGTGGCAATGGAGGAGGCCTGCTGCAGGGCGTCAGCGTCGGCTTGCGCACAAGCGACAGTGCCACTGTCCTGGACGGCGGCATCTGGAAAGACGAAGTCGCTCTGCACGTCGTCGTGGGCCAGGACGGCAAGGGTAAGTCCAGGCTCGGCTCGAGATCCCCTGGCATGAGATGCTTACACTGCACAAACCCAAACACAGGAGCGGACACCCCGACGATATCGTCACAATTTGAGAGGTTGCGGCAGATCTTGCGCAAGGGCCAGAGTGATGACGATGGCTCGGACGGCGCGTATGCACGAGCTGCTCGGGGGGTGCTTCCAGTCGTCGTGTCGGCTGTGAATCAGGTAAGAGTATCAGTGCAGCTGTGCCTTTCTTCATGTCTCTTCCAGCTAATTTGATATCCGCAAACTTTCAGGACGATATCGCCCAGGTCATTCTACTCAAACGAGAGTTTCCACGAGTGCGCTTGGTGATATTTGGTGGCCACGGAGCACCCGCAGTGAGTCGTACTCATCTTTCAATCTAGACCCCCTAACCCCTGACCCCCAAATTTTGTTTCTTGTTTTTTGTTTCCAAAAAGCCGGTGTCTCTTTTATTTGCCTGTGTTTGGACTAACCTCCCCTGATTTCCCTTGTGATACTCAAGGTTGCAAAAGAACTTGCCGCGGCGGACATCCCCGTCATACTTTCCGGCAACCGCGGCGCGCCCGACACTTGGGAGAAGAAGGACGTCCTGCCGGGCCCGCCGCTCTCGCGATGCCCCGCCGAAGTCCTGATCAACGCGGGTGTCCTAGTGGCGCTCTCCGCCCGTAGTGAATCCAAGACACACGGGCTGGCGCTCGAAGCACGCTACGCGGCCAAATTTGCCGGGCTGTCAGACGATGAGGCAATACGCCTGGTGTCCACGAACTTCGACGAGATCTTGGGCTTGCCGAAGCAGTCCGCTGACGGTGAGATTCATGGCGGTGGCAAGAACAAGGGTGACTTCGTGGTCTGGGAAGGGGACCCCCTCCGTGGCGAGGGGAGTGTGGTTCTGACTGTACAGGACGATGGCAGGATTGGTGATTGCTGGCCGGATTACGAGGGGGCTGTGCTCTAAGGATGCCCGGGGCCTTCTTGAAGCAGCACTCTTTCCTTGAATTCCGGCACTCCCATCTTGTGCAACGGTTCTGGAATCCTCTTGGAACAGCATCCCGGTTTTCCTTCTTTTTTTTTTTTCTTTTTTTTTTTGCTGCTCAGCCTTATCAAATTAGGGTGGCTCACATCGCCACCTGGTTGTGCATACGAAGCTTTAGGCCGTTCTGAGACGTTCCCATTGAAGCAGTAGTTGACAGCTATTTTCCAGCGCTTTCCAAAGAGCTGATTGTTGTTCCAGAACATAGAAGATGTAGGAGAAGACATGTCGTCACCGATCAACGAGTGAGTGTATCGGAGGGAGGAGCCGCAACGCCCATGAGAGATGCGATGACTCCCTCTCTTGTCTTCCCAGACAAATTGGCAAGACCTTCAAGCGTGAACGATGCCGATTTGGTCTCCAGAGTTTCTGCCATGTCCTTCAATCCACCCGTAGCGCTCGTTGATGATATTCCTTCTGCCGCCCCCGTCATCGTTTCGGCACGCGGCCCTGCGGAATGCTCTTCTCCGAGCGCAGTTGCGCTCATGCCTGTTCCTTCGTGGTCAGAATCCGCTTCTTGATCCGCTTCAGAGCCTGAGATTCTCAGCGACTCCTCGAATGAGCTTCTCACAGCGCCATGCAGCACATCGTTTGTCAGCACATCCACACCCACGGCAGCAAGCCCCTTTGCGCAATCCATGGCGCGGGCGAAAGCATCATCAGTGCCCGCACATGCGGCGAACTCGGGCTGGTGATTGAAAGCGCCCCGGCTGTCTATGAAGAATGCAGCTTGCATCGCAGGGCAGTGGTGTGAGACATTTCCTGCAGGTGGGTGCCGTTGGGCGTAACCAGCCCGCAGAGACAAAGTCAGGGATCATCGCACTTGAACACTGTTGACCTTGGATGCTCACTTGCTTACCTTGATCTGTCGCTGCGACTGGGTTGTCAGTGATCTCGGGCAGTGTGTAGGCTGTGCTGATGCCAAAGTTACTCATGTGGCTGCTGAAAGCTTGACATAGCGGCTCGTTGGAGATAAGATTCCAGTACGTCGCACGAGAGCTGGCAGGCGTTTTAGCATACACGGAGAGAAAACACACCAGGCCGGGACAATGCGACCGCAAGGCCGATCACTACAGAAAGTACTGCGCAAAGGAAACAGCCCAGCGCGCCGACTGCAAACACTTACTCTATCACATGGGTCGTGCAGCCAGCCTCAGCGCCGCCGGCTTTCAGGCGTCGTGTCACCTCTTTACGCAACGCGACGAGCTCCTGAATCGTCTTGGCCCGGATACTGTATTCAGCCCTCGTTCGGTCGGGAACCACGTTGGCTGCTGTCCCGCCGCTGCGGATGAATCCAAACACTCTTGCTGGCGGCTTGAGCTCCCTTGCAAGGGCCGATATGCTCACGTAGGCAATAACGAGAGCGTCAAGCGCGTTCTTCCTGTTGCTGTGGATGGCGCCGTCCGTTGTACCAGTTGACGTCGGCTGGTGGAAGGCCATATGAGACGCCTGCCCATCAAAGTTAACAATGAGTCTTTGCGACGCAAGGCTGCTCGTGAGAGCCAAGGCTCGAAGACTTGTGTCGGTCCACGCCAGGGGACCTGGGTGAGCCATCAAACATGCCGAGGCACCTTCATATGCGCCGGCGCGGAGCAACTTGATCTTGCCGCCACCGCTTTCTTCGGCTGGAGTTCCCAGCAACCTGACGAACATTGTGGCCCTTGGGACGCGGTGGTCCAGGTAGGCTTCTTCCCTATTCTTGTGCTTCAGTGCCTCCCAGCAGCTTGTGAATGCTGCTACGGACGATGAGGTGATCAGATTGTGGCCGCAAGCATGTGAAGCGCTCACTCCCGGACGTGTGGTTCGCGGCAGTTTCGACGTGACTGGTAGAGCATCATATTCGGCGTTGAAGATGACGAGGCGACCGTTTTTTGGTATTGGCGGTGGAGCAACAAAGTCTGGCTCTGAAACAGTCCTCTCGGGCTCCTTTGGTACTGGGAAACCAACAACCCCATTGGATACTGTGGCTCCATGGTCAGATGCATCGTGCCGAGCTTCAACTACAAACGCTGTCTTGAGTCCATAGGCGTGTCTGTAAACTGTAAAGTCTGAGCCCAGAGCATCAAAATGGTCGCATATGACGTCATGAGCGATGTTCTCGTTCCAAGCAAGCTCCGGGTTACGGAATATCTGTGTTGTCAGTCGTGTAGTAGTTGTTGCCAAGCGGATTGCAATTTACCGTATCATTGATTGCTTTGATCTCTTCAAAGTGCTGCTTTATACTCTGCTCTATGGGCTTCAGATATCTCCCGTCAAATGCTGAGCTGTTGCTGTCCATGGGTTCGTGGACCTCCCGAGGTATGTAAGTGGTTTGGCATGAAGGGGCCAGAAAGAAGGAGGGGCGGGGATCTCAATCCGCGAGGCCGTGGGGAACATTCAATATGCACCCCGTACCGGAACAACCACCACCAGTTCGGACCATGGCTCGCCAAGTTAGCTCCAAGCAACAGCGTCGTACTGCACAACGGAAGAGGAGTTGGGCGGGGTGGCCACGCCATGCCGCGATTCTCGGCCGTCGAACCATGGCTGATGTTGCAAGACCTCCGACACCGCACGATTCTCGTCCCAGGCCGGACACTCGTGCACCCCTTGTGTGCTTCTCGTGTGCTAGCGTTTCCACCAAGTGACCATTGTCTCTCGTCAATGCCGTTTGTGGCACGGGCAAGCCTGCAGCTGGATCAGTTCCGTGCTGCATCTCGCCCTCAGGATCAGCCACGCCGTTAAACATGACTGCTTCCGCTACATTCCTGCCCACATCGACCAGGGTACAGCACCTTCGGTAGTTTACAATTCACAAGTGAGACATCAGCGGACAGTGGAATGTTGATGATACCTGCTTTCTCCCTCCTCGACGGGTGGCGGCGCGTAGAGTTTCAGAGAGCTCGAGCCGGGTCGTGCTTGGCTAGTATGGTCTCTGTCTCCGCCCCCTGGAAGTGTCCCTAGTCCGAATCTCAGGACGTCTTGGAGAAGGGCTTGCCAAAAGGAAGCCGGAACCTACAAAAAAGGTACCACACTGGTTTCCAAGATCGGGAACGACGACAGTTGTGAAGCGCATGCGCCTCGAGTGCAGGCGATGGTGTCCGGCATCCTATCACAGCGGCAGTTGACGCTCGGGAGTGTCAAGGGCCCCAGCCGGTCTGACATAAACGTGACCGTCCAGGAGCAGCCACATGAACCAGGGTGTGCTCCTGAAGTCCTGACCGCCTGAAGTGCGCTGCTCGTAACACTTTGTCCGAACACAGAAACAAAATGGAAGTCGAACACGTTCGGCGGGTAAAGAGGGCAAATAACATGCACTTGCGAGGGTCACGATGCTCCAAACCACGAGTCCCAGCTCGGCAAGGAGAACGATGGTGAACGGGACGGCATGAACAAGTTTTCGGTGGGGTGGATGCGCTAGCTTTGCCTGCTCCAAATCGAGGGTGGGCATGTGAGTGCCTGCTAGCGCACGGAAGGCTACCCGAAAGTCAAGTGCAGTCGTCACTGGGATGGGATGACTGGTGTGAACAGGGTTAGTGATTCGGTCGGACATTCGAACTGGCTCGCTCTCCTTCCTGCTGACACAGCTCATCAGTATCAGTCCTCGACGCCTATTCCCCATATCACGAGCAGCCGGCGAGCAAACTGTCCATGGAAGCAATGCGCTGGTCCCAGTCAGAGCCTCGCCGAGTAACCAATCGGGAAGTTCTGCCCACCATCTCAGAAGTCGTGGCGATGATCAAGATCCAGAGTCGACAGAATCGATCCAAGGGCGGTTGCGTGGAACACGTGGATGGACACAAAAGTGCGCCATGTAAGAAATCATGTGCCCGCCTCTGTCGTCGTGCTTGCACCTGGAATATGCATCGCCCCCGTCATGACGAGTTTAGCTTGCTGCAGATTTGAGGGGACTAGTGTGCTACATGGCCGCCCATTCGACAGTCGTTGCTTCGCTGGCCGTGTTCACGTTGACGACAAAGGAGGGGACCTATATTACCTGCTGTTATAGGCCCACGGCGTGGTATCCAGGCGAGCATAACTTTACCTCCGGAAAGTGTTTTGTTTGGCGAGCACGGCCATCCAACCAATCATCTGTGTTTTGGTTCACCTCTTTGTTTTCGGAGGGTCATCGTCGGAGCAAAGCCGCAGTCCTTGCGTGTTTCTATGGCACCGGTGTTGCAGCTGCACAATGCGCGTCGTCGAGGCCTGGCCCTCGGCCTTTAGGAATATGGTGTTTTCTGAGAAGCGGTTGGCGAATGTGCTGCGCCTGCTGGTGCTGGATTGTTCTGCTTGGGGGAGCTCTGTGTCATGTCATGGCCTGCCGAGTCTCAACGCCGAGCCCAGTGGCCCGATCATTGTAGCAACGTTGGAGCAGACCGAAGCAGCCGTCTGTGCCGCTCAGACCTGCAGGCTGCCTGTGGACAGGTTCGTGAGGATGTCGAGTGACGAGTCAGGAGGAGTCAGACATGGTCGGGGGCCCGCCTCTCGAGCCACTCTGAGCAACAACAGCCCCCTGCTGGCCGTGTTTCGCAGGTGGGCTCGGCGGGAGCTGGCGAGCAGCTTGACGCGAATCGCTAGGCCCGGCTGGTGCTAGCGCTGCACCCTGGCACCTCTGATCACTGCAGTGCGCTGTAGTGCAATGCAGTGCAGCATGAGGAAGCCGCCATCCTCGCCTTACCACTCAATGCTCCTCCCCCACCACCCGAGCCAAGGTCCCGGCTTCACGGCCTACCTTGTCAACATTCTTCCTCCCGCCGCAACCTGGTCCAGCCGCTCCATCTGCTGCCACGATCCCCCCTCAGCCTCGAACTTTTGTGGTGGCAGTTGCCAGCTCACGCAACCTCCATTCGGCCACGACCGCTGTCGCTGTCCCTCACGCCGCCGCCGCCACTCTTCCCCCGACGAGCTCTCCACCATCGCCCGCCACCCGCAGCCATACACTCGCAGCTTTCATAGCCTGCCTGCACCTGGCTTCGCGTGCGCGGCTCACAGAAGGCCGCCCTCGTGGGCTTGGAGACACCGCCGGAGCGCTGTGTCGACGAGCCAACCTCCCCCGACAACAGTCTCCTCAGCAAGCACCGTCATGTCTCGGCTCCCTACACGCAACTGAATCTGGCTCCTTGCCAGTGACAGCCCTGGCTCCGTATCCAAGGAGCCAGCCATCCCCGCTACACACACGATACTCCCTTCGACCATTGGTGCGAGGGCTCGCAGAAACAATCCGTCCTCTGATGCTCAGTCGCTGTTCGGCCATTCAATGCCCAACTGTCCATCTCGCGAACTCCGCACACCACCAACATGGATCGTGACCTTTCCAGGCTGGCGCCACCAGCTGTCAGCTCTCTCCGAGCCGAAGCAATCGGCCGTTCTATGGAACGCTCTCTGAGTGAGGATATCCGCGAGGAACGGGAGGAGTTGAGGGAAGCCGCCGAGCAGACACTGAATGTCATTGTTGACCTGAGTCTGGACGGTTCAGTTCGATGGGTCAGTCCATCGTGGGTCGATGTCATTGGGACACAACCCGGTGCAGTGGAGGGCACACCGATCGCTGATCTCATCATCAGCGAGGACAAGGCTGCCTTTGCCGACGCAATCGAATCGATGAAGAAGGACGACTCTCACAGTCAGTACATTCGCTTCACAGTCTATCTGGGACTTCTATCAAGGTTACTGCCCGTCAATGAGATACCGGAGAACGATGCCGCTGGAGCAGAGCGGCCCACGGTAGAACTAGAGGCCCAGGGGATCATGGTTTATGATCGCACAACTGGAGGCGAAAGCCATGTAAGTGTTTTCGTAAAGGACGACACAACTCCATAGCAACGATCCTGGCAGCTAATTTCTCTTGGCCTAGACGATGTGGATGATTCGACCATGGATACCGCCCAGAGAGATCAAGATTGATCTGCCCCCTCTAATTGTTGAGGCGCTGGGATCTGGCGCTGAAGTCCTCGCGAGCTATCTTACCCAGCTTGCTGATGCTGGACAGGACGAACCCGGTAGTCAGGTGCCGCCGCAACCAGTCCTGTGCCGCATCTGCGAGAGACAGATTCCACCCTGGTGGTTTGAGAAACACTCTGAGTTATGCCTTCAGGAACATCAAGCAGAAATGGACGTCCAAATGGCGCAAGAGAGCCTGACGGAGCATCGGCACGCAATCGTCAAAGTCCTTGATGCGCTTGAAGCACGAAAGAGCAGGCCAGCCTCTGGCGACACTGTCACACTGCCGACCGCAGAGTACAAGGGGTTGGCTATCGGACCAACATCGAGTAGTTCTTCACCTGGTGCGGCTTCCCCGTCTTCCTCATCTCGGGACCGCTCGGGGGGGTTTGGCCACAGTCGATCACGGTCTTTCGCGGTCCGGCGGCCTCAAGCACGCATCGTCGAGCTTCTCCTCGATCTGTGTGACACGTCTATCGAGATCAACCCTCCTGCGCTCAAAGAGTCGTCCCAGAATACGGCCGAATTCCGAACACAGTCTCCAGGGTCAGAGTCTCGAACCTCACAGGTCCTGCAATGGCAGTCGCCAAGCACCAACACTCTTGATCAAGAACAAGGCCTAGCAGTGCTCTGTGCAGATACAGAACGGGTGGCAAAGGAAAAGGTCGAAGCTGTCTTTCGCCACCGGAGGATCATCGAGTATGCCGAACGCATTCGGGTGGAGTTTGCAGTTCTAGTACAAGAGTGTATCGACGAAGCCATGCGGGAAGCCGCACGCATCGCCTCGGGTCGCCTCAGTGACTCCACTGAGGAAGAAGAAGAGCAGACTCCGGTTGATGAAGAAGTTATCGGGCAGCCCTTTGACCCGGACCGCGTGCTTTCCCCAACGCCCATAGATGCACCGTCATCTTTGGCCCTTGCCCTCAAGAATGCCTCGCTTGGTGAGCCCAGGGCTCTGCGGTCCGAGATGAGTGCAATTGAGTCGACACGCTCAAGCAGTCCGAGAGAATGCCCGACGCCGAAGTCGCTTGCACCTGGCGCCCGGGATGGTCGGCGCGAGTCCCTGTTGCTAGAGAGCGACGCCGCCGAAAGCGATGGCAGCACTCGCTCCTCATCAGCGGCGCGGCAAGTACCAAGAACGGATTCGCCAGTCTCTGAACTCGGCCAAATAAGGCGTGCTACAAACTCTCGGCAACACCACAGGCGCAGCCTTGTTCTACCGGGGACATCATCACCACATCGCCAGGAGTCACCAAACAGAAACACGCAGCCTTCATCACCATTACGAATTATCAAACCGAGGAACTTGCAGTTTTCACATGAAGGGGTTGCCTCTCCGGAAGCCTCACCAATGCTCTCGCAAAGTGATTTCGGATCTCCTGCCGCGGTCCACCATCACCATCGGCGCCAGTCATCTACCATCTTTCCAGACTTCTCGAATCGACCTCCGCCGTCCCCACGGTTGAATGCGGCAAATCCGCCCCCCATGGCAAGAGCCGTGCCACCATCAATCAAGGACTTCGAAATCATCAAGCCCATTAGCAAGGGCGCCTTTGGCAGCGTCTACTTGTCCAAGAAGAAGTCGACTGGTGAATATTTCGCCATCAAAGTCTTGAAAAAAGCAGACATGGTTGCCAAGAATCAAGTGACCAACGTCAAAGCGGAACGGGCAATTATGATGTGGCAGGGCGAAAGTGATTTCGTCGCGAAGCTATACTGGACCTTTTCGAGCAAAGACTACCTGTATCTTGTGATGGAGTATCTCAATGGCGGCGACTGCGCTTCGCTAATCAAAGTTCTGGGTGGACTACCAGAGGACTGGGCCAAGAAATACCTCGGCGAGGTCATTCTTGGTGTCGAACATCTTCACGACCGCGGCATCATTCATCGGGACCTCAAGCCTGACAACTTGCTAATCGACCAGAAAGGCCACCTGAAATTGACGGATTTCGGTCTGTCGCGCATGGGTCTCATCGGCCGTCAGAAGAGGGCTCTGAATAGTGGCGCCTCAGATACGCCCGACCTTTTAAAGACAGGGCCTTTTGCTCGTGCTGCATCTGTAGCATCGTCCCGGTCGACATCCTTGGATCTCCACGGCACCCACACTTCTCCGGGGGCGACTCCGTACATCAGTCCGGAGCACAGCGCCACCCAGCCCAGCTACTTCAACCTATCACAAAGTCAGCAAGACTCTCGTCGTGGTACAGGCCAGCGAAGCGATAGTGGCGGCAGCGAATCCTTGACTCAGATGATGAGTCACTTTTCCCTGAACGATTTACAGTCATCGCATGCGACTGTGCGATCACCTCAAGATGATGTTAGCGAAGGTGATTCTGGCGTTCCATCTGACCTGGCCCCCCTCAGTCAGACGAATAGTGCAAGCGGCGAAGTGAGCAGAAACACACCACCACAACCCAACATGATGCCTCCCCAGATGGCTCTATTCGATCCAGAAGACTCTGATCGAAGGTTTGTGGGTACCCCAGACTACCTTGCTCCGGAAACCATCAAGGGGGGAAAGCAGGATGAGTCGAGTGATTGGTGGTCGGTTGGCTGCATCCTCTTCGAATTCCTGTATGGCTACCCTCCCTTCCATGCCAGCGAGGCTGAGACTGTCTTCGACAATATCCTGGCGCGCAAGATCATGTGGCCAGACGAAGCAGACGATTATGTTTCGCCGGAAGCGAAGGACTTGATGAACAAGCTGCTTTGTATCGACCCCCAGCAGCGTCTCGGTGCGAATCGCGAGGAGAAGTTCTCTTCAGGCGGAGCTGAAATCAAGAGTCATCCGTGGTTCTGTGACATCACTTGGGACACTTTGTTGCAGGACGAGGCACAATTCGTCCCGCAGCTCGAAAATCCCGAGGACACCGAGTATTTTGATACTCGTGGAGCCACGCTACAATCCTTCACGGAGGAGATTGAGGATCAGTTGTCACCACCTTCAGCAGGCACGCCCGACTATCCAGACCGCCCTCACGACGCCTTGTCTCGTGTCAGGTCACAGCTGCATGTCACACAGATGAAGCGAGGTCTTATGCCGCTCCACATACCACCTCATATTCGCGATCTTAAGAGTCGCCGCCTTAGTGAGCCGGTGGCTTCTGACGACTTCGGCTCATTCGCATTCAAGAATCTCACTGTGCTCGAAAAGGCAAACAAGGACGTCATTCAACAGCTGAAGGCTCAAGCAATGGCAGCTCAAAACAGGGCTGGCACAAGTCCAGGTGGTCTCAACTCTGCAACTTCGCCGCTTCCCCCTGCTGAAGGCAGCCCGATTTTGCCGAATCCGATACCGAAGAATGTAGCGGCGGCGAAAGCCTCGGCGTCGCAACGGCCGTCTTCGCCCTCTGGATTGGGCAATCCCTCTCCAAGCCGTGCGTCACAGCCGTCATCACCTCTTCTAGTGTCATTCCACGCAGGACCAGGCCACGAAGGGCGACGCAAAGCATCAAGCAACTCTTCGAGCCTCTCTCAGCAGTCTGGGCCCTCAAGCTTGCAACCTGGTAGTTTCTTCGATATACCTAGAACAACACCAAGCCTGCAGAAATCCACTAGCGCCGCAGCTGCCTCACCTATGAAAGGCAAAGGAGCACCGCCACCTCTTGCTCTATCGCCTCAGAAGACTTTTGGCACCCCCAGACAAGCGAGTGGCTCGTCGACCAGGTCTCGCTCATTAACTGTTGGCTCACAAGATGGCAGTCCTGTGGCGTCAGACCTCTTAGCGCATCATCGGAATCGAAGAAGCCAGGTCTTTGACATGTCACCATCTTCGTCTGACAACGAAGGGGAGAGAGCTAGTGCCTTGCTTAAGGTACAGAGACGCCGCCAATCTTCCCGTCGCATGTCAGCCATCATGCTAGACAGTCCTTCATTCCGATCTCTGGACGTCCTGATCTGCGAGGACCATCCTGTGTCTCGTATGGTTATGGAGAAGCTCCTCGAAAAGCTTAGGTGCCGGACCATCTCTGCTGTTTCTGGATCTGACGCTATCCGCTACGCTCTCAGTGAGATCAAATTCGACATAATATTCACCGAGTTCAAGCTCCCTGAGATTAGTGGTACCGATGTCGCTCGAATGGTCCGCGAAGTCAAGAACGTCAATTCCCACACTCCTATCGTTGCGATCACTGCGTATCTCAAGGAATTACAGGCGCCGCATTACTTCGACTCTCTCATCGAGAAGCCAATCAGTTCTTCCAAACTCATTGAGGTTTTATCTAACTTGTGTCAGTGGAAGGCTCCGACGCCTGGGCAAGCAGCTGCTCCAATTGCAAGTCGCGTCTCGTCCGTCGGGAAGCAGGACTCGGAGCATCTTCAGGATAGCCCTGTGTCTGGCTCATCTGCCTACACTCGTGGTCTTGGCGGGAGCAGTTTCAGAGGCTCCAGTCGAGGTGATTCCATCAGCTCCAGTCTGTTTGGCGACTCAGAGTCAGCCACCACAGATGACATCCCGATAATCATCAGTCGCAAAACTACCAATGAGTGGGACGATAGTGGCTTAGGCATCAGCCCAGATGGATCAACAGGTCATCCGGCACACCTCATCAGCCAGCAATCCGCCCCTCCCCAGATGGAAGGGAGCGGCACACCGAGCCCTGCACGGTCAATTGACAGGCTCAAGCCAAGACGGGACACCTCCGACAAGAAGCGAGCTGAAGGTACTGACTCCGCTGATGACGAAGACGACGAGCTTGGAGCCGGGCGAGCGCGTGTTCGCCCGCGGTCTTTATTGCCAAGTTCGAAGCTAGGCATTGAGATGATGCGGGCAAATAGCCACGACAGTGTGGCGGTCACTTCTGAGAGTGCCTCGGAGCCTGTTACGCAGGTGGTGACGCCCGCGAAGGAGGGCGAGGCTGCACCTGACTTCAATGCTGCTGCCTTGCTGGCCCTGGGCGGTGGAATGACAGTGACGCCACCGCAAGGCATTTCGCCTGGCACGACTCCTAGGATCGGTACTGATGACATCACACCCCGTCGAAACCCGAAGGCTAGCGAGGACGATTCAATGAATGAGCCTACACCACGGCCTACGGTCAGGACTTCGGACACCGTTATGCGCAGCAGGTCCCCAGCTTGAGACTTGCCCATAGTGTGCACGGAATTCATACTGGAAGCACCCCGCCCATCTGATCGAAGTCTGCGCCCACGTTGTTTTTATGTATCTTTCCCTTTGTCAACATGTTAATGACTCTCTGATGAGCAAGGCGTTTTCAACGAGCGGACTTTTCGAGACTGCATCTTCTCTATATTGTTCATCTTCTCTCGGTCTCAGATAAACCGCTGCGTTGTTTCCCGTTCGTGCATGGACAGAGCGGTACCACGAGCACAAGCCTAGAGAACCTACATATCATCGAGACGTGCAGCCATGTACTTTTGCTCATCTATGCAAACTGCGAGTCAGTAGCCGAACGGAGTCTGGGGCGGGAGGTTGTAAGAGAAATGAAAGATATCAGGAGATTTTACTGAGAGAATGGAAGCATCTTTTTTCCAGAACCACACTACATGCATCACCACCAGTGACCAAGATGAAAATCATAGAACAGCTTGTAATTTGTTGGTCTTGCGACTTGAACAGGAGTCCTCTTGCCCCCCAATGTTTTGCGTCCTTTTTGCACTGTGGCTCAATGCATGAGATGCCTCAAGTAGACCGTTCCGAAGAGGCACCGAAAAGTATCCCACAGAAGACATGCTCAAGACGTCGACCAAGACGCTGGCCAAATTTCCTTTTTTTGACAATAGAACAAGCAATGCTGGCCACTCATCTAGAGCGGAGCCTGAATTGATGAGAGGCACGTTCTCGTCGATGGACAAGAAGGCTCCCAGCCTTCACGTATTCCCGCAGCTAGAGCCTCTAGTCACTCTGTGAGGGCACTCGGCAATGGGAACACAACCTCCTGTGTTGCAAGCCCTGCAAAAAAGCAGAGTCCATTCACCCAACGATCGATATATAGTCTTGGTGGGACCACACTGAGTGCCTCGTCTACAGTATCATGAATGGGCACTGATGATTTCTTTGGTGACGGGCTTGCGTCTTCGCCGGGTGCAAGCCTTACTCGCAAGCTGACGTGTTTGTCCAGCGTGTCTGACTCATTTCTAGCCCATCGGAAAGAGGTGAAGACGTGTTCGGCTGGTCGGGTGTCCGGATCTAAGAGAGAGCGCGAATCCTCCTCTGCGGTGAAGATCGCACTAGGCTGGCGTTTCGTGGACCTCCGTCCATTTTGGAGTTCGATCGCGTCAACGAGCGTGCCCAGGCGGAGTGACTTGCCGTCACGTAAGCACTGAGCTACTTGATTCGCCATCCAGTCTCGCCATTGGGATGATGGATGTTGCGAGCTGAAAGACGCATTTGTGGCCTGGCTTGAGCCTGCCCACTCGTCAATCTGTTCGGCAAGGGTGTCAAGATCTTTGCCAAAGAGACCGTCTTGCAAGTCGATGGACAGAATCTGAAGGACCTGGGCTGCTGTGAGATCAGGATCCGTGATGGCGTCGCGCCGAATGGTTCTCCCTAGGGTCCATAGGTGACCCTTGGTGCTTATGCCGCCGGCTGTGAGTTTCGGCTGGATGAAGCGACAATGTTTGATGAAGGTCAACTCCTGGTGTACAACCGGACGGAAGCTTTGCAAAGACTGCTTTGTGATATATGTGAGGACAGAGTCTGCCAAGGAGCCGAAGTTCCGCGCTGGATCGTTCTCCATAATTTCACCGTTGATCAGGAACAGCGCAAGCAAGAGGAGACTCAAGCTGTCCCGTCTGGCGAGCGCGTCATTGCTGAGGCGTGTTTCATATCCACAACAGTTTGCAATTATGGCTAGACGATCGGACTCGGTCGTGATGCCTCGCTTGCATACATCTGTGAAGATTGTAGGCGACATGGAGCGTGTGATTGAAGGCGTCCTAGGCGAAACGGCCCTTTCTTTTAGGAGCTCTGTATATCTACCCGAGGTTTCGAGGATGCTTTTGCAAGTAGATTGAGGTCCACCATTCTTCTGGTAGGCGATGCAGAATCTGGTCGCATGCCTCTTGAAGTCGGCAGACTTAAGGATGACCTCCCCAGGGAGGGCACCGAACAACGAGGCGCCCTTGCTACTTCGAAGTTTTCGTTTACAAACTTGAAGATCGGGTGTGTGCGGAATGAGCAACTTTATACGGCTAGAAGCTCTATAGTCTTCCTGAAACGTCCAGGCACGATTCCACCACGAGCTCGAAGTTATGTGTTGCAGGAGATCTAGAGTGGCCGCTCGCTTCTGTTCTTGGACATTGCCGTTGAGCAGATCAGCGAGCAGTACAAGCTGTTGCTCGGTGGTGATAGTGCAGGTCAGAAGAGCAACAGGATTCCTGCTGAGGCTGTAGACGAGGTGCATGTTCTGCATGGCCGCCTGCTTCTCAGCGTCGTTCTCCTGATCGATGCACTCCCGATCTACCCAAATGTTGGGACAGCCAACATACTTTGCAAAGCGAAGGACACGGTCCCAAACATTATCACGGACCTCGCTGTTGCGGACGCGTGGCTGCCTATCACGAGTTTCAATCAGATAGCGGCCAATGGCAGGACTTTCGTCTGTAGAAGGCTCCCAAGTGTACGAGACGGCAACGTAGTTTCGCGATGCATCAGTGCCAGTCAGAGGATCCAGGTTACGCCTTTTCAAGATTCCAGGGGAAGGCGGGACGCTCGCGAGAGGACCGGAAGGCCCTCGACGGCGCTTGGAAGGTACTCTGAAGTCGCCATCGCGCCTGCGATCGTCGCTGTCGTCGCCAAGATAGAGGCACTCGAGGTTTTCGATCCAGCTGTCGACAGGGCCGGCATCGCTGCTGACGGCGAGTAGGGCCTCGCTCAGGGGCTCGCAGCAGCGGGAGCGGAGCTGAGCCAGAGGCTGCAGGGTGTCGGTAAGCATGAAGTGCAAGTCTGGGCAGCCTGGCGGGCAACCGTGGGAGGAAGATGGAGATGCACCACAGCATCGCATGATTGTCCAGTGGAAGAGGCTGGCTGAGTACGGGCTGCATGCCCGGCTGGCCAATGGCGAAGCAGGCCGCTAGCTTTGTCTAGCGGGCACCTGCCAAATGATGCGCTAACTCAGCTGGGAGGGCAGCAGCTTCCTCTTTTGGCCCTGGAACATTGCCCACGAGGTGGCCTGTCGACTGACGTACGACAGACTACGTACCTTACCCGTAGACATGGCAGATTGACCTTCCTCGGTCAGCTAACAAGAGCTGGCGCGTCCACGATCCCAGCCTTCTGGATGCATGTGGCCGCCGACCTCCCGCTCCCGGCAAGTGCTTTCACCCTCGCTCAACTTATAGCACCATGTTCGGCCATCTCGCAACGTCTTTCAGCTCCTGCAGAGACATCAAATTGCATGTGAAGAACGGTTTCGCGAGCAAAGCTCAAGCAGAAGAGCAGCGACCGCCAATACGCCTGGCTGTCCTGTGGCCGTGCTCAGCCTGGCATGGGGTCAGGGACGATGCCGAGCACTTCTGCCGAAAGTCCAGAGCTGCGCGATAATGCGCACCTAATATCTTAAGACTTGCAATTATTACCTGCCGGCGCATCAGGATGACTCGCCGCCGCTTGGACTCTTGCCCTGTGGCACTTTCGCTTTCGCCGCTTTCGCTCTCGCCGACGGTCGGTCGGCTGCCCAGCAGCAGCGACTCTGATGACCGAGATGGGGAAGATTGCATTGCCGGAAGCCCCTGTTGGTTAATGCGGTGAGAAATCCAACAGACAACGTACCACTAAGTGCTCCAGCCCCCATCCTTGCTCTGGACAATCGCCGCAGCAGATATGCTCGACGATGCTGCCAACCGTCAATTTCTCCGAGCCATTCTTTCTACTGTGTGCCAGAACGAGGACTCGCATGGTCGTACAATTCTCAGCCAAGATCAGCTTGGCTGATGTGCCCCATCAGTAATGCAACCATTTTACGCATCCTGATATGTCTGAGACCCCAACGTGCGACCAGGATGCCCCTGGATGCGAAGCGCCGATCAGCCACCCCGACTTACTGTAGAATCCATACCTTGTCGAGCGTATGGACAAGCCCCGGGTGTGCCAACGTCGGGTATTGTCTACGGGGTACATCAGAGCTGCTCAAAGGGTTCCATCAGAGATCCCTGGCACTGCATGGACGCCATGCCACGAGACCGGGCCGAGCATGTTTTCAAGCAGAGTCGTTGCTTTCTTGTAGTACCGACCAGCCACTTCACGCGCATCGGAAACTCCATCACACGCTTGGCTCCTGATTTCATGAAGCTATTGCTTGGTAATGGAATCCTGTCGCGTATGCAGGCGCAGTGTGGTTACGCTCCGTGTCTGGCATCCGACAAGTTGCATCGCAGATGCGATATCGCGTGACGTTCCTCATGCAGTCATCTGAGACGCAATATTCGCTGTATACCAACCCCGCTCTGTATAATGGGACTTCAGATGCCTCGTGGCACTTGTCTTTATTGACAATGATACTTGTCAGGAACCATCGAAACTGTAGGCTTTAATCTATGTTGTATGGCCGCCACGCAACTCGCGATCTCCAGAACTGTCTGCCGTCGACATTGCAGACAACAGGATTCTCCCAATACGCCCCGAGTAAGGCGATTTCTGTTGGGAGCATGTCCAAGTCTGGCAGGAATTAACATACAGTACTATTTCATCAGCCATGCCCCTACTTTCAGCTTTTCGGATGACAAGCCCGGAACCCGGTTAGCCGGCAGGGACATATCAGTGGCGCATATAACTCACCATGGCTTGTCACCCGGTTTTCAGCTCTTCTCGACAGGCATGGGACACAGTCCTGGTAGCCCTCAAGAATGTGTGAGATGGTTTCATTCGACAATGCATGAGGACATTCCTGGCGCGGCTTATACTAAGCGGCTTCATGTGAGGCACCGACACGGGTCTCGCATGAAGACCAGAATGCCCTCGGCACAGCATTGTGTGTGGCGATTGACTGACCTCATCCCGTTACTAAAGCGGCACTGCGGGGTCGTGAAGTACGCATCGGCATTCCGTCGACATGTATGGCAGCGGAACAAAACCCTCTCCCCATGGTTTCGCATAGTGTGTGCCATATGGAGTGTTTGCATTGGACTACACGCTCACATAGAACGAACGATCGGACCCGTGTCTCGATCTCATTACAATGACTGCCGAGGTCTGATCTTCCATGCGTGGAGTAGCCCGTCGACGGCGGGAAGTAACTGGTTCGTTGAGTTTCCCAGCCCAAGTTGCATCAGCTTGGACTCGCTGGGCGAGGCCGCAAGTAAGCCCATACCGAAACGGAGACAATGCCGGTGGTTGCGAGATATCTACCGCTGAAAGTCACTTTTCTGTAGGCCGCGTGCAACTTATACAGAAGGTGCTGCCGACAGCTCCAGTTGAACACCGACTTTGCTCTGGCTGTACAACGACAATCAAGTAGAGAATACACAAGACGGACAAGTGATGTCGGAATGATCCCGCCGGGCTAATACAGTACATGTATGTATCTCGGTGAGAACTGACTGCCGCGTATTTGGTTCTGGATGTTGCAAACCACCAAGTGGCAGAGACACCAGTCTCACGGCCGAGCCGAGGTCGGAATCCTCCCAGGCAAAGAGCTATTCTCCTTGCAAATGCGCGGTCGTTGGGCGTCCAGGCGAGGCCCTTCGGTCAAGATATATGGTCCGGAGGCAGTCATATACGATGGTCACAGAGCAATCTACACCGTTTGCCTGAGATCTTTTCGCCATCTTGGAAGCGATCATGATTTGGCGCCATGCACGCGAATTCTATGCCCCTCGAGTCGGTCCCTAGAAATCATTATCAGGATGGACACACCTGTGTAGCTCAATGCGGATGAGCGCAATTCAGTCCATGGGCATTGCTGGTGGAGGCTTGCTGCTGCGTGTCTCGCCTCTCTGTCCAAGGCCACCCACACTCATACTCATGCTGAGTGGTACTTGAGTGTCAGTGTGAGGGAAACCTTGGAAGGTTGGGATGACAATGTCCCGGTTTCACAATTGTGGACCGTGGGACGTTACCCACCCACCACCAGTGGGACGATGCTGCCAGGAAATCTGTGCCTGTCAACGGGCATTCCGCCCTTGCCTTCGTTTCAGATGTCATCCGTAATTACGCAGTTAGTGATATCGCGGTTTGCCGTCATCGTTCCTGGTGCAACGGGAAATGATTTGTCCGGCAGGGTGAGGCTCCATCTGGCTCACAGCTAATTCTTGTTCAGGGTCAAATATGGTGTTCATTGGGGTCATTCTGAGCTTGAGAACAAGCCCCCCATCTCCCCCCAGTGCAGATCAACAAACACAGTTCCGCTTCGAATGGTACAGCACGACTGCGGCACAGCAGATTAGGCGGAGCACCAATGAGACTCTGGCCGTGGTGGCCGGCGACGGGATGCGATGCTACGCTGGGAGACAGCCTAGGAAACAGCCGAGGACAGCTGAAACAAACGTCGTACTGCAACTGTACATAAGTGTGTGTGTGTGCCACTGCTGCTTCTAGAGCACAACCGTTTTTGTGCATGGGTCACTCGTTGCGTCAAGTCGTCGCCCTGGGTCTCAACTCGACCTGAAAGGGAACCAGCCACGTTGCCCAAGCTGTTTCACGGCCACGCGGCGGCGGCGGCGGCGGGACACCAGCAGCACACCAAAAAAAAAACCCAAGAGAAAAACCCTGGTTGACAGCTGTCGGGCGACGGGTGAAACACGAAAGCCCCCGGGGCCGCCTCGTGCAGGAGAGGTGCGAGCCTCGACATCTTCGGCCGGTGCTGGTGCTGCGCTGCGATGCACGGCGTCCGCGTCGGCGCAGCGCGCACAGTTTCTTAGTGAGTTTCAGGTCTCTTGGGGAGGCAGACTGGTCACACCGGCTCCACCCAGGCAGGCGGCACTTCTGCACCAGCTTTGGTCTCTCTTGTTAGCCTGCTGCGCTCGGCTGTGCTTTTTCTTTGTATGTACATCTTTTGTCACTTTAGACAAACGGCACAGTTGCATGCATGTCGTCACCGTCGCAGCACGTTGGGTGTTTTCTTCTTCGCCTAGCAACAGGCTAGTCAGTCACTGCACATTAGCGTAGTTGGGACACTTTGTTGGCACACAAGAAGCGGTCTGCAGCCTCACCACCACTTCACACAAGTCCGTGCTCGCCTACAGCCGGCCGTGTGTCCTGCGTTCGAGAGAGAGAGCGCGACCTGGCTCCCACTACCTACCACCACCGTCGGTCGGTCCCTGTTTTCGACACACAAAACCAGAGGCAGAGAGATAGAGAGAGGCACGAGAGTTGGCCCAGGGCATGTTCCCCGTGCGCGCGCCTGCATGAAGTGACGATCAGTCGCTACCTCTATGTGACTGACTTGAGAAATGTGCACCACAGATGACTCGATTAGTATCTCTTCCTGCCCATGTACGCCATCTCTGTCAATCTCGGCAGTTGAGGTAGATTGAATTACCCGCTGCAGCCCAGGCTACTGTCGTAATTAAAGTCCGGTGCTACACGAGATCCTATATTACTTCCGAGTCTAAACACCCGAAGAGGTTATGGTTCGGCATGGGTAGCGTACCTAACTTATCTTGACGTGCCATGCTTGAGGGATCATGGTTAATGACTAAGCACGGACCTCCTAACCCAGGCCCTTCCATGGCGGCGGGGGTGGGACCTGACAACTGCGTGTGATCCACGAAACGCGCAAACGAATCGTCATCCAATCCCCGCACCACAAAGCTCGAATATCCAAATCTGCTGCCCATCTTGCCCCCGAGTGTGCATCGTCGTAGCAGCAGCAGCACGCCCCTTGGGAAGGAAATATACGCGACAATGGCTCCCCAGGCAATCATTGCCCCGTCGATTCTGTCGGCCGACTTTGCCGACCTCGGCGCCGACTGCGCCAGGACCATGGAGCAGGGCGCAGACTGGCTGCACGTAGACATCATGTGAGCCGCCTCCTCCTCCTCACCCCTGGGTGCCATTGGTCCTCGCAGTAGCTATTGGAGACATCAAGCTCCTGTCAAAGCGGTGGGAGGCTCCGAATCGAATACTCTCGCTCCTTTCCTGCTGTCGTGTCTTAAAAAAGACAAGAATGTTGAGTATGTGACTGACATATCAAGTCTCATAGGGATGGACACTTCGTCCCCAACCTGACTTTTGGTCCCCCCGTGGTGGCCAAGATCCGGAAACATGTCGCCCAGCCCAAGCCTGCCGAAAAGTACGGCCGGGGCACATTTGACTGCCACATGATGATTGCAGAGGTACGTGCGCTGCTCGCCTCCCTTCGCGGGCCAGGCAAAGGCCACACACAATGAGGATCTCACACACACACACAAATGCTAACCCAACGACCTCACCTCGAACACCCCTCACAGCCCAAGAAGTGGGTCAAGGAGTTTAAAAATGCCGGCTGCGATCTGTACTGCTTCCACTACGAGGCTGCGTTCTCGAGCGCGGCCGAGAGCCCCGAGGGCAAGTCGGACGCCAAGACAAACCCGCGTGAGCTGATCCGGTATATCCACGACCAGGGCCTGCTGGCGGGCGTCGCCATCAAGCCCATGACGGGGCCCGAGGTGTTGTATGAACTTCTCGACAGCGCGGACGAGAAGGAGAGGCCTGATGTAAGTGTACTTTGCTATCTCTGCCGCGCCAAGGAAAGAAAGGGGTGGCCAGGTCGCAAAGAACGGAAAGAAGATCAATCTCCCGAGAAGAAGCCAGCTGACGCTCATCGCGATCCCTCTCGTATCAGATGGTCCTAGTCATGACAGTCGAGCCGGGCTTTGGCGGACAAAAGTTTATGGCTTCGGAGCTGCCCAAGGTGCAGGAGCTGCGCAAGCGGTACCCCGAACTCAACATCGAGGTTGACGGCGGTCTCGGACCAGGCACCATCGACCAGGCTGCCGATGCAGGTGCCAATGTCATTGTGGCTGGCAGCGCAGTGTTTGGAGCGAAGGACCCGTCCGAGGTGATCACCTTACTCAGGGATACGGTTAATAAGCGGAGCACGGACAAGGCCAAGGTGTAGACTAGCTCCAGCTGCACAGCCAAAATGACTAGCCAAGCAAACTGTCACTGCTCTTGTGACTTATGGCGGTAAGGCTAGAAAACCGTTGTGTCTGCCAAGGTATGTATCCAGACCAGAAGTCCAACCCTGCTCTGGTGATCAGGCGCATTAATGGGGCCGATGTGATGGCGCGATGGTCTATTACCAGAGCCAACCCAGCATGATGAGGATCGACAAAGCTCTTGTAATCGCGCCTAGTCCTATCGTGGAGCCGGGGCCCAGGGTTGCGGCACCAGCGCCAGTTATCTCTGGCGTCGCTCCGGAGTCATAGCGTACAATGGGACCTAGCACCACGCGACAATGCAGCTTCTAGTTCCAAACTGATAGTCACGTCCGTGGGTTAGCGCCGGCGTGCGAAACTCTATCCATTCCAAGCGCGAAAAGAAGTGCCGATAGCTCAGGAGCTCCAAGAGGGACTTCAGGAGTGGAACTCTGGTGCCTTGCGGTGCTTCGTGTTTCATGGCAAGAGTCAAAAGTCGTTCAAGTCGTTGCTTGGCAGTGGGGGATAGCGCGTCGCCCTTTTGTTAGTCTGTTTTGAAGCCGCACGGGGGAGTGGAGGCTTCCAGCCCAAATCACTCTTCAGACGACAGAAGGGGCATCGCCGGCAATGCGGGCCTGGCTCCTCGCCAGAATGCTTCTGGAAGGAAATGATCTAATTAGGTGGCTTACTGCCCAACCTCGTTCTGGAGTAGCGGCGTTGCCCGCCGCCAGACTCGGAGGACGGACAAGAAGCGCAAAGCCCATTCCGGAGATCCTGGCAGCCGCCGTCATTTCTCGGATTTTTTGGCCAACAAATACTCGGATCGAGCCTAGCCGCCGTTTTGACCGCTGCAGAATGTCGGAAAAGTCATGGCAGAGTTGCTTTTGCGAAATGAGTCCGCCGCGGCAGATGAGCGCGGCATGATTTGGCGCCGCCGGTCTCAGAATTTGTGCACCGTTGCCAGCCACAACACGAATTCGCGTCTTGGCTCGAGGACGTGTCCCAGAGGCTGGAGGCTTAGGGGCGAGATGGGTTGTCGCATCGGCATGGCTGTCGCGACCGAACAAGCAACTTTGACGACAAAGGAGGGGCTTGCGCCACGCGTCATCTCAAAGCCGATCCATACTGCTCGTGTTTGAGCGTGCGCTCGCATCTCCTGTGCGTGAGTTCACCTGACACACGTCAAGCTGTCAAGGCACACGCTAACGGACCACCCAAAGCGGTAGGAGTGGAGGGCGAAACTGGACTATCTGTGTTGCTTCCGTCTCGATTGAGGGGCAGCCTTTACTTGAATGGACGCCACGCCGGGTCAGCGCACAGCTTCCTGTGCGCTGTGAGCGTGCGGCGGCCGCTAGGCCGTCTCCGGGGATAAACTGCTGATGGCGTACACGTCTTCGCAATAATCTGCCGCTAGCGGCGTGCTCAGGGCACATGGAGGCTGATTGCTCGAGCGCGCAGCATGTTCCGCCTGGAGTTGTGTTGGCTTTGCGAACCGAACAGATTGTAACTGATTGTAACTGCGTCGAGACTCGGCAGGGTTTTCCCGGCCCAGTTGTTCCTTTTTCCGGTAACGTACCAATATCCTTTTCCCGTAAGTGAAGACCCCTCGGAGGCTGCCGTTCAATGCAACTTGGTCAGGCATTAGTCACATCCCGAAACCCCAAGTCGTGCTCGGTTGGCAGCCCTATGTGAACTTCATGGCGGCGCGGTCCGGGGCTTGCTGGGGTTCACCAGTCTGAGGTTCATGTTTGCGCACTGTACAGCCTGGTGCCTCCAAAGGATCAGCCAAGGGACAACGCTCAAGGATCCCTTGCCGCATCCCACGTTGTTGCTGACCGAAGCAGAGGCCCGAATTCATGTCCAGATCGCCAATTTCCTTCTGCAGGTGCCATATCTTGTTCTGGAAAGGATTGCCCAACCTGGCTTCAGCCGACAAGCAGGCTGATATACAATGGTCGGCTTCTACGGTCATTGCTGTGGCATTGGTCATCGTCACTCTCCCCAGGGGGGCACGCGCCAGGTCATGGTGGTGGAGATGGACCTATGGAGGAAAGTCTACCAGAAGTGTAAGTGCCGAGAGAAGTTGTGCATTGGAACGCCGTTGTTGCCTTCATTGTCCACCTTGGAGGTCCACGCATGGGGCTAACGGCTCAAACTCCGTCGAGATCGTACAAACAGTCTGGCTGCCCACAGGGATGAGCCCACAAGCCGACTCAGGTCCATCTTACGGATGCTGCCGACCAAGTAAGGTGGACATCCTCGCGCAGCGTGCGTGTCGTACTTGATGAGACGCGTCTCCGGGGCCGAAGAGCAGATATGCGTAAAGACCAGGCCCAGCATCCAGCCTGGCATAGGCTACAACTGCAATCCGCGTCTCCACTGTGGAGTCGCCTGCGAAGAACTTACAAGCATCAATATTGCCTTGCACACAGTGTCGTCTTGGCGATTTCGACTCTGCAAGGCTCGCGTTGTCGGGTCAGTCGCAGCCCGACACCTCTGGTGCAAGGTGCGCTGTGCTGCGTAGCAAGTCCCCAGAAACCTCCTTCGGAGACCGGTTGATCCCCACCTGCCAGTCCTGGTACCATGAGTAGACGATCTCGGGAGGTTTTTTCAAACCAACTCGGGATCATTGCCTAGAGAGCAGGCTCATCATCAGCCTGTGGGTAGCAATATGGTGCACCAGACAGTAGGAACTGCCACGGACTCTCCAGACCATACCACGATTGAATACACATGTCGATCCAGCTCTGGGCGTCAGCAGCTCCTGCATAGTGCATGGCACGATCGATAAATTTTCGATCCCTGATCAGAGCGTTCCAGGGTCAGCATGCTAAGAGCCCGAAGAAGCCCTCCTTGCGCAGCCACCAAGTCGTGTTCCGATTCCGCATGTCATCAGAATTGCCGTCACTAGACTGACAGGTTTGCTAGCCCTCCTCGCCAGGTCACCACCATGCTTTTGACAGCTGCTCGGCCAGTCAGCCCAGGCATGGGGGTTGGGATGTGAGCATGGCGCTTCACAACTGTTTCCACCAGCCAGCGAGTGTCTCGAGTCCTCGAGCCAGGCATGCTAAGACGTTTCGAAAGAAGGTTCCCTCGCCCACGATTTGTCTTGTCAAGCCTTTCTGGTTGCTGATCCTCCAGTCGAAGTGGTTCTGCCAAGGGCTTGGAGAGCTAGGGCTGCTGATGCGAAGCATGGTAGAGCGATGGCCCAGAGCCAGCACAGGCAGCCGGCAACAGGGCCTAGCCTAGCCATGTGTCTTGGTGCGCTCGTCTTCGGACAGCACTCTCGCATGATCTCAAGAAGAAGGGACTGAGCGAGCGACCCATGCCATGATTGTGGGGTCCCGTCTGCAGTCAGCACTTGTGGCGTACATAGCATACATTGTACCTGACATCAAAGTTCGGCTACACAATCCACGGCGCTGGCTGAGGGCCGTCAGGGCCAGCCGCTGTGCTGGAAGGCTTCCAGGCGGTATGTTCGGCTTGGCTCGGTCGTCACACGAGGAGGCGCCTCTGCGAACCTTCAACCATCCTCTTGGGCGATTCGGTGCATGGCAGGTGAGGGCTGTGAGGATCTTGTGGGAGGAGCAAGATGACGCCACGCGTGTTGGTCGGTCTGCTCGCGTTGGCTGGCACACGAGCACCCGGCTTGCGGTGCAGTGATGGACGAGGAAGGTTGGTTGGTTGGCAGCGGCTCAAGAGGGCAGCTGGACGTGGGTGCAGGCTGTTGGAGAGCCGCAGGCGTCAACCTTTTGGAAGGTGTGGGCAGCCAACTGGAGAGCAGATGCCCTAGGCCGAGAGCCTTTAGGTCGCCCGTGCCTGCAGCAGTGGGGCGCCTCGTCTCCATTGATTGACCTCGGCGCCCCTGCCCAGAAAGAGCAAGAATCTCGTCGCCGCTGGAAAGGGCCCTGCAGGGGACGCCGCCGAGGACGCCTCAACGCATACCCACCCACACGCCCCGGTCAAATCTCACCACCACCCAACTTACGGAGCACTGTCGTCCTCGACCCCGACGATGTCGACCCCTGTGCTTGCCCGACTCCGCCGCTTCGCCCTCCCCCCCTGCCCGCTGGTCACGGTCCCCACCGGCGCACCAACACCACCAGAGGACTCGCCCCTCGACCCAAGCGGCCTTGTCAATGCTGCCCTCGCCAAAGAGGCCGAGCGCGCAACGCAGCCCCTGTCCCGCGCCCGATGCTGGCCGGGATGCCCTCGCTCGCACAAACCCATGCCATGCTGTGATCGTTCTGGGGCGGGGGCAAGGGGGCAACCCTGCCCAGTCGCCCCCGCCCCGGTCAGCAGCACAGAAGCGCGCCGGAACGCACAAAGAACCCTCAGCGCTGGCGGGCAAATTCTCTTTGTCCCAGCAGCCGGCCATCGGGCGGACGTGCTGCCCATGCTGCGATGCCATGCGACTGAGGGCCGGGCGCGGGTCCCAAGTGCGTCGACTCCACTCCCCCCATCCTGGCCCCGACTGCCTCTTCTGGTGCAGACCCTCACGCCAGGTTACTTATGCCAGCACCTCCCACGTCGTCGGGTCTCCGAGCTCGAGCGTCCTTCCTTTCCGTGACTCTTGTGTTTCGACTCGATCATCTCCCAGACTGGGAAGCACGCCCCGAGCTCTGTATCGTGACGTAGCCTTTTGACAACTCCGGGCAACCTCACCACCACGAACCCAATATCGATATGCTGCTGGTCCACTGCCATACCTAGAGAGAGCCGCCATACATCCACGATTAGGTTCCTGGCTCGCCGGACCTGCTGAATACGACCAGTTGAGCCCACGCGGCATCCCGTTGCGCACGACGACGCCCAACGGCTCTTCGTTTTACACGCCGTTGTTCATTCTTTTCCGACCTTCATTAGTCCCAGTTGCGGGACAGCTGACGGCCAAGACCGCACGCCCCTGATACTTAATCCAGTGTCAGAGACACAACCTAATTAATACTTTCTACCCACGTTTCGCACACAATGTCTACGAATATCACACAAAACCTCCACGGGCTCTGCCCCAAGCCTTTCTACCAGTCGAGCAACTTCCCGACTGTTGGCGGACGTAAGTGCCTCATCTTCATCTCCCCCGAACTCGCTCGCGTTCCAAAATGGCTGACCACAGTCTAGACATTGATGGCCGGCTGTGCACAAAGCTTTCGGCAACAGTCAGTTGCTGTCTGCCATGTCCAATGACGGACTGGACATATCCAGACAGCTTCAACAGCATGTCCACTGTGGCCAACTGGATCACCGTTGTCTCGATGATCTGCTGTGCCTTTTTGCTCCTTTCGTGGACTTTCCTACCGGTCGAGAAGACGCACAGACACTATCTGAGCATCTGCCTGACGCTTGGTATCTGCCTTATGAACGTGAGTGCTAGATTTCTTCACTCGAAAGTATAGCCAAAAGCTGATAATCCCCCAACAGATGGGCTTCATCATCCCGCTTGCTGCCCAGCCTGACGAATGTTTCAACGAAATCACTCCGCACAGCATGGAGACGAGCGCTGTGTGCGCCACGTCAGGCTCTTTCCTCCTGGCAGGAGGGTGGGCAGGCGTCATCTGGATTTTTCTCCGCGCCCTCTCCCTGCATCTGCAGATCTGCTGGCAAGTAGTGGTGGGACGGACGTACATGTGGTTTTCCCAGGCCCTGGGCTGGGGGGTTCCCATCATCGGTCTCGTCCTTCTACTTGTCTTCAGCGGTGTCTCGTTCCGATTCGGTGCCACCTGCCACATCAACCACCAGAACAGCTTGGCTGATTTCTGGATTCCACTTCTGGTTTTCGCGGGCTTGACCGTCGTCATTCAGTTCGCCACCTTTGGATACTGCATCAAGGTCTATCTCGCGTCTCTGTCTGACAACGCCGCCTCTACGGAGAACTCGAACCTGCCCTCATACACCAACAGCATCCGCACCATGTCGCCAAAGCAGGCCTACCGTCGTGTCCGCCGCGTTGTGCAACTCCAGTGGCGTGGAATCGTCATCGTGCTCATCATTCTTGCTGATGTCGTCTTCTTCTCGATCGTCTTTGTTTTTGCCGACAACACTGTCCAACAGATCAAGGATGACCCCACGTTGTCCCTGCCCTGGGTCCGCTGCCTCCTCGCCTCTGGCGGCGACAAGACGAAGTGCTTGGATCTCGCAAAGGACCTCACCATTAGCCTACCGACCGTTATTGCTGTCCTGATCCTGCTAGGAGTAAGTTTACGCCAGATCCCATTGACTCTGCGCAGAGCAACCTCAAATACTGACATGGATTTGCAGATGAATGGTCTCTGGCTCATGGTGTTGCTCGGCCGCTGGTCCATGTTTACCGGCTGGGTCGAATTGTTCCAGTCGTGCGGTGGTCGTCGTAAGAAGGAGTTTGTGTCGGCCGACGCCCGCGTCGAGGCCTACAAAGAACCACGGTCATATGAAATGTTGTCTCGCGACTCCGGAAAGTCGGAATTCGTGCTGACGCCGCTTAGCGCTGCCAAATCACCCACGAGCCCCCGCGATGGGCGCCGCACCCCTGATTACTTCGGCGGAGCGGCACGATATAAGAACGACGATGGCTCCTTTGGCCCAACCGCCGCCTACCAACCACACACGAGATCTTTCTCGTCGCCGAAGCCGCCGCAGCAAGTGTCCTGGGACAACAAGCCCCAGTACTACTCACGATCGCCCCCGGAGGGATACGAAGGAATGAACCCACTGGGGATGAACAGGATATAAGTGGGGATTGCTTGGACAGTAGAGCGGGAAATATCGCAGAGCATGTTTGCCTTTTTGAAAATTGAAAAGCGTGTGGCAATCGACCATTTCTCTCTTTGTTTATAGATACGTTCGAACACCAAAAAAATTGGGAAAACTACCACCACCACAGATCCGACAGGCGCGTGACTAGGTTAGACCTTGTGATGGAAGAGCGTATCGCATACTCCCTTCGTACCCTTGGTGAGTTAGGCCTGTTCACCAAGCAACCAGTTGGTTTTCAATAGTCTGGCGAGACAATCAATCACAGTGTTGTGTCGGCGACGGTACTGCCGAGTGCCTACCTGAGTAAGTCCCTTGGCCGGCCATTGGAGTGACATGCAGAGGACTCTATTCATTCCAATGCAGACTTCTTTGTGGTTTGCAAGCGCGAAAGGCTCGCTCTCTACATGGACTACCTCTAATATGGTGTCTTACTGTGCGTGTAGTCTACAGATGGAGTGGCAAACCGGCTCGTCTTTCTGTGACACGTAATAAAAACAACAATAATAATAAACGCAGAAGGCGGAGCCCTCGCTGCTGGACTTCGGCGAAGCCCGAATGTCACGATACACAGTAGTCCTGCCCCTCCCTACCTCGCCAGCTGTGCGACACAGGACACTACAAGAACCCCAAGACTGTATCGGATGCTGGGTTATTTTTTTTTTTGTGTCACGGGTGCAGCATGCGAGTCAGCCTCTCCGTGTAGCTTGTTGGAGACAGGGTCGCCGTCGTGCTTCTGCTTTTCTAGCGTGCGTCGACGTGAGATGTGGTTTCTCGGTCAGAGTGACAGTAATGCGGCACAGCCAGGGGATTTCTAGTGAGCTGCGAGTCCCTTGTTGCTCAGTCGAGGGCAAACAGTGAGTGATGCCTCGTTGCAGAGACTGAAAGACGGAGGCTGACTTCTTCCCAACGGAATGGGGACAAGTAGGATATGGCGCTAGACTGTGCTGGGCCACCTGCAAGGACAGGAAGGACGTCATGCACTCACTCTTGAGCGGACTCTAAGCGGTGCGTGGCATTTCCCCAAGGCGACCGCTGGACGGCTCCCCCCCGCCCGCTGCCGCGAACCCACCCAGGCGCTGACTTGAGGCTTGTCCCGCGACACCCGCCTCGGGAAACCAACCAGAGCAGGAGGCCCAGCAAGGCCCGCCGCACGAGCCTCACTCGCAGCGTCAGCGGCTCACCATCCTGCGACTGCTGCGGATTCTCGTCTCAGGCCTCCTCCTCGTCCTCCTCCCAACTCGTATTGTGTGCACTTTGAGAGCCATGCTTGCCTAGAGGGCAATCATCTGGATGGACCTGACGACGACGATTGCGCAGACTGCTTCCTGAACGACCTCGGCTGTGCACCCTCCCTCCCCACCTCCGTCTCTCTCCGCCAGGCATCCGTCCGAATGTCGCACAACTCTGCCTCGCCAGGCCACTGCCGCTCGCCGCTGTCGGCTCTGCTCGCAGCCTCGAGAATGCTCACCCTCCTCCTCATCAGCTTCCTCCTGCTGGGCGGCTACTTCCAGTACATCCGCACGGTCGAGGCCGCCCTCAACGAGCGCTGGACGCCCGATGCCGGAGCCCGCCTCTTCAGTGAGCGCCCGCTGCCGCCTTTTATCGAAGAGTCCGCCATCACCACCTATGCGCTGCCGCTCCACACGAGCGGGCGTGACGTCGTCGACGCCACCGGCCGCCGTTTCAAGTTTGCCAGCGTCAATTGGTACGGCGCCAGCGACGAGATCTTTGTCCCCGGCGGGCTCGACGTGCAGCACCGCTCCGTCATTGCCCGGACCATCCGCCTGCTGGGCTTCAACAGCGTCCGCCTGCCCTACGCCGACGAGATGGTCATCGAGAACCCCCACGTCCTGCCGCATCTCCTCACGGCGAATCCGGACCTCGTGGGCATGCGCGCGCTCGACATCTACGCCGCCTGTGTCGAGGCCCTGACCGACGCGGGCATTGCCGTCATCATCAACAACCACATCACCACCGCGACGTGGTGCTGCGGCGCCGACCCCTGCGACTCTGGCTGGGCCAACGACCACCTCGGCCCCATCTGCCGCGTCTCCCAGTCAGAAGAGGACTGGATCCAGCATTGGGAGACGGTCATGCAGCGCTTCGTGGATAACCCGCTCGTCATCGGCGCGGACCTCCGCAACGAGGTCCGCGGGGCATGGGGCACAATGCCATGGAGCCGCTGGGCGGCTGCCGCAGAAAACTGCGGCAACCGCCTCCTGCGCATGAACAGGGACTGGCTGATCATTGTCGGCGGGACCGAGTCGAACAACGACCTCAGCGGCGTCAGGCTGCGGCCCGTGGAGCTCGACGTCAAGAACAGGGTCGTCTACTCGGCGCACATCTACGCGTGGTCCGGCTGGGGCAGCAAGGAGGGCCGCTACTCCAAGCGCAGCTACGCCTCCTTCACGCAGGCGATGCGGCACAACTGGGCCTACCTCGTCGAAGACGACGTGGCCCCCGTCTGGGTCGGCGAGTTTGGCGCCCCGAGGCACCCGGGCCTGGGAGACATCAACTACTGGGACAATCTCCTGCGCTATCTCAAGAAGCTCGACGCCGACTTTGCCTACTGGGCCATCAACCCGCGCAAGCCGCACGACAATGTCCTCGAGACATACTCCTTGGTCGAGGACGACTGGCTCACGCCGATCCTCGACTACCGCATGCGCGACATGACGGAGCTCATTGCCGGGTCGAACCGGGACGAGTGGCTAAAGGACTATAACGAGGAGCTCTAGTACCATTTCCCTGCTGCTGGGCCCTTGACGTTGGGCCGTTGGGCACATGGTCGTTGTGGCAAAAGGTGATTTGAACAGCGGTAGCTACATATATCAAAATCACCACACCTGCGGGCATTTAGCATTCGGGCATGTGACATTACCCAGACGTCTGCACGACGTAAAGTTTGGATAACAATGCATATCGAGCGCGCTCATCAGCAAAGTTTAGTAGAATACGCTTTTTTGACTCGTAACCCTTGTTTCGTCTAAAAATCATCATGGTGATAATAGCAGACGCAATGACTACACAAACGCACGATACTTCGGCCAACAGACGAAAGAAAGGGAGAGGCAGTTCTCTCCGCTTCGACCCTGCGCTGCCAGTAACAGGCTCCCGAGGATCGGTTGACGAAAGAAGGAAAAAGAAAAAGAAAAGAATAGAAAAGTCACCATGACGTCAAAAAAGGGTGCCCATGATTTGCTTTTACCATGGTACCCTACAAGACACACACACTCCGCTCCCAGTACCTCGAAAGACGCGGCATGACAAGGAGGCCCCGTATCACATACGTATGAATTTGTCGCAAGCGAATGCTGTTTTTTTGGAGCATCAAGTAAACGGGGGTTGGCCATATTTCTCCCCCCAAGGGCAGAGAACTGACCAGTCATCAGTGTCCGCTCGCTGCTAGCTAGCTCTAGAACCCTTCTCACCCCCCCCCCCTTCCCCCAGCTGGGCGGATTCTTTTATGTTTTAACGTTTACGGCATTTCAGCTCTCGTGGCCAAGTTCACGCAACCCACGCAGATAAAAGAAAACTCTCTGTCGAGAACCAATTAGGGATCGCTGCCCCGACTGTTCGACAAAGTTTCCCGCCTGCACTAGATGGGATCGGGATCGATTCGTATATGTTCGCCCCGGCTCGTACGGAACGAAGGCCTTGGCAGTCGATCGAAGGTGTGTGTGAGGTAGAGCGGCAACTCCACTTTGGGGGGGAGGAGGAGGGAGGCGCCAAACTGCGGAGGACAGTTGAGCTTTCGTAGCTCGAAGCCACTGGCACATCACCTAATGCGGGGAAAAGAAAGGGATTATTATATCCCCCCATTAGATGCCTGGAAGCCCTTTCGTTGTTTTTGCTAGAGTTTGCACCGCTCCAAAAACAAACAAAGCTTCAATTCTCCTCGAGAAAGCCCGCCTTTTGAAAACGCCGTGATCTCGTTCACTACCATCTTGCGGGCCTTTCACCAAACGAACAGCTTAGCAACCAAATCTGTATAAGTTGACTGCTCTTCGAGAGCGGGCTTATGTACGCGCGCCATGGCCCAGCAGTGCAGCACAGTGACCGTGTTGGATGGAGAAGCGCGGGACTATCTTCCCATTGAGAACTATGGCATGATCGGCAACATGCGGACATGTGCGCTCGTCAGCATGGATGGGAGTATTGGTATGTCTTCCAAGCTACCAGGGCCGGCCGGCCGGCTGTTTGAAGAGCAGATCGTATGCTGATGATCCCGGGCAACTCCGCCCGGCCTACAGACTTTATGTGTTGGTGAGTGCTGGCCTGCCCTGTCATGGCATCCTCGGGTCTATCAGCGGAGAACTGATCAGGAGAGACGACGGGGCGCTTGCCCGACTTGACAATTGTCCAGGCCATACTTTGACTCGCCATCCATCTTCTGCCGGCTCCTCGACAAGCACAAAGGCGGCTTCTTCAGCCTCTCCCCTTCCCCCTCGCTGACGTGCAACACGAAGCAGCAGTACCTGCCGTCCTCGGCGATCCTGCAGACGCGCTACATCCACGAGGACGGCGTGGTCGACGTGGTCGACTTCTTCCCCCGTCCCAAGAACACCACTATCCTGTCTTCCGGGACGACCAGCCACTATGCGTACCGCGAGGCTCAAAATGTGCCCGGGGAGCTCAAGAAGTGGCTCGTCCGCAGAGTCGAGTGCATTCGCGGAAGCATGTCGCTAGGTTTGTGTCGTCTTGTGTTTCTTCATGCAAAACCCCCTGATGCGCTACTCCAAGGGAAAGGCAGCATCTGACTGAGCTTGGTTGTATAGAGATTGAGATCTTCCCGGCCTTTGATTATGCCCGAGAGGGGCATAAGACTACCATCCTTGCACCTGAGCGCCGTGCGGACGACGGCATCAGCAAGACCGTCACGTTTCATGGCAAGACCGAGAGGCTCCAGCTCGATGTGGTCATCTGCGGTGCCAAGACGCCGTCCTCGTCCTCGCCCGTCATCTCCTTCAAGAAGGAGCTGCGCAAGGGCATGACGGGCGAGGGCGTGCACGCGACGGTCGATTTGCAGGAAGGCGAGCACGTGTCCTTCATCCTCCGCGAGGACCTGGAGCAGCATGTTGCGGCAGTCATCACCCCGGAGATTGTCGACTCCGAGCAACATTCCACGCAGGCGTTTTGGTTCAAGTGGCTCTCCAAGAGCAAGTACCGAGGTGGATGGCGGGAGGTGGTCTCAAGGAGCCTTCTCATACTCAAAATGCTGACTTTTGAGCCCACTGGGGCCATTGTCGCGGCTCCTACCTTCTCGATCCCGGAAGCAATTGGCGGTCCCCGGTAAGCACGGCCTCATTGAGCTCACTGACTGTTGTATGGCGAGGATTTTTGAGTTGCTAAACCCCAACATCACTCAGTAACTGGGACTATCGATTTTCCTGGGTGCGTGACTCGAGCTTCACCATCTATATCCTGCTCCGCATGGGGTTCAGTGACGAGGCAGACGCGTACATGGCATTCATTGATGAGCGCCTGCGAAAGACGGTCACGGCAAACAGCGCCCTGCCGATCATGTTTACCATTCATGGCGAGACGGACATCCCCGAGCTTGAACTCGACCACTTGGAGGGCTACAAAGGCAGCAAGCCAGTCCGGATCGGAAACGGAGCAGCATTCCACCAGCAGTTTGATGTATATGGCGAGCTCATGGTTCGTACCTGGACACACTTTGTATCCTTGCTTTCCGTCATGTCAGCTAATGCCCGACTGTTCCAAGGACGGCATATATTTGTACAACAAGTACGGCAAGCCCGTCTCTTGGGATACCTGGACTCTGGTTCGCAAAATGCTCGGTACGTTGGTATGCAAGTTGATAAGCAAAGCCGAGCTAATTGTTGTGTCTGCAGATTATGTCCTCACAATTGTGAACGGTAACCATTTTAGAACTCACACCATTCGCGCGCATGCTAGCACGACACTAACAGTGAGCAGAGCCCGACATGTCGATCTGGGAGGTTCGAAACCATAAGCAGAATTTCGTCTATTCGAAAGTCATGCTTTGGGTGGCATTTGATCGTGGTCTGCGACTGGCCGACAAGAGGTGCTTACCGTGCCCGAACCGTGCTCGCTGGACGGAGGCGCGGGATACGCTCTACGAGGAGGTGATGGAGAAAGGGAAGCGTCTTCCCATAGGAGAGCCCTCTCTACTTGATACTAACGACAGACCTTGCAGGCTATAATCAAGAGCTGGGCTGCTTCGTGCAGAGCTACGAGAACAACACGATGCTGGACTCTTCGATTCTCATTGCGCCTCTTGTCTTCTTCATCGCACCGAACGACCCGCGGTTTACCAAGACGGTCGATCGTATCCTGCTGCCGGTCGACAAGGGTGGTCTGACTAGTGCGGGCCTCGTTTATCGCTATGATACGGCGGCTTCGGACGATGGTAAGCCCCCCACTTATGCTCTCTACATTAATTCTTCGAAATGCTGAGGGAAGAGTAGGCGTCGGTGGAGTCGAAGGTGCCTTCAGCATGTGCACGTTCTGGCTTGTGGAGGCATTGACCCGCGCGAGCAGCTACGACTCGAAATACTTTGTCAAGGCCGTCAACCTCTTTGAGAACATGCTCTCGTTCTCAAACCACCTGTACATGTTCTCTGAAGAGATTGCTAGGAGCGGACAGCAGCTGGGTAACACTCCGCAGGCATTCAGCCATTTGGCCCTCGTCAGTGCCGCGTTCAACTTGAGCCGGGTGACGGATGGCAGCAAGAATAGCATGAAGTAGAGAAGCTGTGTATGTATGGCTTGCTTGAGAATGCCTTTTGAAATATGGTCCAGTCCATCTGTCTTCACTGTAATATCGAGCTGCGATAGCGCAGAGCTTTCTCCACCTCGCAGGGGGACTACGGTGCTGTAGGTTGTAACTTGTGTCCTGCCAGGCCATGCCATGCCAAGTCAAGTTATGCCCAGTGTCAGTTCTGTCGTGCATTCTCGAGCTCTCCTTTTCCGTGAATGAGGATTGGACAACCCCCGTGAGACGGCGGCCCCGACGGATGCCTGGTCGACAAGGACAAAAGTTGCCCCTCGTCGTTGGCGTCAGCAATGGAATCGTTGACCGTGGAGGGAGTGGGGCAGGTGAGTCTGACTACCAGGATATGGTGGGTTGTGTGCCAAAAATAGCATAGACCCCTGCTCACTGCCCTGGGCCGAGATCTCGCGGAGTGGGCCATTCTGCGGGCCAGAGAGTCGACGGCTGGTCTCGTTCTCGTCGCTGGCAGCGTGTGTTGTCTGTCAAGAGTGCATGGGAGTCAGCCAACAGCGTTCATGCGGGATTGCCAAGGAACTTCTGGCTGATGGCCGGGGGTTCTAGTCTCAACTCCAGACTGAAGCCGGCGATCCATCTTGCGACTACATACGCATGTAACCGAAGCGCCAACAGGATGAAGGTCTTGTGTGTTTGTTGGCTCGATAGCGTGCGAGTGCTCGCGCTTCTAGCAGAACCAACATGCAAGCATACGTAAGTGCGTACATAGTGTATGAATGGCCGTCACTCTGCGCGCGCGCCTGCGTGCCCCGGTCCACTTGACGGCATTGGACATACATGTTTCGGGGGGGCAGTGTCAAGGAAACGTGAGATGCACTACAACCCTCGACCAACTGACCTGAGTGTACCGCCTGTGGCAGTGCTGTAGGATTTCGAGGCGAGGCGAGGCAGGCCAGGACGGGCAATCGTCTGACAGCAGCAAATGATGGCTGGTGAGTATCGCAACGCGGCCTGTCCCGTAAAGTCGGGCCTGTCGTGAGAAGCGTGCCTTTGTCTGGCATTGACCGCATCGTGGCTGGCATCACGGAAGTCGACGGACGGGCATCCATCTGATGGAGACGCGATGTGGGAAGGAACACCCCTGCTGGGCCTGTGGGCCTGGCAGCCACGGTCTGGTGCCGCTGGAGGCATCCCTGCTGCAGTGGACTTTGTTGTGGATGCGTGCAAGTCTGTCCACGGATGCGCCCATCGCGCGGCACGGACAGCAGCACACGCCGTGAGCAGCAGAGGCGAGTCCCTTCTCTGGTGCCGGCCATCGCATCAATCATCATCATGGTTTCTGTCGTACTCCCAGAGCCAGTGTCTGCTGGATTCTGGGCTCAGGAGAGTAATGGCCCTCGTCTCCGGGCTGCCAGGGTCCCCTCCCCGCCACCAGTCCCAGCTTTCGCAGTTGTGGCTGGCTGCCCGTCCACGGCCTGCGTCACACCTGCAACGCAACCACTAGTCTAGGTAGCCTTCGGGGCTAGCGAGCGTAGCCAAGGTACCTTTAGCCAGCCATCTGACCCAGGCCAGCGCCTACCTAGGTAGCCCACAGCGTTCAGCAGTGCTAGCGGCCGCGTCACATCCAGACAGCTTCGCAGGTCCCTTTGCCTCACTCGGAACAGCCTCACAGCTCTTGTCTTGCCCCAGGCAATTCTTTCCCTTCCTGTCACACGGCTGACACATACACGCCTGCGTGTGCCTTGACGTCCCTTTCTTCCGCTGTGCATGCATGACCTCAACCAGGCTACCTTCCAGTCGAGCCGCAACCACTTCCCCTCGAGAGGCACACTTGCCCACTGATTGCGCCGTGCATCATGGCCTAGTCGCACCTCGACCCGTTCACTGGCTTCTGCTTTTGAGCTCTGGGGGGCCTCTTCTCCCGCCCAACCCTGCGACGCCGACGCCGACGACGACGACGACACTTAAGCTTGGAGTGTCCGCAACAAACCAATCAGGAAGATGCGGGAGCCCGAGCTCGCCTATGCAGACCGAAAGCTGCCCATCATGTCCGATGCAGACGGAAGGCCGTCAACAGTTGCCTTCAACAGACTGCCAGACGAGATCATCGAGCAGTAGGTCCGACTCTGAGCGGCTTCTCCTGGCTGCCGCGAGACGAGTGATTCCCATGCTGACAATCTTGTGAACAGGATCCTCCTCTTGACCGAACCGAACTCTTTCGCATCCCTAATCCTCCTCAATTCGAATTGGCGGCGAGTTTCGCAGCAGGCGCATCTTTATGCCCACCATCTTGCGCTATGCCCGGCGACGTACGGCAACAAACTTTCCCCCTCCTCGGTGACCGACGACGACCTGCCGAGGTTGCGGCGCTTGTTCTCCCAGCAAATCAAGCGGAACCTGTTCGACGCCTACGTACGGCCAAAAGTGACACACATCACGCTCATCTCGAACGCCATCAGTTCCTCGTCTGCGCCTGGTGGTGATGGCCTCCAGTTCAGCCACTCGCTTCGCGGTCACCACTTGCTCGCTTACAATTCGTCCCGGATTTATGTATTAGACGTGCAGGGGCCAAAGGTGGAAGCTAAGCGGGAGTTCAAAATCTTGCGCCGCCCTGCCGCGGTATGCATTGTCGATGACGGCAGCCTATTGGCAGTGCTGTCGACAGACATGCAGATCGAACTATATGACCTTAGCCAGACGCCGCCACGGCGCAAGCAGTCCCTCATCCTGGACCATTTGCCACGTGCGATCGCGTTGTCGCCGTGTGGGAGCGTGCTTGCTGCGGCTTATCAGGGCGGCATCGAGGTGCAATCCATTGCGCCAGGCGCCTTACCGACAGAGAGACGAGCAGTCAAGTGCGACGCCGTAGACTCACTAGCTTTCTCGTTTGACGGTACGCAGTTGCTCGGCACGACTTCGACCTCGCAGCCGCCAAACACGGTTATACTTACCGCACCGTACTACGACCCGGGAAGCCAGATGCTGGAGAGCAATGTTTCGGCAATGTGGACTACTTCAATATTGTTCCCAAATACGAGCAGGGATTGCAGCCATGCTGTCCTGCTGCAGGAGACGAGTTCCGTCGAGGCCGAGTGGTCGTTCACATATGACAGAAGTTTCGAGACATTTCGTGCGGTGCGCATCGACGACTTGCGCAACGGCACGACATACTTTCCCGGACCTGTTCCCAATGTTGATACTACTGGCGCGCTAATACCGTCAACATTACCGGCTGCGAATCTCGGCGGACAACTTGTCTCCGCCGGTTTTGAGTCCAAGGATGTTTGGGTGTATGGAGTGCCCGAAGATCTCGAGGCTGTCCCGGAGCCGGCCGCAGGCTCTGCCTCTACAGGAGGTGGTGGGCTCACCCGTGGCTTGTCGAACCGCTCTACGTCTCGCCAGCAAGAGGGCACATTGGATAGAGTACCACAGTGGCAGGTGCTCTGTGACAAGCTGCGGAACAACTTTGTCTATGGTCGCAAGGTGGTGGAGTTGGAAGGACTTGGCAGCATGAAATGGGTATCAAGGTCGCCGGGCAGTGGTCTTCTGGAACGGCTCGTTGTCTGTGCAAAGGGAGCTCAGCCGGCAAAGCCGATCACGGAGGAGGACGACATGAACGCTGTCGACGGTGGGCGCGTGACGATCATCGACTTTGACTATTCTCCGAATCACGGCAGCACGGAAGAGATCACCATAGATGTCGGAACGCCGCAGGCCGAGATCCTCGAGGAAGAGCAGCGCGACCTTGCCACGGAAGTCGCGATTGTTCGGAGGCGGACAGTAGCGCAACAGAGAGGTGGACGAGGCGGTGCCGCTGCGCGAGCCGCCATCGCTGCTCGCCACGCCAACAACAACAATCTCGTCCCACCTTTGCCAAAGCGCGAGCAGGACGAAGAAGATCCACTTCTGCCTCGGCGCATGGCGACGGCCCGCGACAGAGCACCACCCAGGGAGCAAGAGGACATTGAAGACGCCACACTCGAAGAGGTACAGGAAGCTCTTGACGCCCCTTATGGCCATGCTGACCCCCGATCCGTAACGAGCTTGCGACGAGCGGCGACTGCAGCTGCCATGAGTCGTCGCCGTGTTCCCCAGGCAGCCGCAGCTGGTCCCGTCGAGTATCGGCGAGCGGATGGCAGAAGAGAGCATCCGCATGAGAGCGATGCGGATAATTGGGTGCCACCACCTCCTCCTTATAGCAAGGACGATCCGGTGGATCTTCCTGCGTTTCTTCGGAACGCGGCCATTCCAGGTGCTGCAGTCGACGAGGACCCCGTGCAGTCGCAGCAACAATCAAGTATCCCGGCAGTGCCACCCCTACCTCGGACCGCATCAGTGGCGAGCCGCCATGATCTGCCTCGACTGCGGACGTCGCCGCCACCTACACAGCGACGCATCTCGCTTGTTGATCAATCTTACTCGATGACCTCAGTATCCGCTGTCACGACTGCTGCCAGCACCCATAGCTCGAGTGGTAGCGGACCGGCCGATGTACCGCGGCATCTACCCGTGCTCCGTACTAGTCAGATCCTCACCTCTCGTGATGGCGAGGAGGACTTGTATGATGTGTCTCCCCCGGGATCTCCCCAAATGGCTGCAGTTGGCATTTCGCCGCAAACCACTGGTCATACTTCAGGGTCGCAGCCCCTCACCTCTATCAGCACAAACAGCACTTCGCAGGGCAATCATAATCTGCCGCAACAAATCCCTACGCTTCCCGGGGCCAGGGAGCCGGAACCTGAGGCACAAGCCAGTCCTGCTTCGCGATTCCGTCGGCTTTCGAATAGCCTTACTTGGCCGCGAGTTCCTCGGTCCTCTCAGTCACAGGCTACTTCCTTGACCCCCACACCGAAAGGCTATCCATATTCTGCGCCTCCGCGTACATTGGATGAGGAAGAATCGCTCCGATCAGCACCGCCGCCACTGCCACGACCTGACCAGATGTTTAGCCTACATAACCGGCAGAACAGTATGCCCTCACGTCGAGCTTCGGGAATGGTTCAAGGCCCAGTAACGGAGTCGACGAACAGCCAGATTCACAGTGATCAGCTGGACCGTCAGCTACCAATGCTTTCTGCCTTGAGCATATCGCAACAGGCATCAACAGTGCCCGATCAGCCACTTATCATCAGCACGCCACAAGGGATATCTGGTGCCTTTGACACTCCGGACTCACAGAGCTCAGGACGGCAGCGGCCACAAGAAGGCGACACCAGAATCATTCACGCGCCAATAGCCCGGCATCCACGCCCGATCCCTGGATCCCTCACGCGCGAATCGACAGCTGAGCGGCTCGAAACCATCTACAGCCCCCGGACTATGCAGGAGTCTGGTACGACAGGAACGCAGCCCCTGACCGCCTCATCTTTGCGGTACCACACGAGTATGACACGCCGCGAAAGCCGCGCCCGGCGGAGCGCAGCGAGGAACATGCAGGATGCCAAGGGTCGGGGATGGCGCAGCGTCAGCAGCGTCGGCGGCGGCAAGAAGAAGAAGGGCAAGTCGCGCAAGAACAACCGCGGTGGGGGCGCCGATGACGCCGCCAGCAACGGGGGCTGGACGGACGTCACGTGGGCGTCCAAAGCGCCTCGCAAAGGCGGCCCTGGTGGAAAATCAAAGAAGTGCATCGTTATGTGATGAGAGGCGAATCACGGCCCTGGATGATGGGCGACGACAGATCTGATGTTTGGTTGTATGTGTGGGAGTGCTCACTTGACTAAGCGAGCCTTTGAAGAGTCTCGGAGTGGAATTTTGCGATCACGTTTACTGGACTGAATGACATACATATAGCATGCTTGGGCGCGTCGCATCTGGCGGGGGACACATAGTGTCATGTTTTCCTTTGCTTTTTCCTTTTGTGGCCATTCGAGAGGCGAGAGAGAGTATATCATAGTAGCCATGTCTTATACCCCAATACACGATGAACGATGATGATGTCAAGTCCCTAGGATCTTGCTGCTTTGACGCGTTTTGGCATATTCAAGATGGCATATTCAAAATGAAGATGAGCGATCGTGCAGGGGGGGTGTGATGTGCAGCATAAAAGTCATAAGGTATCAATAATCGTATTTATGTATTCTTTATATGTACAGTGAGTGACTGATTACCTGGTGCGATGCGCGGATCCGTCACTACGCGCCGTATTGGGCAGATCCAAAAAGATAAGAGGTGGCGGCAGATCACCTGCCGGCTTTCTCTTTGACTTGCCAACGGTAGGGGTGTGCGGTTGCGTGGAGGTCTTCCTCATTCAAGCCTCGTGCCTAGCTAGTATTACACAGCTTGCCCTGTAGTTGGTTGCAACAGCGAACCTCTCCCACGGCGGCCTCGGTGGTGGTGGTGGTGGTCGTCGTCGTCGTGTTGATTAAGCCACACTGCGCGGCTCGGGGTTCCAAGCTCGTCCTGGGCCTTCCTGGATATCGCGGTTGCTGGTTGGTAAATGTGGTGGCCGGAAAAGAATAACAGGCGGCTGTATGTCGCACAACTACGTCGTGAGCTCGTGTCTTTTTGCCCGTAGAGCATGACGGCTCTTGTAGTGATGATGATGCGGTGCAACGCATAATGGAGAAACGCTCCCTCGACGGCGTTGCTTTCCAGATGCGCGCAGTGTGCTCAGGTTTCGAGACTCTGACTCGCAGTTGTTCTGAACGGACTCGTGACGTCCTAGCATTGGTGCGCGCCGAGCTATGTTGGCTCTGGCTCCCGGATTTTTTGGTGTGAATGCAATTTGTCAGCCTTGTCATGAGGCTATTCTCTGGCGCGTAGGGATTGCAATTAACATGGATGCAGCACAGCTCAGTCCTTCATGTCGTACATTTCGACGTCGCCCTCGTCCAAGGAGCTGAGGCCCGAACTGGGAGCACGCGAACCCCTGTCGTCGTCGTCATCGTCATCGCCGGCATCAGAGGCTGCCGAGCTCGATGCCTTGTTGCGCATCATCTGCTCCCACGCGGCGAGACTCTCGAGCGGGCCGCCTTCAACGGGGACCTCGCCGTGGTCGATGCTCTTGCCGAGGATGGTGCCTGCATATTTCGAGTCCTGGTCCGTCTTGTTGTGCTTCTTCTTCAACGCTGTCATGGTAATGGAAAGGGTTAGCAACCTGCCCTGATCTCATGGTTTGTTTTCTGTGTTTTGTTTCGGGGGTGACATACCGCTCAAGTAGTCGGTGGCCCGCTCCTCGACCTCTTCGCCAGTCTCCCCCGTCGGGGCGTTCGCTTCTGTGTCCAGACCCGCAATCTTCCTGATGCGCTGGTTCTTCTTGCCGGTGGCCCAGAGGATGAACTCGTCGACGCCGTGCGTGTCCTCTTCCCCGTCCAGCATGTCCAGATCTACCGGGCGTGACCCCGGCAGGGCGCCGCAGTCCTCGAGAGCCATGCGCACGTCGATAATGCTCGGTTCGAGGGCCTCGGGGTTGTTGTCGGCGGCATGGAAGACGACCTGCTTGGAGATGGCGGTGATGTAGTTGCCAGCAAGCTCCGTGAGGGTGTCTATCGTGCGGGGCGTGCTCGTGTAGTAGCCCTGCGCGCGCAGGATCTGCAGGATGACCGGCCGGAGGAGGGCATGGTGAATCTCTGCGGCCGAGGGCGGTCTCGAGGGCAGCGCCGACAAGCTGGCCATGGCCGCCCAGCCCCGGCAACGGCGGCCTAGAACTGGCTTCCTAGAGTCTTGAAGGACTGCACTTGACACCAGTTGTGCTAGAGCTGTGTCTAAGTAGGATGTTCTGCGACTATGAGCGGTCGGTGCACCACGGGCGGTTCAAATCTGAGGTGAGGCCGTCGTGACTGGGTTATCCGCCGTGTTCTGCAGGCGCTTCGGGCAGGAAGGGATATGTGGTGCGTGTTGTTGCAAGCTGCTGCCGGGTCGAAGGGATCGTGACTGGCAGAGCTTGGTGTTGCAGCTGCGCGTGCGAGCAGTGCACTCACTGCAAGGGCGGCCCAAGAGTGGGTTGCGCCGGCGCAGGGCGGGCCAGGCACAACACTGGGCTGGTTCAGTTCCGCGCCGGCCGCTGCACCCCTGCAGCTTTTGTCATGGCGAGTCGAGCTTCCAACGTCTAGCTTGCGACTTCTTCATATCCAAAGCGTCCCACGCCCAACTCATCCCCAGCAGCCAAAGCACGACAGCAGCCAGGAACAAATCCTGCTCTAGCGACACATCAGCGTGCCCGGGCCGTCTGTCTGCCTCTGGTTCATCCTCGCCCTATGCAACATTGATCCGATGTCGCGCTAGTCGTCCGCCACGCGCCTGCCTCTCCTCCACCTCCACCTCCACCACCAGCAGGCCATCATCGCCCAGCCGCAGTTTCAGCATAACAAGCAACCTCACACCGTTTCACCAGCTCGTTTATTTGCGCGCGCATGCGCTGATCCCGCGGCCGCCGCAGCCTCAAGCTTGCGCCCTCGGCGCTTGCTCACAACACTCCCCACACCTACAAACAAGGCCGTCGCGGCCAACAACAGTCATCATGCCTGCCGAAACGCCACGGCCGTCTCTCAAACTCGACACGACGGGCAAGATGCCGCCCCCGCAGTCTGCGTCCGAGACCCCTCGGCCCATCTTGAAGCTCAATTCTGCTTCGCGGCAAGCCTCGTTCAGCGGCGAGACACCAACGCCCTCCGGCGAGAAGAAGACCATCAAGATCAAAATCAACGCGAGCCAGCCAGCCACTCCTGCGGCCACGCCAGGTCCTCAGATCCCCACAAAGACGAAAGCCGGCCGCGCGCCGAAGCCGACAGCAAAGCTCATAGAGGCCAAGAAGCGTTCCTACGACGATAGCGACGACGAGGATCGCCCCATGGCCGCCTCCAGGCTAGATACCTCACGGCCGAGCAAGATGATCAAGATCAAAAACTCGTCAGCCCGCACGCCAGCGACACCGCACGCCAGCACCCCCATAAGCAGTATCAAGTTCAAGCCCAGAGGGGAGCCGGTCGACCACACACCTGGCGACGCCTACGATTCAGAAGCAAGCGACAAGGAGACGGATCCTGTCCGCGAGCAAACCTTCATCATGCGCGTCATGCCCGGCCTGCCGGCAGAGTACCTGAGAAAGGCCTTGGCGGACGGGACGATAGGGATTGCCAAGGCACAGGGTGGTGCCGACTTTGGAATCCAGTTTGTCGATGCCAAGGAGAGAAGGGCGCTCGTGACAATCGACGGGCATCATTATGCGGCCGTCCTCGTCGACCTGCCAACCATTACAGAGGCCATGAAGACGTGGGATCGCAAGAACATGATGAAGAACTCAGACATATCGCAAATGCTCTTGTGCTTCGCCGAGGTGCGCAACGAGCAGGAAGCGCGGGTCATACCACTGCCACTCATGGCTGGCAAGGTTGAGCCCAAGTGGCCGCACGGCATCACGCCTCCCATGCACGATGCTCAAAATCGAAGGTTCAGGAAGGCCATCAGTGAGAAACAATGGCAGAGCACGGCAACCCAGGTGAAAAGATTAATAGAGGACGACGAGGCGGCTGAGGAAACGCACATCGAATGGATCGACGACAATGACGACGCCGAGTATGACGACGAAGATGACGCCGAGGGCGAAGAGGCCGAGGAGGCTGACGGCTACTTCCCTCCTCAGGATGTTGCACAAGTTGACGACATGGAGATTGATGCTCCAGGCGAGGAGGACGACGACGAAGATGACGCCGATCTGCTCGCCGAAATGGAGGCCGCCATGGCAGAGGAAGACGCCGCGATGAGCGAAGTCGCCGAAGGGGCCACACCCGCCGCTGCCCTAGAAGCACCAACACCCATGACCATCAACACACCTGCAGCTGGCCTGGACGAGCCTGTATCCGAAGAGGACGAGGACGAAGAGGACGTTTCGGACGAGGACGAGGAAGACGATGACGATGAGGAAGACGAGGAGAAGGTGTCGCGCGACAGAGAGCGCCGTGAGAAGATGGTCGATCTCAAGAACTACGAAGAGCAACTGAAGAAGGCCGAGTCCGAATTGTTGGCACAGACCAACCCGATTCTCAAGGGCCGCCTCAAGACGAGAATCGCCAACCTTAAGAAGGAGATCCAGGTCAAGAAGGCAGCTCTAAACATCCAGGAGGAGGAGGAATAGAATTCTCTCCAGACTGAGGCAGAGCTGTACTGGACCCAAGATCAGCTCGAAAACACGGACAAAGACGACCGTCGGGAGCGATACAGGCTCGAACAAATAATCGTCCAGCTCAAGAGCCAGTTGCAGGCAGAAGCTCCAACGCCAAGCGGCATGCAAAGCCATGACAGCTCGACACTGCAAGGCTCGCCATCTCCAGAAGGGCACAGTACGAGAGGCAACGGAACGATCCTCTGAGTGGACGACACACAAGCGCCGTAATTGTGCCTGGAAGGGGCCGTGGTAAAAAGTTAAAAACACTTGCTGTCAGACCAATATGTACGCTACAGCAGCGCGATGAGTATATATCACACCAAAGGGATGGTGAAAAAGCAGTCTCTGAGGCAATAGAAATAATGATACCCCTTACCAGAGAGCATATCATCTGCAGTTCGTGCGAAGCTTGGGTTTTGTTCATAATGTGACATATAGTACAGGGTTCAGAGGTGAACCCGCTGACTATCTTAGACCCTCTGCGGTCTCTCTCTATCTTTACAAGCGGTATATACAACGCCATAGTTTATTGCTCCTTTAAACGTGTACGACGAGTCCACCGCGGGTCTCCTGGGTCGTTCAACGGCGCGGGAAGGCGCGGGTCAAGTCCAGCCATGAAACAAGATGTGAGTCTGGGCTGGTTATTGAAATGTCATGCGTCCATCCAGTTTTGCCATTGCCGATTCCGCACTGCTTCCAACAACAACGGCAACAACAACGCCAACAACAACGCCAACATGTTTTGACGGCAATATCCGAAGCCCCTCCACGTTGCTGCTTGCACAACCCCCCCTTGGGGACCTTTATTGCCGACCCTGTCGTTATGATCATCGTGGTTTTTTTTGTTTTACATGCTCTTGAGGTAGTTGTCCTCGCGGATCTTGGCCTTGCGCTCCTTGCGCATGGCCTTGCGCAGCTCCTCGCGGGCGGCGGCCGCCGCAACGGCTCCCTCGACAGTGCCGGCCTCGTTGCCAGGGAGGTTGATGCTCTGCTCCTGCAGGGGGACCTTGGGCATCAGCGCGTCCAGGTTGCCCTCGGCCAAGGCGCGGGCCTCGGCGAGGCGGGCGCGCCGGGCGGCGAGCTTGCGCTGCTTCTTGGATTTGGCTGTTTATTTAATGGTTAGCCTTTTTCTTTTCTCTCATCTTTCTCGCCACGACTCAAAAGACGAAAAAAAGAAAACAAAAAAAAAAGGTAAACGACCCAGCTGGAGAAGGCGCGTGGGTGTTGTTCATTCTTGGGTTTCAACGTACAGAACTCGTCGCCGGCGTCCTCGTCCGCGGCGTCGTCGGCCTTCTTGGTCACGTCCAGGCACGACCAGAGCCACTCTGGATACGCATCGTCGGCGAGCGCGACCGGGTCGTTCTTGCCCTTGAAGTAGTTGAGCCCCGTGAGCACCGTGCCCTCGGGACACGACGAGAGCTTGGGCTTGTCGCTGGCGGCGGGGTCGGCATCATCGCCCAAGGGCGTGCTGAGCGCGGGGGGGACTCTGGGCCAGGCGACGGGGGCTGCGGTGCTGGCGAGGAGGAATACCACCGTGTGGCCACGGCCGTGGTTGATGATGTGAGGGTGACGCGGCTGGCGGGTAGCGAAGATCGTATCCTCGAGGCGGCTGGGCCGAGGGAGAAGGTCCGGGCCGGGGCCGTTGTCGCTGTCGTCGTGGAGGCGCGGCCGACGAGCTCGGCAGAGCGCTGCAGGCACCGTCTGCAGATCATGGTCGTGTGTCTTGTAGGTTATTGCGCTGGGAGAAGCGCTGCTGGTGGTGGCGGCGGGTTCGTCCAAGCTGAGAATTTCTGCGCTTAGGTCGCAGCCCGCGGGAGACTGGTGCCGCGCGTGGTTGAGGCTCAAGGCTGGGCGAGATATTGGTGATGTGGTTGTTGCTGGTGGTGAAGCTGAGGTGCGGCCCCAGAAATTTTAACCACGAGCGGCCGCTGCACGCAGGTGTTGTAGCTCAACCACTGGGCGGGACCGGCCCAACCAGGAACCGCCTGATACATGCGGACGCTTGCACGCGGTCAATCACGTCACGCACAACCCAAGCATGGAAATTTGTAATCTGTCAATTGGATTGTTGCAAGATTCACGGTGCTTTAATTGCTGGCGAGGCTGCCGTAACCCTTGATGGTGGCGTCCTTTGCGCGATATACAGTGTAGGCGGGTTTGGTTGTACACGAGGCCAAAGACCTCTCGACGTCCTTCTGGACTGCCAGGCTTTCCCCTGCCGCGGCTCATGTTTTCAGTATTGCCACAATATCCAAGTGACAGCCCCTAAGCCGACTTCTTGATCTGTCCATCAATGTAGTTTTGCTGCTCGAACAGGTATCCCCGTACCCGGTGGTCCTTGAGCATCTGCAGGTATTTCTCTGTAGGTACCGTTAGCACCAATTCCTGTTCAATCTCCCGGTGGCAGCCCGTTGCAGGGCATTGCACGAGACTCAGATGCTGCCTGACTCACCTCTGAGCGAGCCGCACTTCTCAAGGTGGTTGACTCCCTCGCGCACGTAGCATTTGCTTAACTCCTCGCGCACCAGGCGGCCCATCATGACCTGCACCCATTGCTCACGAACGACGGCATCCTGGGCCTGCTTGAGCGCCTTGTTGTCGTCGTAGTCGACACCGTCGAATGTGGGAGGGACGGTCGGCTTCTTGGCCAGGAAGGACTGAGACTCGGGGGTCGGCATTGTGCGTAGGTGCTTGCGGGCACGGGACCGGGCTGCTCTTGATACAGTGTTTCGCGTCTTTGTGCCGCCTGTCCTTGTGGCCGGTCGGTTGCGGTGCGGCGCGGAATACCGGGCGCAGGGTTGTCTTGAGGTTGGTGGTCGTGATGCTATCACCAATAGCTTGCACCTCGTTCGTCGACGTCCAGGATTGAGGTCTGACCTTGCTCTGCCAGCTCTGGAGGGGCTCCACGACAAGGGTGACCAGGTGGCAGCAGCTGGTCAGCGCAGAGATGCGCATCAAGTCGCAGGTCCTGCGAGGCCGTGGCATGCCAAGACTTTCGGGCGCCGGCGCAGCTGCGCGCCCCACAACCCGGCAGCAGCCCCTGCCTCACCGCTTTGCGATAAGGAGCGATAGAGGGCGGCAAAAATCAGGTCAGAAAAAAAAAGGCAGGAAAGCAGGGTCTTTCGACTCCACCCGCGCCCGTCGCAGCCTCGCAGCATAGATAAAACAGCTTGTTGCGCCGTGCCTCTCTCCGGCCTGCTTCTCACATCTTCACACACACACCTTTCTCATACCCTTTCCCCCCCCAAGACCACCAGACTTCTTGAGTCTTTTGGTTCTCTTCTGTCCTTGTTCAATCCGTTTTCCCTCTTTTCCACCCACATAAACCCCCTCACACATCACAATGGGCAAGACAAAGGATGCGAAGGCTTCCAAGAAGGCCGACCGCGTGAGCGCCGTCAAGGCCGCTGGTGTCACCAAGGCTACCGAGAGCCCCAAGGCCAAGTCTAAGCAGGTCGCCAAGGAGGTTGCCTCCAAGATCAGCTCCAAGGAGCTCAAGAAGAAGAAGAAGGTCGAGTCCGAGTCTGAGAGCTCCTCTGAGGAGGAGGAGTCCGACTCTGACTCCTCTGACAGCGAGTCTGAGGATGACAAGAAGATGGCCGACGCTGCTTCCGACTCGTCCGACTCTTCTGACTCCGACTCCGACTCTGAGGAGGAGAAGCCTGCTCCCAAGGCCAAGAAGGCCGCGGCCAAGCCCGTCACCAACGGCAAGGCCAAGAAGGCCGAGTCCTCCGACGAGGAGTCTTCCGACGACTCGGACTCCGAGTCTGAGGACGAGAAGCCTGCCGGCGTCAAGCTGAACGGCGCCAAGAAGGCCGCCGAGTCCGACTCTGACTCTGATTCCTCTGACTCTGACGAGGAGGAGAAGCCTTCCAAGAAGGCTGATGTAAGTCGCACAATCTAATCATGCATGCTACCTCAACGATTGCGTGGCTGACCGAACCATTACTACTTCAGGCTGAGGACTCTTCGGACGATTCTGACGACTCCGATGACTCGGACGACTCCGACTCTGAGGAGACTGAGGAGAAGAAGCCCGAGCCTTCCAAGAAGCGGAAGGCCGAGGAGGAGGCTGAGGCCCCCATCAAGAAGACCAAGAACGAGGGTTCCGAGGAGGAGTACGACACCCTCTTCGTTGGCAACCTGGGCTGGGGTGTCGACGATGATGCCCTCTACCAGGCCTTCGCGGAGTGCACCGGCCTCAAGACTGCCCGTGTCGTCACCGACAAGGCTCTTCAGCGGTCGCGCGGTTTCGGTTATGTCGACTTCGAGACCCACGAGAATGCAAAGGCTGCTTTCGAGAGCATGAACGAGTTCGAGCTCCAGGGCCGCCCTCTCAGACTCGACCCCTCCAAGCCTCGCCCTGCTGAGCAGGAGGGTGCCCCTGCCCGCGCCGACCACCGTGCCAAGCAGTTCGGTGACTCTGCCAGCCCCGAGAGCGATACTCTCTTCGTCGGCAACCTGCCTTTCGACGCTGATGAGGACATGGTCACCCAGTTCTTCAGCGAGATTGGTGAGATCAAGAGCGTGCGCCTGCCTACCGACATGTAAGCTGTCCCTGTGTATCATTAATACTACAACCCATTGTGGCATCACTAACACCATAAACAGGGAGTCTGGTCAGCGCAAGGGTTTCGGTTACGTCACATTCGCGTCCATTGAGGAGGCCAAGACTGGCTACAACAACCTGAACGGCTCGTACATTGGTGAGGGTCGTGGTGCTCGCGCCATTCGCCTTGACTTCGCTGGTCAGCGTCCTCAGCGTGAGGGCGGTGGCGGCGGTGGCTTCGGCGGTGGTCGTGGTGGTGGTCGTGGCGGCGGCCGTGGTGGCTTCGGTGGCCGTGGTGGTGGCCGCGGTGGATTCGGCGACCGCGGTGGTCGTGGTGGCGGTCGCGGTGGTGGCCGTGGCGGATTTGGTGGCCGCGGTGGCAGCTCTGGCTTCCAGGGCAAGAAGATCACCTTCTAAGGTGTCTCTGATGCAGCGCGAAGGCGTTCCTGCGCAGCACACGGACGGTTCTGAGGGCTCCTTGACACGCACAACACAAGTGAGGGTTGGCTTTGTGGGTCGTCGGCTTTGTCAAACACCCATGACTGTGTGGGATTTGAGGGCTAAGCTTCGAAATGGTGCTTGGTAGCTGCCTGCAGCGATCCAAGTCTCGTACATTTCGCAAGAAGCTGCGATATACCTGTGGGCTTAATCTGGAGGGCAACCTCCCTGTGGGACTGAGGGTCTGAGGACTTGTTGGGTACCTGGCGCACCCCCGACCCTGGGGACCAAAAGAGCGTCAGCTCCTTGGGACGCACGCGCGCGCGAGAGCCTGTCTATGCTGGGAGGCAGAGCTTTGAAAAGTGACTCTGCACTTGAGTACTTTTACCACCATACCATTGTGGGCTTGACCAGAGGGTTTTGCTAGTGGGCTTTGTGGGCATTTCTTCATTTTTGACGACGGCGTTACTATATCAAGGTCTTATAAAGGAAAAGTTTTTTGACGTCTGCATTTTGTCCATTGGACGTTCTTCTGGCCGAGCACGCCCTTGCAAGGGGCTGTACGATACCCTCATTCGCATTCGCATGTTGCCGGTAAGTGTACGAGAGAGTGAGCACCGTCACTCGATTAGCAGTAATAATGAGAAACAATGGAAAGTTTTTGATCCAGTACGACAGCAGTTTCTTGCGCTTCACGTGAAATGTGTATCAAGGGTGATCGTGGTTGATGGCTTTGCTTTGCGCTCCTCAGCCCGCTGCTGTGGTCCGTCGCTAAGCACTCCCAGTCACATGTTGTACTTTTTCTGAAAGGCGGTGTCTGTTTACTGGCATGGTTGTCCCTTGTTTCAGGGAGCTTTGCGAAACCATCCATCGTCAGCCCTGTCGCCGCCAAGTGTGATCAGCCCGCGGCAGTAGCACTACTACTATATTGAAAGTCCAACCCTGGCCAGTAGCGCTGTCAGCTCCGCTTCACAACTTTGACAGCAAAAGCTTGGGCCGCCGCCAAATACTCTTGCTAGTTAGTGTCGGCGACCGGCAGCCACGAAAGACAACGGCGTCCCCACAAGTCAAGACGACAGCCCGGCCGTTGGCTGCGCGGGAACATCAATGTTGACTAGACCACGCTAAAGTAGTGATGGAAACGGGCCTCGCCCTATGAAGCCCAGCCCGGAGTGGCAAGTCCTGGGAGGGAGGGCCGCAATCGTCACGGGCATCACGGGCGGGCGGCTTTTGCGGGGCAGAGTCATGGGGGGTGGTCAGGCAGGTTTGTGATCACCCAGCCCCCTTGCTAACTGCGTTTCTCTAAAGAAGGACCCCCCACCTGACCTCTTCCGTGGGGCGGCATACTTGGATATGGGCTTGTTGGGGGATGCGGGATGGATACTGGAGAGGAGTCATTTGTGTGTAAGTCAGGGCTGGTGCTTGGTGAAGGCGAGGAGGTTTTCTGGAAGTTGATTATTGGTTCAAGGCTCGTACTGTCATTAACTTAGTGGCTGCCTTTTTTCTCCCGGCAAGCTGACCACAAACATCCGAGTCGTTTCTGATGGGTGCAATGGTGCCTTGCCCTGGAACCATTCTCGTCCTGTCTTCTGCTGTCTTGAGACGGGACTTTCAAACTGGAGATTTTGCATGGGACGCGTGCGTGTATGTATGGTGGGGACTCGTCTGAAGAACTGCCTGCTGTCTGTCGATGCCTCGTGCAGCAACTGCCGCGGCCAAGCCCAGTCTGAGGCTGGCGACTCGGAAGCGGGAGCTCGCGTTCCAAGGTTGTGGCCTGTGGCGTGCTGCAGGCCGACGGGTCCTGCCAGCTTGTCAGGCGGCTGCTTCTCCACTCTACTATACTATGCTTGCTGGTGGTTGTAGCAAGATCCAAGCCAGCGTCGTCTCAGATCTTTGTTGGGACACACAAAGAAGGCCACCATCGGCACATCTTGGCCCCATCATCGTCCTTTGCGCGATCGCCTCGTCTCCCTTGTGCCGAACAGGGAGGTCCCCTTGCACGACAGCGCCGCCGACAGCACTGCAGAGACAGACGGGCCGCGAGGCAAGCCTTGATCTGGTTACAGACACAGTGACAGAGACAGAGACAGAGCAGAGCAGAGAGCAGCCCCGCCCCCTCCACTCTGGAGCAGCAGTGCCATCATCCGACAGGCTGCGAGTGGTGCGGTGTCGTGCTGCGATAGGCCGATCTGGTCAGCGGGGACGGGACGCGCAAGGGTCACTCGGCCCCTCAGCCCACCACCGCCCGCGTTCCAGCCTGACGCTGCCACAAGACTTGCTCTCTCGCACAAGTCGGTGAGGCCCTCTTCGACTCGTCGTCGTCGACCTCGAGCCGACTACTTACTCTCCCCATCCTCGCCATCTCGCCTCCCCGTGTCGCCTCTCGAGTCTCGCTTTTTTCTTGTTTCCCGTCCATCTCTCGACACCCGTCTCTCCCGACGACAGCGCCAGACATCAATCAACCGCCGCCACCGCCACTGCCATCATCCATCCTCACTATCGTCGCCCCCCTTATCACTGACCCTCAGCGATGTCGGTCCCCGGCCCAGCAGCACCACCACCCGGTGGTGGCAGCACCAGCAGCATGCCCAGCCCCACCACGCCCGCGTCCACCAGTAACCAACATCAGGGCGGCGGCAGACACGATGGTCAGTCCCCTGCCTCGGTTGTCGCTGCGGCGCATCAGCTCACAGACGCAGCAGAATCCTGGATCGAAGTCTCGTCGCACCCTTCGTCGTCGTCCGTCTCCTCCATCGGCGACGAGATCGTTACCACCGGTCTTCAAGTGCGCAACTCGTACGCCGCTCGACGCAAACGGCTGCATCCCCGGTATTACACACACCTCACGTCGCCCCAGCAGCAACGCCAACAGCAACTGCTGCAAGAGCAAGAGCAGCAGCAGCAACAGCAGCCTCGGACTATCGGGAATAGCGGCATTCGCGGAAACTCCAGCAGCCAGGACGAGTATGACGAGTCCGATAGCGAGGAAGACAGGGTGCTGACCAGCTCAAGCGAGAACATCACAAACACGTCCCGCCCGCTCACGCAAGGCATCGTTGCTCAGTCCGGCGACGCCATCTCGTCGAGTGATGACGATGACGACGATGATCATGCAACTACCTTGGGAAGCCGGCCTTCTGAGCCGTTCCGCCCTCAGCCCAATGCCTTCTCTCACCCCCCCTCGCACCTCACTCACCGGCACTCCACTTCCGCCATTCCACCTCACCATCCTCGCCCATCCTTCTCCCAGCGATCGCAGACCCGCGCCGACCAGGGTGCGTCAAACTTCATGTCGCCAAGCCACCAGGAGGACAACGACGCTGCTCTCCGCGCCAGCTTGACCACCCTTCTGAGCGTGGCCGCGGCGGCTCGTGGCCGAACTAAGGACAACGAGAAACAGTTCGGCGATCGTGCTAATCCTGCGACTGGGAATCAACCAGTCGAGCTCCGTCTGATTCCGGAAAGTGAACTGCTGGCTACCCCCCACAATGCCACGCCAGTAAGCCAGGAATCGCAGCAGGTCCACAGGCCAAGCCCACAGCCGTCCACGGCATCCCGAAGCTCTGGAGAGAAGGTGAAGCGGTCGACCACCCCGTCAGGCAAATCACCCCGCGCCACCAAGAAGAAGAAGACGATGGCTTCCACGGACGAGGCGTACATCAGCCCTACCATGATGACCTGGGTAGTTGGCGCCAGTGTCATTGTGCTCGTCTCTGTGGTGGGCTTCGGCGCTGGTTACGTCATCGGCAGGGAGGTGGGCCGCCAGGAGACCCTCAGCAGTCTCAGTGCTGGTAATGCGTCTGCTATGGCGGAGGGAGGCAGTTGCAGCCGTGAAGTTCTCCGCAACAGCGGTGGCTCTCTCAAGCGTCTCCGATGGGGCGCTACTGTCGGCCGGAGCGTGGCAGTCTGAAGCTGCACATTCCCGACATACGATAACAATCAAGCCTGTCACAGGCTCTAACGCGGCGATCTCGACCCTGGCCTGCCTGTGGTCCAGAGAGCGCATGGATAATTTTCTTCGAGGTTCGAACGACAACTCTGTGCTGGCCACAGCACATGGTCAGCTTTTCATGTTTCTGCATCTTCACGGGTCATTCTGGCGTTTTAAAAGAGGGGAGGGAATACGGGGTCATGGCATAATGAGCAGCAACACTGGAACGGCACCGGGAGGGTTTTTTCTCATGCCCTGCCGGAAAGATCTCAGGCTTCTATTTATTTCCTTTGTTACATGATTTTTTTTTTCCTTTCCAAGCGTAACGACGGCATGAGGTACACGGGTTGGAGATACCAGGGAATCGCAAGCGCATCTGATTTTTATTTGAAGAAATCGGAAGGGCAACAGGACTTTGCTTCTTGCATTTGCTTGCTTGGACATTTGGGGGGATCTTGCTTGAATATCACTGGTCAGGACCTACTCTTCTCAACACTTATATACTTTGTGCGAATGCCTTGTAATGGAGAGAGGGACAGGGAGCGGCTGCATTGTGTGGGGGAATCCGTAGAAAATCAAGTCAATTTGCGATTGAATTTAGATTACATTCAACTGTGCAATCATTGTGTCATGGTGGATTCCTTATTGTTCGTCTTTCCAATGATCTGCCCACAGTGCATTGCTCCGGCGGGCGTGGGAAGATAAATAAAACAGTGACGCCAAAACACACTTCAAGTCAAGTTTCCCGGCAATGTTCTGAATGCACTCTTCCTAATCATGATCTGCGCCAAGTAGAGCGAGGCCCACGTCATTTAGCTAAAGGACGCCCACGGAAAGCACCTCTCAGTCATTGTCATCATCATCGTCGTCGTCTTCGTCGTCGGACAAAATGCGCCGGCCTCGGTGCCTCCGGGCCGTTCCTCGGGAGGTAGTAGTGCTCTTCCGTGCGATTGAATCTCGCCTGACCTCAACGTCAAGATCCTCGTCATCCTCATCGCTGTCAGCGAGGGCGCCCAGGGTGGTACCCCGGTGCTTGTTCTGCCTGTGCTGCTGCGTGTTCAAGGAGCTGCTGCGCCCAATCAGCTGACTCATGGACGGAACTTCGTCGCTGTCGTCGTCAGTGTGGGACAAGAGTTCATAGGTCTTGGCTGGTCGCTTGCGCGGTTGGCCTCGCGGGAGCGGCGGCGAAGATGGCAGACGAGACCGTGATGTTGGAGACGTTGACGGCTGGCGGGTCCCAATAGTCGAGGAGGAAAGGATGCCTGAACTGACCGTCCTTCGGACTCGCGGCTGCCGAGTGCTCGGCATGTCGACGTCGAAGTCAATGTCCGAGTCGGACAAGGCGTCACCTTCATCCTCGTCATCGCGCACCACAGCTGCCGAGGATGTCATCACATCGTCTCCGACGATAAAGTCCACGAGGTCTGATCCGTTATCAGAGTCATCGGAGAGCTCCAGGTCGCTCGTCCGGCGGCAGTCATCACCCTCGTCGGCGGATTCGTCATACAGACCCGCCGCTAGGGTGGACGCCTTACCTGGTGTCTTCTTCTTCGGACGGCCTCTGGGTTTTGGGGGTGGCTTGACTGTAGGCGTTTTGGACGCCGCTTTTGTTGCCCGTTTTGCTTTGGGTTTGGCACTCGCATTCTCTTTCTCGCTGCCATCCTCGAGGCATTCGGCGTGAGTGAAGCTTGTGTTCTTATTCATATTTTTCGCGGTGGCTTTCTTTGGTCGCCCTCGCTTAGCTGCTGGGAGAGATTTGCTGTTCAATGCGGGCTTCCCCTCGCTACCATAATCGAGTTCAGCTTCAGGAGACAGCTTCCGTCTCTTGGACGACGGCCCGAAACCGACTTCGGAGTTGTCCGAGTCCGGCCCTTCATCTGGTAGCGGTAGCTGTGTATACCCTCTCGTATCGATCGACTCGGGTCGCGTAGCGTACTTATCGCTTGCTGTTTGCAGCTTCGCGAGCCTTCCAAACACCTTGACGCAGCGTTTCGTATGCCTGCCATGCTTCAGGTGGATGGTTTTGCGCAGAGTCCGCTGAGCCTTGGGGAACGCTGTGAGGTCGATCTGGTCAATCTCCTCCGTTCCTGCATTGGTCTGGAAAGGTAGGTTTCTGTAAGTCCTATTCAGCTCTCGTGTCTCCGGCTCACTGAGTAAGACTCTGGCAAGTTTGGGTAGCTCAGTAAGCTCTCTCAGCTCTGCGTCTATTGCCCGTTCCTTCTTGGCCACTGGCGCTGGACGTTTTGGCTTGGCACCAAGCATAGATGCGACTGTCGCGAAGCCGGTCTCGACGTCATCGGGCATGTGAAATTTCTTCGGTGGCTTCTTCTTCAGAGCCCGCTTCCTTGGCTCGGGGGCTGATCTGTCTTGTGTGTTTTCGATGGGAATTTCCACAGCCCGCTTGTCGACCACTGGCTGGATGTCGCGCGGCACAATGCGCCTGGATAAATCATGCCTGAATGCGAAGCGGCTGCCGTCGCAAATCATCTTCTGCATCTTCTCGTAGTTGTCTTTGGATTGTGCGTATTTGTCCTCTTCCTTGCCCTTCATTAAGAGGAGCACGGCGCGACCCGCGCGCTTTCGTCCTGTACGTCCCATTCGTTGCAACATCCGAATCGGGGAGCTCGATGCGTCGTAACAGACAATCAGGTCGACCTGACCAATGTCCAGACCTTCTTCGCCAATTGAAGTCGCCACGAGAACATTGAGGTCTCCAGCTTTGAACTTGCGGATGCGTTCAATCTGTTCTGCCTGCTTCATGCCCATCGACTTTTTCGAGTCAGCTTGACCCACGAAAACTGCTGCCCGGACTAAGGGTTGATGGGTGTTCAGAACACGCGCTATCTCTTCAGCACTATCCCTGAATTCACTGAACACGATGATTCGTGTGCCAGAGGCGGACGGTGCAGTTCCTTCTCGACCTTCGCCACGATCCAAGAAGTGGTTGAGAACCGTGTCCGACAGATATGTCAGCTTCGGGTGGCTCACAAAATCGCCTTTGGATGACCAAGCAGCGATTTTGTTCATCATTTCCCGGAAGCTAGGCGACTCGGTGATTTGCTTCTTGTACTTTGATCCCTTCTCTCCCTTTCCCTCAACCTCGTCGCGGAACGCTACTAGGTTGTCGTAGAATGGTTTGATGCCATGAAAGTTGAGCAGCTTGATTGAATGAGCCAGGCTCTGCAGTATACTGAAAATCGCAAACATCATGAATTTTATTCCTTGATTCGCATGCTGACCAGCTCGGGCCATCCAGTCTTTTCGTGCCTGCATAAGACCAAAGACTGTGAGGGCCATTGGGTCTCGGCCGTAGTAGATGTTTTGTTGGCTAAGTTTGTCTACTATGGGCTTCAGTGCGGTAGAGAAGAGGCGCTGGATTTCCTGCATCTCATCCGACGGGTCAAGCAGAACGATGTCTTCATCCCTGCCATGAATATATGGCCGAATGTCTATTGACTCTTCAGTGCGAATCTCGACGTGAGAGATGTGCAGGTTATCAATGACGTCCTGTACTCCCTCGACTTTTGAGCCAGGTGTCGCGGTCAAAGCAAGTATCCGAAAGGAGCTCGAAAACCGCTGAATGAAGTTGACCACTTTGACGTAAGAGTAGTTGCCGGTGGCGCGGTGAGCTTCATCAACGACAAGAAGGCAGATGGATTTCGGGTCTGCATAGCCAGAAGACAGATCGTTTTCGAGGGTCTGTGGAGTCATGAAGAAGACGCGTTTCGTCTGCCATTCTTCGACTCGTAATGCCGGCGACACTTCACCAGTCAAGAGTGTAGTCTGCGACCGGGGGATGCCAACAGTATGGAAGCAAGCATCGACCTGTTGCTGGGCGAGGGGCTTGGTCGGTGCTACAAACACTATCTTTGCCGTCTTGGTCCACCTGAAGTAGTTGAGCATGATGGTGGCTGCGATGAATGTCTTTCCCAAGCCAGTTGGGAGCGCCACCAACGTATTATTGAACAGACCGTTCTTGACGATACTGTACTGGTAATCACGAATGGCACCAATGTTCGTGGGGTAGATCCAGGTTTGCATGGCCTCAACATTGAGCTCGTGGTGTGTAGGCGGCTCAGGAGGTTTGTCGGTCCTAAACAGAGGTGGCTTCCCTCGCTGCGAAGACGCCGTGGCAGCCTCCCTCTCTGCCTGGGCGGCCAGACCAAAAAGGGTCGTCTGCCGATAAGTCGCGGCCGGTGCTCCCAGTGCAGGCGCAGGCCGAAATCCTCGCGCGGCACCGCCTTGCTCATGATGGCGCTGTGGGATGGCAGTGCTTACGCCTGGCGAGCTGGCGAACGCATCAGAGGGCCAGTCATCCAAGTCAATGTACTCATGTGACTGTCTTTGCTTCGGGAGCGAGGTCTGAACACAACATGTGTGAGTGTTGTGCCGAACAGCAGGTTGTATGGCGATGCCAGGACGACTTACACTAGGCGGGTTGTGGCACTGTGTGGCTGCCAGGATGAGGTCTTCGTCAGCCACGCCATCCTCGAACTCATCCGAGTCCATGATGGCGATTATGTTGACCAGTCAGCCGACACATGGCCAGCTCAAGTCGAAGGATCGATGGTCGTGAGACAGTGCAGAGGCGGGGACACTTGAAGTGGTGTGTCCAAGAAAGACGCGTCTGGCTGAGCATTCGAGGCCGAGTCCCGCATTGGCGCTAGTATCGAAGTGCACTGGCGAGGCCAAGGGTCTAGCTGCAAGGATGGGGCTCCAGTCGCGCGTCACGAAGTCATGTGATGTCGGACAGGTGGACCCGACTTCAAACATCGATGGACGGGAGCAGTGCGAAGGTCGCATACAATACCAAGTAAGCCGATGCGAGCAAGCGACGACTTACTGCGCCTCAGTCTTGCCTTGCCATGAAAGAATTGTTCTCTGTAATCTTTTCGCTCCTGTGCCTCGATACAGGCGAGCACACAACCTTTAGCATCAGGCAGCCGTACACTTTCTGTCAGTTTCACGACAGCGCACCAATCAACGGACAGGCGCCTGGAGCTGGGGCATGCCGAGGATGAGTCATCAGAGGTCGTCACTGGCGCAGAAGCATAGCCTGGCCGGGGCACTGTGACGCCGAGCTCCACCCACGATACAACAAATCGTCAAGCCTCGCTTTCACCGGCGCAGAGCCACAATTCTTCTTCCCTCCCCATCCCTCGCCTTCGCAGTCCCACGTCTTCCCATCATCTCGGCATCCTGCCGCCTACGTCTGTCGTCAACCACTCCCGGCGGCGGCGACGACACATCGAGGCTGCGATCGGCGACGGCCGCCATTCGTTTGGGCTTGCGACAAGCAATCTTCTTTGATCCATTCAACGCACGGGGCGCCTCACATTTGAAGCACGTCCCAATCCAACTGCCTTCACGCGATCCCTTCACTCTCATTCCGACAATACCGAGCACTACGCGCCTCGGCTCCCATCCATCGCGCACTTCGGTCAGGGCGACCCTGGTCATCCATTCGTCGTCTGTGACACAGCTCGTACCGATCTGCATTCTACCAAGACAGCGGGATCAGTCTTGACTGCGCTCACTATTAAAAACCAGAAAAGAAAACAAAACAAAAAACCTCAATCAACCACTCAAAGAAGTTGACAGCCCACCCTTCTGTCCTCCTCGATCAGCACCGAACATGGCCCCTCCAACTGGACCGCGCAATGGTGCGAACAACGGCCGCGGAGGTGGTGGCGGCAAAGGCTCTGGCCGTGGTGGCATCGCGAAACGACGCGCAGGTGGAGGTCGAACAGATCGCGACGGTGACCTCGACATGGGAGCTGGCACTACAAAAGTGACCAGCGGTAAAATATCAAAGAGAACCGAAACTTCCACGAAGTCCACCGGGGCGTCGGGTCGGCCGACCAGGCCAACGCGAAAAGCCCAAAACATTGTGGAGAAGGCGATAACACGCGGCTCGGGTAGCTTGTCTGCTCGTGCGCTTGGAGGCATGGCACCTCCGGGAAGGGGTCTCCGCAGCCAATCGCAACCATCTGTCACTCTCAAGGTCGAAGGTCTCAAATCGAGCAAAGCTGCCTCTAATGAAGGTGGCGGCCTCAGAGAACTACTAACATTTATTGAACGGAAAGCCACGACTGTGGGTAAAGTCTCGCGGCAAGTGCGGGTTAAGAAGGTATGTTATATAACCCACAGCAGCTGTGCGTACGAACCTAGGATCTGGGAGAGCTATTAGTCGTTGCATGCTCGGCCACAAGCATTACTGCACCCCTCGGCTCGCAAGCGAGGTCCTCAATTACGCCAGCTACGAACCTCACCTGGAGACGTCGTTCGACAACACCTTCAAATATCTTATCTAACGTCGAGTAGTCACAACTGAAAGATGACTTCGTCCATATCACAGCAAGCAAGGAGGACGCAGAGGAGATCTTGAAACTTAACGGCTTCGGCTGGGCAGGCACGAACCTCACCATTACCACAACAACGGACAGCCCTCTGGACGGCAGCACCACGCAGATGTCCTCGACCGCTCTAGAGGTTAAGGAACAGCTAAAGGGCGTCCTTAGCGTCCGTTACAATGTGGAGGCCAAGCTCCTCGACCTGGGCAACTTGGGCCAGGACCCGATCTTAAGTCAGATGGGATTCTTCGCTGGCGAAAGCAGTCCCGAAAAAATGTTCCGCGCCCTCATGGCCATCTGCGACGGCATCTTCAAGACCGCGCAGGCGAAGCGGGAAAGTGTCGTCAGCATCAGTCTTGCAGGCAACAACATCGACGATGTCCTCCAAGTTATGTCCTTGACAGACACGTTCCCCGATGTCATCAACCTCGATCTCAGCAAGAACGCGATCAAAGACATCAAGGCTCTGCAAAAGTGGCGGCATCGCCTGCGTCATATGGAGACCCTCCTCTTGAACGACAACCCTATAGAGACTACGAATCCCGGCTATGTGCAGGAAATTACCGGATGGTTTCCAAAACTGCAGAATCTCAGCAATCAGCAGGTTAGATCACCTGAGCAAGTTGCTGCTGAGCAAGCCGCAACACGGCCAAGCCCAATACCACAAAACGGCGCGGACTTCCGAGACATCAATCGCATCGGCGAAGGATTCATCACGGAATTCATTCAGATGTACGATACGAACCGTCCAACTCTGGCCGCCAAGTACTACGACGATCAAAGTGTCTTCTCGCTGGCTGTCAACACGAATGCTCCTCATGCGCCCGACGTCCAGCCGCCGACATGGTCCGCGTACCTCAAGTTCTCGCGGAATCACAGCAAGATCACGCATGCATCTGCAAGGTACCAACGCTTGTTTGTCGGCGCGCATCTGATTCAAGAAGCATGGAAACAGCTGCCCCTCACAAGACACCCGGACATCGCCACGCAATTCGACAAATACATTATCGACTGCCATCCAATACACGGTCTGGCCGATCCCTCTGGCCAAAGTCCCCTCGGTGTGGACGGCATGACCATGACCATTCACGGCGAACTCGATGATCAGGAACCGACCAGCAAGAAAGAAGCAAAGCGGAGCTTTTCTCGCACATTCATTTTAGGCCCTGGCGCGCCTGGCCAAAATCCCATCCGTGTCATCAGCGACATGTTATCGATGAAGGTGTACAATCCCCTGCCGACCGCTGCGGCTGACGCAGGTACTCAAGCTCCGACGGCGGCCATCACAGCTCCGGTGACCCAGATCCCACCTGCGAGTACAGATGCCGAGAAGGAGCAATTCATCATGGAGCTCTGTAAAAGAACAAACATGGTTCCGGAGTATTCCAGGTTTTGCCTCGAGACGGCAAATTGGAACTTTGATCAGGCCTTGGTCATCTTTGCAGAGAAAAAGGTAAGCCTGAGACTCTGCCATCATGTACAGGCTCGCATAACTGACTAACATGTTCATCCATTAGGCACAACTACCCCAGGAAGCATTCATCGCAGGTGCAGCATAGGGGGAGAGCATAGCAGCATAGGAGGCGCTTTTTCATACCATTGTACTATTGCATGCGGCACGGCGTTTTTCTGGTTCTCTGCATATTCTTGAGCGCTCAGGGCAGGGCGTACTCGAAGTGGTGAAGGGAGGGTCGCGGTGTGTGTATATAATCGATCCAGCTGGTCTCTGCCATAAACCAAGAAAGGGAAAGCATTGCCAGGGCACTCGGCAGAGAAGAAATTCTGCTGGGTAGACCTTAAGGCCACACACCACACATACTGTTGAAGCTCTGCCACCATGATGTGCCGTGCCTTTCTGTGGCCCCCGTGCTGCGGCGCAGCAGCAGCATTCATGCAGATGGGAGCGCTCAAGAATATAAAAATAGAGGATCCAGTCGAGCGAAACCCAGAACCCAAACTATAAGCAAAACTCTAGAGAAAGGGAAGATACTTGACGGAAGCAATGAAAGGGTAATTTGGGAAATCAGACCGGGTAGCCCGACCAGAGTGAACGAGGCAGGAGACAATAGAATGAAATATGTGGAAGGGATGGCGAGAGGGTTGGCCAATACGCACACCTGTCGCGGGAGGACAAAAAAAAAGAACTACTTTGTTTTTTAAGGAAAGGAAAAATTGCTGAATGGGAAGGATTACAAGCGGTAGTTGCGAAATCAGAAACTAGACTGAACACATTCCACAATGGCCGAGCATGAAACGAAACAACTAATGTGATATTTTACTTGGTGGAACATGTTTTGACCTGTACTCACGTGGACATTCTCTGAAATACATGGTTGATTTGTCTCGTCATTTTTATAGGTGCCATGCCGCGCCATGTGAATATCCAGCGAGGGGCGAATTACGTCAGGACTGTGGACAAAGGAAAAGGCATGGAAATGAAAGGAAAGCAGACATTGGTGATGGGGGACGGCGCAAAATCATGACTTCTGATCAGACTCGCAGGAGCCAATAGAGCAGGCCGCACACGGCACAACTGCCGACATGGAAGTTTCGCTTGCCGCCCGGTACTTGATAGCGCTGGGTGTTTTCCAAACCCATTCCTGAAGAAAGCTACGGCGCCAACAGAGACAGGCCAGGAAGACCAACCCCCGCTGCCCCCTCCCTCCATGGTGAAGAAGTCGTGTGCCGCTGAAGATCTTGGCTTGGGCCTGCATGACCACCTGTGTGTGCGGCATCCCAGAACGGCTCGGACTGGCTGACCGCCGATCGATATATAGCTACCGATTGGACCACAGCTCACGAGGGCGCCGGTTGGAGGCATGTCATGTCACTTCCGACTACGAGTCCTGGACAGGGGGGGTTCGGCAGGGCGGCGGCTGCGCGTGGTGGTGGTGGTGGTGGTTGTGTGGGGTTTCGGGATGTCAGCGACAACTGGTGGACTGCTCGCCATTTAGAGGAAGAATGCCAGTCAGTGTGGGGGCAAGATTGACCTTTCGGCGGGCCGTCCTGTGCGTATATTCCTTGAAGATGTGATGGCGGGTGTCGTTGTGGGCTTCTTTGATCCTTGCTTTTCTTCTCTTGTTCTTTCCGTGGATGCACGGAATGTCTTAGGCGCTGTCCCTCATGTGACGCACTTTTCCAAGGTCTGTACCCCGCGAGCCGCCGTGGCTGGCAGGGCAGTTAGACAAACAGGCTGACAGCCCACGGTGAGACGGCCCATCACTTCTGGAGCATTTTGCCGCTGGCAGCCATACCGAGGCTGCCCGCATGAAAAATCGAATATAGCCTGCCGCGTCCCGTGGAACGTCAAAGCCGAGCTGACGTTATTCTTAGAACCAGTTGGCTCTCCGTAGTGTGACAATTTATAGTAAAGGATTGATGCTTGTCCAGAAGCGGACGGATGGGTGGCGTACCTACACTCCATGCCCTCCATTCAGGCCCCGGGCCGGTGGTGATGCCCAAAGAACCAAACGAAATGCTTCTCGGTAATCTCCTGACACGCCAGCGGTTCTTTGATGCTTAACTTCAAAGTCCTGCTGGGCATCTACAAAGTATCAGCTGCAGCAGTTGCCTCACCTTCCAGACGCAGCCCCGCCACTGTGGCGACAAAGAACAAGCAATTGAGAGCCTGGCAATACAAAATCCGCACGGCGACATTGTCAAATACATGCCAGGCAATGCTCCACCTCTGCATCGGCGGCCATGGCCTTCGTCGCCGTGATGATTCCCGTGTCACCAGAAAGCCGTGGTTGCACAACAACATTTCCCATTCCGCGCCCCCAGTGGTGTCATGGCACAGACCGCGCCCCCTCGGAGCCGACAAGTGCTGGATCGCGTCACCAGAGCCACGCCCGAGTGAACTGGAAAGCCTGGGCTAACAGGAGACGCTACCTACCTGAGCTAAACTAGTCAGTTCTGGCACGTGCGGTGCGCCGGGCTGGCGTCGCCCGGACTGGCCAAGATGCAAGGCTAAAGGGATCGCCAAATGGGGGTCCACGTGTTTTGCCCACGGGCCTTTTATTCTGCAGCCGATGATGATTTGGGGGGAGGGTTGGCTGTGGTCATGGCTTGTGGATGGACGGTCGTTGATGATCTACGTGGTAGTGCATGGCGTGTTCGTCTCTGGCGAGAGCACTTGCCGTCCGCCCAGGGATCGTGATATGCATTGTTTCCATTGCCATGTTGTTGCCGGCTTGCCTGTGCATCAGTGTACTTTACGCGAGCTAAAAATATCAGCCTGCCGGCCAGAGTGGTGGAACCTGCTAAGCCGGACCCAGCTGGCCGGTCTAGTGGCCTCAGCTGTCACAGCCGGCAGTGCGTTGGCGGCGATAACCGTCTCAGAAACATTACTCGTAGGATCCTCAGCGGCACTGGTGACGAAAGGGGTGTTTTGCCATGCCCCGAGGAGGCTGTGGCCCGCGGCAGCACATCAATATTCGGCGACGAGGAGGCGGCCAGGGGTTTGTAGTTGGCGATGCTGACGCTTGGACTACCTATTCGTGCAGTGGTGGTGGCCGCCGTCACCGCGACTCGCCAGCACTAGAGGGATGGCAGAGCACACTAGAAGGACTCTGACGTGTTTGCTGGCGGCCGAGATACAGGTGAACCCCGGTTATGCGGACCTCACATAAGCGGATTCCCTCGCTTCTGCGGATGAACTGGCTGTTTCCTTTCAAAACACATGCGATTCCGCTAATCCCTCGCGTTCATCGATTACGCACAAAGCGAGGCCATCGCCACCACCTAAATCCGCTAATCCGAGTGAAATAGGGGCGCGTTTGGACCGCGTTTTGACCCCCCGAAATGGCACCCCGCGCCACCGCACCCTCAAACTTGAAGCCGTCGCGGCGACGCATTTCGACTGCGCAGAAGCTAGCCCTTCGCGAACGACGACGTCTCCGTCCGACAGACTCCCATATCGAGCTACAGCAATGGTTCCTGAAGCAGTACGACCAGCCTATCTCGACATCCTCCATTACCGACATCCTCGGCAGCCGTTTCGCGTACCTAAGCGAGCCACTACAGCAGCCACGCGCCCTCGACTTGACGCGGGTCAATAATAACCCTCACCGCGACCTCGAAGGCGCCTTATATATGTGGTGCCAGCAAGCTGAAAGCTCAATTACTATCACGGGCGAAGTCATTAAGGCAAAAGCACGGCAATTCTGGGCGCAAATGCCTCAATACAAGGACCAAAAGCCGCCGCAGTTCTCGAACGGCTGGCTCTATCGTTTCCAAAGCCGACACGATATAAAACTACGCGTACAGCATGGAGAGCTAGGCAGTGTCAATATCGTCAATACTGAGAAGGAGATGGCCTCAATCCGACAGATCCTCTCGAAGTATTCCCATGATGACATTTACAATTGCGACGAAACAGGTCTTTACTGGAAGATGATTCCGGATCGCTCTCTTTCGACGCGCAGCCTTCCAGGCCGCAAAAAGGAGAAGGCCCGGATCTCAGCCCATCTCTGCTGTAATTGGTCAGGTACTGACCGTTTACCAATATGGTTCATTGGCAAGGCAAAAAGGCCTCGCGCCTTCACCGCTGCGGGGGTCGATATCCGCCATATGAACCTAGAATGGACTCACAATAGGAAGGCCTGGATGACAGGGACTATATTTGAGCAATGGCTACGTTGGTTCGACCGCCAAATGGCTGGTAAAAGCGTCATTTTGCTGATGGATAACTTCTCTGCTCATGAAGCCGGATATGAAGCTATTCTGACAAGTGCGACCCCCCTACAAAACACCGCTATCATATGGCTGCCACCCAATACTACAAGCAAAACACAGCCTCTTGATCAGGGAATCATTGCAGCCTGGAAATCTCACTGGCGACGGTACTGGGTACGCTATATGCTGTCGGAATATGACGCCGGTAGAGACCCTCTTAGTACAATGAACGTACTAAAGGCTCTGCGATGGGGCATCCAAGCCTGGGAGCTAGATGTGACTCCTGAAACTATCACGAAGTGCTTCAAGAAAGGCCTCATGGAGGCCCCTAGAGACCCCCAGCAGGCCACACTTGAGGCAGCAATTGCTGCTACTCATGAAGAAGCCGTTCGCGAGATTACGTACGGCTTGCAGAGGCTTCAGGCTAATCATCACGTCAAGGAGGTGATGAACATCCATAACTTCCTGAACCCGGCTGACGAGAATCTGACTGAAGAATCCGACGACCTTGACCAGCAGATTCTCGACCAGTTTACCCCGGCAGGCAATAGCGACGACGACGACGACGACGACGATAATGCTGAGCTTGAAATTGAGCCACGAATCACCATAGTTGAGGCCCTAGAGGCCCTCCGCCGACTGCGCCTTTACCAGGAGCAATCAGGTGGTGATACTGGCCTCATTTCTTACCTCAATAAGCAGGAAAGGGTACTTACGAACTCATCAATTGAAGCCTTACAGCAGAGAGATATCCGCATGTACTTTCAGTAGAATACAGAGCCTGGATAGGCGTGAAATACCTCAAGAATGACCTCCCCTCAATACTGCGGATACCTCATTTTAGCGGATTGAACGGAATGTCTCCTTTATTCCGCATAACCGGGGTTCACCTGTACTCGCGAGCAGGCGACTGGGAGGCGCTGTTTGGTTTATTGATTCACGTGGCACGGATCAAGATGAAAATGGGGGCCGTCAGTTGCTGTAGCCACACGTGGCCACGAGCAACGTCTGATGTTTTTGCACAACCGACGTGGAATTGCACAGAAACATGCGATTCCTGAAACAAAAGGTGTATATGTGCCTGATTCTAAGTTGGGGGGCCTATAATCCGTCGTGGTATGTAATCCGTAATATGCAGTGGAATGAACTCCTCATGCCCTTTTCGCAAGCTTTACGACCAGGCTTGAATTGTGGACCGGCACACGTGAAGCTGGACGGTGGCCTGGCCAGTATCTTCTCTTTCTTCCTCTCTCTTTTGAAATATTCATCTCTGTGACTTCAGTCTCTGATCAATGACGACGGGGTGCAGCTCCGCCAGAGACGATTGGAGCAACGCTCTTTTGAGAGACCCTGGGCGAGGCCCATGTCGGTTGACCGGGGCCATCCCGTTTCACCATGAGGCTAGCGGGCTGTGGCTCCAGGGTCTGCATCCATCTCTCCAAATGCGCGCCAGGCTCACATCTCGGCTGCAGGGCATCCCCGCCCGTTGCATGAAAGAAACAATTAATTGCTTCGAGCCACAGCCGACGCAGTGCAGTGCATACCGTACGACCGACCGGCGAAAGCATACAGGCAGCACGCCCACCCCCCAAGGGACGGCATCGGCCGCCCAGGACAGATCACGAGACCAGCCGTCGAGACTGCTGCATTCCTTGGGACAAAGGGCGTACCTTTTCCCCGGCCCGCGTGCCAGTCCTGTCCTCCCCGATCTCGTCCTTGTGCACGCCTCGCTCGGAGAATATTGTCCCCAGCGAAGAGAATAGACCGCTCCACCTGCTAGACTTCCACTGGGTGTCGCTGCCATGCACGTAACAGCAACAACAGTAGCAGCAGCAGCAGCCAGAGAAGAAGCAAGAGTGAGAGCAAAGAGCACAAACACGAGCTGTTGCAACGCGGCGGCCAATGAGCGTCGAGGTTTCGAGCTGCGCGTCGTGAGAGGTGATCTCGGGGTACCACACCTCCTGGCAAGTAGCCAACCAGGGGCGCGGTACCTGCCTGGGGAGGCCAGGCACGCGCCAATGACGGTGTGCTCAGGGCTGGCGACGCAGGTAGCGCGGCCCGCCAGTGATACTTTGGCCGCCCGCATCCCATGGCGTCAGGCACGCCCTGGCCCATGGCATTTGATCCATGCCCCCGCCCCGCTTTCGGGCGTCCTGCTGGCCCCATTCGCTGCGCGCGCAGGCGCCTCAGGGGCTGGGAGCTGCTTCTGCCCGCCGTCCCTCCAAGACAAACCACCTGCGCGCGGCCTGACTGAGTGCTGGCCGCCCACGATCCCCTGACCTGACCCGGCCTGCCTGTCGCGCCGGCCTTCCCCAGCTCAGCCCAGCCCAGCCTGCCCTGACCTCGCCGGCGCGGTCAGTGCCTGCTCTTGCCCCTGCCCAGCCCGGGGCCTCCTCTCCTCTTCTCGCTCGTCCGCGCCCAACACCTGCTCTCGAGCTGCCTCTCGCTTTCTCCTCCGTCGGCCTCAACCACGCGCGCCGTGATCGTTGTTGTTTCCTCTCGCCGTGACCGCCTGCCTGCTTGCGGCCTTGACCTGACTGTGCCAGCACGTCGCCGTCTTCTCCTTCGATTCCGCCCAGTTGCGTGCTCCTTTCCCGCTCGACCGACCCCCTTTACGGCACGTCCCAGGACATAACGACGACTGTCTGGTCTGCATCGTCACTTCGGCTCTTCGACACACTGGCAGCATCACGGATCCGGTTCCTGGTCGGCAGTTGTCCCGCGCCGCCCAGATCTTGCTATTGTTTGTCATCCCAGCAGCAATTTGGCTCGACAGCTCCTGCAATCAGGCCCCGATCCGAACTTGTTTGCTGTCTAACATCGCTTTCGCTTGACGGTTGACTGTCGCATATCCATTCCTTATTTTTGTTTCTGCCTACGCCATCGAGTGACACAGCACCAAGTCACCCCCAGGACCCTGGCTCCTCTTCACTCTTTCACGACCGCTAGGATCTCAAAGCCGTCATATCATGATTTGGTGAGGTCCTCTTTGAATAAATTCGACGATATCTATATATACGATTCACGACTGGAGGACAGTAGCAACAACAACACGAGGATCTCAACAACATCAGAATCACCACACAATCGCCCTGACCATGTCGCAACCTAAACCAGAGGTTGCCCTCAAGGGCGACTGCAGCGTCATTTACAACGACACTCTCTATTCATACTCGGCTGCTGCATTTCAATCACTCAAGCTGGAGGAAGGGGCTAAATGGAAGAAACTCCCATCCGGCGAAAGTGCGGATGGTGCAGTATGTGTTGGCTCGACGCCGGCTGACGCATCCCAAGCTGGTTTCTTCGTTGTGGGTGGTACATCTGCCAAGGCCGACTACACCGGTCTTCAGAAATTTACATATGCCTCAAAGACCTGGGAAACGCTCGCTCCCAACGCGGATGTTCCCAACTTCGATAACCACGTCACGAAAAACGTGAAGTGGCACAGTGCCACTTATATGGCCGCCAGCGAACAGATCCTCATGTTTGCTGGATCTTACGACGGTGTCCAGTTTCCCTCTGCCTCCACCTACTCGATCAAGACTACGGCCCCGTACAGAGTCTCTTCCTTTGACACTCTCATTGCGCCCCCGGCTGTAGCACCAATCCTGCTCCCGTGGTCAGATACCCAAGCTATCATGGTTGGTGGAGGCGCCACCAATACCAAGGTCGTTCTCTTCGACTTCACGACGAAATGGAATCCGACCGGTGCAAGCTTGGCCGCGCCCCTACAAGATACCTCGGTCTTGAAGGCCAGTCTCATGCGTGGCGAGGACAGCAGCGTTCACCTCTTCACCTTTGACGCAACAACATCACCAACGACGGTCCGCCGCATCATGCTTTGGAATGAGGTTGGAGCTCCTATTGAGAACGCTGTCCCTGTCGAGGTAACTGGGCAGGCCGCGGCTCATGCCAGGAGAGAGTTGACGGCTTCTACATGGCCGCCATACAACGCCACCCTGGCCCCTACCGCCAAGAGGACGGATTACTCGTTGGCGACGACCAAGGATGGCCTGGTGGTGTTGTCTGGCGGTAACGACAACGACGTGGTAGAGATGTTTGATTGCAAGCGTAATGCCTGGATGAATGCGACAGACTTCTTGGTTGGTGAGCAGTTTGTGATCAACTCAACACCCACGTTGAGCGCGACATCATCCACGGCATCTTCAACGAGCACATCGACGACAGGCTCTGCGACCAGCAGCCCCTCCATGATAGCGCCTGCTCAAGACAGCGCGACGCCGTCACCCACTGCCGCAGCTGCATCAGCCGGCAGCGGCCTCGCTACGACCACAATTCTCGGCATTGTTTTGGGAATCGTGTTTGGCCTGGCATTTCTCTTGTTCTTGTTGCTGCTATGTATCAAGCGAGCCCGAGCACGACGCAGCCACGCCGAAGCCGGTCATGCTCGACGGGCCAGCGGCTTCCCGCAAGAAAAGGACTATTCGCGGTACAACACAGCCAAGGCAAGTGGTCCGTTCGTGCGTGGCCACCAGCAACATGGCTCCGCCAACTCATTTTCCTCTATGGCTATCCTTATGGGCAAGGTGCAGAAGCCGGCAATTCAACGGAAGCCCAGCAATGACTCTCGCCGCAGCTCCGTTAGCAGCATTTTCAACAAGCAGTTCAAGGCCACCATTGGCAAGCCACAATTGCAGCCCGGCCCGCAGATTGGTTACGACGACAAGGAGATGAGCGCGGTCACGGAGACCGTTCGGCCGAGGCCCCGAAACCAGCAGCAGGCCAATGCGAATGACGATGAACTCAGACGCAGCTCTGGATGGAACCGTTACTGGTCCGGCGGGAGTACTCTCAACGTCTTGGGGTTCGGCAGCAACAGCAAGCGCCAGACAGTGACGTCCGATGGTTCACGATATTCTGATATGAACAGGATGACCCAGGACTCGGCTACAGTCCCACCTCTCAAGGTGGAAGACCGGCCATCGTTCTACAGCGTCAACACTGGCAGTCCCACAGTGTCTCAGTACAACCCACAGATTCGGGAACACATGTCGGGCAAGATCGAGGATCGACCAGTGTCTGCAGTGTCGGCATTGTCGTCCTCTGGCTATTCAAGCGGCATTCCGGCAAGCATCCGCGACTCGTGGGACGTGACCAACCCCAAGACGTGGACACAAGATGACCGTGCTGCCAGTAGCATGTACAGCCAGTACACGGTTCCTGTGCACAGCGGCTTCCAGCACACTCAGGCGCCACCAATGCCAAAGTCGACGGGAAGCCGACCGCCGACAGGCCTGTCTCAGCAGCCGCAGCTTGCCGTGGCCGCTACATCTTCCGACATGAGCTGGTTGAACCTCGGCAACCAGAGCCGGAACATCTGAAGCCTGCATACGCATACACGTTGCACACACAATCACGAACTCGTTCGATCGCCATCTTTTCCGACCTTCATTCATGCCTGCCGCTGATACCCATTGCGTCAAATTTCATCTTCTACTTGTTTGCATTCAAGCATCGGAAAGCGCCAGTCGACAATCCATGCGTGTCGTCACACTACCCATCCATTACTACTTTCTATTTCCAGCATAGCTTTTTTGTAAATCGCTAGACCTGTATTGGCCCATTGATTGGCAAAACTACTCACCTGGGGGCGCATTGGTGTTTTTCCTTTTCGTGTCCTATTATAGCTGCGATGCTCACTCGCATGATAACGGCAGCGCCTGCCGCGGTTCACACCATGACTTATTGGGGCCCATGACGGAAGGAGGCACAGTGTCCTAGGGTATTTGTCCTGTGCCGGCATGTCATCCGACGGTCAAGGGGAAGGGTCACCAAGGACAACTGTACTTGGTACCGTCATGTAGCCACAAAAGGCAGGGACTAATTCACGTGGTAATACATGGACAGTTTTCTTGTCCTCGAGTCAAATACTTTCCTGATCACTAGGGAATTAATGCTGTTCGCATAAACTCTAAACATTTCAATGGTCTTGGAGATGTGAAAAGGTTATCGAGCATCATGAAATGCACTCGACGTGACCCTGACACGAGTGCCCCTATGAGACGCGCGAAGTAAGACGTGGCGAATTTCCCGGCAGGCAAGTTTGAAAGTTCGCATTGTTGTATGGACTCGCCGCTCTGCCTGCCGTCTTTGCGTAATGGCGTTGGAGGGGGTCGTTAACAATTGGGGGGAAAAAGGGCAGTATCAATTAATAGTAGCGTTTCAACTTCTCATCGTGTTCCCCAAAAGCACGTCCAGCACAAAGAGGATCCCCCCCGCCCCCGCCCTTCGTTCTTCCAAACACTAGGAAACAGCACAGCACAGCACAGCACACAGTCGCTCCGCAACCCGAGGCCCGGAGATCGAGCCGCGCTGGCAATAATGATTTCCCATCTAAAGAAAGGAAGGAATGACCTCAAGAAGAACGGATGAAAAGAGGATATAAAGAGACCAAAACAAGAAAAAAGCTGGATATCGACACATGAGAGAGAGACCGGCCGAGAGAAGATGGAAAAAAAGTAGATTGTTAGGCAAGGAAAAGAAAAGAAGTTCATGTTGGTGTGTTTATGTAAAGAAGGGGGAAAAGCGAAGTCATAAAAGATATCAAGTTTATGCCCGTCTCCCCGCCTGCTTCAACCGCGTCACCCCCCACGCTCCGTCTCAATATATCGGCCGCGACGAGCCGCTTCCTTCGTCCCACTTCCTATGGATCAGTGACCGGTCGGCCGCAGCCTCGGGCGTGCCGGTGTGGTCCTGCTCTGACTTGACGGCTGACTCGGAGCCGGCGTTGGACACGGCGCCGTATGAGTAGCGCTGACTCCGTCTCCGCCGGGCCAGCGCAGAGCCTGGGCCACCACCACCTCCAACACCGCTGCCGCCCTCGATCGCGCCGGCCACGGGGCCGATCCACTCCCAGGCGCGGCCAACTTCGCCGTTGCGACCCTCGCGCTGTCCCGTGCGGACGTTGCTGTTCTGCTCGACCCACTTGATCACGCGCTGCCAGAGGCGCTCGCGCTTGGACAGCGAGTGGATCGAGCGCAGCACATCGTCGCGCAAGTTGGGCAGGAACAGCCACGGGTCCTCGGTGCTCTCCTCGCCGAGATAGCCCTCCTCGATGACGGCCTGCTTTTGCGCGGCCAGGCGGTCCAGCACGACGTCGACGAGGGCGGGCACCTGCGCGTTTGCGGCACGCTCGCTCAGGAAGCGCGCCCGCGCGTACAGCACCGTGAGCGCTAGGGCAATCACAGCGCTAATTTTGAGACGATGTCTTGCCAGGCCGAGTCGGATTGATCGCTTGACTGCGCATGTGAGCGGAACGCGAGCGAGAGAGGTGGACGATAGTCGGGTAGAAACGCCGCCGGAATCTCGGGCTCTATGGGGGCGGGCGGGGGTCTGGTTAGTCGCACTGTCAGACACTTGTAACGTAAAGCGTGGGATGTCTCTGCTTTGCAACGTTGTTCGGAAAGCGAGCTATGGGTCGGGGGAAGATGCGGATATGAAGGTACTTACTCCTGTGTCTCGACGACGACTTCCTCCCTCTGCGTGATCTCGCCCAGAGCAGCAGCCCAAAGGTCCTCAAATTCTTGATTGCTCATTTTCTTGCTCCGCTTCTGGTTGATGATGCCCTTGAGTTCCTGCTCTTCAATCGCCGGCGTCTCGACCTTGGCACCTTCCTCGTTCACGAGCTCCCCGCACTCAAACTTTGCTGTCCTCTCACGAAGCTCCTCGACAGCCTTGTCTGCTACTGTCTGCACACGCCTGACCTTCTCGCCATCAGGTTCGCAGGTCGGGGGCAGAGGAATGATGCCACCAAGCGAGAAAGGGTGCAGCTTAAGGATGTAGTCCTGCTCGCAACGGACGGAGTAATCGGCGTAGCAGTAAGCGTGGGCTGGGCAGGGCTCGCATTGAGGCTCGACGCTCTCAATGACAAAGTCTGGGACGTTGAGCACTGGAGGCAACACCGCGTGCGCCCACTCCGGGACCTCAATCTCGTTAGGTATCGAGCTCACCGTCTGGCCAACTCCGCAGTAACCGACAGCAATCTTCTCCTGCCTGAACCAGCCAGCATACGCAGCCAAAGCTGTCACGAGGACGACCGAGATGGGAGTGCCCCAGCCAGGACCAGAAGACTTTGTCGTGGACCGACGTACGGGCGCCAGTGAACGCTCTCCGTGGAGGGCTTCCTCTGCGGCAAGCTCCAGTTGCTCCTCTGGTGTGAATTCCTCCCCGGGCTCCAGGTACCCCATCTCGTCTTCGGCATATTCGGGCTCAGGTGTATCGTAGTGCTGTTCGACGGGAGGTGGAGTGCGCACAACGTTCGCGGATGACGCGCGCGGCGCACGCTTTACGGACGCGCCACTGACGGCTCTAGGGGTCTCAGCGCTGGGCGTCTTTCTCCGTACAAGGGGTGCCTTTTCGGCAGACGGCGGGGAGCTTGCGCTCTGGAATGGGTTTTCCCTCGAGAAGGCTCCAGACTCACGTCGGAAGAATCCCTCGTCTGTCTCCTCAGACTTTATCTGAGGAGGCGCACCGCTGGTCTGGCGCACTCTCCTCCTGGCCGTGCCATAGCTGGGCTCGGGCACGGGCTCGGGCGCGGGCTCAGGCGCGGGCTCGGGTTCCTCGGGCTGAGGCTGTCGACTTGTCTGGCGAGGCCGGCGAGCTTTGGCAGGACTCAACATCGGCTGTCCATCGTACTCCGGCTCTTCCGACTTGACCACCGGGACTGCTGCCTTTCGCGGGGACTTGGACCGGCGCAGCGTGGATGCGCGAGATGTCGGCGGCGGGAGGTCGTCGTAGTCATCAAACGGATTGACGCTGCTCTGAGAGCCCCCGGCGTCGACGATGCCCTTGCTCGACCGCTTCGCGCGCGCGCGGTCGGCGAGGATCTTTTTGGAGCGGGGCACGACCTCCTCATTGAAAATCTCGATGAGCTGGCCCTTTTTGGCGCTGGACGAGTAGGGTATGTTGTGTGCCACGAGGATGGAGCGGAGGCGCGGGATCGTCAGCGTCTTGGGGTCGAAGCCCGGCTGGAGGTACTCTACAGACTCCGAGTCTGACATGGCTGCGTCGGCGCACAAGCGTTCGAGGTGGCAGGTGTGATGATTTGTCGACTTGAACCTGTGTGTTGAAATGGGCTCCGAAGGCGAGGTCGGGACTGCCAGAGGGACTTTGGGTTTCACAATCAGCCACGCTGGCGACAAGATGCTAACCTAGTAGCGGTCGATCAGGTGGTTGCCGGTGCGCAGCGGGAAGGCGGAGAGCAGAGAGCACGGCCCTTGGAAGCGCGCAGCCGAATCGGTCTCGTGTGATGCCCTATGCAAGGGTGTCCTTATCTGGACTTTTCTGCCTAGTGGCGTTGTTGTTGTTGATGAGAGGAAAGTGGGTGATGCAATCATACGTGGTCCCACTTTTGGTTGTCGTTGGCAACACAGACTGAGGCCCACTTTAAGCCAAGTCCCACACTTGTGCGAGGACCAATCCGGCTCACGGACGATTTGAGCAGCTTTCGCCTGGCAGCGCTTTCAAGATGTTGTTTGATTGGAGCGCAATTAGGCGACCTACGCGACCCAGGCGGTTTATGCTGACATGCTTCATCCAAAGGCAGCTCTGGGCTTTGCTGGTGTGAAGTTTCAGCAGATCTCTGATGTTTCCGAGACTCGAGAGTTTACTGGATGCTTTTTTTTCCCCCTCCGCATTATTGTGACAACGGGCTTCGTCGCCGATAACTCAAGTATGTAAATGCCCAAAAATCCCTGCACGCCACGCCATATATAGTAGCCCATCCCTTCCTACAAATCCCCCATAAATATTGATTATTTGTCCAAGTAATGATAACCTTCCAGACTCTGGATCACGGCAATATTTGGTCCACGTGTTGAGCTGTGTATGCAACGAATTATTAATGTTTGCTTGTTGTGTTGAAAATCGAAATCTCCTAGGCGGCCATCATCTCGCTGAGCTTCTTTTCCGCTTCTTCAGCGCGCTGGTTGGCCTCGGCAACTTCCTTCTGGAGTTGTTTGATATATATTATCGCTAGCTCGACCGTGCTCGCCTTGCTATTTGGTGCGTTTGCGTTTGCATTTGCATTGGAATTCGTCGCTTTCCCCTCCTTCTTGTCCGCGCCACTACTGTTCTCGTCGGCTTCGATGCCTTCTTTGACAGAGTTCGGTAGGAGCGCGGCGATTTCCTGGAGGGCAGAGTTGATTCGGTTTCGTCGGCCTTGCTCCGCGATCTTGTGAGACGTCCGTTTCGACGTGAGATTCGTTGAAAGCTCGCTTGGATACGTGATGCCCGGCACCTTGTTGCCCTCAAGAATATTCTGATAATTGGATTTGGACGCCAGCAGCAAAGAGGCAGTGTCCTCTGCGGACATGCCTGGAGTTCCCGGAAGTAGTGGTTTGATGTTGGGGGATATCCTTGGCAATAGAGCTGGTGAGACTTGGACCGAACCCGAACGACCCTTCTTGCTTCCGCGCGCCGCCATGAGAGGTGTTTTGCGCAGGTTTGGTGTGGGCGCCTTGGGAGTAAGCATGGGACTTTCATTCGAAGTAGCAGACCGTGGCTGCTGTTTCAAGATGACTGGTGAGGGCAGTGCCTGAAACGACGCCTTTGGTCCCTCCATGTTGTTGTTGTTGACTACACTCGATTGCTGTGTCATGATGGGCGTGAGATCCGGCCGGGCCATCGATATGGGTTCGGGTAGTGCGAAGCTTTCAATATGATCCGAAGCGACTTGATCTGGGGCAGTCGCATCCGAGGGCTTGCTTCCAGGCGATATTCGGAAGAGCGAGGCGGGTGTGGCAGGTGAAGGTTTTCCACGGAGACTGGCAGCACCTTGGGGCAATGCTCCAACCTGTGAATTGCTCTGCGCTTGCATGTAAGGAGACTGCCGTGCCGATCGAGGCTGTGGTATTGGCGGAGGTGGCATCTCAGATAGGGCCTCCGGCGAGATCGAGGCATTCTCTGAGCCCTCAGTCGAGACTGACGATGGTGGAGCCAGGATTTGTTGCTGCGGCTGCTTCTCTTGGGCGGCGCGCTCTGCGGTCGACTCTGCAAGCTCCGACAATATTTGCGCCTTCATATTTGGCGTCGACAGCGTCTTCCTACGCTGTGGTTTGACCAAAGGAGATTGCCGCACGTTCGATTTTCGTGCCTTTGAAACGTTATTCTTGCGAACCTTCTTGGACAAATCCACGGAAGACACCGGTGCGGCCGGTGAATCTTTGTCCAAGTCAACCGGTGATGCCGTCGATCTGCTAGCATGTCTGACATCATAGCCGGCCATTGGATCGCTTTGGGCGTGAAGCGCGGGCGATGTCAGCGGACTGAAGTATGCGCCAGGCACAGTGAAGCCCGTGTCCACGGCGAAATGCGCATCAAGGGGTGTCACGGCAGGAGACACTAGTGGTGTGAAGGCCATCTGCTCCAAGGTCAGCCACTGATATCTCGACGCACAAACCCACAAGAGAGGTCCTTACATCTTGTTCTTTGTGGCTATACGTGTAAGGCTCGAACATGCCAGATGCCGAGCCTGGCTCTTGCTGGGAATAGTAGTGGTTCGATGGGTGCATCTCCAGACTTTGTGGCGTAGGCGGAACCACATGCCGCTGTTGCTGTTGCTGCTGTTGTTGCTGCTGTTGCTGGGCATAGTAGGCGGCCTGCTGTTCCTGGAAAAGCCGTTGCCGCTCCTCCAGCTGCCTCTGTTGCTCTTGCAATTTTTGGTGCTGGAGGAAGTTGATCTGGGCATCCAGCTCAGAAATCGTGTCTCCAGCGCCAGGTTGCGTGGGCAGCATGTGTGCCGTCAGGGAAGGATGCGTGCTTGCGGAGCTCATTGGAGCCATTGTCGTGGGCATGGCCATGCGACCCGAAGCAATCAGCGTCGTGGCGTCCGTGCCGCTCATTGGCGTGTCGATGCTCTCCCGAGGCTGCATGCCGTTGGCAGCATCCGCGCCGAAGTCCTGAAAGTCAAAGCTGATTGCATCGCCCATGCTGGAAATGTTGGACATGTCTAGAAACTGGAAATCATCCTCGGCCGCGGCCGGTGGCTGCGAGTCCCACCCGCTGGCTTGCATCATGACCGACTGTGGTGGAAGTCGACGACACTGTCCGGTATGTGGTGCCACAGTAAGAGGCAGCGGTGCCTCTATCGATCTGGTCAAGACGCTGACGGGCTGGCGGGTTTTCTCTGGCAGGACATGAAACCTGTCGGGACAAGCGCACGCAGAAAATGGCGAAGCGGAGCGGGGCTGGGCTGCTGAAGACGATGGATCTCGCGCGTGCGGGAGTGCAGGCCCGCGCGGGCGCCGGGCGGGAGAGAGATGCTGTGTGCTGGCGACGGCGTTGCGATGCTCGAGTAGCGAGCCAGAGGACGACTGCAGCGCGCAGCGAAGCTCGAGACGGAGTGACGGTCGAGGAGGAAGGAGAGTGAGGAGGAGGCCCACGGGCGCAGCAGAATAGCGGGCCAGCGGAGTCGTTGCGACAGAACAGCCCCGTGGGAGTTGGGCGACGAGAGGGCCGCGTGGGGTCGGTCGTGGAGGTGCTGCTCAGGACATGCTCCATCCATGTCCTCAAGCCACAACCTCGCACCTCTGCGTCATTCAAAAGTAGAATCCAAGTCCGAGACCATGAGCTCTCTCATTTGCGCTGGCTTTGCAAGAGATTCAACACCTCGGCCACAACCCTTGACACCCATCACTGACAAAAAGTGGCCGGAGAAGTCCTCGGAGAAGCAGGCGAGTGGGTTCCCCGCCTTGCGCGCACGCAGGGCCAGCCTGCCCTGCCCTGCCCTGTCCTGTCCTGTCCTGTCTGGCTGTCTGGCACAGAGCTCACCGGACGAGTGGGGGGGCTCTCGATCTCTCTGATTCTCCAGGCCTGGTCCTGGTCCTGGTCATCTCGCCTGTGGCTTCAACATCCTCTTTCCGCCTAGTGGCACATTTGGCCGCAGCACACCCAGAGCATGATTTTAACCCCCAGCGCTGTAGCCAGTTGTTGTCGCTGAGTGGCCATTGGGTGCCCTCAAACACGCCAGTCCTGGATCAGACAGACGTTGGTCGGCCTCCCCTCCAGGCCCGCTCGCTCGAGGACATTGCCAAAGTCTCGCCGCCTGGTGCATAGCTAGGATGGCCGCTTGCCGGCCTCTCGGCTAGCGGGAACCCTCCCGAAGGAGCATTCCGTCCCCTGTCTGCGCTTGGTGTTCCGACAGCTGAAGGCCAGCGGGCTCTGACCACAGATCCGGGTGTGCCCGTTGTGCGGCGGCACAGCAGAGGCCAGTGCCGGGCCTCGCCGGGGACGAGCCGCTCCTGCGACTTCGGCCGCCAGCCATGTCTGCATGCTGAGCCCATCCAGCCTGGGACCGAGCCGGCCACATTCTACGATCACTGAGGACACCGCCTCTCACTACTTAAAACCGCGCTGCCGATGACGTGCAGGCCGTGTTGCATCTCTTCAAACCTTTCCTGCCCCGCGCCGTTGAGCATGGTTGATTGGCCCGGCCCAATCAGATGTCAACGGCCCATGGCCGAGTTTCCTCAGATGCCATCAACGCGTGGGATATCATCCTTCAAATTTGTACACCTAAAACGGCTTCGTGTCGGCTCATAAGTGCAGGAATACCTACGTTAGTAGGTAGGCCTGGTGTTGGCCAGCCACGACGCCCGTGTAAGTCCTCTAGTGGAGACCGCATCCGCTAGCCCTTGAGTTTTAGGATGGCCGGCTCGACACCAAGCGCTGAGCACGGCGAGGGCTACATACCTCATTCCTGGCTCCTGGCAAGGCCAACTTCCCGTTAAGCCCTAGTTTTCGGGCCATTTGAGAGACCCTGCGCCCACTCGATTTTAGGGCGCCCAAGGAAGGCTCACGAGTCAGCAGCGTCTGATCTCCCAAATTCCCGCACATTGGGCATCCGGCTCAAGCGCTACTTGCCGACCAGTAATCTTTTACCCAGAGGCTCTAGCCTAGCGGTTCTATATCCTCAGGCTCTTGCAATCCCTGTTGGACCCTGAAGAGAACCAACTCGCAGGCCCTCAGGGCTGAGCTCCATTCGACGATTTATCCCAAGCACCCCGTGTCCACGTTGTGCTGGAACTAATACTAGACTCGAGTGGCTTGTAACCTGGGACCTTTGAACGAGACGCCACGAGCATAATCTCAGGCCTACTCGTTGGCGGTGAGCAGCAGCATCAAGTAAAGCACCGAGCGCAGCTGATGTTCTGGAACCTGCGCGCAATGGATTTTGGGACATCCGAGCGAATAGTCATACGGCCAGTCTCGGGCCTTATCCGTCAACGATCCAGCCAGGCTTCAAGACGTGATTATCGCCGGAATAGCTGTACGACTCCTGCAGCCTCAGCACGGCCAAACTCCAGCAGCTGAATGGAATAGCGGCTTCGGGTCGGCTGGATGAAGAGAGAGAGAGAAAAAAACACCTTTGATACTGCCGGCTTGCCCTGAAGTAAATCAGAGATGGTGATTGGCAGGCTTGTCACAGGCAGTCTCTGTGATGACCCGGTCAAGAAGGGCCCTGTCTCGGGCTCGGCGTGGCGTCCCGGGAAGGAGGTGTGGGCTGCGAGGTGTGGGCAGGGGGGGGCTGCTGCTGAGACGGGTGTGGCTCATGCATGGGATACGATCACATGCTGCAGGATCTTTTTGGGGGTGGGCTGGGGAGTGTGCACAATTGACATGCACAGTCGCCGGTGACTGCGAGATCTCTGGGTTTTGCTGTGGGCGCGTCGCATCGTGAACCTGCAGATTTCTTCGACTGCGCCGGGCAGGTGCTGAGAGGAGAGTGAGAGAGTGACGGCAAGGCAGCCCCTCTCAGAGGAGGGCTATCGGCGCCTTGCTGCGGCCCAGAGGGCCGGCTGGGCGGAACATGCCGACGGTACCTTGACTGATCGAAAATGTTGCGCAGTGGGCCGGCGGGCAATACAGCCTGCGGCACTACCTAAGGTACGATGTGAGCTCAAGCCGTCTGGCCGTGACAGACACGGGCAGAAGGTGATGGCTTCGTACGCGTCATGACCATCCATGGCACAGATCCTCCCGATCGAGGTAGGTGGACGCACCGGGCAGCGACTTCATGGTCTGCTCGATTCGGCCATCCGCTCGCTCGCTGATGCATACAAGTGCGCCCGTCGGAGTAGCATCCTGCCGTGCTACACAGGCAGCCGAACCTGCAGGTCTGCCACGGGTTGCAGCAGCAGCAGAACCGCCGCTGGGCGGACCCTAGTCAGGCGCTCTTCGAAAGAGACAGGTTTCCACCTAGGTACAAGGTGAAAAAAAATAGAATGGCACTGGCAAGGAAAAGGTCGGGTGCAGGCCGTGGGGGTGTTACTAAATCGAAAAGCGACCCTGTTCAGACAGCCCGTGGGGGCGCACCATTACGCTGTTAGTACTGCGGACAACAAGTCGTTGTTAGGGTAGTGCTAAGGAAGTAGGTTTACCTGGACCCTGGGCCAAGCCACTCTGTCCTGCCATCACTAACAGCGTGAGGACACAAAATCTTTTCCCAAAGGCCGTCTGTTCTCCATAGGGTTGCATGCTTCAATGCAACGACCTCTTGTAGGTTCTAGTGTAACAGGCGAGGGGCCGGTAGAGAATCAGGTCCACGGCCCGAAGAGCGTACGTAGCTGCTGCTTGTCCAGCCACGGCCAGGTGGCCCCCCCAACAATAAAATTCCCCTGCGAGGTGATCTCATTAGAAGCTATGGGGATTCGGGCTTAGAAGCTATAGGGATTCGGGCTTAGAAGCTATAGGGATTCGGGCTTAGAAGCTATAGGGATTCGGGAAGCTTTTCTTGTTCCCGCTTTGATCAGCTCAGAGATGGGAGAGGTAGCCACCAGCGACGCCACTTCCTGTCGTGAAGGCTGGCATGATGAATGGCAACAACGATAGACATTGATTCTCACATGGCCAACCTAGCATCACAAGACAAAGTCGGCCGCAGTAGCAGCGGTGGCTCCTTCGAGTCAAGCCTATCAACTATTTTTATGCTACTTGCGGGCCCCCAGGATGGCGAATATTTCGTAACATATCCACGTGTATATCTCTGCATGCTTCAGTCCTCATATGTACTTTGGCGTCGCCATCCATACAATCATCTCCCCTACCACGATCGCCACCACAATCAACATCACTACTACCACCGGCATATCACACACCAAGCCCCGTATCCCACAACAAACTTCTTCCCCTATACCACCGCGGAAAGAAATCGTGATCCCATCTCCATACCCGCCGGTCCGCCAAGTCGCCCAGCTTGGTCAGAGGGCGGAACAACGACACGGGCACGGGCTCGTACAGCCACAACCCCGCACGGCCAAAGTCGTCGAGCAGAGGCCACGCCGTGAGCGACAGCCACGCGAGGACAAATACCAGATTCGCCGCGCGGCGGACCCAGCGCGGCGTGGCCTCTCTCGACAGCGAGGTCCTGGACCACAGAAGCCGTGCGAGGTTCTGCTGCAGCAACATGCCCACTCCCGATAGGAGGAACGTGAGCGGCGGCATCCACCACTTGGACTCGGGGACGGTGGTGTAGCTGCCCGCGGCGTGGAGGAAGCCGGACTGGACGAATGCGATGGCGAACGAGGCAGCGTCCGCGGCAAGCGTGCCCTTGGTGATATACCCGTACCGGAGGAGGTACTTTGTCGGCGCGGAAAAGCCGAAGCGGAAGGTCTGATGCCACCACGACCCCCAGAAACCCGAAAGACCGCGGTCCAGGACTTGCGTAAAGGAGCCCATGATGGACGGCAGGTGCCACGGCTCGGCACGGAAGCCGAGCAAGGGTCTGCAGAAGAGGCAGAGGCAGAGCTGCCCGAAGTTGAGGACGAGGTGTAGCGCGGAAAGGATGGCGAGGAGCGAAAGGACCTGTCGCCATAGAAAACGGGCGGCTGGATGCAAGGCTGCCAGGTGTTGTGGCAGGGGAAGGTTATGTTCGGGACCAACAACAAAGTGCGGGTCGTGGGTGAGCAGCACAGCTAGAAGGTCGATCAAGATGTAGGACGGGATGATGCTCAAGAAGAGCGTGCGGTAGATGTACGTCCTGCGGGTGGTCACGCGCGTGTAGCCGTCCCTGGAACGGTTCGGCAGCGTGTCGAGAGATAGTTGCTTGGAACCTTTGCATAGTGGAGGCTCGTAGGGCGGAAGTGATGGAATGGCACAATTCCACCCGGTCATGCGGAATTGGGCGACATAGTCGAACGACCAGTTGAGCCGAGTCCAAAAAGGGGCGTCTTCCTGGAACTCCTGCCAGAAGTACTCGAAGTCGTCGCCGAGGCAGGGCTGTGGTCGAGCTGTGCCGTGATAATGCCCGTTGCCGTTCTGGGCCCGCTGCCTGCTATCAAGTCCATCCTGGACCTTGTGAGTCTGCTCATTTTCTGACGTATGACCATCCACACCACCATTGGCATGGCCAATCGAGTGCCCGTTGCCGTTTCTCTTCCGGGCAGCACTACTCGCAATCCCATTTCTCCCGCTAGACTCAATGGCCCCGAAGGAACTGCTCTGTCCTCCTGCTGCCTCATCTCTTCTGCCTGCGGAAAAGACTGTGTTGCTGTTGTTCATTCGCCTCCTCACTTCTACCCTCTTCCCATCCCACTGCGGCCTCGTCCACACTAGTACCGTAAGATTCCAAATGACCCCCCAGGCGCCCAGTAGACCAGCGGCATATGCGCTCGCAAAGTTTGGGCTCGAAACATGCAGGATCATCTGCACGTGGAACCACGTCAGCCCGGCCAGCAGCGGCCACCGCGCGACATAAATCCATTTCGACTGTTCCGAGCGGTGTGGGATGGCGAGGTATATCGCGGGGATGATGTATACGCCACAAAGGTACAGTGGGATCAGGAACGGCCTTGATGTTTTGTCCGTGCTGGTAGTGACCGAGGGGATGCTATTGGTGTAATGGTTGCTGGTCGTGTCGAGACTGGCAAAGTATTGCGCACGGTGAAGGGCACGATATGTCGATGCTAGATCCATCTGCGGCGATGCTGGCTGGTGATGGTGCGCAATGGAGCTGCGGAAGGGAACAGATATCATGACGCGGGCGCCGTTGCCTCTTGCTCAGGCCTAAATCGTCAAGAAACCAAACAGTCTACCGCAGATGCAATGAAGACGCTGCGACCATGATGCACATGCAAAGCCAATTCTCTCCCGGCGCCATACACAGGAACGATTGAATGTTGTAGCTGAGGGGCACAGGTTGAGAGGGAGAAGAAAAAGGACCAAAGGCATGATGATTTCACCACTGGGACCCCTAAGCCCAAGCACGTTGTTTAGTGGCGCCAGGTGGTCCCACCGACCGAAACAAGGACTCTGGCAGGTCGCCTAGGGCTGTCGTGCCAAGATTGGCTTTCCAAGCTTCTCCCCTAGCGCAACAAGGCATGCAGGGCTTCCAAGGTTATCGTTGCGTAGCAAAGGCCAAGAAGTGTTGAGCATCGCTCGGACCCAAGCCGTTATGAATGAAAACCCTACGTTGAGAGCGGCAATGGTCGGAGGAGTATTCACAGAGGTGAACACGGCCAAAGAGGAAATCTGTTCTGCACCGCACGGTTTGCGGCTCGGCAGATCGACGCTGCTTGCCAAGCTGCATCCTAGGACCCAGGGCTGATCGGCCCGGTGGCGTCACTTCCCGCCCGCGCGTGCCTAGGGCCGCCAGCCCAGATCGGCTGGGGTTGCATCATCGCAAGGGGTCTTGCAGAGCATACCCCGGTCTGATGTCACCCAGGGACTGTCTTCGCCGGAGCTGTTGATCCCAAGGTCGCGAGTGTCACAGCTAAATGCCGTTTTCCGTGCCATTATACTGCGTCTTTGACTTGGATGACCGAGGAGCGGCCTTGCATAGCGGAAACGGCTCAGGTCATGTGGAACGATATTGCTGATATTGATGCGTGACTAAGATGATCCTTTCAATGTCTCCGATGCAGCTTCCCTTGATCATCCGGCAAAATCAAGAATTCCCCGTGCCGTCCAAACTCCTGTGGACCGGTGATGTCCACGATGCAGATTTAGAGTCCCAAATGTGTGCTACTATTTTCCACAAGAATGTGGTAATTGCATGTCGTCCGCTCGTCAAGTTAGGCCGTCCAGACTTGCTGCCATGGCGTCAAGGTCAGCAATGCCCGGCCAAGACAGACGCACACCCAGACCAGTGCTACCCCAGCAATACACAGAGCTCCTAGCACCGAGCTGCGCAGCTCGAATGCGTCCGCCGCCTCGAGTTTCATGATCTTTCTCTGCTTGGAGTGGTAGTAGAATCGCTTGTCCATGTAGTTCGGCGGGTTGTCGGACCTGTCATCAATGTAGTGGTATGGCTGCGGGCGGAAGATAACTCCCTGCAGCCAGCTTGGTAGCCACGCCGCGACGCCATTGTGTGACGGTCGCCGAGGATGCATGGCGACTCGTTTCCGCTGGTTGCGGCCGCTCACGATCCAGAGGGAAATTATGAATGTGACGAAGTTGAGGGGCGTCATGATCGTCTACTGGTACATTAGTTTTGCGGTCGAAGAGCTTGTCGCTTTGAGGATGGCCATGTGAAGCTCCATCGGCCTTCTTCAAATGACTTGGTTTCACTGACCTGGTACAGCTTGGATCCTGCCACGTTGGCTGGCGGCTTTGCGCCAGCGCCGCCGCGGGTTGTGCCATCCATGCTTGCGACTTCTAGTTTGTGCCGATTGCGCTGGAGAGAATGTGGCGTCTCATTCGCGTGGGTATATTCGTGCTTGATGGACAGACAGGTCACATTGGACTGAGGGCTTATCGTATCCCTGCGGCAAGGTCCTTGGAAGGTCGCATACAAGGGCAAGGCTGATCGTGTTGTGACAAACACAAGGGCAGGTTCAGTAAAGGACGACTTGGGTGAGGAGCTCGGGACAGTGGGAGGCTACAAATGTCGAGATAGTAGCTGTGGTAGCGAAACTCAAATGGTATTAAAGTGATGGCCGAGCTTGTCGCGCGCGTGGCAGGATAGCGCCTGTGACAAGAAATTGCGGCTTGTGGCACAGACTCGATGGCCCAAAGGGTATGCGAGGATGGGAAAGGGAAAGGCCAGTGATGAATTATTTTGCCTTTGTGATAGACTTTAAGCACAGGTCGTTCTCGATCCGTGTGTAAGACTGGGAGGTGCAACCCGTTGGAGCCAGCCGCCCAGGGTGACGTTATTGCTCCGGCTGTGCCAGGCACCAACTAAACCCCCATTGCCCCGCAGCCGAGCATCCGGCGCAAATGGAGGCGACCAAGACGTCAGTCAGGCATTCGCATCTCGGCTGCACCCGAGGATTTCCTTTTCTCCACCAAGCGTTTTGTCAGTGACAAGGAGCTCATACACGATCAACCAGTCTGGTGACACGCTATTCTTAAAGGGTCCATGGCTACGTTCGTGCTACGCATCGCCTTCCTAACACGTGCTTTCTACTTTTCCGAATGATCCGCGTCCCAAATTGTGGTATCGTGTTTGCGGTACCAGAGGGATGGTAGTTCTGGAAACGAATTTGAGCCAAAATGTTTTACTTTTATTTGTCCAAATCTAACACTCCAAATCGCCTTCACTAGCTACGTGTGTTGGCGATAGCCAGGACCAGGATGTCGGTGGCGCCGACCTTGGTAAGCTCGTCCATTATCGGCGCGAGCTTCTTCTTCTCCACCATTACACTGACGGCAACCCAGCCCTCGGCCTCGAGGGACGTGACTGTGGGCGCACGCTTGCCAGGCGCAATCTTGGTGGCAGCCGCCAGGACGCTCCGCTCGACGTTGTACTGGCACAGGACGTACTTCTGCGCGGTAATGACACCACGGATGCGGGATGCCAGCAGCTCGACGAGTTCGGGGTTTCTCGGTTTCCTGGACTTGATGAGAATGGCAGAGGTTTCGACAACGGTATCAATTGGCTTGAGACCGGCGGCTCTCATCGTCTCACCAGATTCTGTACAGTGTTAGACCTTTGCGTCAATATGCAGTGGGCTAGAAGATCGGAGCTATGTGCGACATACCGACCAAGTCGACGATGCCGTCTGCAACACCTAGTGCACAAGCAGCCTCGACACTGCCGCTGAGCTCGATGATGTTTGTCCGGAGCTTGCCACTGAATCTCACCGACTTCAGGTCCGCTTCTTGGGCGGCATCCTCTTCGGCCTCGAGGTTCGCAAAGTACTGACGGGTCAGGTGGACGAAGCTGGTGCCGATGTTCTTGCCGACCAGGTCCTTGGGAGTGGTGTACGAGCCCTTCTCGGGGACCTGAACCTGCAGCTTGCAGCCGCCGAAGCCCAAATCCAGAACCACCTCGCATCCGGAGCCGTTTGAGGTATGGGCCGACTCTTGCTCGGGCGTGATCTCGCCAGACATGCGCCTTGCGCTGTGAAGGGCGCGAATGCCAGCATCGTGCTCCTGGACCTGGTCGAGACCGGTGATGCCGAGGTCGACTTGGCCCTCACCGACGAAGGTGGGAATATCGGCCGCCGGTAGGAAAATGAGCGCGATTGGGAGGTTCTTGACAAGAGCGATGTCGAGTCTGTTTTCGCGGCGGAACTGGACGTCGGCACCCTCAAGGAGGTTCAGCGTGGCCTGGTTCAACCGCCCCTCTGGATGCGCAGATGGTGTCAGTGTTCCATACGAGTACGATTCGTTGTCTGCGGGCTGGAAGGGATGCTACTGACTCTTGGGCACCGCGAAAAGGAGTCGACCTTCGAGGCTAGAATTTTGGGCAGGAACAGTTAGCGCGCTCCGCATGAAGTGCATGCTTTCTCTGTGGGCTCGATGGAAGGCATCTGAGTTGGAGAGACTTTGGTACTCACCCGCTGACGAGATCCATGGCGTAGAGCTTGTGTGGTATGGCTGGTGATTGCAAGATTGGAGGTGAGGGACGGCACAGACGGGCGGACGCCGAAGATATGGGAATTTGTCGCGGCGCGAGCCCAACTTGTGGACCTGGCAGCAATCGGCAGGTGACGCAGGTACCCTCCGGGGCGGCGGTCGCCGATGCGCTCGCTACCTCGAGAAGGTCGGGTATCCCGGGCAGCACACCCAGTAGCACAGAGCAGACTGATCAATTGCACTGGCGGAAAGTCTGGACGACTGTACCGAATGCAGGAAACCCAAGCCTACCTGAGGTATCCTCACGATTTGCGCCTACACGTGTTGCCAGACAGACCTCGATGACTGCACGTGGAGGGGCAAGCGAGCGAGATCGGGAGGGGCAGCACCAGCGGAGATCTCCTAACCGCCAGCCGGATTGCCCAAATTGGCCTATGACAGGCCCGCGACACGGCGCGTGCCTGGAGTGTAAGGTACCTCACTTAGTGTAATCACAGCCGTGCCTGGGCCACCAGCCTGCACTACACTAATACAACAAGGTCCGCGCTTGGATCTGGCACTTTCTGCATCTCAACCTGGCGCACAGCAAGGGCGAAGTTGAATGCAGAGAGTCGGCCCACGGACATCGTCGGGTGGAGAGATCTGGCTCCGATGCTCTGGTCTGGACGGTCGAAGAATGACTAGACCATATTGAGAAACAGAGCAGCGAGCAATGCTGACAAGATGCAGGCTGAGGCAGAAGCTTGCGACAGTGGTCTGGGTTCAGAGTTGGGATGTAAGGCCCGCGTCACTGCTATGAAAGTGCATGGTCCATTGGCCCGTGGTGATGCTTTTATTACAGACATCCACCCACCACGGATATTTTGGCATGCCAGCCCGAGCCGGCTCTCCGGCACGCCCACCTTGGAATGCGCCAAGGCCAACAGCCATACGATGCGCCCTGTAGCAATCCTGGTCTAGTTCACAGTCGTATTGTTGTTGCCTGCGGGCGGGCGTAGTTGCTCAATACGCGGACACAGCACTGGGGACCCGTGCCGCCCTTGTGTCCATGCTTGCCATACTCTGGGCTGGAATTGCGCTTGCTGTCTCAGAGTCCTTGTCCCACCAATGCATCTCCCACGCCTGGAACGTTGAGACGGTGTTGCCTCCTGCCCCGGCTGGAGGAGGACAAGCACCTAGCGTATGCTATGAGCCCGCAGGCCGCCAAAAGGTAAAGGTGGCAGCCAGGGGTCTGCCCCTGGGGGGTGGAGCTGGGGTGCGCTAGCTGCACATCAGACCCCTGTTCCCGGCCACGACAGCTCACCCTCTTCTCGTCTCCAGCTCTCCAACTGCACCCTCGACGTAAGCGGCACACGTCTACCTCAACGCATAAACACTTCCCGTCCAGATCCCTTCCCGGCCTCGACAACTCATTGTAAACGCACGAGACCAACCCACGTTGAGAACTCCACCAGTAACATTCCCTTCTCGCAGTCGCCATTCCGCACACAGACAGCCGTCTCGAACAAAGCCACCGACAAACACGATCCGCCCCAGATACACGTGCTGGCATCCACTGCCCGATAAAGAGAGCTCGGCGCGGAGCCGTCGTTGCTCGCCAATATGTCAAGATGGTCAGGGAAGCCTGCCATCAAGGGCAACTCTGAAGCTGTCCGCATGGCTTTGCTCACCTGCAGCACAGTTGGCATCACGTATGGTGTATTCCTCTTGGCGACCTGACACCCAGCTATTGCTAACAGCCACATTTGCCTGCCATTGGAACAGATTCGTTTGGGGCGTGGAACAGACTTGTAGGCAAACCCCCAAAACACCACTGCTCATATGGCAATGCAACTAACTGGACTGGCTCCTCTTCTTAGACTGCACCGCATACCTCCTGTCCCTCGGTCTGACCAAGTCCAAAACCTCGCTCGTATGGATTGCCGGACCTCTGTCTGGGCTGATTGTCCAGCCCATTGTTGGAGCGATTGCAGACGAGTCGAGATCGAAATGGGGTCGCCGGAGACCATTCATAATAGTTGGCGCCCTGCTCTCGGCCCTGTTTATCCTGGTGTTGGGCTTCACCCGCGAAATCGTGGACTGCTTCGTGTCTCATGAAGACAGCGCGAGGAGCATCACAATCTGGCTGGCCGTGCTGTCTATATACTGTGTGGACTTCACCATTAATGCAGGTCTGTACCGTCTCGCTCGCTCTCAGACTCAACTCTTGAAGCTAACTGGTCTGTTCAATCCATAGTCATGTCAGCTGCCCGAAGCCTTGTCGTGGACACTCTGCCGATTGAGAAACAGCAGACTGGATCGGCATGGGGTAAGATCAAACCACATGCAGCTGGATACGAAAGTAGTGCTGATAAGGACAACCAGGCGGAAGAATGTCTGCCGTCGGCCACGGCATCGCATACGTCACGGGCGCAATTGACCTACCTGCCACGTTTGGCACTTTCTTTGGCGACACTCAGTTCAAGCAGCTGACCCTCGCCGCCGCTGTGGGGATAATCGCGACTTGCTTCTTGACATCGTGGGCGGTGACCGAGAAAGTGCTGCTAGACACGCGCGAAGAGACAGAGAAGGAGGGCGTCAGCACACTCAAGGCAGTTCGGCAAGTTTGGGCCACCTTGCAAAATATGCCGCCACGGATACGTGCCATCTGCCATGCAAACTTCTGGGCGTGGCTAGGCTGGTTCCCATTCCTGTTTTACAGTACCACCTGGATTGGGGAAACCTATTTCCGCTACGATGCCCCTGAGGAAGCACAAGCGTCCAAGGACCGTCTAGGCGACATTGGTCGAGTCGGCAGCGAGGCGTTCATATGGTATTCGATCATCACGTTCGCGGCATCGTGGCTGCTGCCGTTTGTCATCCGGTCGCCTGACGAGGAAGAGTACACTAAGAGACCCCCTCAGAGCATCAAGGTTCTCGTCGAAGCACTTAACAAAAACAAGCCCGACCTTCTTACAGCGTGGATCTTGGCTCACGCAACTTTTGCCGCGACAATGATCTGGGCCCCTTTTGCCCACAGCTACCGCTTCGCAAGGCTGCTTGTCTGTCTGTGTTCGTTGTACGTATCCTCAAAACTCACCATCTACGTAGCCGAGCACCAGCCTAGCTGACCTCTTCCTTTCAGACCATGGACCATCGCCATTTGGGCGCCGCCGACCTTCCTCGGTGTTGAAGTCAACAAGCTCAGCGGCGCGTCTCACAATCCTTCTGCGCGACATGCTAACGGCATAGGCGGCGGCGCGGGGGACATCGAGCTGGGTGGATTACTCTCGCCCGTCGACAAGGAAACCACACAAGGCGGCAGCAAATCCAACCCGAGCGGTAGCGGAGAGCTTTCGGGCATCTATTTTGGCATTCTCAACATCTACACGACAATCCCACAGTTCATGGGCACAATCATCAGCACCATCGTGTTCAGCATCCTGGAGCCAGGAAAATCACCCGAACTTGCGCACCATGCGCACCCGGACGAACACCACGGGACGGATGGACCCAACGCCATCGCCGTGTGCCTGTTTATTGGCGCCCTTGGTGCCATCATGGCAATTTTCCAGACCATGAAGCTGAAGCATCTGTAGTAGCAAAATGTTGTCTCCAGGGCAAGCATGTGGCAGTTATTTTACCTTGTCCCCTTCGTGTTTGGCGATGAAGTTTCTTTTTTCCTCGGGGTAATTGATAGTAGAGGACTGTAGAGCCTAATGACAAATAGACAAGCATCCATGTTTCCGATTGATACCAACAAATGAGAAGCTACTCGAAACCCCCATTCTCCCTTGCTAAGTTCGGTTTCGCTCACCATCTCGCCGGCTCAAATTGGGCCCGGCTAGAACTCAATACGGCTCACCCGCCCGTGCCGAACCTTCCTCTGCCCACCGAGCACCCTGATCTCTGCGTCCAGCCATGACAGCACACCGGCGTGCTTGGCCTGGCGCTGTCCGAGCACGCGCTGGAAGGCACTGTACGCGAGCCTGTGTGTCCCGGGCATTGCCCATGGTGTTAGCACGACGTCGAAAACGACGATGACCACTTTCCAAGGGAGGTAAAAAATTATGCTTGGAGGAAGAAGAATAACTGGGCAAGTAGGTGGTGAGAAGGCAAGACAAACCGTACGTACCATTGTACTTCGTGCCACGCAATGTCGCAAACGTATCCCGGGTACCGCGTCTTGCGACGCCTACCGACGAGCATTCTGTACCCTTGGCTGACGAGCTTGGTGATCGTACCTGTGTGCGCGCAAAATCCAAAGATGTTCAGTACAAGCTGTGCATAAGCGGCCTCGATGCTGGGGCTCACTGCGTGTTGCTGTTGTTGATGTTGTTTCGTGCAACAAGAAATCTGCTGGGGAACATCTGCTGTTGAACATACCAATGACCAGGCTCGACCGGGGCTGCTGGGCTGCCGGTAGCGAGCGGGCATACGCCCACATCTTGACTGCTGCTTCGGAAAAGGCCGCGGCAATGTTCTTGAGTGCTGTGGTAGGAGAGTTGAGTTGCGTGTCATAGTAGAGCAGATGCGCCTGCAGCTTGAAAGAGTCTGTGACCAAGTCGACGAGGTTGTGTCAGTAGACAGAATTAAGAGTTCGAGAATCTCAGACGTTGGGCAGTTGCGATGCCAATGCGCCAAAGTAGTCCAGAGACAAGTTACTTACTGAGAATCTTGCGTTGAAAGCTCTGGCCAGGCGTCCGGCTATACTCGATTGTGAGGGAATCGAAAACTGCTACACCAAAGTCAATAAGAAGGCCGGGTGACGCATGGAGAAGCAAGCGTACCTTTGCCTCCGTCCTTGTCACGAGCGCGCGAGACGTTGAGGTTACCACAGTCAATCAGCGTGCCACAATATGGGAACCGCTCTCCTGGTGTCGTTCTTGGTACTTGATTTCCATCGACGGCAAGCTCAAAATTGACCATGGTCTTGGCCGGGTTGACAGAGACGCCATACTCGGGCACTCCGCGATGCATGACCTCAATGAAGCGGGTCGCCTTGGCCCGATTTGTAGTTATTAACAAGAAATCATCGATGAGCCGCAACAGCAAGCAGTCGCTAGAATCGAGAAATGGTAGTGCGTGGACTTCCAGGTCTGCATAGAAATAGTTGCAGAGGATAGCGGATAGTACGGAGCCCTGGGGAATCCCTTTCTTCTGTCGATAGAACTTTTTGCCGACCTTGACGAGGTTGTCTTGGATGTGGTTGGACACGAGCTGCATCAGCTCCGCCGTATCATATTGCTTCTTAAAGAAGCTGTCAACATAGACAGCATTACTCTGATTGTTGGCAGCGCCGGACTCAATGATTTGTAAAAAGTTGGCCTTGTCGTGGGCCGTGCGTGCCGATGTTGTCCAGCGTCTGAAAATCTTCGAGTTCTTGGATCTCTTGATGTCGGAGCACCCAGGAGACGCCTCAAGATGCCTCTCTATCTGGTAGCGACGGTGCTGTGGTATGGATGCAAGGAGATTTACAATAGCCGCCTGTGGGATCGTGTCGAAAGCAGTCTGTACATCGACCTTGGCGAAGTAGAATCCCCCAGCACAAGATGACATTCTCTGCTTAAATGGTTGGAGCCGTGTGTATATGTCACCAACCGCAAACAGGGACGAACCGAGCTTGCTTTCGTTGGCCGTCTTCGAGGTTTTGTCAGTTACTGGGCAAGCAGACCAAGGACGCACTGAACTCACCTTCTCGAGTTTCAGGACCGCGTGCGCAGGTGCGAGTATCTTGTTGATCGCTGGTCCCAGCTCCTTTCGGCCACGCTGCTTGATTGTTCGTCTACGCAGATTCGAGATCGCGCGCATACCCGCAGCTTTGGGCAAGAGTCGGATCTGGCTGAACCCAAGCGATCGAGAATCAAGTATTCTCCGCGCATCACTCAGCTTGACCTCCTCCAACATGTTGGCTTTCAATCCTACCATCGCAGGCTCGGCGATCTGTCGCCAGACATCATGCCGAAAGAAGAAGAGTCGGTAGCGGTGGCTGCTTGACTCGGTTACATAGAAATTGCTTCGGATCAGGGGTATCACAATCGAATCAAAAACAAAATACACAAACTCCGCGAATAACTCGGTCCGCTTCCGAATGTCAGACTGAGAGGTCTTGTGCGCCAGTAGCCTCGACGAGGCTAACCATTCAATGGTAGAGATCTTACGCATACGTATTAGCCAAAAAAAAGAAATTGAGGTAAGCGCAGCAAGAGCAGCTTACATTCATGCCCTGCATCACCTCGTCGAGAGTCATATTCTCCAGGCGCCTCAGCGTGAGAAAGCGACGGACGTTGAGCAGAAAAGTATTGCGGTTGGCTTCACCTATGCTTTCGGAACCCCAGAAACCTCTGGGTATGATGCTGCAAAGTACAGCTTGGCAAAACGCCAATATCTTCGCATGAGGTACCGCTAGGTCCACAAGCGATGCAGGCCAGTTCTGACCAGTATTTGGTATGGCTAGCTTCGTTTGCGAGGACGTTTGCCTTGCATTGCACGACGCTTGCGGGTTGCCATCCGGTGTGCCAGGCAGCTATGCTTGTCAGTCCCGCAATGATCTAGAAATAACATCATGTCGAACGTACCGGGCAGTAATGATCCATCAACTTTGAATACGAACATCGCTGATGCTGCTTTTGCATCTGCTTCACCAACTCCGTCGCCCGACCACGCAATCGTTTGGGCGTGTTGATCTTCTGGCCAGCTCCGTGCTTGCCAAATTTCAGGACGATTTCTTCTTCGCGCAAAGTGTAGTCCTTGAATCGCTGTGAGGTTTCACGAAAGTCGACCTTTGTGGTGAAAGGGTTGTGCAACCCGAATTGGCGCGGAAACATGTACATAAGGACCCTGTTTGTGCTGGCAGTATTCTGAGCCAGAACACTGGGGGCATCAGCGACTTGATCATGGACATCTTCGCTTTCGCTGCATCGCAGAGGCGATCTGTTCAGTACGTCTAGTCCGAATGTCAGCACAATCTGAGCAAGCTAAGAGTAGCATAGCCTTACGAATGTGTCGTAGTCCAAAGTGAACACGTCCACGGGCATTTAGTGCGGCCCGCGCGTACATCATGCGGTAGCGAGCAAAGACTATATCAGTCGGCTGATTGATCACCGGAGATGGTTGTCCAGGCTTCTTCGTGCTTGCTGGCCGTCCCTGTCCGACTTCTGACAGAGGTTTTCCTAAAGCCGGATAATCAGATCGCCTGCAATTTGAGCATCTCTTTGAGTCGACTGGTTGACCTACCGCTAATCTGACAAAAGTTCTGCTCGCCTGCCTTGATCAGCTTGAAGATGGCACAATCCAGCAGCAAGTCAATCATGATTCGCTCGCCGGACTTGCCAAGAAGCAGCAGCAAGTCTGGCCATGGAGACTGCTTCAGCATTTGCACATAAGGATTCGGAGACATCGATAGAATACCGGGAATCTCTCGTCCCGCGCCTACGGGTTGTCGCTGGGGTCCAGAGCCCCAATTCCTGCGATAGCCATCGCACAGCATGTGTTTCGGCCACCCGTTGGCCTTTTTGGTCTTCTCGAAGAGCGACCAGATCGCGAAATCAACGATCTGTTTGTTGTTAGCACAGAGATCTTGCCAAGAACAAAACCGCCACAGCCGCAAGATCCCTGCTTTAAGAACATGGCACGAACCTCAGATTGTGAGTAGGTCGAAGCACCCACGCCGTCCGAGAGCGTGACAGCAGACTCATCCGCACGCTGAGAGAAGCCAACCCATTGATCCCAGCGGCCATCTCTGCCGTTGTAGCAGCCTCCAGGCCCGTCCTCGCTGGTGCCGTAACCCGCATGACCCACGAGCGTCGAGTCAAGCAGTTCCGCAAGAGCTGCCTCGACTTCAGAGACCGGCTTTCCGGGCTTCCCTTTGGACGAAGCCCTCTTCCCGACAGCAGTCACTTTCTTCCTCCGGATCCGCGAAGATTGGAGCAGCTTCGCGAGCACGTAGTCCCGCAGGCGCTGCACACTCGGATACAGCTGGCTCAGCACAGGATGGTCCACCGTGGTTGTCGTTGGTGGTGATGGTGGTGCCACCGCTTCTGGCGCACCCGCCAGCGACTGAAGATGGGGTGCTCGTTCCTGCGCATTCGTTGTTCTGAGCCGTTTGTTATTAGGGCCGGGCTGCAACTCAGAGCGCCGCCGTGACCGCTTGGACGATCGGCAGGCCATCTTGTGGTCTGATGAAAGTGCTCATGCTGGATGCGCCTGCGCGGAAGCTGTTCCGGCTGGACTGTCGGGCGGCATCCGGGAGATGCGTTGTCTTTGTGCTATTGGGTAGATGGTTGGCCGTGCATTCAGTGTCTGCAGCGGGTGTGAATGAGCAGGCCTGGATGCGTAAACTGTACTGTCCCTTAATGAGGGTAATTGAGACTCGGGCCTCCACAGCAGCAACAATCTGCGTCGTGGCTCTGAAATGCTTTCCAGTGCACTGGGTACAACGCTGGAGTTGAGGCCGGAGACGCGTGACGCGTTTAGTGGGAAGCTGTACTTAAGTGACGTCCGAGCTACAATCCGATTCTGGGGGTGGGCTCCAGCATGTCCGCAGTCTGGATCGTGCACAAGCAGAAATTAGAATGATGATAGCATGCAGAGAAAACGGACGATATTCCATCTAGCTTTCTTGCTCGAATGAATCAATGGCCGAGTGATTTCACACCAACGATGTTGAAGTCTTGAGGTCCGAAAACCACCACAAACTTGTACATCCAGCTATTTCCACCCAGGCTGGCCACGCATGTGATGCAGGGGTCTCGTATCGTTGATGCGAACCAGTCAGCAACCCAAGTCAAGAATCCCAGGCAGATCAAATCCTTGTGGTGACGTCCGTCATTTCTAACGAGCACCCGTATCTCCCTTTGCACGAGCATCATTCATGTACAGAGGACTGCAACAAAAAGCGTCCGTGATTCACGGATCTTACCCAACACGAGGGTGTCGAGGACGCCAGGCAGGGATCCCATGCCCTTTCAGCGCCCCCACTCCTGTGCTGGTGCTTCGAAATTCGTTGAGATGTCTCGTTCCCAGTACATGAACGGTCCCTATGGTTGAAATATTTGCCGACGGAAGAGTTGCTGCCCGTTGTTGTGCAATGCGACCGAAGTCCTGATTCTGCACTGCCCTGGCAAGTCTGTCTAAGCTACCGTCACGGATGGTAGAACAAATATTTCCGGCGCATTAGGTGCATTGCTTCTAGCTTCGTTTTGCTTTCTTTTTCCTTCGGAGTACATTTTAGCGGCTGGTGGGTTTTATTGCTGGGGATGAGGGTCGAGGTAGCGGCGGACAAACAGTTCAGGGCAACGGAAATGAGCACATCATTCTTCGCGCAGCTTCAACGGCAATGCCTCGAGCGACTTCAGGTACTCAGTAGTGCCGGGGCGGAAGCTCTCTCAGCCGCTCGCCTCCGTAATCAGCATCAGCAGACATTTCTGGATACCCCTGGCGACCAAAAATAACGCCGAACACGGACCCTTGCAGTGGTGGCTTTCCGGGGGAGTCAAGAAGCCTTTCCGATATGCGTGGCGAGCTATTAATGATTCGGCCAATTGTTCGCTTGCTGCGCATAGCCACATTAGTATTGTAGCAAGCACTTGGATGGCAATCATCAAGGCGATAGGATAGGTCAGCGTCACTCGGGATTTGAGCCGGTAGCTTACACCAACAATGGAAGCAGGGCAAGGACGACCGAAGAAAAAAAAATCAAAGCAGCCCTGGCCTCCGCAGCACAGGGTGGCCATCAAGCAGACCTTGCAGAAAGCTGACAGAGGATCACGATGCTGGCTGCGCACCTCGACTCCACCCGAGAGTACTCTGGATGCTCGCAAGCTTGTCCATGTGTTGGTCTTCGGCGGTGCAGGGAGCCAAAAGAAACAACTCGTTTCACAATGGCCGACCCGTCGGGCAGCCAAGCTCCCTTGTTTGGACAACCGATGGAGTTTCCCATATGCAGGTCGCCGGAAGACCGCGAGATTAGGTTTGATTTGCCCAATGGCCACACGCCATGGGCATCCTCATTCAGCAATGGGACAGGCCGGTGTCAGGCGCGCAGCGCTTACCTACCTCGCGGAGCCGCGCCGAACGGTGCATGGCCAAAGTAAAATTCGGCAAGCGGGTCCTGCGCCACGAGAACCTTGGAATAACCGGCTGGCAGACCGGCGCCCACCGTTGCATCAATTCTTCAGGCTGCCGGGGCTGTCTTACTGTTCCCAAACCAGTATCTCTTCGTTTGTTGTGAGTTGCTGAAGATGTAAACACGGATTCGCTCGGGTCTGTTCAACATCTTCGCTGCTTGGAAGCCTTTCGCCCTGGAAGATCACGCTTTCCAAGAGTCTTTTGTCAACTACAGGAATGCCGCGCCAGGTCTGGAATGCGTTGCATGCTCGTCTGTCTCGGGCCGCAGGGTCTGTCCCGCATCTTTTCGAGGCTGAGGCATCTCGTCACGGGTCTGGGCCTGGCAATTAGTGTCTTGGGCCAGCCCCTGACCACTCGTGTTGTTCCGTTGCAACCGCACTAAAGCCATCACCACATGCCTGCATGACGGACTCTACGCGCCATCAAGACCTCCTCCATTCTGTCACAATCAAAACATCGTTTCGCAAGCTGAGACTTGTTGGTTTCGTGTGCCCAGAATTGGCATTGCGTGTGCCGCAACAGCATTTCAACGCGAATTAACCGGGGATTGAGCTGTTGGGGTGATCCATCTGGGTCAGAGCTGTCCCTGGATGTCCCTGCGGCGATCGAAGCATGGATGTTGTTGACCGTGGCATGGCGTAGCATGGCACGGTCCGAACAGGACCACAACTGACAGCTTTGACATGTTTACGGGCAGCGCAAGGGGTCTTGGGACCTGGATGTGCTGCCGCACATGCAAGTGGTGGACAGAGCGGGTGGTTGTAGGGTGAAAACGAGGAGGGGGACCTATCCGTGAGAGCGCGTTTGTGCCTGGTGACGGGGAGCCGGATGGTGACTGCAAGGTACAGGGTCCGGTCAATCCAGAGAGGCAATGATGATGAAGAAGCATAAGATATCGTGACCCAGCACCAGGCTGGGCACTGGCCATTGTGTTGATGTCAAGGGTGCGCACACTCCTTTCCATGAGGTACCTTGGGCGAACAGGCCGAAGCCATGGGCGGACGGGGTCAACGCAGCGTTGGCAGGCAGGGGCTCTGCCTGCATGCCAGCACATCATCGACGCTGGAGTCCTGGCAAGGGAGGCTACCCCGGCCGGTGCCCCGGCCCCCTGGCCCCTGCCGTCCAAGCACTCGAGCGTCTGCTCACCCCGGGCCATGGGCGAGTGAGGGCGGTGCAGACAATCTGCATTGTGCAGGCGTTGCAGTCCAACTGGGCGTCATTCATTCAAATCCATCCATCCATTCATCTCAATTGTCCACTTGTGCATGCAGGTGTGCAGCGTGTGCCTGCAGCCCCGCCTTGGGCCTGACACACACACGGCGTATCGTCCCGGCTGTGGCCCTGGGTCTCTGCGCGGGCCGTGGCGCCCTTGCACACATGCCACAGCAGCGGACGGACTGACTGACTGCCCAGGCGAGGAGCCCGAGTCATCTCGCGGCCACGGAGGAATTGCAGCGGCTGCCGGCCGCAGGCAGGGCAGGGCAGGAAATGGGAAAGGACAGCCCTGCAGCGCCGCTTGTGATGTGCAGTGGATCTCCCGCGTCCCAGGCCCGCCCGAGCGATTGCAGGACAATTGGGATTCCAGCAGCGGCGGCGGCGGCGGCGGCGGCATTTGCTTTAGAATGGCAGCCCACGGCCTGGAGGTGAGCGGGCGGGCTGCCTGCTCAGGCCCGGCTGCCCCCACCCCTCCGCGCGCCCCTTCCCCCCTCGAGCAAGGTTGCCTCCTCCACCACCACCACCACCAGCCAGAACTTGCACACCCACCGATCCCAGGCCTGGCCCTCTCTCTGCCCGCCCGCCCACCGGCCCACGCACGCGCATCTCACTAGCCTGTCCGCGAACGCTTCCGTGGCCGTGGTGTCGAAGCCCAAAACCACCACGCACGTCCGCCGTTCGTCTTCTGCTACGTGGATCCCCCTCTCTCGACCGACGGAGCCCTTGCAACCGCCAGCTCAGCACACCGCAGCGCTCTGTGCCGCCGCTTCGCTCGCTGCCTGAATGCCCAGGGTGTCATGTCCAGCCCGCCAGGATGGACGCCGGCCGTCGTGACGAGGAGGATCGTCTCGGCACCACTGCCGCCGCTGCTGTGAACGCCCATCACTTCGACCCCCCAGACGGCCACAGCCAGCACCACTACCACCTCCAGCATCGCCACCAGTACCGCGACGACAACCCCAGCGACCCGTCATACGCGACTCACGCCTCCGCATATCTCGACAGCAACCACAACTCCCGCACCTCTCACCACCACGAGTACACTCCTTATGCCGCCGACAACTTTGCAGCCTTTGCGGGCAACTCTTCTCTCGGACAGCCGCCGGCCGATCTGAACCCCGACGACTACTACAGGAGCGTCCAGCACTTCGACGACACCACCGACTTTGCCGATTCGGATTATGACGATCCCATGGCCTCAGCACTTCCCGCTCCCAGACACCCAGCTGGAGCTCCACGGTCCAGTCGACACAGCGCGACGCCAACAAAGGTCAACGGCCCACCCTCAGCAAGCCGCCCGACGCCAAAGACTGGTTTTCGTTCGGTATCAGCTCCCGCTGACGAAAAGGCGCTTGCGGCGTCTCGAGCCAGAGCCGCAGCGGCGACCGCGGGTGGCCACAAGCCAAGCGTCAAAGACCTCAAGAAGAAGTTCGACCAGGATACAGCGCAAAGTACCCCCGGCAGTTCCCGAAGGACGGCGCCTCGAGCTTCCTCACGGGGACCAGCGACGCCTTCGTCGTCCTTCCGTAGCATAGGCAGCTCACCAGTCGGCGGCTCCTACGCTGCTCTCAGGTCCTCAGTCACGAGTCACGATCTCGATACACCGCAGTCATCCACTAGGTCTACCCAAAGAGCCAGAGCCGTCACGGAAGATAACATCTCAAGTAATCCTCAGTCGTTCGCTAGCCGAGTCCATAAGCCACGGGCGTCCCGAGAGAGCAACTCTTCGCTGCCTTCCACCACCAGGTCGCGTTCCCGCCCTCCTTCACCTGGACGTCTGTCTTCCCCCAAACAACCTCGCGCCCTTCTTTTTGGCGAAGTCGTTCCCGGACACGTCGATATCGGGAACGCAGGATACGGCATCGAAGGGTTTCAGCAGTCCAGTTTCCACGACTCAAAGGGCCAGAACCCCAAGTCACATGTTAGGAGCTTATCCCAATCAGAAGCGGAGCCGCAGTCACCTTCAGACTGGTATCGCGACACGGATTCCGCTATGGAACACCAGGAGAACAAGGACCCCCATTTGCAGTCTACACTAGGGAAAACGCACACACGAGCGCTTAGCGACGAGCCGTACAAGAAAGCCAATGTTTCGCGGTCCAAGCCCTCGCAAACGTCACGACATCCACCCACGTCCTCCCGTCTGCCAATTGCGGTCAAGAACAACCTTAGCGCATCCAGTAGTTCTGCGAGCCCACCCTCATCGCGAGCCAACTCTCCAGCTTTTGCTCGACGCCAAACCCAGGCACAGGGCAAGAATCCTGGCGCAGTGTCATCATCGTCCAGCAAGAGCAATACGTCGGGTGGTGGTACAACCTCAAGAAGAGGGAACCCGACGATCCCATCCATGCCCAGCTCGAACAATAACAACAGGTTAAATGCTTTCATCGCTGCTCCGCCACCAAAGTTGTCCCCGCCCTTACGGAGCTCTCGGCCTCGGCAGCCAGTCTCGACTGCCTCCACCGCCAGCTCACGCTTGCGAGCTGCCGAGATCCAGCGTGCAAAATCACCATCAAGAGCTGATCCGAAGGCTAACGCAAAGGCGCTTGAGCACGGCACAAGGCGCAGGAAGATCTCAATGGGTCCAATCGATTTCGAGTCGCGTCGGGAGCAAATCAAATTATCATACTCCAAGTCGATCAAGGAGACCGAGGCGCGCGCAGCCGCGCGTCGACTAGCTGAAGGGAAGAAGAAAGAGAAGCTTCTCGCCGAAGCAGAAGCCGAGAGAACTGCCCGAGCGAATGAGCAGCAGCTCGAAGGCAACAGAGTAGAAGAAGCCACCACGACCAATCTCGAGCAAGCTGTTGAAGCCGTCAGCAGCGGGGCGAGTGCGCACAATGACACACATGCAGTTCAACAGCCCATACTCACAATCACAACGGACATGAGGGCCGATCTTCCTGCGCTTCCATCCAGACTTCAACAAGACACGTTAGGACAGACACCAGAATTAGAGCTCCCCGGGACTTTCCCCTCACTAGCGACACCACCAATAGATCGGGACGAGGCGCCTCCATCGGCTATATCTGACACGACAGAGTTTGACAATGAGCCACAAACCGATCCACCGGTCGCGGTCCTACCATCTAGATCCGATCCGAACTTGGATGCTGATCTAGAGCGCCTTCCTGTCTTGCCGCACTTCAGGAGTGAATACCGTTCTCCATTCGACGATGACTCGCCCAGCAGTGAGCGGATGTCCATAAAGATCACGTTGGAAGATGTGATAGATCCGGTTCACTCCTCCGTCGCCCCGACTCCGACAGACACGGAATTTGATCTGGACCAGAACATTGGAGACTCCTGCGACGATGACGATGACGAATATGTCCCACGGCCACTGGTCTCCGGTCCCTCTCAGACCACAGTCACAATCATTGGACGCAACACGGACTTTTCTCCTCCTGGTTCCGCGTCTGCTAGTCAGCATTTGTTAACACCAAATGCTCACCCACAAGAAACCGGACTTGGCCTGCAGAACATCGACTCGAGTAAATTCGGATTGCTTGCGCAGAGTCCTGATCCGTATTATCACGATGATCAGAGCGCTGGTCTGAACAAACTGGAGGGGTACTTCGTAGGCCCGCAGCTTGGCGTTGGTCCGCAAGAGACGAGCGGTTCAATCGACGAGAGTGAACCAGCTCGCCATGCCGAGAGCGCACGGGATCCGTTACAGATCGTCTCCAGCTCGCAGCACATGGATATTGTCACAGCACTCCGGCCCGACCGTAGCCCGAACCCTGCGGAGAGTCCCCGTACCACAAATCGATCAAGTCAAGCCAGTAATTGGGCGGACTATTCCGTTCACAGCCGCAGGACACAATCGAGCCATTTGGACAAGCATAGCCATCCGGAGCTGCAATCCATCATCGTCCAGCGTGAAGCGAGCCTTCTCTCTGATACAGTTCTGCCGTCGAGGACGACGCCCTTTGACGAAACGTCACATGATACCTCTCGCAGCTCAAATGCTTCACCACGCGATACGTCTCAGGGTTTCGCCTACGACCCAGAACAGACATCTCAGCTTCCTCACCTGGACACGGGCGCTTCCTTCGTCGTCCATTACGACGGCACCAAAAGTGCTGCGGATCTGTCTGACCAAACTCCTGGTCAATTTCAGGCTCGCGCGCCGCCCAGTGGCAGCACGTTCAGGGACGGTGCGGCGTCAGCGCCGCCCAGTGAGTATTATCCCGACACGCGACCAAGTAGCTATGCGCATGTCACCAAAGATGATCAGAGCGAGGTTTCGCTCGAGAGACAAAGACCAGGCAGCGAAGTCTTCACTGCCTCCGAATCCGCCGCTCGCTCCACTGACCAGGTTTCGGTCGCCACCTCTGAGGGTCCCCCAACCGGCACGACGCCGCCTGACGGACGAGGTTCCATGCCAGAAATCACAAATTCAGCAGATGCGGATTCATTGGATCCCAAGGAAAAGAAGAGGCTGTTCACGCGACTTCAGACCATTAAAGAGCTCATTGACACGGAAGCGTTCTTCATTAGAGATATGAACATCGTCGAAGAGATCTACAAGGGCACCGCTGAAGCCTGTCCCCAACTAGACGATAACACTATCAAGTTGATTTTCCGGAACACAGATGAGATCATCGCTTTCCACAGCAGGTTCTTGGCAGAGTTGAAGGAGGGCGTTGTCAGCGTCTACGTCCCTCGGAGCCACCGCAACAAATCCAGAGGATCACCTCTGCTGTCTGATGGCACTGCTCATTCAGGAACATCAACCGCTGCAACAGCCGAGCTTAGCGACGAGAAAGATCGCCTTACATCCCTGGGGCCAATCTTCACACGCAACATGGAAGCGATGAAAGCGGCACACGAGACTTTCCTGAAGAACAGTGACCATGCTGCGAAGCGCCTCATACAGATTCAGGAAGATCCCACCGTCAAAGTGTGGCTCAATGAATGCAACGAGGTTGCACGAGATCTCACTAAAGCATGGAACTTGGATTCCCTGCTCATCAAACCTATGCAGAGAATTACGAAGTACCCAAATCTCCTCATTCAGCTCCTGGGCGAGACTCCCGCCGACCACTTGGATCGCCCCGCTCTTTTGGCAGCCAAGGAGCAGCTTGAAACCGCAATCGAAGAGATCAACAAGACGAAGAAGAATTTTGAGCTTGTTGGTCAAATTGTTGGAAGAAAGCGGAAGGACTCAGACGTCCGCGCTGGCTTCGCGAGAGCATTTGGCAAAAGAGTTGACAAGCTGCAGCCCGCGTCAAGCCGGCCCGAGGAGGACGCCGACTACAACAAATATCATGAGAAGTTTGGTGATGACTATCTGCGCTTGCAGGTCGTGCTGCGGGATGTCGAGTACTACACGAGACAAGTTTCGGAGTATGTGCACATATTCTTGCAGTTTCTGTCCTCCATGGAGCTTGTCATGAGACTGCAGCCCTCTCCGCATCCCGAGATCGAGAGCAAATGGGTGCGCTTCAACGTGTCCATGAGGGACATTGAGAAGGTCGCGCTAGCCCAGCACGTAAGTTTTACGATCAAAGCGATCTGGTTGAGGCTGGCCTGTTGCTAACAGATTGCGAACAGCTGTCTCAAGTCCGGAAGCTTGTCATTGAGCCGTTCGAGCATGTGATCAAATCTTATGGCAACCCCTCTCTTGCTATGAAAAAGCGCTCGAAGCGGAGGCTTGACTACGAGAAGTCCATTCAGCTGAAGAAAAATGGCAAGAAGATCGACAAACAAACGGCTGATGGCGCCGAACAATATGAGGCACTCAACGAGACCTTGAAGAAGGAACTGCCGAAGCTCTCTGCCCTGACGGAGAAGGTGGGGAACATTTGTCTTGGAAATCTGATCAACATTCAGACGCAGTGGTATTCGATCTGGAAGGACAAGGTCAAGATGGTGCTTGATGATGAGGCGACGCCTGAAATTGCAGACATCATCACAACTTTCACTCGTGACTACCAATTCCAGGAGGAACAGATCAACGCCATCGGTATCGTTAATCCTGCGTCTAAGGGGCGGCCTTCACAGTCAGCAAGCACCGATGATTCCGTATACAGACTGCATCCCAGACCTTCGGACCTGTCTCCGCGTGGTCGCGGTCTGTCTCTCAACAGCGACACGGTACCGAGTCTACCTACGCCAGACTTTATGAAGCGACACAGCGGGCAATTCACCGTTTCGCCCACCGCCGTTACTCTACCAAGCCCCAGTCATCAATACTACCGGGACTTTTACGCTGGGGTAGCCGCCACTCGACCTACATTACAGGCCTCTGCCATGGTCTCAGAAGGATCTCAAGGTAGCCGCTCGATGACTGCACCTGCACGTCCTGGTACTGGTCACAGCCAGGATTCTTCTACGATGCCGCGGCAAAGCACAGATTCTAGCGTGCAGGTGAGAAGCTCGACAACATCAATGCAGCCATCACCATACCTCTCTTCAGAAAACCATCGATTCTCAGGCCTTTTCCAATCTGCGCTACCTCCTTCAGACCGGCAAGACCGGACAGGACTGCCCCGGCCATCTGGAGCGTCCTCGCGTGCATCCTCCCGGGAGCGAGAACCCATCAATGGGTACAATGTCCTTTGGCTCGCCGCCTCACTTTTTGAGTTCAACATTGAAACGACCAAGACGGAAGCTGGATACCCGTATCTGACGTACCAAGCTGGAGAGGTGAGTGACACGACCACGCATTATGATCTAGGCACGTGAAGACTGACTTGAGCACACTATTCTACTAGATATTCGATGTGATAGCCGAGAAAGGAGAGTTGTGGCTGGCCAAGAACCAAGACGATCCGACAAACGTCGTTGGTTGGTTATGGTCTAAGCACTTTGCCAAACTGGCCGACGACTGAACCAGTGTCCCGGCCGCAACGAGTGTTGTCGAGGATGGGACTGCTCACCATGACCAGTTTTGAACGCATTACCGCAGGGAAGAATTGGCACTTTCTGATCCGGCAAGGTGCGTCCAAGCTGTCTCACGAACGGAAAACGAAACCACGACGCATGACGAACCTCAGCCCTTACGAATGGCGAGGAGCTTATCTACTTTGTTTCCTGTCTGCAGAAGATTCCCCTTGTCTGCAATTCTGTCGCATTTCGAACGGCAATGTGTAACTACTTTTCCAAGGATATGTATGGGAAGCGCGATGTGTTCAAAAACAGGGAAAGCAAGCTACTTTGGGAGTAGCGCGGCGTGACGGCGCATTGTTCGATCTGTGGTAGCAGATATTCTTCTTCATTTTTTTTTCCTTGGTCAACTTGATTCTTTATTCCTTTTGTGCAATCCTTTCACCAGTATGCACTTTTTCATGGGATGTGCTCTTCCCTGTTCGGAGCGTTGGGACGGACCCCCCACGTGCCATGCGTCAGTTCAACCCAGCAGGATCTGGGAGCGACGCCTAGCAATTGCCCAACGGTTTCAGCAGCCGTAGAGACAAACGACCGCGATGGGAGGGCTGGCGAGGCCTCACAACGGAGGCCTCACCGGTAGAGATACGAGAAACCCTCAGCTTGTCAAGGGCCAAATACAACCACACAAGTCGCCTTACTTGCAGTTGCACGACTCTTTCACCTTGATCTCTTTGACATGAGTGACACCCTGCCCGAAGAGTCTTGAGTTTCCGGGACACAAGATTTGGCAAGCTGTTGTTTTGTGACCTCGAAGATCGGCTGGTGCATGATTCATTTGGTCCTCTTATCTTGGCACGTGATGAGGATGCACGGCACCAGTAGACAAAGGGTGATTGGTAGCCAAAACCTCAAGTGTAACAGTAGAAACAAAAAACCATCGAGCGCAGCATAGTGAGCTTGCGCCTGCCTGAATAAGAAAAGGGCAGAGAATAAGGGACATATGTTGCGCTGGAGCAGCGCGACACGAATCCCCCAAGCCAATGTTCAAAACAAGAATAAAACTATCCTAGGGTAACGAAGGTGAAAAGGGACATATTCTCGGCCTCGTCAAGTAACGGTTGGTAGTGTGGGCATGGGGCGTAGGCGTGGCATGGCGGTGGGGAAGAAGGGTCCTCTGGCCAGCACCCGAGGTGGATACGCCAGTTTGTGTGGATGCTCCAAGCAAACTTGCCTGCCTGCCGCCCTCGAGGTATTCTTACACATGACACGCGTGCATGCAGGAGGCCCGGGCACTGTGGTTGACCGCTGCATTGAAAAGGATGTTCTACCAGTCTCGCTGGGGGGGTGGGGGGGCGGGAGGACAATGGAGAGAATATGTGAATGTTGTTTGACTGTGCGCTTGATGAGGTGGGACTGCTCTATATCACTCTATTGGTTTCCTCCTGACATTCGGTCTCATCTGGTAAGAGAAGAAAAAAACGGCTCTCACCTGCGACAAGGTCAGGGCTCCCAGACAAGATGCACGGCATACCAGATCCCATGCTCTGTTGCAACTTGGCTCAGGGGTTTTGCTGCGCCAGCGCCAGTTCGGACCTGGCCTCGCACCGAGAGGAGGCAGGGCCGGATGCAAGGACGGGGGTTTGTTCAGGTGTAGACGCAACAAAGCTGCAGGAACCCGGGGCCCGCTGATGCTCGGCAGCGGCAGCAACGGCGCCTCCCAAAGAAAACGTCTTCTCGTGCTGGCTGGACGAGACGGCGCTTAGCTGCTGGAGCCGGTTGAACGCCTCTCGTGCTGCAGTGCGTGCCCAAGGAACGGACGGCTCGAGGGCACCCAGCCCTTTGGCTGGTTTGGCTCCAACACGTCCACAGTTCGCTGGTCCGTGGCGCATTAGTCCACCGGCGGGAGAGCTGTCAAACCTTGAAAGGTGGGAACGGCAGTTCCTGGTGAGGCACAGGTCCGCGAAGGTTTAAACTCTCTTGTCCCACACAGGTGTTGTGTCGCGACGGCCATGGCAGTCGAGGGGGCAGCCTTGTGCCGCATATCTTTGACGGTGTGTACTGCTGCACTTCTTCCAGAGGTGTGGTCCATTGCACCTGCAAGAGCGCTGGTGCTAGTTGAGCGCTTGCAATGGCGGGTTCTCATGTCGCATGCAATGCTGAAGTTGCCGACGATTTCGCCATGTTGCGCGTTTGGCATCCACGAATGCGCATAGACAGCAGCAAACATGGTCGCGGGAGACTTAGGACCTTATTTAACGATGGCGACCACGGTGACTGACATTTCGGTAACCCAGACGTTGGACCGCTCGGTTGCACCATTTCCTAGCCGCAGCGTCACCGCAAATGGCAACTGGCAACACGGGCGGTCAAGGTTCGTTCTTGTCGTTGGCTGTACAGTACAGTGTTCTTTTGTAAGCGTGCCCGCGATGAGATGATATCATTCGCCCGTGGGGGCACTTTGGTGAAGCCCCGCCACAATGGCCCAGTGAGTGGGATGATGACCCAGGGATGCCGATACAACAGTGAGGCGAGTAGGGTAACTTTTGGCAGAGTTGGAAACGCCTGCCCCCTCCCTCGGTCTCCCCCTCCGACCCTTCAGCATTGGGACTGTCACCGAGTTTGTCACCAGCAGGGCTGGCCCCCAGGGGGTTCCTTCCCAAGGTTCCTCCAGGCCCGGGCGTTGGCACCTGTCCCCACCACGCTCCCCGTCGCGGCCCACGGGATGGTGGGCTTGCGCTGCCCATTCCGCCCCTCCGCGCCTATGGCAGCCGGCCTAGCTCTGCCTAACCGCTCCAGGCCATCTCAAACCCCATCCGTCGTTGACCATTCTCCATCCTGCCTTGTGAGCACACGGCCTCTCGTCTCTTGATCCCCCACTCGCCAACCAACATTTTTCCCGGCACCAGAAGCTCTTTGGATCTTGGCCACTGCTCCCCTTCGCCCCGGCAGTCTGGATCCATCCTTGTTTGCTTAGAACTGCTTCGGCCAAGCCCCCTTCAAGGCATACATACATACACACACCTGGACCTCGATCGGCCCTTGTCTCGCGCGTCATCCAGCCAACAACCTTGCTTCACCAAAGTGACCTGTTCGCACGTCTGCCGCCTACATGGTGACCGTGTTATCGCCACAGATCCCCGGACCTTCAGACTTGCGACCGGCTTGTTGAGCGTCTGTATCCAGCGAGCCCTTTGCGGACGAGGCTCTCACCAGCGGCCAGCATGGCTTCAAATCGGGGCGCTTCTTATGCTCTCCCACCCATCAGAGAGCAACTGGGCGCTGCTTTGCCCCTGCCACAAGGCCCTCCTCCTCTGCCTCACGCCTCTCATCCGAGCCAGGCGTCTCATGCAGCACATGCGGCTCATGCCCCTCGTCCATCGATATCAGCGGCGCCTCCACAACCCCAGGCTCAGATACAAGCAACCGGCTCGCCCCCACGGGAGTTCAGTGGAACCAATGGCAACTACAAATATACGCTTGTCGTCGAACAGCAACCGCAGAGAGCCCGCATGTGCGGATTTGGTGACAAGGTGCGATATCGCCGCTGGCCATAGGCAGCCCCTTGGGCTAGTATACTATGTCGGAGCTGACCGCGTGAGCACAGGACCGTCGCCCAATCACCCCCCCTCCATGTGTGAAGGTGGTTGTCACAGATGCTCGTAATGGAAAGGAATTCCCGCCTAAGTAAGTGATGAGAAGAGCATGTTGACGCCCATATACAAAGGCCAGCCGAGCATGGGCTGATCTGGTCTTCTCAGCGACCTTGCGTTCCAGCAATTTGTGCTTCATGTGGAGCTTTGGAGCGAAGACGGAACTCGGGAGGTCAGCATGGTCAAGCACGCCACGACAGCACCATCTATCGGGACTGGCACAATCATGTCATTCCAGGATGCAATAGAAACCCAGACCACTTACAGGCTGTTCAACTACACACGCAATGCCGACGGCACAGCTTACTCCGCTCAAGGTAAGAACCCTCCTGTCCCAGCTCCGTGGACCAGTTGCAAGGAAGTCCTTCCACTCATTCAATCCTCTCTCGTGACAGCGGCATATCCGCCATCGCCTCCAGCATACCCTACTCCGCCTTCAGCAGCGACACAAGGATATGGATATCCAACTCAAGTGAGGCGCGATAGCGTGCCATCAATACTACCGCGCGCATCGTACGGCAGTATCGGCGCGGAAGAGCTCCCTGCGATGCCAGCACATGCTGGACAGCCTCCTCTCAGCTTGGGCAGGATGAGCATGTCGCAACCCAATACCTCCTGCACAAGAAACCTTCTCGGATCCATCTCCATGAGTGCCACCCGCCTAGTCGACCGCGAAGACAAAGTGGGCATTTGGTTCGTTCTGCAGGATCTTAGTGTGAGGACGGAAGGCATCTTCAGGTACGTGCCAAGCTTTGGGCACAGGCTTTTGCCGAATGGCTTCTGGGTACTGATAATGTGTAACGCAGGCTGCGCTTCTCCTTCATAGACCTACTCGCGCACAGAGATGGTCCCAACGGCCAGAAGGTGTGCCCGATTCTGGCCACACAATTTAGTGAGCCCTTTCAGGTCTATTCCGCCAAGAAGTTTCCTGGGGTCTGCGAAAGCACAGCATTAAGTCGCAAGTTTGCCATACAAGGCGTCAAGATTCCCATAAGGAAAGATGGCGACCTCAAAAAGGGCAAGAAGCGGCAACGGGACGAGGATGATGAGGACGAGGACAACGACGACGAGGATTAAGTATTGCGAGTATAATCACGGGCTGACCATAGTTCATGAAAAGGGGATGCCATTTCGCAACCATGCTTGAATCACCAAACAGCAGCCAAGACCAGTAGCGCTAGACTTAGGGCAGAAAAGAATGGGGGCCTGCGTCCAATAATGGTCGGCTAGATATCGCTGGTTGCTATTGCAGATTGAGTTGACTGATGTCCCGATGCAGCACCCCTGCCACGCTTCCCCGGGCCGATCTGCGTTTACGTACAACCACTGACTCACTTGCTCACGAGTCACGAGGCTTGCTTCCGGCTGTGCTCAGATGACGTCTTTTCGGCTGAAAAGATTGCAAGCCAAGAAACCGTCGCCAGACCGCCAAGTGAGGCTGGCCACCTCTGGCTTTTGCAAGCGCGAGGCTGGCGCTGGCAGAAGTGGCTCTTGTTGCGCTGCCCTCATCGTGGCACACCAGCACGCCCTCGCGGGCGCATTCTTCATTCGCCGCCCTTGCGCTCGGCTACTCTCTGCCCCGCCAAATATTTCCCACCATCCCCAGACTTTGCTGTCTTCAAGAGTGACACTGCGCCCAACCACCCTTCTCCTTTCGTCTCTTACCTTGTTGGACACACAGCCAATAATCCAGCGACGACTACTCTTTGACAGCCGTAAATCGGGGTTCCGTACAGCGACCACGATCTCTCTGCCCGCACAACGCTCCACCCAACATAACCAAGCGGTCGTTTTTTGCCTCGAATTTAACATCACCGACAACTACCAGCGACAACAAACATGAGTGGCGACCTGCAATCCACTGGCCGCGGCGGCGCTGGCAACATTGGCGACGCGACCAAGTCGCCCAAGATCCAACCCCAGGACCTTGAGACACCTCACCTCAAGACGCCCGTCTACACCACAGGCCGCGGCGGCTCGGGCAACATGGCCAACAACACCAACCCGGATGAGGCGCGCGCTGCGCAGGACGTCAATGCGTGAGTTGTTCTCTTCCTTTCCTTCCTCTTCGTCGCGTCCTTTTTGATGCTTTGCGACGCGCGGCGCCGGTCAGCGCATACAGCGCATAGAGACCGCATCGGTGGGCAAGGTTGTCGTGGGCGTGGTAGACAAGCGGCTATGCGCATCCCTGGCGCACGCAGGCGGCGGCTTCCATGCTTGCCGCACTGCTTTCCTTTATCTCGGAAAGAAGTCGCTTGATCCAATCCCGTCGACGACCAAGAAGAGCTGGGTCCCCTTGAGCTTTCGCACATGCGCATCTGAGCTGGCCGATGGTGGCTAATTTTTTGGTCTGTTTGCCGTCTTTTCCTTTTCACAGCATCACCCGGACAGTCAGCAACTCTGCCACCCACGTCGGCCGTGGCGGCGCTGCGAACGTGACCAAGGGCGGCGAGGGCGAGGCGGCGCCGGCGGCGGCTGCTGCTGAGACGCCCAAGGCCAAGAAGGAGGGCGGTCTCCTTGCTCGTCTCAAGGGCATGCTTGGCAGCAAGTGAGCCTAGCGATGGCATAGCAAAGATCGGGACGACCTTCAGGGAGACTCTCTAGGACCGGCAGAGTGCCCGCGACGAGCGGCCTTTTCGAAGGCCTCGTGTCGCGGCTAGTTCTAGCGGAATAGTCACCAAGGTGTCGCGCATATGTCGAATCGCCGGAGCAATTCTAGATGGCTTTCTATTGGAAGGCTTTTTCAGCTCAGACTTTGCTCGGCAGTTCGTCGGTTGCCAATCAGCGAAGCAGCGTGGAGCTTCTCAGAGGAGGCCTGGACGGGCGGGCCGCTCGTCGTCGTCGTCTTGTTTGCAACATTCTTTCCTTGTTTTCTGTTTTCCGGAGGCTTCTGCCTTTGGACCTTTAGATACCAAACGTGCGTGCGCAGAGGGGATCGGAGGCTGTGGCCGAAGAGGAGGAGGAGGAGGAGGAGGAGGAGGACAAGCGCATGTTGTTTTTTGTTACCGTGCCTTGGTGTTGTTTCTGCACACAGTCGTTCTTATCTTCCCCCCACCACCAAGCTTGAATAACATAATTAGCTCACGCTCAGATGTTTTAGCTGTTGCCCGTGACTCGAATCATGATCCCGGGGGTTGGTGGTTTGGGCGGTCCGCGGTTGATCTGGCCTCGTCTTTGTCCAAGAACGTATGAAACATTGAAAGAAGGACCATGCAGCAATGTCGCTGATGAGGTAGGTGCAGCAGTCCTTATCAATGTGTGCCTCTCTCGACGGCGGTTCACTTATCAACGCCCACCCAGCCTTGCTGCCCGTGAAGCGTGTCCCCCCCTTATGCAGTGTTGCGACTTATCTCTATCGCCGCTGTCCTCTGATTGGAGCAGGCAAAGGCGCGGGCTTGAGAGGGACCTGTGCTTACGCAGTATGCTGGAGCCGGAGCCGAGGGACCGACCACGCCCCCTGGTCGAGAAGCGGACGAATTGGGCAAGTCGAGCCTTGCCGTGCCCGCCGATGCGGAGGGGAGAAGCGTGACTGCGAATAAATTGTGACTGGGTGTGGATATGGACAACGAGTCATCGTCAATTCGGAGGTACGTGGTCCTCTTTGATGTTCGTGGGGTGGTCTTGTATATTTATACAGTTATTACATCTCCACGCGGTGAAAGACTCGCTTTAAGGTAGGTAAACCGCAATTCTTTCTGAGCAGCAGCATTGGATAGAACCACAATTTGTGGCTGGGAGACCGCTGTAAGTGAAGCATACTACCGCCGGTTTGCCGCCGACGACGGCATTGTCCGTGCTTAGACCTGAGCTTTTGCAGTACACGACAGCAGCTGCTCTAAGGGCCGGGCAAACCTCCATGTTCGCTAATTGGTAACACACATCAGCCAGAAAGAAGGCGTCACGATCTGCAGACATTGTAAACAGAGGCTGCGACCCGGAGCGGCAAAGCAGCCCTGACGACAAACACCACCCGCCACTTATACGGCTGGCTGCTAGCAGCATACTCCAGACAAATAACACCATGCATCAAGTGCAAGTCTCCCCAACCCCTCCACCCAACCTGCTCCGGCTTCTGGAGCAGCACCTGCCACACTCTCTGCCCCTCCTGCGGCGGCTGCAGTTCACCAGGTTCCCAGGTGGCATCACGGAACACACCCGGATCCTATTCGCTTCTGGTGACGACAGCCATGGGGGCGGGGCCGGCGCCGCGATAGACCCGACGGCACCCTTCGCTGCGGCGTATGTCGACTTCTCTCGCGGCCCGGAGACGGAGGTGTGGATGTACTCGTCCCTCGAGTCGCGGGGTTCCGAGATTGCAAGCCCGGAGATCCGCACCTACTGCACCACCGCCACCACCACCGCGGACGCGGCGACGCCAGAGGCACAGAGGCAGACGGAGGTCGACCTTGCGATCGCGGTGCTGCGCGAGACCAAGGCCCAGCTGGACGCATACACTGCTGCCGGGTGGAAGCGGGAACGCGAGGTGGTCCTGCTCGGCACATTCAGCGAGAAGCTCAGGGAGGCGGTCGTCGCTGCTGCATCATCGCCGCCAATGGCGTTCCCCGACGTTGAACTATATGACAAGTGGCTCATGCGACTCGAGGGACTGCCCGATATACCGGACGACAAGGTGCTGGGCTCTGTCAGTGGTCAAGGAAAGGAGAGCGGGGAGACGCTGCACTGGACCCAGGTCCGGAGGGAGGACATCGCCATGGTGTTGTCGCGGACTAGCATCCCACGCAAGGAGTAAGTGCAGCTGTTCCCATGCGTGCCGTCGCAACGGCTGAACAAGTCACTCATGGATGCCGAAACTATAGGCGCACTATTGTGCTACTCCCAAGCATCGCACTGGCTAAGGAGGACGGGACGCTGGTGGCGTGGGCTTTCCTCGGTGAGTCAAGCATAAAGTTCACTAGTTAAATACACCGGAAAGGCTACGAAATGAATCGGTTTCGGCTGCGCGGGCCATGAAAAGAGTGCTGACCCATCGCGACAGGTCCCGACTCCTCTTTGACAAGTTTACATTGCGAGCCCGAGTACCGTGGTAGGGGCTTGGCCAAGGCAGTCGCCGTCAAGATATTCAGAGAGCACCTGGGACGGTATGGCGACGACGGGTATTGCTTCGCAGATGTAGCTCCGGAGAACAAGGCAAGCCAAGGTGTGTGCAAAAGCCTGGGAGCGAAGGCAGCATGGCGGCATTCATGGTATGTTACTTTTCCCCTGTTTCCCGCCGTGGCGCGCAAAGTGTCGTAGGGTAGCGTCAAACGCTGATTGTCATGACACTGTCCAGGGCAAGGATGGATCTCGATAAAAGTTTTCCGGATATGCAAAAGGAACAGAGCGGCATCTAGTTGCGTATCGGACGTCCCGACACTATTTTCTATTGTGAGCTTACTCGTTGGACTTCCTCGAGATAAAACTTCAGCATTTCTGGCTTCACGAACGGCGTCACACCTAGATATAAACGAGATTAGAACTGGGGAAAGACAATAGAAGAATTCAGGGACCAGTAGCATCTTACCATGACCCAGGTTGGCGATCCACTGCCCTTTGCCTCCGCCAAAGCCCTTGACCATGTGCTCCACGGTAGCTGTTAATGATTCCTTAGATCCATAGAGGATACCAGGGTCCGCGTTGCCCTGGAATACGATCTTCCGGTCGCCACGGACCTTGACGGCATCGGCAGGGTCAACGAGCCAGTCGAGGCCCACCACGTTGTAGCCAAGATCGCAGACCCGATCCAGCGACTGATTGGCACCCTTGGGGAATACGATCATGGGAACCCGCTCGAGGTTCTTCTCCGCAAGGCGTTTCGGGAGATGCTCCGCAATGTAGCGGAGGTAGGGCTCGCTAAAGTCCTTGAAAGTCGAAGGAGATAGCTCGCCCGCCCACGAGTCGAAGACTTGAATCATCTGGTAAAGGACTTAGCACGGGAAATCTTGGTAGATACGAATTCGGGCCAGATATGAACTTTGGCCAGCTCCCTTACCTGTGCTCCAGCCTGTACCTGCAAAGCCAAGTACTCGACGCAGACCTCCGTGATCTTTTGCAGCAAGGCCTTGGTCTCCTTCGGGTACAGATAGATCCATTTCTTGCTCTCGACAAAGAACTTGCTGCCGCCGCCCTCAACCATGTAGCAGAACAAAGTCCAGGGTGCGCCGCAGAAACCAATCAGCGGTACGCGGCCCTGCAGCTTCTTGCGTGTGAGGGTGATGGCCTTGTAGACGTAGTCGAGCTCGGCGGCAACATCGACGGACTTGTTGAGCACGCGTGAGTACTGCTCCTCCTCTGGGCTTCTCAGCGGTTCGGGAAAGTGCGGGCCCTTCTTGTCCACCATCTCAACGGTCATACCAAGAGCTTGAGGTACCACCAAGATGTCGGAGAAGATGATGGAGGCATCGAGAAGACCATCGTAGCGGTCGATGGGTTGCAGCGTCAGGGTCGAGGCGACTTCAGGATCGCGACAGCACTCGAAAAAGTCCCTGTTGCCCTTTGCCTCGTGGTACTCGGGCAGATAGCGGCCGGCTGTGAATTTGGAATGGCCGTGTTAGTGGCCCGGGACTGAACTGCCTGCGCAGGGGATATCGGCACAAGAGGATTGCTTGTGGCGCTCATGTACCTTGTCGCATGATCCATATGGGAGCTCGTTCGACCTTTTCGCCTGTGCTTGCGGTTCTGGTTAGCCATTGCTGAACATAAACCACGCTTCTTTTCTGCGGAAAACGCACCCCACGCTGTCCGCAGGACGAGGTCATTCTTCATAGGCGGGAAGTCGTGCGCCATGGTCGCTGCTGTTGCTGCTTTCTGAAGAGCTTGCGTCGGTTGCAGTGCGGGTTGTGAGAAAGAGTCGCAACAAAAGTGATGCGCACCTACACTAGGTAGCGTATGCTCGGCTCGGCAACGCTGACCCCGCCATTGAGCTTCTGCATTCAGGCACGGGGAGCCCAGCATCGGCCCGCTCTTGCCTGCTGCGACGCACCGTAGTCCAATCATCGGGCGTCAACGCACCCAGCACTCAGTCGCACTGCTCCAATTGACGTCGCGGGAAAAACACCACCCCAGCAAGCTAGCTGTTCACCACATCACCGCCAGCACAACGAAGTCTCAACCACCACGGGCACGCGCACGCGCCAATCGAATCGAGCCCATCACTGCGCCTGCACTACACCTGTGTGGTACCCTTTGCGGCCTGTCCCCGGGACGATACCGCTGCGGAGTCGTCGATTCTGCAGCCCACCCTAGGAGCGCCGCAAAGTTCGACGTATCTTTCCCCATACCTTCCGCCAATCCATCACACACTTGGACTCGATGTCTTGAACCTGGCTTGCTCCAGTTCTCTCGTCCACGGCTCCGAACCCCCGGGCGCCTACAATCATGCCCCCTCGAACATCCCAGTGCTGTCGAGCTCTCCACCGCAGCACACAGCCACATGTTAATCGGTTCGGCGTTTCCGATATAGTCCTCGCGGCTGTATTTGAGCAGTACTGCTCAGTAGCAAAGATTCAGGTCCGCCATGGGTCATTCGTGCCGGGTCCATTCGAGAACAGACGCAGGGATGGTAGGAGGCGGATGGGCGAGCTCAGATTGGGACAGACAGCCGGCTCTGCCGCACCCTGGGAACTTGAGAACGTGCCTGACCTGACGCAATGGCGATGGACTCCGCCGACCTCAGCAGCCCGTAGAATACGACAGCATCTACGGACTGGGCATCGCTCGCTGCTGAAAACCGTGTTTCACAGTTCACTACACCCTCTGAGCACCTTGTGGGGGGCTGTCAGTGCTTTCATCCACCCTGCCGCGCTCAGCGTGCAACAAGCCGGCGCAACCCCCATCGACTTCATCGAGCTCGGATTCGCGCAGATCAGCCAAGACTTGTCGCGAGATCCCTCGCTCAGTAGAGCCCCTAAATTCCTCGACTACTGCCAATATCTTGAACAGGCACTTAGCTCAGGTCGACTCAAAGGTTCAGATGTAACTGTCTTGTTTTCCAACCTCCATCAAGGTCTCCGTGCCCTGGCTTCGCCACAGCTGTGCGGCATGAAAGCATTGAGCACAGTGCAGGATATGGTCCTCGTCCTCATCAAGAGCATAGCAAACGGTCTTGCTAGTCAAGACAGCAGCAATGGCCCTCTCCATCATGATTCACAGCTTTACAGCAGCTTGCTTCTCGCACTATCTGAAATTCGGCGCAACGAAGCTGCGGCGGTCCTGAACGCAGTGATCGCGGGAATACCCGAGCAATGTATGGGCGCTCTCACTCAAGAAATCGACACCATTCTGGAGGCATTTTTCTTCAGTGCTGCCAGAAAAAACGACCTTGGGGCCGCAACAACACTCCAGAGCAATGAGTTGCTTCAAGCATGGCTGAGCCTTGACAGTACACGACACCTCGAAATTTTGAATGCCGCCACACGGACAGCACTTGCAAGTGTGCATTCAAGCAGAAGGACATCTACGAAAGTGCGGCTAGCCTGGTTGCGTCTGCTCACAAGACTCCCATATGTCAGCATGGACTATTTAGCCACAGCCTGTGCTTACGCTGAAGCAGGCAAGAGAACGCCACCTCTTTCGGGGGAAGATATTTGTGAGCTTTTGCTCGCTCGACTGGCCAGGCATGGGTACCTAGGGCCCGCACGTGATACAGTCAACATCCGCGCGAAGCATGCGAAGGCTAGTTGCTTCTACCCGTTGGGTTCGGATCTTGGCGAGCGAGGCGACATTATGAACTTGCTGAGAGCCGCGAAGTTCTTGGCTTCGGCCGGCCGTGAGCAAGATGTCCGGCAGCTTTTGAGAGGTGCCAAACGTGCCCTGCAAGCTGGCGATGGCGCGCTTAGCAGCAAGTCATTGCCATTGTTTGACTTGGCAGTTGCGTGCGAAAGCCCCTCGGACGTCATACGAGTACTCGAAAAGTACACAAAGAACTCGAGCCTTTCTGCCGAGTATTACTGGCAAAGCAAGCAGTCGCTCGCAGACCTCACAAAAATGGTCGCGTTGCGGAAAATCAGCCGAGCTAAAGTGCTCAGCGCGCTGCAGTTGGATGCACCTGTCCGTGGAAGATCGGTACCAAGGATCATGCATAAATCGAACGTGCAGACCCAGAAAGCCATTCGTCTGGCGCAGGCTGCTGTGGCCAACGCTGCAAGATCGGACCGGTCAGCATTTGAAACGGTATTCCACTGCGTCAACTACGTGCGGAAGCACCAGGGGAGAGTGCCTACTGCACTGCTCAAATGCGTTCACCAGTTGGTCAAGAATGATCTACGGTCTGGCAAGCTCGGCGTGCAAGTCCGCATGAAGTGGTATTTAGACCTTGTTGGCATGAAGTCTGGGCCGGAGATTCGGTTGAAGACAGCACAAGCCTTGCAGCGGTGGAGGGAACACAACCGGGAACTGGCACGACATGAACAGTGTCGAACACAAGAGTAAAAGGGGCCAGATTCTGTGGTGATGAGTAATTCATGACGACGACGACTCAGCTTCGGTGGAAGTGGTCGACGAGATGTGCTCGAACACTGTATTTATCCCGAGGAGGCAGCGACGAAGTATATGAAAATCTTGTCCTCATGCGGAGCCAAGAAATAAGGAGCCATCTGTCGACATATCAGCGCGACGTCTTGGCCGCTTCCAGAACCTGGTGAATGATCGTACAGGGCATGACCGGGGATTCATCTCGCGACTCGAACCGCAACGAGCATCTGTTCCTCGCCCTGCACAGCCTCCGCGGTTCTCTGCACCGGCCCTGCCCACGGCGGCCCCCCATACTGGTGGTTTGCTGACGCGTAGCTCCTGCACCGTGATTGCGCCTGCATGCTTGTACCACCTTGTTATGCACTTGTGCGAAGGCTGCACGACGTTTATGTCTTCCGGCACCTAAACAGGCAGAACCTGTTGATCGGCCTGCCGCACTGATGTGGACTGCAGAACCAATCACGCCCACAGCTCGTGGGTGACAAAGGAGTGTGATCGTTCACACGGCGGTAGGTCTGCACTCCGTTTGTGCCACTCCAGCCGAGCAACGGACTAGGGCATGCGATGCTGGATGATTTGAAGAGAGGCGCAAGCATACCTTGGAGCATGTGCTAGATTGTACGAGATCCTGCAGGTAAAGTCTCCGGGATCGAACCCGTCCCTGATGGGTGTTCCTCGGTCGCCGGTGCTGGGGACATCAACCTCGTCTTTACTATGCGAGGTCCTGCTGATATGACTCCGAGGACCTAGCTTGTACCAGTGCCTACCTTGGCCCCCAGGCACATCCTGATTGTGAATTTTGGACTTGACGGAACTGGCTGCGTATGCTCTGTCCGTACAGGCGCCAAACACGGTTTGTGCTGCGTTGCCTGCACCATTGCCGCAGCTTCATGCATTGATCGAACAATCATTATCGCTTGTGCGGCTAGTACCTCCAAGTCGGTGACGCCCCTTCTGAAAGAAGATGTTGCGAGCAGGCTCGGCTCTTGCTTTCATTGCAAACCGGCTGCCTTCCTCCAGCAGTCAAGACAGGTGACTTCTCCCTTCCACTGCACACCACCAGCTACCCGATGCTCACCCAACAACGCATTCCTCGTTACCCGCGGTCACACTTGTGACAGCGACCGGCCTCGCCGACTCTCGTCGGGCAGCCTCTTCTGCCATTGGCGCTGTATACACTTGTTGGCCTGCTTATACTGCTGGCGTGCGTCGTTGCCCTTCGCTCGTCTCCCACTATCACACCACATGTCGTCACTGTAGCCTCCCACCACCACAACTCGGTTGACATATCAACGGGTCGTCCTTCTGCGAGCGTCGTCGCAGTCTTCCCAGCCACGCCTTGCCGTAGAGTCATCTTGTGCGCACCGTCGTGTCTTTGACCTCTACGCTTACGTGCGTACCCGTGCTGCAAGTCTTCCTCAACATTGACACCACGATCTGCCCCGCGGCTGGATGATCTCCTCCCTTGCACAACGGCTTCGTTACTTGCGGTAATCTTTGACCCCGCAAGTGGCTAGATTCTGTCCGCCCGCGTCGCCTGTGCGGGCTTTCTCAAGCCTTCACATCACAGACGGTCGCAGGTGACAATACTGATCCTCACATGCGTAAATTGGTCAGGCCGGCCTGCAGCTAGGTCCAGGCTTCCGTACCTCGCCTGCTCTCCGAAATCAAAACGTTCTTTCCACGGGGCGAGCAGCCAACATGGAAGACTCTCAGTATAATGTAGCAGGAGCAACCGACCCCATCACGGGCCATGGCAGGCCGATACGTCGACGCAACCGCATGATCAACTCATGCCTCGAGTGCAGAAAGCGGAAGCTCAAATGCAGCAAGACCTCACCCACGTGTACCAACTGCAGCAAGGCTGGCCGGGACTGCCTATACATCGGGCCCCGCCTCGACATTGCAAGCCAGCTCCGCCTCACCGAGATCAAGGAGAAGCAAGGGACGCTGGAGCGCGAGCTCGAGCGAGATGTTGCAAAGTCGACGACGGCGAAGAGCGGTGACCCGGCCCACCGGACCCTCGCTGACGAGGTGGACGACAGGCATGACGAAGATCGTGATCTCGAGGCAACCCCGCTCGTTGCTCTTGACCTGACGTACGAGGATGACGCCGACAGTACTGACAATATGATAGATCTTGGCATACAGATTGGCAAGATGCGTATCACGGAGCGCATTGGCGGCCTCTCTAGGCCAAGGATTGCTGAAGAGGTAGGCCTACCCAGGTCGTAGGGGGCGTTCATCATTAGCTGACTACCACGAACTTGAACAGCTTGCTACTGGCATATCAGGGTGGCATTCTTCTCAGTGCTCCCCTCAGCCTCCTCAGAGCTCACTGCAGACAAAGGACTATGGGACGGATGCTGAGATTCCCGACTTCCTGCGTCCTGGCAGCGAATATTTAGTTCCCACAAGCGGTTTTTACTTCACTCAGCTGCCCACCATCCGTGACGAGGCGGCGCCAATAACAGAGCTTCTCCCGCATAGGGTAGGCGCAGATAGGCTTATGAAGCAGTACTTCACAGCAGTGCACGCGATAGCTCCGTGTACACACAGGCCGTCGTTGGAAGTTGCCTACACGCTATTCTGGGCCGAGGTTGACATGGGTTACGAGCCACGCCCATCGACACAAGCTCTAATATTTGCTGCCTTGTTCAGTGCAGTAGTGTCCATGGACGAGGGCGCGGCATACAATGAGCTGGGCAACACAAAGAAGCAGTGGATTGCGAGTCTGAAGCTTGGCACAGAATCTGCCTTGAGCAAGGCCAACTTCTTGCGCACCACGAGAGTAGAAACCTTGCAGGCTTTCGTCATGTACATGGTATGTACTTTTGTGGCACGCCGCGCCCAGACTCAACGCAAAGACTGACAGACCGCGCGGAAGCTCCCCCTATGTAGAGCAGAAGTATCTCGAGCACACTCGGTGCTTGTGGCATCTGCTGTTCGGGCAGCGGAATGCATGGGCCTCCACCGGGATGGCCAGGCATATGGACTGTCTCCCGTCGACACACACGTGCGTCGTCTCATTTGGCACCAGCTGTGTTTTTTGGACATTCGCACTTGCGAGGCACAAGGACCTCGGCCAGTCATCAGAAGGGAAGAATACGACACCAAGCTTCCACTAAACTGCAACGAGACAGAGTTGACCAACGTGGAACCAGGGCCAGCGAATGCGGATCACTGGACCACAAACACCATTGCACTCATAAGATTTGAAATCAATGAGATGATGCGATCCATCTGGGTAGACCGAAGGCGGCTCGAGACCCGCAAGACGACACTCACCGCAGTGCTTACCAAGGTCGAGCACTTTCGGCGGAAGATGTCTGAAAAGTACGACCACATGCTCGACATGGAGGATCCCCTGCAACGATATACAAGAGTTGTCATGCACCTGCTGACGTATCGCCTTCACGTCATGGTTCTACATCCATACCACTCCAATGCTGCGTCCGCCATGCCACGCAAGTTAAGCCACTTGCTCATAACTTCCGGCGTGCTGATTGCAGAACTAGCGATCCAGCTCGAGACCAATCACAACTTTGGGGCGTGGAAGTGGTACTTGGGTGCATATTTCCAATACCAAATCGCACTTCTCCTTGCCACCGAGGTGTACTTTAACCCAAGGAGTCGAGAGGCGGGGCGCATATGGTTCTGTCTCGACTATGTGTTTGGCCTAGACCCGCGACTCGCTCCCGAGACGAAATGTATACGGCTTCTGGGAGAGATCTCAGACAAGACTAATGTCTACATGCATATACGCAAGATGCGAGGACCTAATGAAGTAAGCCGGGCCGTTCCAGCACATCACGTAGTGTCAGGCACAGCCAAGGAACAGCCACGGCGACAGCACCAGGATCAACTGGCAGGCTTCTCCTTCAACGAGCCACTAGCTCCAAGAGCATCCCAATCAATTAACCAGAACCCAATGAGCTACACTGGAAGTCGCCCAGAACAAAATTCGAGGTATTCTTCTGTGCCTGTACAGGCACAGCTTATTGCGTCGCAGCCGACAATCCCACTTACACATCAACTTCAGCAGCAACCACAGATGGTGTTCGCTGGTGTCTGTGATGGTCAGGCGTTATGGTCTCTGCCTCCAAATCCTAACAACAGCTCTCCTAGCAGCGACACCGCAAGCGCGCCTGCAAATGAAGCCATCACTGGGGCGGTCCCGCAAGACAGCATCATGGACACAATAGACTGGGTAAGTGTTCAACCTGCGGCTGGGTCTCAGGATATTTTGTGTGCGCCCAGCGTGCTGACTTGCTTGCTCTGTCCAGGATGCCATGAGTGGTTTGTTCCCAGTAGACCCACAGACTGGCGCGTATAGTGCCCAGGGCTTCATCGATCCGAATTTTGGCATACTGTGCGGCTGGCAGCAGGATTAGATATACTCTGGGGAAGAACGGCCGGCACTCTCAAATGTTCAAGGTATCACGCAACGGTGGAGAGGCAGCATATTCACTACTTCGGACAACGTCCCAATTAACATTCAATACTTCCATTCAACTACCTTTCCCAGACTGTAGTACACGAGAAGTCTACTTCACAACGACCAAACATTAGGCTCAGTCTCTTCACATTTCACTTTTCCTCACGTCAAGATTTGGGACTCATTCTTTCCACTGATGGTCGCAAGTCTGATCACGACATGCACGTCTTCCCTCTCGTTCATCTTCAGCATAGGCGGTTCGCCCTAGTACCTAATCTACTTCTCGCTTCTCGCATGTGACATGACCTCGATAGGAGCCAGCAAAGCTTTCAGGGAGTCGCAGGATAAGACCTCAAAGCATTTAGGTTCAACGCCAAGCGAAGCGGACAACAGAAGTTCATTGCAAACTGCTTAACATGTAGTCGTGAGCTCATGATCTCGTGATATAGATATCGTGACAAATTACCGTAAAGAACTGCCTAGTAACCACGAATCACAAGGAGACGCAGAAGCAACTGAACGACTTCAAGGAGAAACATCAGGTTGTCGTATCATGTCGTTCATTCGTGTCATTCAAGCAAACACAATCCAAGCGGCAAAGGCAAAAGCGAAGCCACGAAACCCAAGATCAAGGCAAGTCATGAATCAATCAAAATTAAACGCAGCGAAATGACAAAACTCGCGCTTGCTCGCACAATGACAGAGCGGAGCCGATGAGATATCCTAAAGCTTCCCAGCCAAAACCATGATGAAATGCCATAACCGTCCGTACACAGGAAGAGAACCCGCTGAATTGGCATAAACAACCAGAGTGCGCACGACCCAGATGACGCCACCTAAAAATAAAACAACCAGCCAGCTTTTCTAGACAGAAAACCGATAAGAGTAAAGAGATCAAGGAAAAGATAGAGTAAGGTTGAATAACGAGAGAAAATGTAACGGGGAAATTCCCACCCGTTGGGTTTCATGCAGCAGCAAGAAATTAGACCTCGGGCGGGGCGTCAGTCATGTTGACGCTGAGTGTGCTGCGGCCATATACGGACGGCGTGGGGCCTCTGGACAAGGGCCTGCCGCCAAGGTCGGAGCCGACGAGCGACGGGGTGACGCCGCGGAGGGCGCGGGATTTGGCCACGAGGACCTGTGCAGGGCAGACGACAATCTCGTCATCACCAACGCCGCTGTCGTTGCCCTTCTTGACGACGAGCGGAAAAAGGACGAAGCGCACGACGGCGCCCTGGCTCTCAAGCTCGTCGTTGGCCACAGAGTCGCCGGACCGCTCGTTCATGAGTGCAGCGTTGAACTTGACTTTCTCTGCGAGGTCGCCATTGGCATCATACTCGGGCTGCAGTGGGGGCAGCATCATGTACTCGGCACGCTGGGTGCGCATCTCGATGGAGAGATCGACGGCATCGCGGAGGACCCGGCGCAGTTGTGATTGGATCTGGTTCTCCAGATGTGAGGGTGGTGGGAGGATCATGGACAGTGTCTGCAAGATCGCTTGGACGACAGCTTCTGTGTCCTGGTTGCGCTGGTCGCCGAAAGCTGGCCGTTTCGACAGTAGCGTGAGAGTGACGGCCCTCCACTGACGGACTGCTTGGGGCGGGCCTACTTCTTGAAGGAGCTTCTCGACAGACTTGAGCTTCTGGCGCTGCTCGCGGTCCATGCCAAAGAGATAGCGGGTAAAGACAAACTCCCAGATCATGTTCATGGTCATGGACATGAAGACGTCGCGCCTCCTGACACGATCGCTGAGGTAGTCGTCGACGTCAGTGCCGTCGAGGATTGTGTTGTCGAGCTTGTCTATAATCTTCTCGTCGTTGATCTCGCTGGTGAGGCGGCAGGCGCGCATATCGGAGAACTTTGAGAAGCGGAGGACCCACTGCTGGACGTGGGAGCAGAGCTGCTGGCAGCGCTGGTCGAAATGGTCTTCGTCCTTGAGGCGGAGGAACTCTGCGTCGGGGGGCTTGCTGGCAAGGATCTGGCGTTGCATCTCGCGGACCTGCTGCTTTGTGGCTTCGAGCTGCTTGCGCAGGCGGGCAATCTCTGCGTCCTTGTTCTGGAGCTCGGTGGCGTAGTTGTCCTTGGCGCCGCGCTGCTTCTCGAGCTCGCGGGCGACGGTTGCATGCTGGGACTCGAGGTGGCCGTACTTTTCCGAGTGCTGCATGGCGAGCAGGCTGTTTGCGCTCTGGAGGCCATCGTTGACCTGGGTCAGGCGGGTGACTTCGTTCTGGAGGGACTCGAGGGAGGCGCGGAGAAGCTCGATCTCGGCATCGCGCTCTGCCTTTGTGGCGGCGGAGCGGGCGGTGACCTGCTCGGCCTGGGCGGTCTGGTGCTGGAGGTGCTGGTTCTCGGCGATGAGGGCCTCGACGCGGGACTCGAGCTCGAGGACCTGCATGCTCTGGCGGCGGCGCATGCTGTGGGGACGTGTTGGCGAGCGCGGCGAGCCGATGCGGCCCTCGCCGAAGCCATCGTACACGTCGGCCATGTCCTTGGAGGAGCGCGCGCGGCCCTCATTGGCAACGGGCGTGGTGCTCTTTGTGGTGGATGACGAGCTGGCGGCACCCGCAATGGCAGCGGCAGTGACAGCAGCAGCAGCACCCACAGCGGCAGCACCCGCAAGTGTCTTCTTGTCCGTCGTCGTGTTGGGGCTGGCAGGAGCGGTCTGGGCTGCCCTGTCCGTCTCCGCTGGCAGGTGGGGCGGACCCTTGTTGACATTGTTGTTGTTGTCCTCCCCACCCGTGTGGCTGAGGCTGCGGTTGTGGCTGGCGCTGTGGCTGGTGCTCTGGCCCCGCGACCCTGCCGCCTGCTGGCCCAGCGACCGGAGGTCTCCGCTAGCGCGCTTGTCCACCCTCCGCAGCGGCGGCGTGTTGGCTCCGCCAGACGACCGCAGGCTGCGGATGCTGTGGCTGCTGGGGCTATCGGGGCGGAAACTGAGCGGCTCGGGCGTGCGGAGGCGCGACAGGCTCGAGTTGGATGCCGTCCGCCGCATCGCGGGAGGTGTGTTTTCGAGCCGCGGGGATGCCCTGCGACCCAGGCTCTCAGAGATGCTGCGCTGCTCGTGGGGCTCGAGGATCCGTGACGATCTGGGGGATCCTGATGGGCCCGGGCTCGAGAGCTGCCCCAGTTCTCCATACTTGGCTGTCTTGGTCGGTGAGGTTCGCGATCGGCGTTTTGCTGGGTCTGTCGAGTAGACCTCAGTCTCGCGCTGACTTGACTTGGTTGGCTCGTCGGGCTCGTCGTGCCGGCGTTCCCGCTCTCGTGTCGGTGTGCTCAGGACCGGGGTGCCTTCGCCAACGACTGATTTTCTTGCAGAGCGCTTTTCGTCCTGCTGTGGCGTGTGAATGATCGGTTTCTTGTCTTCAGCCTTGAACGTTCGTGGGAGGCGTGCTCCAAACTCGTCAAATTCAGATAATCCTTCTCGTTTTCTTGTCGACTGTGTCTCGAGAATGCTCTGCATGTGGACACCGCTGTCTCGTTGGGCCTCACCGTCCAAGTCTATGCTTCGTCGAGAAGGGTGGGGAGAATTGCTGGCGAAGCCGCTGTCTCTGTAGGCCTCATGCGGCTGCGATGGCTTGCGTGTTCGGGCCGGCTCTTCGAGCATCTCCTCTTCGACCGGTGGTAGACTTGGCGTTGAAGCCCGTCCAAAGTCCTTCGTGCTCCGCCTTTGGGACAGCGTTGGAGCCTGCGAAGATGGCCCTGCGCGTGTTGAGCTGCTGTCTTTGTCGTCCTTGTCTTCCTCCACGTCCTCCGAAGTGTCCAGTGTATCCCAGTCCCCCATGTATCTATCTGCCCGAGCTGCCTCGCGCCCAGCATTAGCTGCCCTGCGCACCCGGCGTGTATTTGGTGTGATCGCCCTTCCTCGAATGGGGCTCTCCGCCTCATCGAGTAAATCCTGGTCCTCACTGACCCGCACGTCATCCTGCCACTGCAGAGTGTTTTCCTTGGCTGGACTCTGACGCTGTTGTTGTACTGGAGGCGCGCGGTATTCTGTGTCCATGCTCGTTGTGTCGTCTCTCGACTTTCTTGATCCCCTTTGCTCTCCCTTCTCAGCCATGGCGTGCTTTCCTGTTCCCATGATGACCTCCTTGTCCTGTTGTACAACCACTGGCTCCCTCCGCTTTTCTCTCGCCTTTCCACTCGTTGCTGATAGCTCGCTGGCAGCAACACTACCAAGTGCTCCTGCACTAACTGCAGCCACCATGACCTCTGATGCGCTTGGCACATCTTTGTTGACATCGCGATCCCGCTTTGCCGCCCCGAATCGGCACTCGAGAAGGTCTGCGGCGACCTCTCGGGATGGCGTAGTGTTGTGGTGGTCAGACGGCCGCGGCTCGACCACGTTAGAAATTGTCGGTCTGGTCGTCTTGTCCTTGTGTGTTGTCATCGACTCCAGATAGGATGCTGCGAAGTCCTTGGCTGGAGTTATTGGCTCAGCGGTGACAGCATCAAGATTGGGGCCGTCTCGTGTCCTCGTTGCCTGACCTCCTAGAGGCCCTCCTTCTAAGTAAGCGGCCGCGAGGTCCCTGGCAGGTGTCATGGCCCCTATGGATTTTCTCTGAAGGCCTGGTCTCTCGGCCCCGGGAGGAGTGACCTCGTCCGCGACCCTTTCCACGTGCTCAGAAAGGGGTGATCCTGGAGGACCAGACTTTATTGTGGTGTCGCGGTCGTCCACAAAACGAGTGACTGGCGGAAGCAAACCACCGCCTTCTTCACCGACCAGCGACACTGCCATGGAACCTGGGGCAGCTTCGAGTAGCCTTCCACTCAGAACATTGCCATCATCAAAGAGTACCGTTCTGGTCCGCTTCTTCTTGAGAGCTCGAGAGGGTTCATCCTGCGGTCGCTCATGTTCAATGTGACTTGTTGGTCGAGCTGGCTCCAGGTCTAGATGCGGAGCTTGATGTATCACTGGACTTGGTGATGGTTCACGTTGCCGTGATGATATCGCGGAAGAAGGTGGACGTTCATGAGCGGCATTTTCCGGCAGGGCGAGCTCGCCCTCCGCTGGTACAGAGCGCTTGTGGGATAATCCTCGTGATTTTGGACTGCCTTCGGAATAGGAGGCTTCAGGCTCATTCGAAACCACGGGAAGAGGGTGCTTCACAGCTGGGTTTTCGACGACAGGAACTTCAGCTGATGGAAGTGGCAGTGCCTGCTCGGTCTGAGGTAACGCAGTCGATCGAGAAGCAAGGGGTTCGACCGCATCCATGTTGTTTGCGACTTCAGCTGTTGGCTTACTCTTCTTCGAATTCTCTCGAGGCAGTTCGTCTTCTGGTTTCAGGTCCTGTTCGGTTTGTTGAGCGTGTGCAAGCGGTCCTGACTGTGTAGAAAGCTTGTCGAGGCCAGCGGGCTCGTTTGTGCCATAGAGCTCCCTGGTAGTCAATGGGCTCTCTTCCACGAAGCCCGCCTCCTGTGCAGGAGCACTTGTCTTGTCTTCACTCTTGATGTTAGTCCAGTCCCAAGACTGGGACTGTGCAAGGACAGTGGTAGGCTGCGACGCCAAACCGTCATCGCCAATATTCTTGTCATCGTCCAAGGACTGTTGTCTAGGAGATTTTGTGAATTGGCGCTCTACGTGAGTTGTAGAGTTCTCAGATTTGGCCGATGGCGGGGGCGATCGTCTAGCTTCAACAACTGGTTCGGGTATTTCGGGTTTGTCAGGTTGCTGGACAGTGTGGCGACCACCCTCCACGCTTTCGAGAGGCAGCACTTGCGCGGGCACATCTTGTTTCATCTCGTCTTCATGGCCAACTGTTGCGGCAGTCGATGGCAAGTTGTCCCGGCCCGTGGCTTCAGCTGGGAGAGAGGTGGCAGGAAGAACTGCCCCTGAGTGGCTGTCAATTTCCACGGTGTCACGCGGCAGGAGGAGATCTGCAGCCTTGCTGGCTTCAGCCGTGGTGACCTGCTTGTCTTCTGTAGTCGCATGCGACGTCACCAATTCGGCAGAGGCGGCTCCCGGCTCGCCGGATGACTCCAGACGTCGGGAGCTTTGTTGCTGATGATCAGGCTCTGAGATGGCGTGAGGCTCCATGGCCGGGACTATTCCTTCTGCAGCGACAGGTTCTGAGAGTGGATTTTGCTGCTCTTGTGCAGCCTGAGCTGGCACAATGACATCCGCGCTTGGCTCTGCGGTCCTCGATGCCGAATAGGCTTCTGCTTGGGGCGCCAGGGCTAGGGAATCTGGGGGAGGGAGTGACTCAGGGTCAGGTAAATTGGATCTGGCGGCTCCAGTTTCGACCTCGTCTTTTGGGGTCGCTCTTGACTTCAGGTCCTCGTAGCGCCTCTTGTCTTTTCCCTTCAATTTGCCCTTGACAACTTTCTTCCTCTCCAAGGCCGCTAGTTCTTCTGCCTCGTCGGCAAGCAAGGTTGCATGGTCGACCTCTTCAATGGCACTGGGCGTGGCGGCCGTGGTCCCAATGGCGTCTTCAGAGGAAGGGTTCGGCGGCTCGGCAAGCATAGCAGCATGCTCGGTAGGCGCGATACCTGCCTCTATTGGCAGTATGCCTTCCTGAACAGTTGGCTCGGCGATGGCCGTTAGCTGACGATCCGGAGAAGGAACCAGCCTCGGACTGTGGACTTGAGTCTCATCGCCAGCATCAGTGAAACTTCCACGTTCGGGGTCACTGAGAGTGTCTACCGTCGGCATAGACTCCATTGGGGACGGGGCGCTATTGCCGAGGTCAATGACAAGCTCTTGGAGTTCTTGAGCGTCACGAGGCAATGCGTCCCTCCGCTCATCACTCTGCGGTTGGTGAGCTTGTTCCTGATGTTCCATCTCTGCGGTTGGAGCAGTAACTTCCCCTGCCTCGAAAGTCTCGGAAGGCAGTGGAACAGGCGCCGAGGGCGTCTCCGAAATCTCGAGTGCAGTTGACTCAGTCTGTGCTTCGAGGCTGCCATCTTCTGCTGGCGCTGACTGACCCTCAGCTACACTCTCAACAACATCGGTGGCAACGTCGAGCGAACCAAGTCTGGCCGTCAACTCCTCGAACCTTTTCCTGTCTTTGCTTTTGAGCTTGCCCTTGCGAGCCTTTTTGGCTGTCAGGCCAGAAAGCTCTTCTAGCTCAGCAACAATTTGAGCATTGGGCTCAGGCACGGAGGGCTGTTCTTCTGAGACGGGGTCTGTATTCTGATGCCCGACTTGTACCTGTGCAATTTCCGATTGAACAGCATCTGAGTGGATTGTGGATCCAGGGACAACGTGAGCCGCAGGATCGAGACTGAGACGCTCGCGGATATCGTCGGTTGACGCTGGCGTTTCAGAGGTTTCCTTGAGTGCAGGCGTAGTCTCTAGGAGGTCAGCCTCAGTTGCCTCCTCTTGTGCCGTCCAAGGGACGTCTTGTGCTGCGGCATCGGTTGTCCCAAGGAGGACATCTGCAGTCGACTCCTGCTCCACCGTTTGCTGTGCATCCGGTATGTTGGCGTTGTCGACAAGGTTCGTTGGCTCGTCCGATCTCTCTTGGGTTACTGCGTCAGCATGCTGTTCCG